GTCGTGACAGGTCTCCGTTAGGGTGTGGTGGCATTAGTGCTGTGCCAGGGGACGGCGGAATGCAGGCGGCGTGGCGTCTCGTCTCACCCAGCGGGATAGTTGTGGACGCGAACCTCACGACATGCCACTTGTTAGTCCAGTTTGGGGAAACTCCTCGTGGCTGCGCAGGTTTCCAGCTCATCCATCACGCCGCAGACCCTCGCCTTCTTATCCGTTTCGTCAAACCTCAAACGACCCAAACCATTCTGCAGGGCCACAGGGACCAAGTGGGCGAGGACGCTGACGGCAGCCTCCCCCCTACCCTACAGACCATCCACTTCGGCACGTCTGCAGGATGGACACCAACCTGGGCACCAGCCTAAGGTCCCCTCCCCTGTTTGAGCATCGCATCTACGGCACATGTCATGTATGTATGTGTGGTGGTCGAAGATGACGGCAGGGGTACGTGGCGAGGCCGTCCAACCACCTGCCAAATGGGAAGTAAACCATCTCACCCTGGCGAGATACAGGTGGTCAATTCAGAGTGCCATCCCCCCGAACGGCAGCGAGGTCTAGATCCGCTGCCAATAGAGGTGCCGTGATCGACGAGTGTACTTCTGCGTCCTATTTTCAACCACAGCCTTGGACTTGGAAAGCAGGTGCACTGCGAGCTCCTTGTCCGAGGAAGCGGCAGTGAACATGCCCGAGACGTGAGCACCTACTAAAGTACCATGGTCCCATGTCGACAGGCAGATAACTATAACATGCACAGACGCATGATTATCGTACCTTTCTTAAATGCCTCTCTCCTTGGGCAAATGCCGGGTTGGATACCGACTCTAAACGGCCAGATCTGGTGCAGACGCAAAAAGCAAGAAGCAGGAGAGCAGCATACCGGCGACACCATTGCATGAGATCTACGCCAACTCAGATCAGTGGCCAGGGTCCTCAAGAGGCGGCCTCGCTCCCGTGTACTTTCGTTTCTTTTTCCCTTGCCCAGCCCCCATGTACCCCTTCCCTGTCGAACCCCCCGTGCTCGGCGACCTCTACATTCGGACAGCTGTGACCCCAATGCGCGAAGGCTCCCTACCCTATGCCAGTGTGGGCGAGAATTCAGCCCATCGTGGCCGAGAATCTCGCCGCGGAGTCCGCTTTAACCGACCACCACCGGACGGATGCTGAGCTTTCCGACCCAGGGGCTAAGTCGTTCCCGGGAACCTACCTTTGTTGGGCGAGAACAAGATGGTTGGTTGTTGGTCGTGTTGGTTGTGATGGCATTCTCGGACGGGCATGGAGGGTGAGCATACGACTTTGGCTGCTGTGCCTCTCGTTGGCTATGTGGCTCAGAGTTGCCGACCAGGCTCCACGGCTTGCTTCCCGATTGTGTAGAGCTCCGGCATACCACCGCCGGCAATGGGGAACGACGAGCCGCTTATTCCGTATACCGATGGGAAAGGGCAGATGGGCGTCGCTTGTGGGTTTTCGCCAATCTCCATCACGTCAGTTTGGGGCCTGAGCCTACGTGGCAGGATTTAGGTTTCCAGGATGATGTCGTTCGATATCGTCTCGTGATATCGTGATATTATCGGGGGAAAAAACTATAGGGTAGACGTGTTGGTTTGCGTATATGTGTGAATCCTTCACTCTTTGCAAGTAACCATATGCTACTGGCTAAGGTTTACGGCTGAAGGGTGCATGGGATTTATATCGGCGGCCGCATATACACCACCTCTGATAGCTAGGCTATTAGGCGGAGCCGGCTGGATTTTAAGTCTCAGGAATAGACCCTAAGCGTCCCATGGTAAAGTGGACATGTCACTCCCACATTCTCTCTAGTTCAAGACTAGGAGGGCCGGAGATGCTGGATCGCGAAATGGCGGCGTGGTATTGCCGAATTAACAGCATACATACAAGATTCACGATCCAAACAACTCGTGAATGACCACGAGGGAGCATGGCGAGAAGGTGTCCTAATTCGTGATATAATGCATTTCACCCTAAAACGATATCTAGTTCAAGCATGAACAAATCTGTCATGAGTATCAGAGACGTGAACAATCACGTAGAGTCATGGGCCCTTGGTGTTGTGTCATCTCTAATCTACATCAAACTCAATAGCCATATCCCTTGTGGTATGCCCCTACCAATGTTGTAATATTGGATAGAATTCGAGTCCATCTACCATTGCCATATCCCCGAAGAAATCGAGAAACGCCCACCATTATCCAGCGGGTTGGCGACAACAGCACAGTTGCGTTTAAGGGGACATTTCCCTCCGGAATATGGACGACGAGGCTCAACTTATCAGAGCCTGGTATTTGTCGAATCTCCTCGGTATGCAATTAACAATACAGAAAGAAAGTCTTCTGTTCTGGCATGGGTGTAAATATTGCGAGTATGGCCATGATGTGCCCGTACTTAAGAATCATGGAAATGTGAACGTCAAAATTTGGTATCAGGCCAATGTATCAAGTCGAATTTATTTTGGTACGGTTTTAGAGCGTCCTAGGTTTGAGATTAAAAATATCCAATGGGTACACGTATCTATAATCGCAGAGTAGTGCATCTTGCGCCAGCCACAAACTGTACGAACACTTTCTCATTATTATGACATCTGAAAGACGAAGCCAGCTTGAATCGCGGAACAAAACCAAGCGCTAGTGTAGACCCGGGTTACCAGTTACTAGAGATATCGTCATGCATGATAGTGAAGGCCGGTCGGCCCTACGTGAACATATATTCGGGGGAAGTGAGTTGGAGGCTTTGGTTCCGGCCGTGTGTGTGATTCGACTCTTCGAAGCCTGGCATGACGGCGTATGGCGAGAGGCCCAGGACAAATAATACGGCATGGATGGATGTGACGCTTTACAATACAATTGGCTCTTGGGCCGATGCAGATTGACCGTCAGGGCGGTGATAGCTGTGCCGTCCTTGTTGAGGGTTGTATTGAGAGTGAATGCAGGGAGTGGCCTGGATAATAGGAGCAAGTCTCTCACCGCAACGCCCTAGAGGTCGTCTCATCCATTAACCTTAAAGAACCTAGAGCAGGAGTAGGTGGTTGAGGGAACAGAACTGGACGTTGCAAAAAGTGAAACGGGAAATCCCAGATGGGTTGTCTCGAGGGATCCCTGATCGGCTAGGAGAATATTTATTAATTATCCCTACCATCGTGGGTATCTATTCAAGAACCTACGGGAAGATATTTGGGTGATCGAGTCGTATATTCTGGACATGGTGTTGCCGTTGTGAGAGTTCCACGTGAAGACGGCGACTTGAAAAGTGTGAATTGCAGAATAGTTAGATCTCGGTTAGCGGAGGGTCTGTCAATACTCGGCTAGAACATAGACCTTGTTAAGAGAAACTTCTCATGTCGGAATAAGTTGTCTAGGCTCATGAGCTGACGTAGCGGTCTTTACCATAGTTACACTACGACTGCAGTCCATTATGGCCTGGTCCAAACTGCCGAGTCTAGATTATTCGCGCCTGCTGCCCTTGCCACTTGGTGAGACCCTTGCACGTCAACAATGCCAATGTTCGCATTTCCTTTGACTTGTTTTGGGGCTGAGCTTGGTGGCCACGTAAGACATGTTTGTGTGTCCGGGAATATGTCGTCTAGACGCACCATGGACTCGGAAGCGTCTCACCTACAGGAAGCTAGCTCTAGCGTTGGATCCTCGTGGACCGTCATCTGAGGCAGTTTCAGCTGCTGAAGTCGTCAATCAAGCCAATGGAATATGGGTGGGTGCTAGAGAGACCGGCATCATTAGGGCTTGTTTACGAGCAGATGGACGGACCGTGGTTCTTCAATACGGGGAGAGGCGGAGGCGGTGCACGCATGGTGGAGTATTGCTTGACACATGACCGAACTGAAGCCTGTGCTAGTTGAATGGAAAGAGAAACGGATACGAAGTAAGTAGCGAGTTTCATCTCTGCACAGCTACGGGATTATACGCCATGATGATCGAGACTGGGACGAATGACGATGGCTTTTGGTCACCTTGGCCAATTAGCCGTGGTGGTTAAGTAGGTGGTTATACGACCATAGTCGATTTGTATTAATCAGCGCTGCTCCCCATGCCCTGGACAGCCAATGGCATGCATCCCATACGAGCCCGAAATTACAGCAGCTCGCGTACTATGAACAACGGTTTACAGGGGACAGAGGCTTGCGGGCAGGTGTTGACGGCTGACGGGCGCGGACGCAGAGAGCTCTCCGTCGTGTCTAGGTACCTACTAAGGTAGACAGACACTGGAATGCCGATAATATATTCATTATTCCCAAGCTCAGGTACCCGTCCACTATGCGCCGGGACCTGGATCGCAGCAGTTGGCGGGGTGTGGATGCCCTGTGGATGCCCCTGTGGAGGCCCTGGAGTTGATGACGATGGGCCCTAAAAAAAGCCACACGCTGGATGATGACTGGTCACTTTGGGCAGCTCATCCCAGCACAGCGGACAGATATCACCGCCGATCGGGTGGCTTCCAGGCGGCTCTCCGGTCGCCCCCTGTACCTGTGCCTGTAGTTAGGTACCTACGTAGTAACTGCACCTGTACCTGTACTGTGTGCTACCACAGCGCCTGCACCCGCTGTAGCGCCGTGCATTGTACCCCGTACCTGGGCGTAGTAGCGCTTCCATGCAACCTTGTTTCCGACGGACGCGGCACTCGACGATAAGGAGCGGGCGCGAGCCGTGGCCGTAATTTCTTCCTTCCAGAAGCCCGCAAATTTGACTTCCATCTCCTTTCTCGCGTCCCCGTGTCCCCCGTTCCGCCAGCATCTGGTCCGCGTACGCATCCGGCACCAACAATTTCGCATCGCCTCAATTTCTCCCGGATTATCTGCTGTTCCAATTCCCAGTGCGAATGTACCCGTCAGCGCCCGTCGAATCTGCCTTCTCCCGATAGCTGGCATCTTATCCGGCCGATCCGCAATCTACGACACCTCGAATCTAGGTATCTACAGCCTCCGGTTTCGAGCATCGACGCACGCCGCAGCCGCAGCCGCCGCCGCAACCGCCGCCATGAGTTGGATCACAACCCTCACGGGCTACTTGGCCCCCGTCTTCATCGTTCTCTCGCCCATCATCTCCTACAGCGACCAGGTGCTGGCCATGCACCGCTCCAAGAGCAGCGCCGGCTTCTCCCTCGACATCCCCCTCATCATGCTGGTGGCCTCCTTTCTGAGGTGCGACCTCCTATTCGCCCTGCCCTCGCTCCGTCTCGACGCAACACTGGCTGACTCGCGATCCCATCCGCAGGATTTTCTACTGGCCGCATGCCCAATATGACATGAGCTTGCTCTTCCAATCGCTGCTCATGGTTGTGGTCCAGGTCGTCCTGCTCAAGGTCGCTCTAGACCACCGCCCGTCCCCCTCCACCAAGGGAGGAGAGGCCGCGCTTCCGTTTTCCGGGGCCGAGGACGGCGGTTCCGGGTTCCAGCGCCCATACAACTTTTGGCAATGGCGGTCGCCTAAGCGGTAGGTGCCCAATGACTTGACTCCCTCCTCCCTGGACTCCCTGTACCTCGGGTCGCATGGCGCAATCCATGACTGACTGGCTGACTGGCTGACTGACTGACTGACTTGGATTTCTAGGTACTGGCAAGCCATCATCTATTTCGCCGCCGGCCTCGTCGTGCTTCAGGCTCTCCTCTCGCAGATGCCCGCGATATACGGCACATATTCCGATACCATTGGCTACATCGGACTCGCGGTCGAGGCGACACTCCCACTACCCCAGATCCTAGTAAACCTTCGTTCAAGGTCCTGCAAGGGCCTCCGACTATCTGTCCTAGCCAGCTGGGTGGGAGGCGATTCCATGAAGCTGTTCTGGTTCTTCACGGCGACTAGTGAGATCCCGTGGTCGTTCAAGATCTCTGGCATTTTCCAGGCATCGTGCGATGCGTTCCTGGGTCTCCAATACCTCATGTACGGCAATGCACAGTTACCATCGGCCGTCAAGGAACACCCGCTGACAGAGTGGTCGTCAGCGCAACCCGTAACCGGGGCGCCGAGGCGGAGCTTGAGCCCTTCCCGGCGGTCAGCGGCTTTCAACGACAAGGAGGTAGAGTAGGACCTATGGGTAAAAGTAAAAAGGCGTAATATCAGGTCCTGATGCACCCAGAGCGCCGCATGCCGTTTCAGGGCAGGGCTTGTGTGAAGATTTGTGCGTACACAACGGTGAGTGCGACAGGACATGTCGGGATATATGGTGAAAGAGAAGGGAAACTATAGACGGGGACAACAGGCACGGCGTTGGGAGGTTATATGAAAGCAGTAATCGGGACCGGATCCCCTGGATCGGAGACGGAGGGACATGAAGACTGCGGGTGTCCGGAGGTCCGGACCTCCGAAGCCCGGAAGGATCAGGTCAGGCTTGCCAAGACCTGCCAAGTCAAGCCAAGCGATAGCAATCATGCAAGTAATCCGTGGGAGGGATCGGCCAAGGATTCTGCTTGTCCCTGGAATGGAGGTTGAAGGGACAAGCTCCAGCCAAGAGTCAAGCAACAGCAGGAGAATCGGTCACATTGACGACGTCCGAAAGTCCGGAAGACGTTGAGGCCTGGGCGCGCTGCTCCACAATAGAGAGTGGAAGGCGGGACTCATTTAGTTTGCATGAACAGATGATTGCCGGGGAATCGGTAGATGTCTGCATGTTTAAACATATGTCTCTCTTGGTATTTCTTGGACATAGTCGTAGCCGTGGTGGGTTGATACAACTCAGGGGTTTACACGACCCAGGGGTTTATTACACAACCCACCACCAGCAGAGGTGCGATGGCCGTTAATTCCTGGTAGCGCGGTACTTGGTGGGATTCCAGACTTTGGGGGCGGGGAGGCGGCTCACCACTGGGGTACGCGACGGATAGAAATAATCATGCAAGATGATAATGAGTAATTATGAGGAAATATCATTACCCATTATTCCCTTTATTTTTTTAAAGTATTTATTTCGACGTAAAAATGGCTTCCTCGGCGTGGTTATGACCGTTAAGCCTCCTACGACTGGGCGCTGGTGCCTGGTACCTCTCTATCAGAGTCGCACCAGCTGTCACCAGCCGCCAGGAGATTGTTGCCCCCCAGCCACCCGACTTCTGGCCGCCAACTCCTCCAGCGAGGTATTCGCCAACCACCTTTTCCCCCTACTCTACTTGAACAACACCACTACCTATCTCCGTCACTCTCTTCACGTAACTACGGCAACCATCTCTCTCTGCGCTACCTGCCTATTCGGTGTCTCTCTTTTAGTGCACGTCGTTACACGTATTCGCCGCCTTAGTTAACTGGGTTGTCACTCTATCCGAGTTGGCCTTCCTTTCTGAGGAATCGACGTGTCCCTGGGAATAGGACAATATCCTATCGTCCATTGTCGACCCTCGAACCGAGCTTTTGTCCCGGCGACAAAAGACACTTCGGCCTCTGTGGAACCTGATCCTTAGGATTTCCCGTCCTAAGAGCTTCTGCGTGGTATGTATGCGATTTCTCCTACTGCGCCATCGCCTTCTCACAACTTAGAAACCGTCTAACATTCAATCTCGCGGTTCAGTTCTATATTCAGCTTGCGCGATACATCGCAGACTTCAAGCAACCTCATTCGACGTGAGTCTAGCCCCCACGCTACTTTTCTTTTCTCGTCGTTTCTTTTTCCTCGTTTTCACGTTTGCACGTTTCGAGATTTCCCCTCTCCAAACCATTCTCCCCGTTTGATGTACCCCTAGAGGAAACATTCGAAGCCGTTTTTCCATCCTCACTTTTCGTTCACTGCCTTCTCACCTTGCACCCTAAGCCCAACTTTAGTCTGAACAAACGCACCCAAACACAAGTGCCCACTTATATCACTGACCGGCCGTTCACCTCGACTTCTGCCTATTTATTTCTCTCCGCTTCTTGAACTCCTTCACCCAACTCTCACCTCTCATCTACACTTTCCTGAGACCAGACGTTCTCGTTTGGCCTCGCCTCCCTTCATCTTCTCTTCTTTCTTTTGGCCTTGATTCTTCCTCCTCTTTTCATCTTCCACCACAACAACTCACCTGCGGGATAACTAACGTCGCCGTCAGCGCACTGCTTGTCTTCGCATCATTCACCTCGTTGCCTCTCTCTTGATCAATCAGACTGGTGCGTTATCAAGACCTCTTCTTTCATTCTTCTCCGTAGTCGCTCTTTGGCTACCCATCTCATCTCTCCTCACCTCACCATTTGGAACACACCTACTTCTCCCCTCTACACCAAAACCTTCTCCGACCGTCCCTTGAGTTTCATTCACTGACCCAACCTCACAGAAACAGCAACTAGCCTTCGTCACCATGCCTGCAGCAAACACCAAGGCCAACTACAAGACCTATGAGGCTCAGGCCCGTATGGTCCGCGCCATCGTGGCTGCTCACCCTGAGGTTAAATGGAACTACAAGGGTAAGACCTGGCTCGATTCCCTTTTGTCTGGCGCTCCCACTTCCTATCCCCTGGTTCTCCCGACATACTTTCCTCCCGGGCATCCTCATTGCTAGCCTCAAATCCGTTTGAGTCGAAGCTGAAGATTGACTCCTCGCCCCCAGAGATCGCAGCCTGTTACGGCACAGACATGACTGATCATGCCTTGAACCATCGGTTCCGTCGCCTGCGAGCCCAGGCCATCGTTATTAGAGATGGCCGGGCTCAGGGTTTTGATATGAAGGATATGTCGACCGACGACAACTTTCTTCCCAAGACACAAGAGAATGTTGACAAACACAGTACGCCACCCCCTTTGCGTTCTCTCACATGCCCTCTTCGTCTTTCTTCCATACACAACACATGACTCATTTGCCCTCGAGAACCCGGTTACTGACTGCTTCTGCCCTTTAGACATCGCCAAGTACTTCGGTCAGTCCACTGCAGATGGAATCCAGTTCCAGTTCCGCACCATCAAGAAGGATGCTGAGCAGCTCCGCCAAGTAGAAAGCGAGGGTGGCAATGTGGCTAACTGCCTTTCCATCGGCGCAGGCTCTTCTATCGGACCCAGCACCCCATCCAAGCCAACCCCTTCCCGTGGCGCTGGCAGCCGTTCTGGTGCTACCGTGAAGCGATCTCGCGCAGCAGCTGTGCCCACCTTTATCAAGCGCTCCGAGTCTGATGACGAGGAGGATGACCTCAACTTCAGCGAGCTTGACGACACCCCTTCTAAGCGCATCAAGACAACCGGTCCAGCTCGTGGTGCCGCCAAGTCCCGCACTCCATCTCGTCGAGCCGCCACCAAAGCTGTCGCTACTATCGCCGCTGGCGCCCAGCTCGAGAGCAGCGCGTCTCCTCCTGAAGATGCATTGACGCCTCTTACCGACTCTGCACCTGCACCGCCTGTCTGCGCCGATCCGGCGTCTATCTTTGGCAGCGTTGAACACCGACACCCTGCCTATGATTCCAAGTCGCAGCTTTTCAGTACCTCTACCACTTTCACCAACAACGGCATTGATGAATTCCTTGGCAGCAGCGGCATGGATGACGTGCCCATGTACCCCGGCTCAAACTACAACGAGTTCGAGGGCGATGGCGAGATATAATCTGCCACCCTTTCTTACTCGTTTTGGTCTGGAACGCTTTGAGGTTCGACCTCTGCTCATTTTCATCTCCTTTGTCCTCTGTGGCCGGCGCGCCACCAGGATCAGCTTGGCCTTTCATCCAGGATTCCCACGAAACCAAAAGCAACACCGATTGTATTGTACGAGGCGTTAGGAGGAAAGGAAGTGCGCAATAGGATTTCGCCCCAGGGAGGGCCACCATGTCTCTTTTGCTATTGGAATCACCACACGATCAGGCTTTTTCTTCTTCTCTGTGCTCATGTCACATTTACCCCTTTGAGGGCAACACTCATCTGAAAGATTATGAGGAAGATGGTTCTTTAATACGGAAGTCTGGTTTCGGTTTGGTTTTTAGCACCATGCCGCGCTACGGAGCGGAACGGAACTTACACCACATGTTTCGCAGGGCTGCGAGTGCTTTGGTAGGTCTCGACCTAAGAGGTTTTTGATCTCTCCTCGTTTTGTTGGCTGGGAGGAAATGAGGGATGGATGGACATGCCGTGACGATTAGCTAGATAGCTAGAGATTCCACACCGAAAATACGACAGTGTGTGTACGAGTATGAACAATCAATCATGAAGGTGGTGTGACGAGGGTGCAATAATATGGTCATCTATCTTGATAAAGCGCCACGACAGTGCTGTCCAACCTCAGAGTTGCTGTAAGTTGCACTCAGTTCATTTTCATTTTGGTTTCCAAAAAATAACAGACTACCTTTTCCCTTCCCCAACACCCACACGCAACGGGTCTATCCGTTCATCTTGGCTCCGCTCAACTCATCAACACCTTCCACAGCGCATCCTTCTCTACAAAGTCGTGGTGGATCAGGTTCACCAGCCAGTACTCGTCCTTGATGCCGCTGAGCAGCTTCTCCGTGTCCGAGGCGCGGCCGTAGACCTTGGCCCACTCGCCCCAGATGCCAAAGGCCTCCTCGCTCCAGGCGCGGAAGCTGACCTCCTCGATGATGGTGGGCGTGATGATCTCCTTGCCAGGGAAGACGCCCCAGGTGACGGCGTTGGTGCTGGCGCCGCCACTCACGTCGGTGCTGCCGAGGCCGCCGCTCGAGTCGGACGTGACGAAGTCGCCGTGCGCGTTGCCGGCGTAGAAGCAGACCGAGTTCCGCAGTTCGGGGGAGGTGAGCTTCGCCTCCAGGACTGTCCATTCGGAGGTGGGAATGAAGAACTCGACAAAGGACTTTTGGAAGACGAAGCCATGCTCAGGACCCCAGCCGAAGGTCGAGTCGTTGGAGCGCAGGCCGTTGACCGCGGGCTGAGAGGCCACAGTCCACCAGCCCTTGGTGTTGAGCTGCAGGAGGTGCGGCTGGATGGTAGACGACTCGGCGAGGAGCTCCTCCTCGCTCCAGGGAATGGCCGACAGCTCGCCCTTGATGTGCTTGACGAACAGGTCGTTGATGTCCTGGCGCGTCTTGGGGTGGCCCCAGAGCCTGACAGCCTGCGTGATGGACATATGGAGGCTCACGCCGTAGCCGTCAATCTCACCGTACGCCGGAGATCGCGCATCACCGAAACGACCGTTGGGGAAGTCATCCCAGGTGGCCTCGCGGCCAAGAACTCCCTCGCCCTCGGAGATGGCCAGGGTGTTTGCGCGAGTGTTGATGGCTTCGGCGCGTACGCCGGCCTCCTGAGCTGTGGCCTCCCACTCGGGGTGAGTCGCGGATCGGTCGCCGACGATGACGCGGTTGTGCGGGTCGGAGCCGACGGAGGAGTGTCGTCGGGATGCGCGAGAGCGGGAGTGGCTGCTGAGAGGCAGGTTGGCGCTGCCATTGACTTGGAGAGCAGGGACGGGGATGGAATCGTCGACGACAATGGCCTCTTCGTCTTGAGGAGGGTCGGGGATCAGGTTCGTTCGCTCCAGAATAAACGACACTGACTTCTCCAGGTTCAGGGTGTAGAAGTGGAAGCCCTTGGGTCCCGGATACCGGGACTTGACCTCCTTGACCTGTTCCACCAGCTCGCTGACGATGTCCACGCCGACCATCTTGACGCGCTCATCATCGCCCTTGACGGCAAGGAGGCGGGAGAGAACCTCTTCGGGGACTTTGGCGTGGCTAAGCTTAGTCGTTCGCTTGACCATCTGGTAGCTCTGAATGGGCATGAGGCCGGGGATGATGGGCAGGGTCTTGAAGACACCGCTGGGGTGTGATCGCAGTGTCTCCTCAAAGTTGTCGTAGGCCTTGATATCGAAGAAGAGCTGAGTCATGACGAAGTCGGCGCCGGCCTGGACCTTGTCGACAAGGTAGGGAAGATCGTGCTCCAGGCTCTGTCCAAGCGGATGGCTCTCCTCGGCGTGGCCCTCGGGGTATGCTGCCACGCCAATGCAGAAGTAGTCGCCGTGGGTCTTGCGAATATACTTGACGAGGTCGACGGCCCAGTTGAAGTCCTGACCGCCGTCGTCTTCCGAGTCTTCGGGATCGCGGTACTCGTCCCGCCGGGGGGGATCGCCGCGCAGGGCCAAGATGTTGCGGATGCCCAGGGCCTTGGCGTCCTCGAGGGCCTTATCGACTAGCTTCCGGCTCATGTTGGTGCATGTGAGATGGAGGCAGGTGGTGAGGCCGAGCTCGCGCTGGCACAGCTCGGCCAGCTCGAGCGACTTCTGAGACGTGGTTCCGCCGGCGCCCCAGGTGACATTGACGAAGAGCGGGCGCAGGGCGCGTTCCATGCGGTGCAATCGGTCGCGGAGGTTGGAGAAGCCCATGGCCGTCTTTGGCGGGAAGAACTCGAGCGAGAAGTAGGTGCCGTCGGCCGGCAGCGCGGCGATGCGGTCCGTGATCTTGTCCATGGCGGGCAACGGACGGTACGGCAGCTGCATGAGTGCAATGGGGCTGCGAGGGATTGTGAGTCGAGTCGTCGTAGATGGGCGCGGTCGAGGAGGGAGTAAGTGGCGGATATCGTCGGCGGGGTTCGCTTGAGAGGCGTGGAGTCGTGGAGTCGTGGCGATGAGGGGCAGCGGCAATCTGATATCAGATGCAGCGTCAGCAGCAGACAGACGAAGCCAAAGACAGCGCAGAGACGAACCAACCGTCGTTCCGTTCCTCTCGTTTCTCTTGTTCCTCTTGTTCTTCAAGCTCACGTGGGCGGCAATGGGCTCCGGATCCGATGGTGCCCTCCGGTCGTCGTTTTCCAGGTGCCGTCCATCTGGAGGGGACAAGTTTTGTTGGCGGGGCATTTCCATAGCGGGGTCCGTTCTCGGTTTGGCGATTAATTTACCATCGGGCGGGTTTCGGCATGCTGCCATGACGCACCGGGGCAGTCATTACAGGCGGTCATTACAGGCCCAGGGAGGTACCTGTCTCCATGTACCCCATGTATCATGCAGGGCCCCCGCCCACCAATTGGATACCGCCCGACAAGTACCGACATAGCCTGAGCTTCGTGATTTTCCGCCGCACATCTTCCTCAGCTTGACTCTTCTTGTTGATGCTCTGCCGCATCATGACAACGACGCCGCAATGCCCTTGCTCCAAGGAAGGCTTGTGACCTGTGCCACCTCCCGCTGGGCTCTCCCAGGCCTAGCCAGCGCTTCTCGCGGCGCAATTCGGCCTCGGCTCAAGACGTCGACCCTGGCCAGGATCCCGAGCGTGCTCTCCCGACGATGGTACGCCGTCGACCTCCCGGCCCTCGATGAGAAGTGGCGCAAGCGATGGAAGGACGCTGAAGATGCTGGAGATGCTGGAGATGCTTCCGCGAAGCAGGTCGACGGCCAACACAGCCACTATGTCCTCCCCATGTTCCCGTATCCCTCCGGCACGCTCCATCTTGGCCACCTCCGGGTCTACGCCATCGCCGACGTCGTCGCCCGCTTCCGAAAATTGAAGGGTGAAAATGTCATGCTTCCCATGGGATGGGATGCCTTTGGACTTCCCGCGGAGAACGCCGCGCTCGAGCGAGGAATTGACCCTGGGATCTGGACCAGGAGCAACATCGCTAAGATGAAGGAGCAGCTTGGGGTGATGAACGGCAGCTGGGATTGGGATCGTGTGAGTGCTTCTCGACCTGCACTCTTCGGTTATCTGACTGACACACCATGCAGGAGCTGACGACATGCGACCCCGAATTCTACAAACACACCCAGAAGCTCTTCCTCATGCTGCACGAACGCGGCCTTGCCTACCAGGCCGAAGCCGAGGTCAACTACGACCCCGTCGACAAGACCGTCCTTGCGAACGAACAAGTGGACGCCAATGGCTTCTCGTGGAGGTCTGGGGCCAAGGTCGAGAAGCGCAAGCTCAAGCAATGGTTCTTCCGCATCTCCGAGTTCCGCGACGCCCTCCTCGAAGACCTCGACGCCCTCGCCAAGGACAATGCCTGGCCGGAGCGAGTCCTCACCCAACAGAAGAACTGGCTGGGCAAGTCGACTGGCGCCGCAGTCAAGTTCCCCATCCTGGCCATTGGCCACGACATCAAGGCTGCCATTGAGGTCTTCACCACTCGCCCCGATACCCTCTTCGGCGTTCAGTATCTCGCCCTCGCAGCCAGCCACCCCATTGTGATTGAGCTGGCCAGGCAAGACCCGGAACTCCAAGCCTTTATCGATACAGTACCCGGGCTGCCCGCGGACTCCAAGGTGGGCTATCTCATGCCACACCTGCGGGCTATCAACCCGCTAGCCTACCACGAAGAGACCCCCCCAGCGACCAAGGTGTCTCTGCCAATTTACGTGGCCCCCTATGTTCTGGGCGACTACGGTGAGGGCGCTGTCATGGGTGTCCCTGCCCATGATCCTCGCGACCACGCTTTCTGGAAAGAGCACCACTACGACCAGCCCGTTCGCCATGTCCTTGCCCCTTCCGAAGACGGCGCAACATTGCCCATGGAGAACGCCCCCTTTGTTGAGCACGGCATCATGACGGAGCACAGCGGCACTTTTAAGGGGAAAGAATCCGCGGCTGTTGGCAAGACGATCGTCAGCATGCTTGAGGCCGCCGAACTCGCCAAGCCTGTCGACAAGTGGCGACTCCGAGACTGGCTCATCAGTCGCCAGCGATACTGGGGCACCCCGATCCCCATCATCCACTGCGACTCGTGTGGCCCTGTTCCCGTTCCCGAAGAGCAGCTCCCCGTCGAGCTCCCCGAAGTCGACGGCCACTGGACCGAGGGCCGCACCGGTAACCCCTTGGACTCGACGCCCGACTTTGTCAACACAACATGCCCCAAGTGTGAGGGCCCTGCCCGCAGAGATACCGACACCATGGATACATTTGTTGACTCGAGCTGGTACTATGCCCGCTTTGCAGACCCTCATAACAAGGAGCAGCTCATCTCGCCCGAAGCGGGCAAGACGCTCCCCGTGGACACATACCTCGGCGGCATCGAGCACGCCATCCTCCATCTCCTCTACGCCCGCTTCATCTACAAGTTCCTCGCCACCACCCATTTACTCCCGCAGTACTCGGAAGAGACCTCGCACTCCGCAGAGCCCTTCAAGCGGCTCATCACCCAGGGCATGGTCCACGGCAAGACATTCATCGACCCGACCAATGGCAAATTCCTCAAGCCCGACGAGGTTGATCTTTCCGACCCCGCCTCGCCTCGCGTTCTGGCCACGGGTGACATCGCAACCATTGCCTACGAGAAGATGTCCAAGTCCAAGTACAACGGCGTCGACCCTACCGAAATCATTGCCCGGTACGGCGCTGATGCCACACGCGCCCACATGCTCTTCCAAGCCCCTGTTGGTGATGTGCTGAACTGGGACGAGGGTAAGATCTCGGGCGTCACTCGTTGGCTCCAGCGGCTGCACGATCAGATCACCGCTTTAGCCAAGGAGACCACCACTGGCGAGACGTCCGCCAAGGACTACCTCATGGCTAAGCACGGGCGGCTCGGCTCGATGGATGCCAAAGAGCTTGCGCAATGGGACGCCGAGACGACCATCTGGAGGGAGGTTCAGCGCGCCATTGCCTCAGTGACGACCTCATACGAGGAAGTCTACTCTCTTAACACGGTCGTGTCCGACCTGATGATCCTCACCAACACCCTCATCAGCAACTCTGCTGCTAGCCCTGCCATCAAGCGCGAGGCTGCCCGCATCATCATCACCATGATGGCGCCCATCACGCCCGCCTACGCCGAGGAGTGCTGGAGCACCCTTTACCCCGGCGACGCCTCCGTCTTCCGGCCGGCGGCGTTCCCCACCCCTGACCCCTCCGTCGCCGAGTTCCTCCGGCCCCGGCACCAGCCATGCGCGGTTCAGATCAACGGCAAGTTGCGCGGCGTAGTAAGCATCCCGCCGCCGCCACCGGAATTACAGGGCGATGCGCTGCGCGACTGGATGGTGGACCAGATCCTCGCGACTGAGGAGGGCGCTGCGCGTTTCGCTGATGGGCCGTACAACCTCCAGTCAGCGAAGCGAGCTATTCCTGTGAGGGGGGGTAAGACGATCAACTTTGTACTTTGAAACTGGCTTGTGAAAAAGTCTATGTTTGCTTGTGTATGAATAGACGTGTATCATAGAATAGATGTACACCTAAAAAGGAGGAAAGAGAAGACAATGAGGATACCCAACTCCAAATGAGAGTCTTTCATCCATCTACCCCACCATGAAGTGATCAGGGGATAACAACTCTGACGTGAGGTCTGCTCTACCCGAACGCCACAACCAAATCCAGAAGGTCTGACAGGTTGGCGCAAATCATTCGGCCATCCATCTTTCCAACGCATCATGACGGATATTGATCAGGGTGACCGACAGTTGAATGTGGATGTAAGTGATGGATGTAGTTGATACGCCAAGCCCGCCCTCCCTTCAGTGACGGCGACCAGGTCCCCCACCACCACGGCCGCTCCGGCCAGCCGAGGACCAGCAAAGCAGGGTTCACCATCCGCAGGGCGAGGTAGCGGTCAGAGACACCCCTTTCTTCACCTCTAGACCAGACTAGTAATTGCTTCTGCATGCTGAGCGACCTTGGGATGGCAATGACGTGGCGCGCAGCCGCTCGTGTGCAGGGAAGACGGCTCGTTAAGGTTTGATATGTGCCAGCAGGCGACAATATGGTAAATCGTGCTCGCCCAATATCCCCAATGTGGGAGTTTCTCCAAATGTGGCGAGCTGTAGACATGGGCGCAGTGGCGAATCTGGGGACTGAAAACACAAGGATTGGAACGGCCTAGACTGCAACAGCAAGAAAGTAGCCAGCCACAGGCAGCCAGCGGCATCTGGCGGCTCGATTGGACGGCTGCTTGCATGTGAACCGCAATAGTTGGGTTTCATGCAGGTGCAAGCCAGTAGCTCGCTCAGCTGAGTCGAAGCCCAGCCTCATTCCGCGACATGATGCGGGGAACGCGATTCGTTGCTTCTTGCGAGCCCTCCCTCCGTAACGTCAAAGGTGGGGGAGGGTTATCGTTGCTTCTGAACCTCTTGTGGTACAATTCTCGACTTGGCTCCATCTCTTGATTAGGGAATCGTGTAAATGCTCAAACAAGTCCACCCCGGTACTCCGGCATGCATAAAAACGCCCAAAATGCAAGCAACATATTCTATCACATAGCCAACTGGTGTACAACGCAGGAAATGACGGTATCAAATGCAAAGTAGAAACACCACTCGGGACTTAGTCTATCCTTCGCTCCTCGTCGGCCAGTAGCCTGTCGTTCTCTGGGTTGCGTCTGGGAGTGGCGTTACGGTACAGGACGTAGTGTTGAGTTATGAAAATGGCATTGTAGATCATGGAGATTTGGCCAAGTGCAAACTTGGCAGGGTTACCAGTGATGCCGCTCCAATCATGCTGGAGGTAGCTATCAATGCCTTGTTGGCCGACGCTGAGGATGCCACCAGTGAGGTCGAGGAGGATCTGCACGATGCTCCAGCCCTCGGTGCTCTTGTTTTTATAGTTGAGAAGCATCTGAGGCATGTATTTGATCAGGGTGATGATGAGTTTGACATAGCCTATGGCGTAGACAATGTCAAGGGTTACCCAGTCGACCAGGGGATCATGTCCGGCGGACGAAGCAACAAGCATGTAGGTAAAAGCGACACCGGTGATGCAGCCGGCGGCGACGCCAAGGATGAAGCGGCTCGGACGGTTGTTTGGGCTCACATTGAAGCCCCAGAGCGGGTAGAGGAGATACTGGGACGATACAACGAGCGAGAGGACGATGCCATGGAGGGCAAAGGTGATGTCGTTGAACTGGACGGTGGGCTCAAGGCCGTGATTCCGGGCGGCATATTGAGCACGGACTTCAGAGGAGTAGTAGAATGCAGCGTTGGAGACAAAGTATGCAAAGAAGCCTGTGACAAGAATGGCATGGTCAGCGATGTCTTCCACGTAAGGAGTAGGGACTGGCAACGGGTCGCGATCCCTTGCGACGGGGAGGTGTGGCAGTGATCCGGTCGCGGCCTACATGTTGTCAGGGGTGTCCCAACAATCATGTCATGGGGGCTAGTAGCCAACAAGGCGTGGGATGGGCGTGGGATGGCTGGGCTGGGCTGGGCTGGGCTGGGCTGAGTGGGAAATAGACGACGTACCGAGAATGTTGATGAAGTGAAAGTCGACGGTGGTTCCCGAGGTGGAGCGCCGGCTCCAGTTGAGCAACCCCTGGGGATAGAAGGAAATGCTCCAGGCGAGGAAATAGACCCAGCCGAAGAGGGCGGAGACGAAAGAGAGGAAGCCGTCGGAGGCCATGGCGGAGAGTGAAATGCGACGGAGGGGGAGCACGCCGAGTATGATGCAGGATGAGAATGTGCGATGCGCGAGGGATGGTGGGAGATCGGGTGACAATGTGCGCAAGCACGCAACCGGATGGGTCCTGCTTGCGGCTGATCGCAGCGCGGGAAGGAACCCAAGACAGGTACATTTCCCGACTGGGAAAGGAGCGGCGCCCAGTCAAGTGCGCCAGCTCGAGCCACACGGTACGTATCTGGTAACTAGTGGGGGTCCTGAGTTGTGGCTGGCCAGGTGCCGAGCGTGGCTGCAGGACCAGTCAAACCGGGTTGATCGATCGGGATGGATGGGTTGGGATTGGATCCACTGAAATCGGATGGCGTCCCTGGCAGCATGATACGGTGACACCTCATGAGGATGGGCGATGATTTCAAGACATCTTTTTCAAAAGGCGGAGGATGAAAGTTCTGGAGTGAAATTTCACGCATGCTGCATCCAAGATGTCGCCCAGGGTGCCTTGATAAGAGTATTGCATTCGCACACAGGTACAACTTGGGTGGCATTTTTACCAAAGCCTCAGTTCAACATACGTGCAGTAAAAGGGTATATTTAGACTAAAAGCTTACCATTAGTAGATATTAAATGAAACCCAATAAATAAAATAATCAGTCATCAAAGTGACGCTTGACGAGCCGTGCCATGTCGCATCCTGGATGCAGTCGTCCCAATGGCCCAGCGGCTGGGGGCGTGTGAGATCGAAACACGGGAAAGAAGAAATGGTCTGGAAGCAAGTGAATCAGAAATGACAAAAACGCAAAGCCGCAGCCGACTACGACAACTACGACGACAAACGGCCGATGTGTTGCAGCAAGTGGAGTTGATGCCAGCCGACCTCGAATCTGAGAGGCCCGCAACGAGGCAGACCCAGACGGAGCAAATTCAAGCAAGACGAGGATCATGGGCAATGGAGCCACTGCTGGTACCCGACGCCGCCAGCCCAGGCCCGGCCAGACCAGACAGCGAAGCTCTCGAACACGTTCCTGAGCCTGGCCTAATAATAATCCATGGCGTATACGCCCTGGCTCTTGCTCGACAGTAAGACGTTAGCGGACGGGAAGTGTCCGAAGCGCACTAGAAAACCTCACCGCAGTGGGACCGTCCCCCTAGCCCCCGGTCCCGGGAGGCCGGGTCCCAAGGTGAAGCAACAAACCAAGTGTCGGTGTCGTACCGCGAAGCATGTATCCATATGAGCGCGCCAGATAATGAAAATAAAAAAAAAAGAGGTCCCAGCTTGAGCAAGAGGCTAGTTGAACCGCAGTGGAGCCTCACATCTGATGGGCTGGCGACTGCGCATGGCAGGGCATCGGAACAGGTCGGATGGCATGATGTTTTTGACTCTGGTTCCTGGTAATTTTCGTTTGTTTTATGATGATGGACACAGTACATATTTGATAGGGGCGGATTATTGGGTGGTCCGTGGAATGACTCTTTCTTTTGCTACCTCAAAGGCGGGAGTTGATGGTTCATGCCGTGTTGCGACCGAATTATCTCCGTTGCGAGAACCGGTCGTGGCTTGTGTTTCCACAGTCAGGCCAGGGAGGGTATTCGGAGTCACACGCGTCAACGGCAATGAATGAGAGCAAAGTACGAGAACAGTTGCATCATATTGCCCAAGAACCCAAGTGACTGACGATATGCGTCTTGACGAACGACCGCGGCGTTGAGCCTCCGCCCCCCTGGACCACAGCCGTCAAGATATTCATGATACCAACCGTGACCCTCACCTTGGCAGGCAAGCGATCGAACGGCGACACCGCTGTTGGCCGCCTCTCACCTCACGTCACCGATCCTCCGATAGTACATACATGCCTCGACCCAAACTATCGGCCCTGGCTCGCACAGAAACTCCACTCTTCCAGGGGCCCTCCCTTGATGGATCCCGGCGGTCGGTCCGGGCGGGCTCGGCACGGTACTTGTCACCTCATTTCTGGAAGTCTGAGAGTGGTCTTCTGGCAGTGGATGGCTCTCACCGTAGGTCGCCGTATCGGCATGGCCCTACGTGCCATCAAACATGGCCGCGTTGGGCAATTAATGGATCTCAACCTTCCAGTCGCGAGGCGGGATTCGGCGCCAGGCCGGGAGGCAGCTTGAGCGCAGCGTCAAAACAGGTCACTACAATCATCAGAACATGTCACTCTTGTTCTCCCACGCCCCTCACCCATCTCTGAAAGGTCCGAATTGTGTCACATTTGGGCCAGCAGCCTCAACCCGCGCCTTCGGGGCATTTGTTGCATTTCCATGTCCCATTTGGCTTCGCCGCCGTCCAATGCCCGTCGCACGACAACCCACCCCGAGTCAGCTTATCTGAGGCTGGGATGGGCGTTTCGCTGGCCCACCCAGACCGCCAAAAGCTGGGAGGCTTTTGGGCTGCTGGGTAAAGGTAGCCATCTACAGTGCCACGCCCAGCCCATTGGACCCATGCGAGGAATCTACCCGTCTTCCCGGCCTCTCTCCTTGCGACTTGCCGGTGTCTGGCCTAGTCGAATTAACGAGAGCCGCCCTGGCCATGGATCCTGCAGCGTGTAGGGACAAAAGGGGGGCGTGTGATGGTATCCATGGCCTCTGCGTCAACCTGCATTTCACACCCTTCACCAATACCGAGAGGCGGTACACGCACTCTCACACACCTTCAGCTTGCGCCCACGGATTTTCTTCGCTAGCTTTGCGCCCACGGATGCCCGCTCGCTTTGATTGCCCACACCCCTTCATATCGAGAAAGCTTGCTGTTGGTTTACCGTCCCGTCCCGATCCAAGGATGCGCTCTGGTTGGTACATGCAGCTGGCTTGACTCGCGCCCCTTGGTGTGTAGTCGGTGGTGTGTGGACGAGACACGAAGTGCTACGTAGTGGCCGATTCGCGTTATCCTTCCTGGTCCCTGGTCCGGATTCCCTGTCGGTTTCCTCGGCCACATTCTTGCTTCTCGATGCGTGTGTGTGCGTTTAGTCAACTTGTATATGAAGCTAGGCCCATCCGCTCTTTTCCATCTGGACTGTTCTTTATATCTTGACCTATCTTCCGTCAATCTATTCATCTGTCTAGACATTCCCCTCATTGCTTGAGCGGATCATCGTCAATCAAGGAAACCATTGTGCATCCATCCACACATAGCAGCGCAACACCACATCAGTTCGCTCTCCCCACACGCACACACGCACACACGCACACATTCATACACATACACAACACACATCAACCCACCAAATATCAATCATCATGGCCGCCGAAACCGCGTCACATCCCACGAGCTTGATGGATCTCCCCGTCGAGATCCGCCTCGAGATCTACCAGCTCCTCTTCCACCTCCCGGCCTTCAACAAGTTCGCCCGCGCCGACGACACCTCGGCCATCGTCCACGCCGGGCTGCTCCTCGCCAACCGCCAAATCAATGCAGAGGCCACGCCGTTCTTGTATTCTGAAAACACTTTTCTCGCACACCCTACGCTGCTTGCTTCATTCCCCCGGCTCCGTGCCCGCTACGGCCCCATCAAGGAGTCGGCAGTGCTGCCCCGCATCCGCCGCTTCCACGTCGAGGTCCGCCTCGACTGCGACCTGCCCTACGACAAGGACGCCGTCACAAAGTCCTTCAGCGGGCTAGATGAGCTGAACATCAACGTCAACCAGAGCATGTACTTGGGCGTGGGTCACCGCAACTTGCACAAGTTTGAGGGCATCCGCGGCGTGAAGCGGGTCCACATTTCCGGGAGCACCACCGGCTTCGAAGAGTACGCCCGGTGGCTCGTGGGCGTCATGCAGAGCGAACCTGGCACCCAATTTGGAGAGTTCAAGGCATCACAATGGGGTTGGTCCGACCGACTCGCCACCGTTCACTACTAAACGTCGACGGCAACTAGTTGTTCTCTTCGTTTCACCGCAAGGGTTTCTTTTTACAAGACCATTTCTTGCTGCTACATTGCATTACATACACATCTTGAGTTTGTCCGACGTTGGACAAGAGAGGGACCAAAAGTAACGAACATGATGAATCTGGATTGAGTTTTGGTGGGATTGGGCTTGGATTGACAGACCGGCGTTGACTGGTCCCGGATGGGAGGACCATCATTCCTAGGCGTTCCTTAGACTGGGCGCATTCCCTGTTGGGAAGGGAATATCACTACATTCTGGCAATGATAATATATAGATAATGGACTACACAAACCTCCCAAAGATTCCTTGGTTTGAAGGGCGCATACAAGAGAAGTGAGACACGATCGGGCACCCATAGCAGGGGAATGCGATAAGAAGTCGTCCGTCTGTGATAACGAATCCATGCGACAGATTATGCAATGCCGTGGCGCACGAGGACGGCAGAGGCTGAACGCACGACGATGCAACACCAGCCACACGTCTCCAGCAGGGCGTATCATTGGCGGCATAATTGTCCCAGCATCTCAACCTGCATTCTCATTCAACAACACAGTTCTCATCTCCTTCTCCCACGAACATACACACACGCACACATACAAAAAGTTCTTATCATATAGGGATTTTTTTTCTATACAAACAAAGCAGCGCCATCATGTCCTTTAATGCCCCAGAAACGCCGGTTCTGATGCAAGTGCAGCGCGGTCCCGGTCGGATGACAGTGTCATTCACTTGCCACCCTCCGTGGTACCCCCTCCTTCATCCATTCCTCTCTTTTCTTTCTCTTTCTCTGGGCTCCCAAAGAACATACAAAAAATATAACAAAAGAAGCTACAAATCAAAAGGATTTCAAGTCAAGTTCGTCCGAGATCCATGTGGCCGTGTCTGGCCGGGTCTAGAGCCGGCCATCAGCCGCGGGCAAGCCGCCGGGTCTTCGCAAGTGGGCTCACTTCACCCCTCATAAGTCGAATAGCCGAACAACCCCGAAAAAGCATGGAACCGTTCCTTTACTGACCACCACCACCGCCCATAATCTTGGGCAGCGATCGCCAGCCGTGCTCGTTTGGCAACTTGACCTTGCCAAAGTCCTCGTCCAGATCCAGGATGACCTTCAGCGCGTTGCGGCTGCGGCCGAAGGGGCTAGAGTCGAGGCTGCCAACGACTGTCGAGGTCGGGATCTGCGACGACTCGGCCGCCTTGCCCGGGTTGGGGAGCAACCTCTGCAGCACATCGTACGCCGCCAGGGTGAAACCGAACTGAGGGGATGATCGGAAGATTCGCGCGGGACCGCCCTTGAAGAAGGCAGTGAAGCCCTCCTCCTTCCAGATGGTCTTGGCGGCGTGTCGCAGGCCGGTGTAGGTCGCCTCGCCCTTGCGGGCCTCGACCTGAAGTCGGGTCTTGATGACATCGCAGGGCGTCGTCAGGTACGCAGCGGGCATACCAGCAATAGCACCGGAGCTCAGAAGCTGCAGAACACCCAGCCTGTGGGTCTCCGACTCGCCGAAGAAGTCCTTCTTCAAGTGGCTATACGCGGGGAAGAAGATGGCGGAGAAAGGGACATCACGGAGCAAGCACGCCGAAGCGCCCTTGTACAGACCGACGAGGCCCAGGTTTTTTACGATCCACATGGCCGATCGCTTGGGGGTGCCCTCAACCGACTTGGCGACCTCACCTTGCACCTGCAGGCGAATCTTGACAATCTCGAGAGGGTTGGTGAAGACCTGGCGCATCGTGTTAGTTTTCGGCAATTCTCACTCAGTTGCTTGGAAACAAGGAAACTTACAACTTGGCAGGCACCAGCACTACCACCGGCGACCATCTCAGCCCACACAGGAATCTTGCCGTCCTTGTCGGAAAGGAAACCACGAGCCAGGTCGTTGACAGTCAGCTTAATAGCCTTCTCAGGAGCGACACCGACGAGTTGGGGCAGAACACCCGAGTACAGGCCGCGGAAACCCTCGTTGCGGATAACTTTTTGGAAGCAGTCCAGGGAGTTGTTGTACAGGCGCTGACCGGGCTGGGCGCCTCCTCGCTGGTTCTGGAGTCGGGTCTTGACGAGATCGATGGGGTACACCATGAAGGCGCCAAAGGCACCAGCAACACTGCCAAGGGCAAAGTTGTACGAAGAGGTGATGATGCCGTTGATGATGGAGGAGCCAGCAGCAGCCTTCGCCTTGACGGCGCCCTCAACGGCATCATAAATGGGGTTCCGCCACGAAGGGTCGAGGACCTTGGCAAAGTCGGACAGACCCAGGCGACCTGAGGTCTCGTTGAGGCCGGCAAAGTGGAAGAGGATGTCAGCCTCCATGGGGGTGAAGAGGGAGAAGCGGGTGATCTTGGCGGCCTCGTTGAGGAACTCGGGACGGGTAATCTTGCCGTCGCCGCTGTTGTCAATGGCGCGGCGCAAGATCAACTCGACGAGGTCCATCTCTCCGATGACATTACGGAAGGCACGGACGTTGGCGTAAGAGATCTTGCTACCAGCAGAGATGTTGCACAGGGTGTGCAGGTTCTCGAGGATGTGGTCGGACAACTTGTGACTTGAGGTCTCGACAATGATGCGCTCAAAGTCCTCGGGGTTGATGTAGCCATCGCCGTCCTTGTCGAAGCGCTGGAAGGCCTGGCGGATGCGCTCGCCTTGGAGTCCGCGCAGCATCTGGGTGAACTGGGGGTAGTCGAGAGAGTGGCGGTTCTTCTTGCTGCCAATGTAGAGCCTGGCCCACTCGGACTCCCAGTCGAAGGGGATGTTGTCGGGGCCCTTGTTAAGTTCGTACAGGGTGCGGAAGTCATCATACTGGATGCGGCCGGTGCGCTCGACATCAAAGAGGCGGAACGCGATCTCGTACTCGGCGTCGGGCTTGGACAGGAGGTTCTCGAAGATACCCCAGTCGTTGAGGCTCACCTTGCCGGTGCCCTTGGTGTCGGCGACACGGAAGAGGATAGAGTATTGTTCGCGGGTGATCTTGTGCTGTACGGCAGAAGGACCATGGTCAGTCGACATGCGCAAACTGGGGCGGCGCTTGAGGGGGGCCGGGTTGACTCACAAAGTCCTCGCCCTTGGGGACGACGGCAGCGACGAACTCGTCAAGGCCCAGGAAGAGCTCGCCGGACTCATCCTTAACAGCATGCGAGGTGAAGCGCTGCTTGGTCTGAGGTGACACCTCGACGACGGGCTCAGTGGTGCCGAGGACGGCCTCCTTGACGGCCTCCTTGGCCACGGCGGCGGCGGACATGTTTAGGATCGGCCTCGGAGACGACTCGGAGGCGAGGGAATTCGGAGTCGGAAGGGGGGATTCGCGATTGACGACCGGGAAGGGCGATCCGATCAGGGACGAGGCGGGCGACCAGGTTGGTTGAGATCGTTGAAGTCGGCGGTGGTCTGAGGACCCGGGTGGAGGTTGAAGGGATAGTCAAAGAGAAGTGGAGGGGGGTAAGTCTCTATAACAGTGGAACGAAACACAAGGCCAAGAGAAAAGAAAATGCCCAGGGGAGAGAGGGCTGCGACGAGACAGAACAGAGTCGGCCACACACGCAGATGTCTAGGAGGGTATCTGGGGAGGAAAGGGGTAAACAAGGGAAGAGGGAGAGTGAGAGAGAGAAAGAGTCCAGACAGGCGAGAGAAATGCGTCAATTGGAAACCCGCGAGCCTGAGTCTGAAGGTCGAGGTCGAAATGTGAGGAGCGGCGAAGCGGCGAGCCAGCAAGATTTTGGCATAAATTTGCTATCGGGGCCGGTGGTTGGCCCGGGGTGGAGGCTTTTTGGGGTCCTGGAGGGGACCTGGAAGGTACTTCGCTCAGAGAGTGACCTAGGGCGCCACCCGGGGGGTTAGGGGGGGCGTGGGCCAGTGGACATAGTGGGCGTGGGCGGCGTGCGGCGGTCAAGCGAGCGAAAACCGGACCAGCGGCGGGCGGACGGACATACGTTGAACCGCTGGAGGCGCGCTGAATCTTGTCCATTTAGTGGACCTGGGGGGCGCTACGGGCTACCTCATGGCACCCGTGGACAGCTGACAGCCCTAACATGCTTGGATTTCCTTTTATTTCCTCCTTTTAGTCAGGGCGGCGCCGACCTTTGTCAGGCTGAGAGTGGCTGCTGTACTATGCATCTCAACCACGACCACCACAACCATGACGAACGCCCGCCTCTGCTGTGTGGTGCGGCAGTCAGCGCGGGCGTGCAAAGGGAAACAAGGGTCGTCCGTCCGCCATGTCGCCGGCGACCCCCCCAGCCGTCTCCACGTGCGGAGGGGCGCGTCCCTAGTTTCCTCGAGCATACAGTACTACATGCAGCAAGCACCAAGCACCGACAAGGCCAAAGGTGGAGGGTCAAGCGGACAGCGAGAGTGGACATGGGATCGGGATTATATGGGCGCGTGAGCGTGGGAGAGGTGAGCGAGAGAGTGAGCGAGAGAGAGTCATATGCAGCGCGCATGGCGGATGATGGCGGATGACTACGGATGACTACGTAGTATGAGTGGGATGATGGATGAATGTGGATGGAGCTGGGCAAGGGGCCATGGGCATGGGCATACGGAGCGCAACCGCACCCAGCCTGACTACTCCAACATCCCGTTATGCCAGACGCAAGATGCGATACAGTACCATCCATCCATCCTTCCTTCCTTCCTTCCATCCTTCTAACTGTATCGTGGCGGACCAATGCACTGATGCCGTCGGCGCATACCGATGCTCCATCTAACACAGATCTCCCAGCAGCCACCTTTCTTTTTTTAACAACTGTCTTTCCGCTGGCAGTAGGAATCCCGGGACCCGCAACCTCCCTAACTCATGTACTTCGTACGTCCGTCCGTACCTATGGATCTGCAACTGCCCTCCCTCACCACCGGCATCACCACCGAGCCGGCCCTGGGGGGGGGGGGGGGGGGGGGGGGGGTTCGCCATAGGGAGTGGCAGGAGGAAGCGCGAAAGGGACGGACCCGCAAAGCCGGAGTTTCGGAGGAGCATGCGCGCACATCCACTTCTTTCTCTCCTCTCTCTACAGATCCCACTCTCTCCCACGGGCCGCTCGCTCTCCAACAGCTCGTCCTGGAGCTAAGCTATTGTAAGTGACCTACCAGAACAAGGAAGGGCACAAATACCCGTCAAGGTGAGGTAATACAATTTGCTGGCCGGGGGTGTGTTTTGTGTTTTAGCCATGAGTGGCGCGCGTTCGTGAGCCCCATCGCTACGCCATCCATATGCCCATCTCCCATCCCGCTTCAGCGGCAGCTATTCCTGTCTCGTCATTTGAGGTCTCATAGTCGGTACTCCGGTTGTACACAACGTGGAGCCAGAGAATGGTGGAAAGCTGACCGCTGCCACTTGCCCTAATGACACTGTCACAATCTCGTTGGAATTTTTTGGTTCCCTGAGACGCGATTTTCCATTCCCTCTCTTTTCGTCTTCCTCTCTCCTGTCTCTCCTCACAACTGCGCGAAATAAAACATATCAAGAGAGCCAACTCCCTCCTTCTCAGCTGACAGCCCGCCAGCCCTGACTCTCACCCACCCCGGCGGCGGGCGGCTGAGACAGGGCCAGGCGGCGCGTCCTATCATCTTGTTGTCCTGCACAGTTTCCGCTGGGCCGTAGCGCCCCGAGCCTCTGAGCCTTAGCGCAGGTCGCCTGCAAGTACCTCCTCCTTGTAGGACCCTCTTCCAGCGCGTATTCCAGTGGCTTCTCGTCCGCTCCGGACTGGTCGCCGTGTATGATCGCCAGGAGGGGCAATCTGTAGCGTAGCGCAATAGCGGCCACCCCAGAGTCCCGTCATCTCCAGGTTTACAGAGGGTCCACGAGACGAGGCACACGAGGGATGGCCACACCGAAGCCCGGGCCACGGGGGAGCGCTGGAATTGGCAGAAGGCGCACGGATCGAGGTATCATGGATGTATCAGCGCCCACCTTGTCTGCCGCGTGCCGTTTCCAGATTTTGTCCCCCTGGCCATTTGAGATCCTGGCAAATGGCAGATGGCAGATGGACAATGGCACACAGTAATTGCAAGACAAGGGGCCAAAGCTGCCGGGGGGTGCGGACTGCTCAACTCCATTGAAAGCTACAGCTATCCGCAATCCGCAATTCGCAATCCATAAATCCGCATCGCAACCGCACCGCTCACAGCCAAGTACGCAGTACCTAATGCCTCTTTCGCTGATCCTCTGCAATCCCCTTCGCGAAATTAGTGATACCCACACCCCCTCTCGCTCCGCGGGGAGTCCCCAGGATCCCTTTTTTCTTGGCGCCAGAGCTCCGGAGGGCCGGAAATTCCCGGTCACGGACCAGCACCAGCTGCCGCCGTTGATCGAGCAGGTGAGCGGCGCGGGGAGGAGGGGGAAAAGGGAAAGGGAAACGCGGAGGAGCTGGAGGGAGGGAGAATGGGGGCGCCCCGTTTTACTCCAGAAGCCCGGAACGAAGCTTGGGCTTCAAACATTACATCGGACGCACAGGTGAAGCGCGGGATGAAGAATAGAGGCAGGCATTGGCGCTGGCATGGTGGGGAAAATCGGGGAGGGTAGGGTGTAGGGATTCTGGATATGTTCTAGATCTCGGGGCGCCGCGGAGAGCTCATTCTGCTCTGGAGAGCCACTATGGACTACCTACGTACTACGCGGGATGTACGGCGCTACAGCAATACAACGCGGTCACGCACGACGGAGCAGTCCCGGGACACGGCGTTGGCTTGAGATTGCCGTGCATGACGACTTCACCACGGGCCTGTCCCGTCCCGTAACGCGCTGTCAACAACGGGTCTATCGCGGAAAAAGCAACAGCCTCGTCCTCGCCATGGGGCCGGAAAAGCCTCGCCCGAACCATTGACGCTCTCACGGTGCCTTCTCCTTCTCCTTCTCCTTCTCCATGCTCAGACATCAGGACTGGAGGGGTGCGTGGAACCGGCCGGACAGGGCTTCCAGGGGCCTTGCACTAGCCCTGCTAGCCCTGCCAACACTTGGCCCTGGCTTAACGCTTCCCACGCGGTACATCCAAGGTACATGCGCTGTACGGCTCCGTCCCCCGTGCCTGTGCCCGTGCCCGTGCCATGTGTGCGACGGCGTCCGCGATCCTGTGGATGAATGCGCATGGCATGTGCCTCTAAGCACTGCTCATCTGCGTTGCTCCATATGCTGTGTTCCGTATGCTGTGGTGTGTTGTGTTGTGCTGCGCTGCGCTGCGCTTTGCTGCCTTGTTTTCTTTTGGTTGTGTTCTCTGCTGGACGAAGACGATGATAATACAGCGTTACTACCTAGGTACCAAGGTAAGTACTCAGCCAAACTTCAACCACTCATCCGAATTGCGATTGCGCCACCCACATCCCGAGATAGGAGCTGCTGCAAGTGCAATTGATACATTTCATTGGAGCTCCGGCACGACAACGTCTTTTGTAAAAAGAAATGCAATATGGCCCAGTTGAGATGGGTCGGGATTATATATCATACACATCTAGAACCTCGCCCCTCGCCCCTCCCAGCAAGTCCTGCGAAAAGAAAGCGGCGGTCCTAGTCTTCACTGTTGGTGCGGTTGTAATGGTGGTGGTGGCTTGCTTCCGCTGCCACCCATTCCAGCACAATCCCTCGTACATCTGTGATTGTTGATTCAATTGATTGATTAATCCCATCTATGCCCGCCCTTTCCGGGCAGCTCAGGCCAACCCAAAACCGAGACCAAACCAGACCCCCTGTCCCCACCCCCACGGTCCCTGTCCCTGATCCATCCATCTCCCGGGTCGCAATCCATCGCACATCTGACTGTCCCTGCACCGCACCTCCTGCAAGAGCAGCATGGCGGTGGTAGCCGCAGTTGTGGTGGGTGTGTGCGTGAGTGTGGGTGGTATGGTGGGATGGTGATTGCGATTCCCGCAACGCCGAATTCCGAACACACACAATAATCCAGCCAGTAAAGTAAAAGTGAGATAACGCAGAAAAACCTTTGCAGTCGTGATCCTCGTAACGGTCATCCAGAGTCGTAATACAGGTCCCTCTTCCCATTCCTGGTTAGCTGGACTGGCCGAACAGGAAGAGGGCCCGCTGTTGTTGCTGATGTCTTGTTGCTTTTTGACGTCCTTGCTCCGAGTTAAGTCCAGCCCGTCCAATCCACCCGCAGGTGATTATTAAAAAGTTGTTGTCAAACAGAAGCGCCCTCAAGTGAGGACTAAGGCGAAAGGCGTAAAGCCTAGAGGCGGCAGAGCGCAAAACGAGGCTGGGTGGCTAGGCCTCGTCGGCTCCGTTTCCCGGGCCGGTGTTAGCCAGCGACCCCGCGGTGAACAAAAACACGTCCCGGGCCGGTGTCCAAGGCCACCCCACGGTGAGCCCCGATGGGTGACGGCATCGGCAACGGCAGGGACACAAAACCAACTCAGACACACAATATACAGTCGTGATAAGCTCTTGCAGGCGCCACGCAGGCCGTCCCTGCAAATCGAACATGCGCATCGCCGTTGTCAACCGCAACGCGCCGGCGGCGTCCTTGCCTCGGTCTTGCTCAACCCTCAATAGGCACGAGTTGGCCTTGCGAAGCGTACTGCACCTCGGCACTGCTCTCGCGATACGAGTCTTGCGACGACAACCGACGGACCGGCGATGACTGATGAGGCAGCGTAAAGCCGGCATCGAGCGCGCTCTGTACGAGCAGCGACGCCTCCTTAAATCGTCGCTCGGCATACTTCTCGAACACTGCCGCGTGGTGGAGATGGGGCCGGTCGCAGCACTCAATCATCATGGTGACGAGCGACTTCAATTGGCTCCATGAGTATCCGGAGTAGTGCACGTGTGCTTTGCTCTATTGAATTGTTAGTCAAAATGTCTCACAATGCCAATCATCGATTCCAACTTACCCAATCGCCCTTGTTCAGAATGAGTCGCGACAAGCAGTGCGCGCCTGCAGCGAGGAAGCTGGGTGGCGAGGCCACGAACCGCTCATCCATGATGGTCAACTCGAGGAAGTACTTGGCGAGCGTGCGCGTCTCGAGATCGTAGTCGTCTGCCTTGCTCACGCGCCGCAGAAAGCTCATCGGACCAGGCCAGCCCAGCTCGAAGTTAAGCATGCTAAGCATGAACCGCTCCGCCTTGAGCACCTCGTCGGCCGTATATCCGTTGTCGACCATATATACGATCTCCTGCAGGGAAGGGCAGTTGATCTCTTCATATTTCGACGCCACCAAGATTGCTGTCGCGCCGACCAGCTGTAGTTTGCCGATCGAGACGATCTTGGCGGAGAGAAATCGGTCGATGTAATTGACCGTCAAGAATAGTGTCTCAGGGAGCAGGCCAAAACGGTTGTGTACCTGAACCAACCAATCCATAAGCACCGATCGCATCGACCACTGAATCTCAGTTTGAATATCCATGTAGTGGGGATTGGGAAGCATCTTGATCTATACCCGCAGTCAGTACACATTCACACACAACACGGGTAAGTCGCGTACCTCAAGTTCCCGCATGTACTCAAAAATATCGTCGCCATACTCGGCAACCATGCTCACGTCCCAGAGCTCCTCTTCGATGTCGTCCTGGGTGCGAGTTCTCTCAACTTCCAGCTTGGCTTCCTCGAGCTCACGTTGCACACGAGCGGTGACACGGGGTGGCACAACGGTAGTGACACCAGCAGTCAGGTCGCGGGAACGGAATGAGTGCGCAGTCGTGTATGCCTGGTCCTGGTCGTCAAAGTCCTCATCATCTTCCTCATCCCAGCACTCCTCGGGCTCGGACATGGCAGGAAGGGCGGCGCCTTGGTACGCGGCGGGAACCGCGGCTTCTTCCTCGGTAATCTCGGGGAGCTTTACAGACAGCTCCACGTAGTCTGCTGGATGATTCACCTCCAGGCGGGCTTCTTGGTCGGCGCCAATATAAAGGGAGTCAAGGTAAGCAGCGTGAGTGTGTGCGTAGTCAACCTCCTGCAAGGCCATGGCGGCCGCCTCGGCGTCTTCGTTCGATGCTTCGATGAGATCTTCCTTGGCCACAATTGTCTCCAGTTGCTTGCTCTGAGTTCGTCGAAGTGTAGGTTGGTGTTGCTTCAGTTGGGGTTGGCTCTTGTGATGGCGAGGTTGTAGAGGGCGTGCGTCGATAGTTGTAGATGTGGCGTGTGAGGTTTTGACCTGGGTATCTTTTTTAACATAAGAAGGGCGGTTCTCCTGGGAGTCGTTGCGAACAGCCTTCTTGTTCGCCTCGGAGACCTTAGACTCAAGGCCACCCTTCGAGTTCGCGGCGAAGCCACCGACAGATCTTTGAGCCGGACGGTTGAAGGCATCTTTTGTGTGAGCAAGAACATTTTCCTTGTTCACTGGGATAGCGGCAAGCGCTGTACTTGTGTTGGCGTACACCTTGAGCACCTTGCCCTCGTCGCGCCCGTGACCAACATGCTTGCTGAGGTTAGTCACGTCGCCAAAGGCAGCTCGCTTGGCAGGGCCGCGGAAGCCGGCATTTGAGGCCGAAGTCATCGTCGACAGGTTTCCCATAGACTTGTGTCGTTGATGTAGCTGGGGGGCGTTCTCAGCGCCGCGCGGTCGGAAGGGCTGCGAGCACAACATCAGTACAGGATCGCATAAGCAAACTCAGGAGTTGAAGGGAGGGTCGTGGATCAAAGACGTGTAAAACAAAGAAAACGCGCCACGGCGCCAGAATCAACATACCCTTGCGTCCATAGTGAAAAAAAAGCTGCTGTTAGTCTGTATGACGCTGGAGAAGTTGATAACACGCGATTGGAACTCGATGTTCGAGCGCCGGGACAAAACACGTCGTCGGGGGTGTTGGTGACGAAGGCGCGTCGCAATATCATGTACAGGTGACGATTGTACACGGCAGAGTCTTGAAATCAGCTGAAGAGACAGAGCGAGCACGACGCGATGATCTCGAACAGGCTCAGACGAGCTGATGACGAGCGACCGAGGGTGCTTTTTCCTTCTGAGTCTCTTCTGATGATGAATGGCCGTGTTTGGAGAGGGAAGTAGCCCGGGAGATTCGATGGCGTTGGCGGGAAAGGGGTGTTATTTCGGCACGGGTGGGCTTTGACCAGGAAGGACGGCCAGGGATTGATGGACGGTGCCTAGTGCGATGGTGCTGGACAACGGAGAGATTCGTGACCCGGCCGCAAGAAGAGGTTGAAGATGTTTGGGGAAGGAGTGGGAGGTGAAGGAAATCGAAGGCGACTCTGGATGCGAAGGGAGGAAAATAAACCACAGGAGCTCAGTCGTCAATGCTGCCTTGGCTGCAGCGTCGCCGTAACTGTGCAACGGGCAACCAGCGAGCAACGGGCAACGGCTGGCCCTGCGGCAGGTTCGCGGTGGCTTGATGGGGCCTGCCTCTGCGGCCTGGGGGGACGACTCCACTTTTCCGCCCGTCTGGGAGATTGTTTGTTTGTTTATGCAGCAGCTTTCTGCACAGATTAGGCGCCTTAGCGCAGGGAGACCTCAGCCCACCCGCGCTTCGCTTTGCAGGCATGTTGTGCACGGGCCGTCCCTTGGCTGGTGCGCACATTTCTGCTGGTCGTCCCGGAGATGACGGACTATGACGAGCTACGACGGGCCATGACGGCTATTGTGCGGATTTGCCCAGATTAGAACCCGCTAGTCCTGTTTGGGCTATCGCCAATCGCTGCCGCGTCTCACGGCGATTGATTTTCAGCATGGAATTTCGATCACGACCTTCTGGAAGACGCAGAAGCGGCTGCGGCATCGCAAAATATCTGGTGTTGATATCTTTGTTTACTTACGTCCTATATGCCACCGTTTTAAGCTTCATGCGCCGCGTATTCCGTCGTTCATGCATCATCTTGTCAACCTTGTCCGACCGCGTCGGTCCGACCCCCTGCCGCACACGAAGTAACCGCGCCATCACGTGACGCTTCCCTACCCTATGAGCGACTCCAACTCCATGACGAACGAAGGTGCCTGGGATGCCAACGTGTTGCCGAGACCCCGTCGCAGACAAATGATAAAGGGAACTTTGCCAACCCGTTGTCTTCCGACACCCCCGAGACATTGAAGTCTCTCGCGCTGGAGGGCTGATCGTGGCCCAATCCGGGAGATGCTGCCACCGCACGCGCCTGGCCCTTGCTCACCAACCCAAGGCCGAGACCAGATTAGGACCAGTAGTTTCATCTCACAACCTCTCACGGTGAACGAGAGGAACCGCTTTGCCAGCAATGGTTCATCGGGAGGGGCCTATCGTTTCTACATACCTATGTAGTGCACCATACTCCAGCAGCAATTCGCGAGATCGTCAAGGACGGGGCCAGGGACAAATCAGTCCGGGGCTGCGAACACCAGGGCCAATCCACCCGTTCGGGGTGGATGGCATCGCCCCTCCTCAACCCGCCACGCAAGCTGCACTAAACCCACGTCTACGCCACCATTTCTGGCTTCCCACCTGGGCCACGCTGCTACACCGTCGGAGTCATCCAATTTCAACGGGGCACCGTTTTTCCCGAGTTCCCCGATGCATTGTGTTCACTACCGCATGCCCCATCGTGGCCGGGCTGGGGTGCGCGCACATTGAGCATCGAGAAATCGGGTTTGCGCATCGCGCAACGATCCGGCCCAACCCGCTGCTATCAAGGTGAAAAGCCCTACTAGCGCAGGCAACATAACCTCGCAGGGTCGTGTGCGCAAAGGGCTAGAATCTGAACGACATATGCGACTCTCTCTTGCGGTCCGGCGCATTCCCAACCAGCCTGTGCCAAAGTTCTTTGACGGGCAAGTAGAGAATCGCTTCAGCCTTGCGACTCCTTTGCTTTACGTGTGCGACTTCCCGGAACCCTATCATTCCGTCACCAAACTATTCGACACCAACGTCTGCAAGGGAGGCCGGTGGTGTGGTCACTCAATGTGTGTGAATGGTAAGCTTTCGCATCAAATCTCGCCGAGATGCGACGGATTGCGCGGGAACCAACGGGTGTCGATTGTTGTGGATTCGTTCGGCGCATCGACACAATCTAGCGACCGCCACCATGCCAGGCATGCCCATGGCATACGCCTTGACGAGATATGAGGCAATAGAGCGCAATCTCGCAACTGGCCTGGGCGCAATCGGCTTTTGACACCCTGAATCGCAGTGACAAAGAGGTCGTACTCGCACACCACGTAAAGCCATGACCTGTCTTGACGGCCTTGCATTTCCAGGCCAAGCCCTCTCCAGTCTGCCGTACATGGGCACACACCGTAACTTGACTGCGCTAAGCATGCCATTGGAAGACGGCAGCGCGACCCAGATGGCATTACTGGGGCCCTGCTGGCCAGGGCCCGGCGCAAATCATGAGTCGTCTGAACTCGCCCTCAACGGTCAACGGCCAACATGGGACACGCACACATCGTGGACGCATGCGAAAAAGGCTGATGGAGGTGAAGCGACCGCCCGGGCAGCTTTGGCTGGGCTGCGATGGACGCTGATTCGTGCGACGCGGCCCTTGCTGTCGCATTTTGTTGTTCACCCTTTTGCGCCAGCGCATCCAACATGGACGGAGCGGGGCGGCGGTGACAGCGCGCAAGCGTCATGCTCGATGGGCGCATCGCATGCCATGGGGACATCCCACGGGCGCATCTCTTTGGACGGTGCAATTCTCCTTGGGCAGCGCAAAGGCACCGCAGTATCAATGTGGCCATGGGTCCCCTCGCCCGACCCGTACAAATCGTTTGAGGCCCGGTCTCAAGTCCGATCCCCCAAAAGCCAAATGTGGCGAGCTGCAACGTCTGCCGATACCTTGCCTATCCGGTGCTTCCAGATCCAATGCAGGGATATGACGAGTAAACTGGGGATTGGCAGAACAGCATGAGCATAATGGAGAAGGGAATGCTTGAATAGACTGTTCGAGCTACGCATCCCGACCCAAAAGGTCCCCAAAGGCTGTCCAACCATCCATCCCATGGACGATCATGGGTCCGCAGCTTCTGGACTCACGCTGAAACATTAGGAAGGCCAGCGATGCGGCCAAGCTCCATTCTCCATTTCCCATTTCTCTGCCTTGATAACGGGCAGCCAGTCGAGCAGAAGAAACCACTGCTGACTTTGATTGTCCGGACGTATTAACGTGAAACCAGCGCGACCTTGAAGGAACAAAGAGGAACCAGGTCCGGGTTCCCAGACGTCGGGGCAAGCTTACGAGTTGGGGAGGAGGGAGTTGAAGGGAGGGGCGTAAAAGTTGAATTGGACGTCCCTTTGCCGTCCTGGTATCGCCGTCTCCTCTTGGCCCCTCTTGGATGTTACCTTCTCTCGAGGTCATACGCTGGTCTATTCGGGAGCGTTCCACTTGTCTCGGGGAGTCTTAATCGCATGGTCAACATGGCCGTCGTCGGCATCTCAAGGCGACGAATACGCCGTCATGAGAGCGTCGCAGAGACAACAGTAAAAAGTATGGCGCAACATGGATATGACGCCCATCCGCCAATCCGTCATCTCGTTCAGCCAGTCAGACGGCGAATCAATCCAATCTACAAGTATCCGTACATCCCACCATGACATGCTCCCAGTGACGGTTCATTGGCGCACGCTCAAAGCAAAGCATTTATTATTATTCCCTCCAGATCGCCGGTTCCCCTCGAGGCCCTGCACCAGGAAGCGGGCGTCTTCAGGACTGGCTGGGCTGACCACGGCTTTCGCACGATTGGCTGTTGGCGACTGGTTCTCGTGAAAGAACCACGGAACCACGCACCAGCGAGAGAGCTGAACACCGAATTCTTTGTCCATGACGCCGCGCTTGTCAAATCTATTGCCGCCGGGCTCGGTCTCCTTCCGTTTGTCGATGCTCGGGGTGAGGGGCCAGGAGCCATTGGGACCAGAAAGCGCCAGGTTTCACGGTCTCTCAAGCTCCAAGTCGCAGGCCGAGTCGACGGCCAGACCAGACCCAGTTTGCGATTGTGCGCCCACGGAGCCCCGGAGGTTACCCAGACTGGCTGGGGCTGGGCTGTTGCCAAGGTTCTCGCAAGCCATTGGTGTGTGCGCGCGCGTGTGTGTGTGTGTGTGTGTGTGTGTGTGTTTGTGCGTGGTGTGCGTAGTGTGCGTAGTGTGCGTGTGGATGAAGTGCGTGTGGATGTGCGATGTGGATGTGTCAGGACCCGGAACAAGACGTCGCAGCGGCGCCTGCAGGCCACCAGGTGCGCATCGCAGCGTGCCTGCTGCTGCTCGTGCTGCCGCTCTTTGTGCGTGTGCCATTCCCAGTTTTCGTAGCTGCTTGAGCTAACGGGAACCATCTCAACCCATTGTTTATCAGCTCCACCGCACATTGCACCGCACCTGCGCCAGCATCGATAGAGTGAAGACAGAAGCAGGGTCGACATGCAACCGCCTCGACGGCTTGGAGTCTTGGGCGCAGCACGACGAACGAGAGAAGAGAACGGATGCTGGAGGGGCTGGGGCGGGCCACGGTTGTTGGCCGCTGGGCGCCGGCGCCTAGCCGAACTAGGGTCTTTGGGAGACAGACCAGATGTCGCTAGCAGATGGATCGCAGGCGGTCACTTGGACTGGACTGGCGGACGTCAATGGCGTGGCAGAATTCATCCATGAGGAGCCCTTGCTCTCGTGCGTGTGCCTTTGGGGGCGGGTCGGTTCCCCGTTCGGAGAGGACGAGTGACGGGAGTTTGAGGAGAAGACATTGACAGTCTGTCGCAAAGTCGGCTCCCCTATCCGTCGCCCTCCGTCCGTCTGTCTTTTCGTCTGTTCGTGCCGGCATCTCTCTGCGCTGTGCAACGGGACGACAGATGAGGAACGAATGGGCATATGAATCCAGTTTCTGTTGCGTTGCACCCACCACCATGCCATCATCTGGGCCCATCATCGCCGTATAAAAGTACGTAGCATGCGCTGCTGCCGGGGATCGACAATGACTACCGGCCCTTGCCCAGCTTCCCCCCCTTGGGCCGCCCGGCCAGGTTCAAGCCTGTGACGAGCGAGGCCATCCCATGTGCGCGCCCAGAGGCCTGGCTGGCTGGCTGGCTGGCCCTCGTTCTGGCTCCTCTCTGGCGCACCGCACAGAACCCACATTCGCACCGCACCGCTCCCGCACCTGCGCACCCGCACTTGGGGCGAGACGGGAGGAGCAAGTTAGAATGCGCCCGGCAAAGGACGAGCGGCCCAGAAGTAGGGTTGGAAAGGCGGTATTCGCACACACCCATCCCAGCTCAGGTTTTTGCTCTTGAGCACTTGGCTTGGTCACTATGCGAAGGTTTGAGATTCATAAGGATGGAAGATTACGAGTCGCCTGTAAGATCAAAGGGTCCGCTGGAGTCGCAGAGCACCTTCAGTGGCAAGAACCCCAGCAGCAATCCCTGGCGGCCGCAAGTGAGACGCCGTGCCCTACCCACTGCGCCCACTGAGCGCGTGCCCTGGAACCCGCTACCGCCCAGCACTCATCGCCCTGTAATGATAGCGCATATTGCACTGTGGCCCACCGCCTCAGGGGCATCCGTAGGCGGCAGCGCTCGGTGGGCGGCCCTGGGCCAGGGCAATTTTGAGACGGTCTAGGTAAGGCAGTAAGGGCCAGCCAGCGAGCGCCAGGCGAAGTCCAGGCCAGTCCGTGTTAGTGAGCCCAGTTCGGCGGACAAAATCGATCATCCTCTGGCCTGGGCTCCTCTTTTCCTCGTTCACACCTCTGTTCAGCAACCTCGCCGCCACCACCTCCTCAACCCAACTCTCGTCGTCTCTGGTGAGTCCCATCGACTGGAACATGATGCGCGATCCGCCTCGAGCCCCAATCTTGCCTCCCCAGATGTCCCCTTTCCATCCCGAGCACCAGAGCCCTCGTCCCCGTCCCCAGTCCCCGTCTGCAGCCAGCGACAGTCTGCCCCCGGCGCTGCCTCTGCCCAGCCCTCGCTGGGGATCTCAACTCATCGCCATCACGCCTCGAGTCCTGTATTAGACTCTCTTGCAGTTGCTAATCCGCCCCGAGCCCGTCGTTAGGTCCTCTCCTCGCCGCCGCTCTCGTTCCCGCCGTCCGCCGTCCCCGTCGTCGTCACCCGCTGCGCAGACATACCGCCAGCCAGCCCTGAGAACACAACCACCACTTCGGCGCTTACCGCCAACACCCCGGATGGTGATACGGCTATCCAAGTCTCTTCGATAGCCCGGCTTCATACACAGATCTTCGCATCGCCTCTTCTCTCTGGCCGCTGGCCGCAGACGAGATTGTCGAGCGTCCTGTTGAGTGACACTGCCGCCACAGGGTCCGGCTTGGTCTGCCCCAGCCAAAGGCCGCACCCGCCGTTTCCCAACCATCCCCCTACCTCTTCCTCTCTATCCACCACGCCTTCTTCCATCGAAACACACAAACATCCCTTCTCCCGACACAATGGCCTCGATGTCGCCCATCAACACCGCTACCGGTGGCTCGGGGGCATCCTCGAGCGGGGGCAGCGCCTCGCCCCAGCAGACTGCCACCCCCAAGAACGTCGCATTCGAGCTCCTCTTTCTTGACTCCCCTCAATATCGTGCGCGCTTGCCCATGCGAGTACAAATATACCCTCACGATACGACGGACTCGATTGTGACCACTGTCAAGAATTTCTACGGTCTGTACTCGGGCCCGACCGGGTCAAAGGGAGTCAGCTTTGAGGATGAGCACGGCAACACCCTCATTGCCCGATATGAGAACTTCCGCAATAACATGGTCGTCTACGTCCGAGTTATTGAAGAGCCGCCGGCGAACCCTGCTGCTTTTGTTCCTCATCCTTTCCATCCTGGCCCGGTCAGTGTGCCAGGATTCTACGCTGGCGACGGTTATCCCGGCCATCAACCCCAGCGCTTTGCGCAAGACATCTCCAGGCCCAGCTCCCGCTCATCTCGGAGACGCAGCCCATCCCCCAACACTGCCCGGGGCCGAAGAAGCGTGTCTGCCAGTACTTCTAGCAAGAATGCCCGCTCTCGGTCTGCCAAAAACCGGGTCTCGGCGGCCCGAAGCCATGCCGATAACTACAGTGACAGCATGAATGGATATAGCAGTGGTGATGGTGCAGGAAGTTCAACTTCCGGCAAGAACAAGGAGCAGCTTGGCAACACTGATATCAGCGTCGAGAATATTGTCGAGGGTGGCCGCCGAAAGAGAGCCAAATTCGAAAGCTCGGTAAGTGGAGACTCGCTAGAGACTCACATCTGGCGGGATACTAACTGCGTCCTCGCAACAGGAATTGCCCCTGTTTGCGCCGCCTCAGATGCCGGCAGCTACCTCGAATCCGTCTGTCTCACCCGCTCGTCGAGTCGAACCTCACCGACCCGCGATGCCATTTGTGCAGCCGGGGCAAAATCCCTTCACGAACCCCCGGCCTATGCAATCGCCGCAGGGATATAGCCATGGACCATCGCACACCAACATGTATGCCACGCCTGGTCCTGATGGCCGCCGCAGCGCTCGCGGCAGCATTGGATATGCCAGCAATGGCAGTGGAATTGGGATTCTCCCTACCCCCGATCCCACTGTCGGCAGCTGCATGTCCGAGGAAGACAAGGACGTTGCCATCCAGCTAATGCGACTGGGCGAGATGTCAAATATTTCCCATGGCCGAACATCTGCGTCAACCCTCGATGACACTTTCAGTGGTCGAGCTGATGCGCCTTCGTCAACTGGCGCTACCAGTGACGGAGAGAGCGAGAGTGATTCTGAGCTCCCACCTGCTCGCCGCCAGAAGCTGGATGTCGCCGGTTCCATCGGCAAAGTCTACCAGACTACAGAGTCTCACTTCATGCCACCTCCCGACAACACCGAAATCAGCGGCGACGATGCGGACTACGAGGATGATTCCATTCTTTCCAATGAACAGTCCAAGCCGGTTAAGAGCAAGCCAGTTACCAAGCACAAGAGTTCCGGCTCAATCTCCAAGCCCCCTGCTCCCAAGGCATCCAAGGGTCCCCGCTCATTAACCACCACGGTCAAGACCAAGAAGCTGCCCCCTGTGCCAGCTGGCCCAATGTCCCCGGCCTCAATGCCTCCATCCCGCAAACAATCCGTTGCATCCACGGGGCAAGCTCCACTGGTCCCTGGTGAGGATGATCAACCCGATCTGTCAACCAAGCCGCGATGCCAACGATGCCGGAAGAGCAAGAAGGGGTGCGACCGCCAGCGACCTTGCGGACGCTGTCGCGACGCTGGCTTATCAGCCGATCAGTGCATCAGCGAAGATGAGGGCAATGGCCGAAAGGGGCGATATGGCCGCCACATGGGAGTCCCCATCCTCAAGAAGGACGAGATTGCCCCGATTGCACAGCCCGCACTATTACCGGCTGCGCCCATCTCGGCCGGCGCCATGACGATTGACAAGTCCAAGAAGCGCAAGCGATAAGGGCGCTCGCTCTGTTACCTAGAGGCGCCGCAATTGAATTGCGACGGTGTACAATTTCTATCAACCTCTCTTGAAACGCGCATTGTCGAGTCTGGATCCCGTGCACAGGGACGCATAACGAGGTCTCCAGTAAAGGCCCGGCCAGTCATTATCGGATCACAGCCATCCTTGCCAAAGCAATCTGAAGCATTGATGGCTAGTGCGTCGCTCCAGGAGAAGAAGCAAGTTCGGTGGAGAAATGTTGCGCATATTTCTTGTTGTTTTGATCTGCAGGCGGGAGGGGTGGTTTTCATGACGATATTTGGAGGATGTAATAACGACGGTCCAAGACCATTACACTCCTTATCCGGCGTTCGGGGTGGAAGATGTGGGGAGTTGTCGAGTATATTTTTGATGATTCCGGCTGGTTATTCTTTAGTCTTCAGGTTGTGCGGCAGTCGCACAGCTCATCCGACGACATCCCGACCAGAACATCGGGGGACATGTGCGTCGTCGAGGGGGTTTGCGCACACACAAAAAAGGAAGAGATACGGAGTCGGATGAGAACAACCTGGGCGGGAGGGATTGGAAATCTCCTTGCGGATAGATGGACGGAACCAGGAATTCTGGAGGGTATCCTGGTTGTATGTGTGCGAAACACAGCTGGATGAGGGTAACCCCGGGAGCGAGCGCTGGCGGATTGAACGTCTGGATGCTACGGAAATTGTCTACTGGCAGTGCAGTACAGTACGGGGGGCAATGGGGTGGTCTGTTTCTGATTTTATACTTCTGTTTTTGCAGGTTTCCTATAACTCGTTGTAGTCGATATTATACGCAACTTTTTGAACTTATCGCACAAGTGTAAATGTGTGGCTTCGTAGTGATGCGCCGCCAAATGCCTGGGATCTGACTAGCCACAACCAGCAGTGCCACACGTCACGAGATATGGTTCTGCAAAGTCCTGGACATGCTATAGGTTGTTCGTGTGAAGGGTGAGTCAATGGATACTAGGGTGACTATTTGCGACAGGTTTTTCGCGATTGCGACAGGATGGCGGTCAGAGGGTGGATTTGCGACAACTCAACACACAACCCAACAGTCCCTACAGCGGTTGCATCGCACCCCCAAAGCTACTACAGACCGGCGCAAGACATCCCATTGCATGCGCAGACATGCGCCAACCGTTTCAACAACAAAGACCCGCTCTTCAACGGCTTTTTTCCTGTTACTTTTCCATCCGCGCCGCCTAACCTATACCCAAACATGCGCCGGCGACCGGCCTGCTGGCCAGTGGCCCCTGTCGCGAATCAACCAAAGTAATTGCGCTAGTCTATTTACGTTCTAGAGCACCGCTCCCGCCCCCGCCGATGCGGGGTGCGCGTAAGAGCCGATTGGTCCACGGGGCCGGGAGGCAGGGGTATACGTTATCACGTGATTATCGTGGTGGGGGCTTGAGCGTTCGTGGCGGTGGGCGGTTTGTTGTGAGCCGAGTCCTTGCTTTTACGTCATATTTGTTACCCCGCGCAGAGCTCGTGAACAGAGGGGTAAAAACGACAATAATTGGGGACGAGGGTTTTCGCTTGACGGCTCGAAGTTGTTTATTGTGTTCGCAAGTAACGGGCGCCTATAACGCGTATTTGTTGTGGTAGGGAGGGGTACGCCTGGTTTTGCTTCTTTGGGGCGCATCTTGTTTATTTATCTTTTTTGGTGTGTGTTGTCGTGTTCGCGCACGCGTTGCAAAACACAGCCTTTGGTTGGATCGGTCAGGAAGCCCAGCCCGGCTCCTTCCTGGTGTGTGGCGAGGGGCGGCGGCGCGTGAGCGTCCACGTGAGAAGGCGGTGTGCGGGAACGTGCGCCACCCCGCCCGCTCCTTCCACCCAACCTGTGGCGGGCCCCACCGGCCTGTTCCCTCCAGGAAAGGAAGGCCCGGGTGGGGAACACTGTGACTCGCCATCTGCCGGCCATCGGAGCGGGGTCGGCGCGGCTCGTTGGCTTTTCGCCGGGCGCCAGTCGGCTCGGAAGAGGGGCTACCCTAGACTTTTACGATGCTCCCGTGCGGAGCTCCTCCATCCCGATCCGGCAAGAGAAGGGTGCTATAAAGGTGTCGGGCGTTTCTAATTAGTCCGTTGCGTTTAGAAAATGATGGTTTCTTCTTCTTCTTCTCCATTAGTGAAGAGACATCGGATCCGAGTGGACGGCAGCTCGGTCAGCTGCCCGACCCGACCGCATGCGTCTCCAACAAAAATCATCCCGAAGTGCATCCACACTGACCGGCCCGAAAAAACCGGGGCCCTCTTGCCTCTTTTGACAATCCGATACGATAGTGATAAACAATCTTCCTACTACTCTGGCGGCGCCGTCACACCCACACTTCTTCCCACTTCCCCCCTACTTTGTCAACCCATGTCGAGCGTAGGGCGTAAGGCGTCCTCCTGCTGTCCGCCCAAACGTTCTCGGAGTCCCAAGGCCGTCACATACCGACCCCGATAAGCGTCGTCAATGGCTTTTCTGAGAGTTGTGGGGTCGCGATATCGGCCTGGAAATGGCTGGGGAAAAATTCGATTCACCGGTGATGTGAACAGACCCAACTAGAGCTCAGTCGGCAGTGCCAATCCCGCGGGGGGATTAATAATGCCATCGTGTATATAGGAGTTCGTTGGCCCCGGCTTTACCAACTGTGGTTTGACGGAAACCAGGCCACCTTGAATCATTACAGAGGAATGGATCCCACCCGCATGGACAACACTAACCAGAGCTGTTCCCACCCTCGACAATGTATCCCGGCGATCTAGAGAAGAAGGCCGGCCAGACGACCGTCGTCCGCGACAATCAAATCCTGGCTGCCACCATTTCCAACACCAATGCCCCTCCGCCGCCCGTTCCCGATGATGATACCTTCAACCCGCCCGACGGTGGCTTCCTCGCCTGGTCCCAAGTCTTCGCCGGCCTGCTCATCAACTGTATCGCCTGGGGCTTCCCTGCCTCATTCGGTGTCTTTCAGCTCTACTACACCGAGACACTGGGTCTGCCTTCGTCTCAGATCTCATGGATTGGCTCGGCTCAGACCTTCCTTACCTTTGCCGTCTGTGGTCCGGCGGGACGCCTCGCCGATGCCGGTTACACGCGCCAGACCATGTTGGCCGGGAGCTTCCTCGCCGTGCTTGGCACTTTCATGACTAGCTTGTGCAAAGAGTACTGGCAGATCTTCCTCGCACAGGGTATTTGCACCGGAATGGGCATGGGTATCGTCTTTATGCCTGCTGTGTCCGTAGTCAGCTCCTACTTTAAAAAGAAGAAGGCCTTTGCACTGGCTATCGCCGCCATGGGTACGGGTTTCGGGAGTCTCATCTTCCCAGCGACCCTGCAATACCTCATTCCACAAATCGGGTTCCCCTGGGCCGTCCGGTGTGCCAGCTTTGTCGCCCTGACCATGACCATTCTGGCAAACCTCATCATGAGGCCTTATTTGCCTCCGAGAAAGTCTGGTCCCTTGGTGGAGTGGGATGCTTTCAAAGAACTCCCGTACTTGTTCTTCTCGCTCGGTGCCTTTCTCAACTTCTATGCCTTGTACTTTGGCTTCTTCTACGTAAGCCAATGCTTCGTCTCCCGTGTTAGTGTAACATTGTGACCTGTGCTGATGCCAAAATGGTAGATAAACGTCTACGCTCGCAAGGTCATTGGTTTCACATCTGTCGAGGCCGTTGGACTTCTTCTCATTATTAACGGCATGAGTATCCCAGCGCGACCTGTGGTTGGATACCTTGCTGACTACCACATCGGGCCCATCAACACCTACCTCATAGGAATGACGCTTTTGGCTATGATGGTCTATGTCTGGATTGGTGTCGAAACTGCCACAGGAATGTATGTCTTTTGCGTATTCTTTGGTTTAGCAAACGGCGCTTGCCAAGGAACTTTTGTCGGAGCCAATGCGAGCTTGACCAAGGATCCCCAGAAGATGGGAACTCGATTTGGTATGATCCAGACCATGAGTGCATTTGCTAGCTTGGCTGGCGCTCCTACAGCGGGTGCCATTATTGATCGGTCAAATGGCCAATTCGTCTGGGCTCAGGTTTGGGGTGGAACAGTTATGATTACAGCTGCCCTCTTCATCTCGGCGTCTCGAATCGCTGCCACGGGGTGGAAACTGAAGGCCAAGATTTGAAACTAAAATGGTAAGTGCGAGAATGAAAAATAATGACAAGCTTGGGTCAACTCGCCATGAGCTCATAGTGTTGAGGTCACGGGGTGCCAGCAGCGACTGGAGTTGCGATGTGACGTTGAATTGCATCCCGGATTGAGTTTGAGAGTGGCGAGGAAAGGTGTCGGTTTTCGAGACAAAAGTTGGGATCGAGGGCCCATGGGATCTACAGTAATGACATCAGGTAGACGGGTAAGTAGGTAGATGGATAATGTTTTAATAAATTGAAAGTTGATTTTGAATATTCCTCACGCACTGCCCAACTTCGTTAGAGCCAAAGAGACAAGACGAGCAATCTGCTTGCCATCTTGCCAAACACAGTCGTGATCGTCTGTCAGGTCTTTGAGAACGTCCAAGTTGACGCCGTCAAGCGCCAGTTTGGAGGCCATTTCGTCGATTTCGGGTTCGTCGATAAGAGTATCCTCAGATGACCACGCCAGAATAGTAAGCATGCCATTTGGCCAGCTCTCCTTGAAGCTGGCCTTGTACTGCGCCGGCGAGGCACTCGTCCAAAGAGCTTCGTCAAACGCTGCACCGAGAAAGCCGGCGTATTGGCCATCATGCCTGGCATTGAGATTGACCAGATCATAGATGCCAGAGATACCAATGATGGCGGCGGGGAGGGAGACTTCCGGCCGAGAGCGTCCAGCAAGCACTGCCTCTCCCATCAAGAGTTGATAGGCGAGGGTGGCGCCAGCGGAATGCCCAATCAAGACGTAGTCATCCGAAAACTGGTACTTCATTTGGGCAAACTCCAGCGCCAACCAAATGTCTTGGATGTGGTCTGGGTGTTTTGCATTTCGGAGGTCTGAGCTGTGCGTGCTGGCTGGGTCCTGAGGGAAGTCTGGGTGCGGTGACAGCCGGTAGTCGAGGCTGATGAAGCCTTTGATATTAGACGTGACATCCCCACTGGAGGACGTGATGTGCTTGATCGAGGGACAGAAATCGTCTGCAGTGTTTCGCGGATCACGCCAGCCACCACCATGGATAAAGCTAGAACGACGTCAGTAGGGAGAGGGCCGTGCAAGTACGGGGTGCACAGAGTCACACATGATCCAATAGCCTGATGATTGCTCAGGGCGGTTTGGGAAGCGCCAGACGCCTAGTTTCTGGAGGCTGTGCTGACCGTACTGCTGGGACTCATACGTGAGCCCCAGAGAGTTTGCCGTAGTTTCCATATTTCAGGACTGTAACGGTAGCCGGAAGCTTGAAGGGAGTGGAGATGCGTGGATCGAGAAAGCTGGGCCACAAGGCGAAATCGTAAGTGCTTCAAGGAGGCAATCCGTCTATGAGGCACAAACAGAGACGGCAGGGATTTGCGTGCTGGGACCCTTTCGGTGTGGGGGTTTGGGGATTGGTCGAAGAGCGAAGAGTAGAAACCGAGATGATGCTGACGAGGAGAAGTACCCCGGGTGAGGTACATCTAGAGCCAAGAGGGGTTGATACTCCTTCGGATCAGTTATCACGGAGCTCCACTATTCGCCAATCGGGCAATTTTGGTGCCTTTCGGATCTAGTGCGGAAGCTGGCAACATGCATGCCTGTTTCCCTTCCTTCCTTCCGTCTTCCGTTGCAATCAACCGATGGGAACGGATCAACCACCGCGTTTCTTCCGCCGTCCCTTCCTTCCGTTCCTGGAATCCGGTGCATGCGAAGCTCCAACATGTCGTCACGTCAAGTTCTTTTTTCTAACCCGACGACACGATGGCGATTTTCGTCCTACATTATTATCTGGCACCGCTCGACTTGCCATGGCCGACACGAGATTCCATCCTCTCCGACACTAGCAAATACGAAACGGACCGTCGGGGCCCAGACCTTCAGCCGTTCCTGCGTACGCCATCTAACCTAGGTGAGGCAGCCGTCCGAAGACACTACATCTAGCAACATCCCCTTCAATCAGCAAAAGCAGCATCATTTCCCATGAGAGATAGGCTTCTTCAAGCCTTTGACGCCGTTTTTCAATAGACCTGGCCACGATGCACCGCAATTGATCCCCCCGGCGCGGAACCATGGCGCCATCCACCGTATTGAGCACCAAACCCTGGTCAGCGATCCCTGGATGACGGCTGGACAGGTATCACAACACGTGGAACAAGGGGCCTGTCGAACAAGGCTTTCGGGCAAGGTCTGCACGTCTGTCCACATCTGGCAAACCACCGGAACCGTGAGACGGGTAGCCCAGGGTGATAGATGCAGTGATAGGGCGATTTGAAGGCAAGCTTGTGTGGCCTCCCCCTCCTCTTCAGGAAACAGGGTTGTCGCGTAAGTTTCGACTGCACCAACAGTCGCCGATCACGGCGTCGTTGGGTGTCCATTCCAACTGATGGATGTCACCTAAAGCGGCTTCTTTCATACTATTTCATCTGCCAAGCAAGCACTATGAACCACACTCAGCAGATGTATCCGCGGATTGTTTGTTTGTTGATCACGAGCGGCCTCATCATCCATTCTTTCATTATCGCTTCGCGTGCCGCAAAACCCGGCGGGCACTAAGGGAAAAAGGGAAACGGGAAAAAGCAATGCTAAAGTCCCCGGATCCTCAGTGTCCAGACAAAGTGTAACCTCGACGGACAAAACTTTCTTCTTCAGCAATAAGGTACCTTTTGGCTGTCCGCCTTGCATGACAGGGGTTCTTACAGACGGACTCCTGGAGCTGATCCTGAAACAGTGAGTGTCCGAAAGCCCTAGCCAGCACTTGTGGCTGCGTTCCCACAGCTTCGGGTTCGCACTAATTGTTCGCGTTTCTTGAAGGAGTCTAGGCCCTCTCTCATGGGGACCTTGGTCCGGATCTGCTTCCAACAACTGTCCCGAACCGATGCGCCACGCTCGCGGGTTAACCTGTTCCGCCATTCAGCTCGCGTCGCATGATGAGAGACTCAGAGTAAATAGCCTGCTACCAGGCTGGGGCAAATCCACAGATCTGGATACCAACCCTTTTGGTCGGTCCTCAGAGCTCCTGATTTGGTCCGCTTGGATGGAGCCAGACCAGCTCTGAATCTCCAGATCCCTCTTTGTGATTGCTGCCCACGTTCCACAACCATGACGATGCCAAGTTGTTACTAAAAGACCCCACCTAGGACATCCCTTCTAGATGTGCGAATGCGACACCCAGTCATGCCCTCTCGCGCGCAAGCAACGTCCGCTTTGTTGAGGACAGTACCCATAGACCGAGACCGCGAACATTGCACTCAAGAGAAGCTTGCTTGACTCTGGCTGCTGTATCACAGTCACATCTGACTGCGTGTGACAAGGCAACAAGCGTCCCTGTCACGTCACAGCATCCCTGACACCTCGGCTGGAGTACGGAGCAGAACTAGAATGGTCGCGGGATCCACTTCGCCGATAGAGGCCGGGCCTGGTCGCCGCGGAATGGTCTCTGCGTTCCCGCTGGGTCTTCCCCATGCTGGTCCTTGTTGGTGCTTGCTGCAGGACACCCAGTCTGCCTCAGACGGCTCAGACGGCTCAAACGGCTCAAACAGCCCTTGAGGTAATGCATGAGATACCCAAACAATCGCGTGGGAACCGATCCACCTGCCCTTTGTTGGGTCACACACCGCGTACCTGCATCTAACAACCTCCACCCATGCGTGATGCACAGCAACTTTACGGCCACGGTCCCCCCTGCTTAGACAATGTCTCGGTCACAGAACTAGACCAAGTAGTGTTGAGGCGTGAGATATATCTCGTTGGGTTCCCCCGGCGCGCCCTGTTAGCCAGCCATGCCTTGCGCCTTTGTTGGTTCTTCTGTGACGGTTTCCCTCTCGCTCTCATTTCGCCAATCTCTCCCATCAGCGAAGCTGAGCCATGCTCGATAATTGACATCTCGCGACGCCGGAGAGCCATGGCTAACAAGGAAATCAATCTGAAGGAGGAAAATGGAGGCGCTTTGGTGGGCACCGCGATTGTCTTCCTCGCCTTAAGTTGGATTTCTATCGCCCTCCGCACCTACACCAGAGCCTTCTTGATGAAGGGTTATCAAGCCGATGACTGGCTTATGTTTATTGGCCAAGTATGCTCACTCTGCGCTTGCCATCCCGCTTCCCTGTCCGACAACCATGGCTGATACTCTTTTTAGTTGATCTTTACGGTATCGTGTGTCTTCATCCTCATAGGAGTACACGATGGACTTGGTCGACATAATGAAGCCATCAAAAATGACAGTGACGAAGTGAATGCGCTCATGGTGAGGCGCCCCCCAACAATTTGAGCAGCCAAATATATGTGACATGCTAACACACTCACAGTGGCAGGCTCTTGCGACCGCAACCTACGTCCTCGATATGATGTTTATCAAGTTGAGCATCGGCGTTTTCCTTCTACGACTCTCGGTTCAAAAGGTGTACACGTGGATACTCTGGGTTAGCCTGGCTATCATCACCATTTGGAGTTGCGTCATCTTCTTCTGGGACATTTTCCAATGCAGCCCAGTCGCGAAGCAGTGGGACTTCAGAATCACGGATGGCCAGTGTGTGACTGCCGATCAGATCGTCGCCGCGGCATATTCAATCAGTGTTATGACTATTTTATCGGATTGGCTCTACGTAAGCGCATCGCGACTACCGAGTGGATGGGTTTGGGCATGATGCTGACAACATACCTAGGCGCTTCTTCCTGTTCCTATGTTGTGGACTGTGAAGATGACCAAACAAGCCAAGGCAACCGTGATTGTTATTCTCGGCCTTGGTGTTTTGTGAGTCCTACACTAAACATTTACTTCGAGGACACTGGGCTAATTAGCGCGTTAAGTGCAAGTATCGCGACGCTTATCCGACTGAAGTTTCTGGCCGATCTGACAGACACAGACGATATTCTATGTATGTGCCCTGGCGATTTTTATTTAAACTAGTTACTGATTGGGGTCTCCTTAGTTGCTGGAACTGATGCCATGGTCTGGACTCTCGTTGAACCCGGCGTTGCCATTGTCGCATCTAGTTTGGCTACTATTCGCCCATTGCTCCGCGCCATGAAGATCAAGGGATTCGAATCCACCGACCGCGCCTACGGCACCGGTCGCTCAGCCACCATGCGATCTGGCACTCGATCTAAGTCCGGCACATTGCCCGGTTTCGGCCCCAACGACGTGTCACTCATTAAAGTCGAGCCCAAGTATGACACGGGGTCTAATCTTGCACCAATGGCCAATCGTGCACCTCACCCATTCCACAACAAGAGCCTGCCGGCGGTGCCTCTCTCCCCGGGTCAACAGAGCACCGTTAGGAGCGAGATTTACGTGATCCAGGGCAACCAAAGCAGCTCGCCGCCGAGGAACTGGCACACGCGGGCCTACAGTTCCTCATCCCCGAGCGGGTCGATCGACATGATGCACGACCTTGAAGCCCAGAGCCAAGAGACAGGACGCTATGGGCTCGGCAACGGGAAATAATGATAGGAAGCCGCTAACCCTATCTGTGCGGCTCTACTGACTGGCCTTTCTTTTTCTTCACTTTGGTGTATCTTTGTTTTACTGGGGATTTTCTTTTCGTAGAGGCTTCTACTACGCATTAAGACGAGTCGGTTCTGGGGTGGCGTTTAAAAGGGTACGAAAATCGGACTTGGCGGGATGAGGACATGATACCACAAGTTTTCTTTGTTACTTGTACAATTAAAGGCAGCCATCGCGGGATAGCCGGGAAGCTTCCCACCATAGATCCGGAGATTACGACAGCCGGCAGTCACAGGAGCATTTAGACAATGCGCCAGAAATGTTTTATTACTGTATTGCAACACCGTTATACCCAGGCGTCCTGCTCGCATGTGAAGGACTTGCGCGGTGTTTGAGGGGGAGCGCAAGGGTAAGGGCAAGGTCATGGGCAGGCGTCCTTGTATTCGGAGAGTTTCGCAAATGAGCTGATGTGGTGGGCGTTTTGAGGGGGAGAGAACTTCAGCGCAAGACGCAAAATGGCGGATCTAGCGTCGCCCAGACGCGTATGTTGCGCCAATAGTTGGCCTGGCTTCGGTAAATGAAACCGCCTTTTCGGAGCTGACGCGGAGAGGGAACCAGGGTTTGCGGATGTGGATTTCCCTGGGGATGATCTGACAATGGGCATTGGGCGACGAATCTGTGCAGGGGGAAGGGTATCTCTTTTCGTCTCGGGGTCTTATTTATTTCAATGTGCCGTACCTTGGTCTGCTCGGGTCTACTGTACAGGTTTCGACTGACCGAGCCGCGCCGCTGGTGGCTATTCCGGTGGGATACTGAATCCTTGGTGATTGAGGTGTTGCGTCTGTATGTGGTTCCATTTTCCTCTCCGTCGCATCATCTTAGTCGATCCGGAGCTCCTCAGGCTGCACGTTCCAGTCCTCCTCCTCCTGCCAGGTTGGGGCCAGCACGAAGCGGCCCATGATCTTGCCCATTCCGATGCCTTCGCCGCCCATGACTCCTGGTTTGGGCTTCTCGTCGTTGTCCTCGACGATGACGGCCGTCGTCAGGAAGTTCATGCCCGCCGCGGGGCTCATCTCCAGGATCTGGCCGCCCCAGTCGAGCTCCACCCGGCCGGATTTGCGGACCTTGAGCTGCCCCACCATGCCGCCTTGTGAGAGGAGTTGCGAGAGGAAGCCCGCCGTGTTCTCCGGGTCGTCTGCGGGGTCTTGGCCCGGCGCTAGTATCCCGTCCTCTTGGGTCAAGTCGACTGGTGTAGAGTCGTCGGCGCTCGGCGTGGAGTCCAGCATGTTTGAGTCTTCCGCTTCCTTCTTGACCTTGTTGACAGGTTTCGGCTGAGAAATCTCTCTGAGAGGTGGTAGGATAGGAGGAAACTGGAAGAGGTACATGCGGCCATCCTTATTGCTGAGGCCCTCCAAATTGGCTTCGTTGGCTTCGTTGGCTTCTTTGGCCTCCTTGGCCTCCTCGCCCTCCTCGCCCTCCTCGCCCTCCTCGCCCTCCTTGCTGCCCTCTTTGCTTTCGTTTGTTGCTATCGTGACTGCACCCAACTCGCTAGCGAGGAGGTTCAGATCTGTTTGAATCATCCTTTCTTCGGGATCTTGAGGAGCCGCTTTCCGAATTGGCCGCAAAACTGCTGGCGCCTTCTGCTGCTTGACCTTCTCCTGCACGTCAGCCGGGGGCTTGGCATCGGCGTCCAGATCCATTGAGTCCTCAAGCCCAGGCTCCGTTTTCACAACGACGGGCTTCTTTCCGTCAGTGTCCCAAACGCCGCCTTCTTCTGACTGATCTGCTAGAGTCTCGGGTGCTTCTCCATCCCCATCAATCCAGAGGCTCTCCTCCTCGTTGGCGTTTTCTGCAGCCTCTAGTTCGGCCGTCGTAGCCACAACCACTCCTTCGTCTTTGTGTTCCTTTCGGTATATTCCCATTGGTAGGATGCTTGTCGGCCTGATGCTGAGGGCGGCAAACATGGCCTCGTCATCGCTATCCAGCTCCTCGTTTTGCGTGTTGACATTGAGCTTGTCGGCGTTGATTCGTGGTTCGCGGTACCGTGCGCCATCAGCCTGGGCGAAGCCAGCCCTGGAATCTGATTTGAAGGATCGTGAGAAAGATCCGCCGCCACCAAAACCACCACCACCGCCGCCGCCGCCGCCGCCACCGAACCAGCCACCTCCTCCTGTGCGTAGAAATAGTCAGAATTGCATTGTTTGAATAGACATGGCCATGCGAATGCGCCTTACCTCCGACGCCTGACGAGAACGGTCCACTGGCGCCCCCGATGGGCCGTCCAAAACCGCCTCTAGCACCCATTGCATCACCTCGGCTCCGCTTGCTCCGGAACCGTGACCGACCTCGAGCGCGCCGCTCGTCTGCTGCTCTGTCTTGAGCCTTCTGTTCCTCCTGCCGTGCTAGGGTGTCACGCTCCGCCTCATCTCGACGAACAACCTTCGGTCGGAATCGTCCAGCCGCAGGCCCCCGGGTCGCCCGGGTAGTAGCGCCGCCGCGAGGAGGTGCGCTTGGTGTGCTTCGAATCGGGGGATTGGAGGTTCCTGTCGCAACAGGTGTAGCACTGGTGCTGGCTTCGCCGCTCTGAGGTTGCGCCCGCTGCCCGGCGGCGGCGGCCCCTCTACGGGTTCCCCGGGCGGGTGCCCTTCCGCGAACCATCGTAAATGCACTAAGTTTGGAGGAGAAGGATCGTGAGGCGGAGGAAGAAGAGCGTCGTAGTACTTCGAGAAGCGGGATGAATCTATACAAAATTTTGGCCGGACTTCAATTGCTTAGTTTGGCAGTGGGGGAAGGAAGGTGGGGGACCGTATGTAATTCTGCCAATGTTGGTGACTCACCGCCCTGGCTAGTTAAAGAACTAGGATAAGTTAGGTGGGTGTCGTGCAGGCGATTTGGGGACGATCGTCCACTATAATTCACAGTAATTATGGAATGCTGTTCCTTTTGAGGATGCCAGAATGACAAAGTTATATATAAATTCGGAGGTTAGATGGATGAACTGGGATGATTGCAATGGTGGCTGCCTATTTCCTCTTTGATAAGTCTTGCTAATCTTGTTATATTGGCCCCGAGGCTATACCAATTGCCAAAGAACCGTCTAAGTCAATGTCAATCTTTCGTAGCGTCTAAATTCCATGGTTTAGACAAACAGATGCTGTGATACAAATATTGATCAAAAGATTTCCGACATTATCGGATACACATCATAGACTGGTCGCCGAACTGAGTAGATATGCTCCCTTCCTTCATGATCATTGTCCCGATCCACTCCCTACCAGCTTCCACCGCTGTTGCTCCAAACTTAACAATCACGCATCCTCTTACCCGCGCAGCGGACCAAAGAATACCGCCTTGTTTTTCCATCTCGAGGCGTTTAGAACGCCAGTATTGCAAGTCTGAGACCCCCGAATTCGCTTTCGCTTTCGCCTCCGGTGACCGGAAGTCCTGAGCTCCAATGCGAGGTAGGGCGTCAAACTCGGCAAGGAAGAACTCCCCAAGGGACTTCATCATGTCACCTCGCAAGATAAGAGTCCCGGAAACGGCCATCTTTTGCATCATGTCTTGGAGTGTTCGACCGACGGCTTGGCTCCCGTCTTTAGACAGAATGACCGAGTCCCTGACCAATAACCGTTCTTGAGTTGAACCCTTGGGGTCGCAAAGCCATACTTCGTTGCGACCAGTCCACTTGGTCAAGCTCCAGTTTTCACCACGAGCGGATCGACCGTGTGTGACCCAATCTAGCAGACATAGCGACGCCCGATTATCAAGTCGAAAGATTTGTATTTGAGCATAGACACTGTCCTCAAATGGCTGAACTGGGTCCGGGAGGAGGCAAAGACCGGCATCGTTGTCGATTTTAGCATGGATGTTCTGTCTCGTGATGACCTCTGTGGAAGGAGTTTTGAAGATCTTGGTATGCCCCTGCGTGGCAATGCTGAGTTTCGATTTGGGTCGCACGTGGATTGACAAGTTGACTGTATCCCCGGCGACGAGTCCGCCCCCGTAGGATAAGAGAAACACAAGGATGCTATCCTGGTCGACTGATGGAGATGGAGCAATGAGCTTCAGGGGATATTGGTAGGTCATTTTTTCCAGGCCACTCCCCCCAGCGGGGAGAAGGCTGACGACGATGTGGCCATCACCAGGGGACAGGGAAGACGGAGGGAAAGGCGAGTCCATGTCAACATCATCTCGAAGAACAGTTCCTCGCAGACGATTTGTAGAAGAATCAGCGAGGGTCCGACCTATGTAGAAAGATGCGCAATTGAGCACCTTTACTCCGCCCTTAGATACCAAATGTGTGAAAAGATCGCTCGGTTGATGGATCTTGAAGAAGATATCCCTATCTGGGGTTGTGGCTCAGCCCCGCAGTCAAGTGGTCAAGTGGCGCCTCATAGGTGGCTCCTCATAGGTGGCTCGTGCTCTGTCGTGGCTGAACTGGGGCTCCTTCCGAAATTCTTCCGCTAGAAACCGGGACCACCCACTTTCCAAAATAACCTGGCCGTCATCCACGCGACATTCGACGCGACAAGAGAAACACCATTGTCGCCCTCGGATCGGGGGTCGTTCATCTGGCTGTCCATCCCTCAAATGACACCTACGCGACTGCCTCTGCGAGAAACCATGAACAACAACGCAAGCCCCACGCTTACGCCGGAAGCCGACAGTACGGCGCGTCGCCGTTCCGGACGCGTCGTGAGAGCGCCGACTAAGTTTACGCCCGAGGCTACGACTCAATCCGCCACTACGAAGCGCAAGAGAGATGAACACGATGAAGAGGATGCCGAGAACGAGGCGCCAGATTCAGACGAGGAGATGAGCGACGAGATTGAGGACGATAGCGACGACGACCATCCCGCGCCTAGGTCTAGGAAGAAGCCGTCGCAATCAAGCCGCGCAAAGAAACCGTCCCTGAAGAAGCCGAAGATCAATGGGACGCAGCCTGCGCGTGCGGCTCATCCTGCCGGGCTTCCCAGCAGACCCAAGAAGTCGGTCCGCATCGACACGGGTGACAAGGGAACTGGCCTATTTGGTAAGGATTTCACTCCTGGTTCGGCCACATCGCTCCGATGCTGACACGCCTGCAGCTGAAGTCTTTGGATCTGGCGATCCGTGCAGTACGGTAGCCCAGCAGTGGCTAGAGAAGTATCGCGCGGATGAAGCGCCGGCTCTTACAGACCTTGTGAACTGCATCTTGCAGTGCGCCGGTTGCGATCAGGAGGTTACGGAAGATGATATTCGCGACCCCGAGAATATCCCAAACAGATTGATTGATTTGCAGAGCGTCTATCAAGAGGTAAATTTCGAAATCGCGTCGATTAGCTGATGGAAAATGCTGACAAGCCTATAGCAACAAATCACCGATTATCCACTGATCTCCAAGTCGAAGAACACGAGATCTTTTCGAGATATACTAGTGACCTTCTTCCACACGCTTATTTCGCTCATCCACGAGGCCGACGTCCTGTACAAAGATCAGACTCTGATCGATAACCTGCATGCATGGCTGGCTAGTATGTCCTCGTCCTCGCTCCGCCCCTTCCGCCATACCGCAACCAGTATCGCCCTGGCTGTTCAGTCCGGCTTAGTCTACGTCGCCGATGCCCTCGACCAGCGTATCAGCAGCCTCGAGCAGCAGCACCAGTCCTCAAAACGAGGCAAGAACAAGACGAGAACCGCGGAGATCCAGCGAACCCTAGACGAGGCCAACGGGAATCGCAAGCTCTGCAGCGAAGCCATCCAGTCGTTTTTCGACACTGTATTTGTCCACCGTTACCGAGACGTTGATCCCAAGATAAGAACTGAGTGCGTCGAGGCACTCGGGTCTTGGATATGGGACTTGCCGACCGTCTTCATGGAGCCAGGCTATTTGCGCTACTTGGGTTGGATGCTCTCGGATACTCATGCGCCAACTCGCCAGGAAGTCCTGAAACAGCTTTCGAGGGTATTTAGGCGAGACGCACAGCAACTTGGACACTTCATCGACAGATTCCGACCCAGATTGATCGAGATGGCATGCAGAGACTCAGAGGTCCCGGTCAGGGTGGCTGCTATCTCCGTCATTGATACGCTACGCGCTGCGGCGATGCTTGAGCCTGATGAGATTGATTCTATCGGTAAGCTCATTTTCGACAATGAACTCAGAATCCGCAAAGCCGTTGTCGGGTTCTTCGTCTCGTGCGTTATGGATGTTCACGAGGGCAAGCTGGAAGAGATTGGCGGCGCCGACACCTTGGACGAGCTCTTTGACAATGTTGAGGAGGACGATTTGGACGCTCCTCGCCAGGAATGGGTCAACATCAAGTGTCTCGCTGAAACTCTCGCTATTTACGACGCTCAGATCGAAGAGGACCACCAAAACGGAGAATCCCTTAACTTGGATGTTGCTGCTGATCTGCTGGAGGCAACCGTTCCAGATACCAGAATTTCTCTGGCGTCCCAGGTTCTCTATGAAAAGGTTCCCGAAATCAAGAAGTGGGGAATCTTGGCCGGTTATTTGCTGTTTGATCATACATCAAGCACCAAGGCCAAGTCCAAGGCTAAGGGCAAGGGCGATTCTGCGGAGGTATCCTTTAAGAAGGCGGTTGCCCCATCGGCCGCAGAAGAGTCAATCCTCCTGGATGTCCTCAGCTCCGCTGTCAAATTGAGTCTGGCCCAGACTAGCGATGTTGACAGGAACAAGAAGATTCGTTATCGAACTGAAGCAATGGAGGCTCAGGAGGAGATTGCACTTGAGTTGGCATCTCTGATTCCAAGGCTTCTGAGCAAGTTTGGAGCCGAGCCAGAGACCGCCGCAATTGTTCTCCGATTGGTTCACTTTCTCAACCTTGACGTATTTCAACAGCTTCGACAAGACGCCACCAAATACGAGAGATTGCTCGATGAAATCAGCACTCAATTCAACAGACACGACGACCGGAGAGTTCTGTCCGAAGCGGCCACGGCCCTGTTGCACTCAAGACAATACGACGATCTCGAGGAATTGACGGATGGCAAGCTCGCAAATCTTTGGGAGAATGTTATCACGGCGCTCCGAAATTTCGACAAGACCTGCGAGCTCTCAGTTCGTGGAAACCTGACGGAAGCTCCCCTCAAAGAGTTGTCGACTATTCTATTAAAGATCAGCAAGCTGTCGAGCATCTCAGATTGCGTTGACACATTGGAGGCCGAGGGAGGGTCCGAAAGTACATCCCCTATCATTCAGATCTTGGCCGAGATCGTCCATCGTGGAAAGTACGAGCCTCTAGAAGATGAAATCGATGACCTTGAGGACGAGGTCACGACCTTCGCTATTAGAAGCTGCCAGTTCTACTTTATGTGGAAGACACGAGCCCTCTCCAAGCTTCTTTCCTCTGGAGTGGGTATTGCAGATGCCGAACTCGACCGTTTATCCCTCCTACGGCAGTCCTTCCGCAAACACATCATTGAGACCTTCTCTTCACGCGCGGCCATTGACCAACTCCGATTGTTTGCGACCGGAAGTTTGTGTGATCTGCACCTCACCTTCGCGACACTTCGCCCGACGATTGAGCAATTCCGCCCGACTTCCAGCGCTGGCTCGCAAGCAACCGGCGGCGAGAAGTACAAGAGCCTAGTCCAGGAGATTGAATCCGGTCTCGTGCCTGAGTTGGTTTCCATCTTCGATGGCGCAGAGCGACAATATGCCAAGAAGTCAAAGAAGGACAAGACACTTAACGAACCAGCTGAGGACGAGGACCCAATGGCCGATGACGAGGATCTTGAAGAAGATGACGACGACGAGAACCTGTCATACGAGGAGCGGTTTGCGGCTGAGCTCAAGACTGAGAAAGCTCTCTGCGAGTTGACGGCAAAGTACGTCTTGGCCATCGGCGCGAAGCTCGTCGACGGCCGGGGCAACCATGCTGGAAAGCTGCGCCGCCGCCTGCTCCGCAACCAGACTAAACTCGGAAACAACTTCAAAGAGGTTGTCGCCTATCTGGACGAGGAGAAGCTCGCAGAGCGCACCAAGAAGAAGGCCGCCGCGGCGCACCCCACCTCCAAGCCCCAGAAGGCCCAGCTCAGCGAGGAGATGATCGTTGGCGAGGATGAGGATGAGGACGACGACATCTTTGGCGATGAGCCCCAGCCCGAGGAGGGCTCCCGCGAGGACCTCCGCCGGAGGGAGCTCTTGGAAGAGGATCCGATCGACGATGATGACGAAGAAGAAGAGGAACGACCAGCTCACGATTCAGATGACGATGTTCTTGGGGATTAATGGGCTCCCTTTCCCTGTAGGACGGACCGCATTGGACCTTTGCAATACGAGATGCGGACTTTTTTTCCTTTTTCTAGATCCGAGCACTTTTTTGTTTGTGTGTAGTTGGAGGTTCGTGCGTCGCCACGGCCGGAGTCTTGGTATGTGGGCAGAAGCCCTTTCTGAGTTTGGGCGTCTCAAGGGGATTTCTGTAATTCACCCCCTATACTATCAGGATTCCTTGCACCCGATCCTTCGCATGTTTCTCCCAAATCCGTGATGTACATGCCTATGATCTAATTCCAAAGCATAAAACTCCATTTTTTCCGTCTTAGCCGACTAGACTATTTCATCGAGATCCGGGTCCCAAATAACCCAAACATCCTCTGCCATCGACTGCCCTCGCCTGCGTCGGCCTTGGCCGCGTCTGATTCTCGTACCTTGACGCCGTACTGGCGGATGCAACACGCAAATGGCCGATTCGCAACCTGTGTCTTTTCCGCTGCCTCTGTGTTTGGCTCATCTTCATCAGAACTGTTGGTGGGTGGTTTGCCCTCCCTCACGGCCTCAATCGATTTGGTCTTTTTGGCCTGCGCACGACTCTTATGCTCCTCCAACTCTCCCCACAGGAAAAACAATCGTTGACGGAGCGCCTCAAGGTTCGTTGCGTCACAGTGTAGGTTGGAGGCATCTAGGTTCACGAGGTATTGTGCGGCCTGATTATCCACCGCAACCCACATCCTTTTCTTCTGCTGATTCCCCAGAACAGCGGCGTCCTCTAGTTCGAGGTGGAAACGCCACTCCCAGGTATGCTTAGTTGTGGAATATGTCGTGTCCTGTTCAGACTCTGAACCGCCATCGGACTCGTCATTATCTGATAGGACATCGAATTCTGAAGTCTTTTTTGCAAAGGCAAAGTCCTCGAGTCTGGAAGGCATGAAGTTGACGATGCGTACGTTGGCGCGGTAGTTTGTGTTTATAAAAGGGAGCTGGAGTTTGACGGGTTCCTTGTTAATCGTAGTGTCGTAGGTGGCATGTTCCAATATGTCGGCGATAAAACTGGCCGACTTGTTTTGGTTCTCGCATCTCACTACGTAAACAAATTAGGAGTGCTCGGGCGGCCAATGCAAACTGGGGGACTACCTTGTGGGTTCAGATCTGCCACAGGAACAGACCCATTTAATTTCTGTTCCTCTTTTTGTGCCTGGGCACGGAGTAGTTTCCGGCGTTCCTTGGACTTCGGCATCTTCTTGGGTTCTGAGCTGACAGCTACATCGGCTTTGCGCTTCTGGCCAGCCTTTGCAGCTTCGGAAATATCCCGGAGCTGATCCTTCTTCACTCGCTCGTAGTCTCGCTTACGGCGAAGCGCGTCTTTTAGGCGTGGGTTGATATTCTCTGTGTCGTCTCTTGGATCGAGGGGGGATATTCCAAGCTTGGGTCCATGCGCTTCCCGGTCCTCTCTGAGATAACCCTCGAGGTTGGAGGCATTGTGCCCAAATTTGACCTGCAGGTTTCGAATGGACACCCAAGTGCCGACAGATATCCGGCCATCTCTGATTGCGGTTGCGTGGGGCTCAAAGCAAGTGATTTGCAAGCTCTTCTTGCCAAACGGCCCATTCCAACCAGTCTTCGAAACAGCAGCCATTGAGTGCTTTGTAGTGTACCCAAAAGGATCACTGTCTGATTCCTCCGCTAGACTCCCGCTATCAAAGGCGTGATGAAAGAAGGCCATGTTTTCGGTGTAGTCAGAAACCCAGAGTGTGATCTTGTCCCCTTGGTCATATGGCTCTTTAACAACCTGGACAACGATATCACAGAAGCGTCCATCTTGAACGCCCTCAAGCAGACTGAACTTTTCCTTGACGTTGCGGGATCGAACAGTCATGACCTCAAATTCTGATTCTGTCGGCACACGGGCTTTTTTGATTGCGTGAAACATGTAGGCGACATAGGCATTTTCCTTTTGGGCAGGAGGCCGATCCTGTGGCCTCGACGGAGGTCGCAGAGCACACAACGCGTTGGCGGGGTGCTTCGGGATTTTTGCAGCCGAGTAGATGTGAACTCTGGTCTCCTTATGGGTTATCAGAGAGGGAGCCTCCGATTGATAACGTTGAATCTGTCATAGTTAGTAGAGCCACCTCGTCTACGACATGATTGGAATGTACCTTGACTGAGAGTAGAAGAATGACATCGCTGCAACTAGCGGTTGGCATCTCCTTCTCCGGTCGAAAGACGTTGAGGGATAGAGACGAGCCCTCATCATCCTCGACGGACAAGTCGTAGAATCGGATTTGACATTTCCAGTCTTGCATGGTTAGTTGTGCAACATCAAGGGGTGGAGAAGGCATTCGTACCAACGCCTTTCGTCGGGACGGGCGAACGAAAGTCGGTGATGACGCCGACGACGTTGACTCTCGAGTGAACCCTAACATTGCCATCCAAAATGTCTTGGGCGGTGACGAAGCCTGGGGGCAATGATGGTGTCGAGGCAGCAGCCAGGAGGGGATGCTGCGATGAAGACATGATTACCCATGCTCGGGCATCACGGAGCAGGCGTCGGTTTGGACGAAGTGGTGATCAATCTACGCGGTCGCGTGCTTGTGGCTAAGAATGAGTGGGTGAGGTCGTGTAAATGGGCGGCGACGCGATTCGCCGTGGGCGGGCGCGTTAGTGTGGGCGTGGGGTGTGAGGAAGGTCCCCTCCATTGTCGCGACAGCACGTGTCGGAGCATGTGATCGAGTGGCAGCGGAGGACTCCCTTGGTGTCTTGGTGGGGGGAGGGGAAGCGGTGGTGGCAAATGAGAGCTGCATGGGAAATAAACTCCACAGAGAATGTTCTGGGACTTTGGTAGTGGTGAAGAAGGGAAGTTGGTGACTTGGCCAGGGGCCATGTTCATGATTCCGTTCCTTTTTACTTGGGGTAAGTCTTGTACAACACTTGAATGAATGTGTCTGTCACTGACTACCTAAGTTACGTAGGACTCAGGTACAACCACGCAAGCCGCCACAGGTTTGTTGCTGGGCCCCTCTCTACTACTTACATACCTCCGCAACGACGCATCCTTTGCTGTTGTTAATTATGGTGTGTCCAGCCGCGCCATCCATCACCCATCACCCATCACCCAGCGGAAGTGTTGCGAGTGATTGCTTGTGTGTTTGTGTCGTGCTGACCCCTGGATGAGACGACGGTCAAACAAATGTACCTACGGAGAGGGTTTGCTGCCTGAGGCTGAAATCACCACTCTAGTGACTTCCATCGCAGCGGTTAATTTCAGTTTTCAGTGGCTGTATCTGGGCTAGCCAGGTTTGCACAGTCTGCATTCTGCACAGTTCTGCACTGAACCGCACGGCAACGCGCACCCAAATCATTTCCACGACGACCCCGCCGTCCAGTGAACGTTCAGTGGGAGCCCACTGATTGCCCGCTGATTGCCCACCTAACCTACTCTGGGCCCTCTTCGCTCCATAAGTTACTTGGTACCTTGGCTTGCCTTGCTCGACCAAGCCGGCCGCCTTCCACCCATCTGCCCCCCATCTTCTCTCTCTCTCTCCCCGACAACAACAAAAAACTTCATCCTTCTTCTCTACATCCTCCCCTCTTGGCCCTCCCTCTCCCGTCTCCCGCATTCCAGCTGCGAAGACGTCTTGCGAGCCAGGCTCTTCTCCCTTGACGTCGGGCCTTCCTCTCTCCCCTCCCCCTCTGCGCTTCTTGTCCTCACCCCCGCACAACAATTTGCTGTCTGTTCACCTACCAACGCCGCCCCTCTCCTGAGCAGAGCCAAAACAAAATCAGTCACCATGGCTGAGCGCTACATCCCCGAGCATCGCCGCACTCAGTTCAAGGCGAAGAACACCTTCAAGCCTGAGGAGCTCCGCCGCCGCCGCGAGGAGCAGCAGGTCGAGATCCGCAAGGCCAAGCGTGAGGAGAACTTGGCCAAGCGACGAGGCATCGGCACCGGTGAGAACCGACCTGGTGCTTCCCTTGGTGCCGCCCCCGACAGTGACGATGAGTCCGCCCCCACAGAGTCCCAGGTATGTGCCTCCGCCTTTTTCCTTTCGCCTCTACTTTCCGTCTTGCATGGCCTGGGTACTTCATCGAAAACTCGCTTGCCCGCTCACCATGCCGTCCCTCCCGCCTGGCGATGTGGGGGGAAGACACTTCCCTATAACCCCACATTCTGCCGCCGTGAACTTGAGCAGACCCGGCTGATGCCCACGTCCCGCCCCATGGTCCTTCCACCATCACCCTGGGTCGGCGAGAGGGTACCCCCTGGCTATACTATCGCTTCGTCAAGATCTCCAAGATGACCTGTGCTGACTTCTTGGAACTAGCTGAACGAGGACCTCCCTCAAATGGTCGCCGGTGTCTTCTCGGAACAGATCGATCTCCAGATCCAAGCCACCACCAAGTTCCGAAAGCTTCTCTCCAAGGAGCGAAACCCCCCGATCGAGGAGGTTATCAAGACTGGCGTCGTCGCCCGATTCGTCGAGTTCCTGCGATCCCCTCACACCCTGGTCCAGTTCGAGGCTGCCTGGGCCCTGACCAACATTGCCTCTGGTTCTGCCACCCAGACCCAGGTCGTCATTGAGGCCGGCGCCGTCCCCATCTTCGTCGAGCTCCTCGCCAGCCCTGAGCCCGATGTCCGGGAGCAGGCCGTCTGGGCCCTCGGTAACATTGCCGGTGACAGCCCTCACTGCCGCGACTATGTCCTCAGCTGTGGTGCCCTGAAGCCTCTGCTGAACCTGCTTGGCGACAGCCGCAAGCTCAGCATGCTCCGCAACGCTACCTGGACTCTCAGCAACTTCTGCCGAGGCAAGACTCCCCAGCCCGACTGGAACACCGTGAGTTGCACACACCATATCGAACCATGTGTATGTATGCTAATACCAGCCCCGTAGATTGCCCCGGCTCTTCCCGTCCTGTCCAAGCTTGTCTACTCTCTTGATGACGAGGTCTTGATTGATGCTTGCTGGGCTATTTCCTACCTTTCGGATGGCTCCAACGACAAGATCCAGGCCGTCATCGAGGCCGGCATCCCCCGCCGCCTGGTCGAGCTGCTCATGCACGCCTCCACCTCCGTTCAGACCCCCGCCCTCCGATCCGTCGGCAACATTGTCACCGGTGACGATGTCCAGACTCAGGTCATCATCAACTGCGGCGCTCTGCCCTGCCTCCTGTCTCTTCTGAGCTCGACTAAGGACGGTATCCGCAAAGAGGCTTGCTGGACCATCTCTAACATCACTGCCGGCAACTCGTCCCAGATCCAGGCCGTTGTCGATGCCAACATCATCCCTCCTCTGATTCATCTTCTCCAGAACGGTGACCTCAAGACTCGCAAGGAGGCTTGCTGGGCCATCAGCAACGCTACCTCTGGTGGCTTGCAGAAGCCTGAGCAGATCCGATACCTCGTCGCTCAGGGCTGCATCAAGCCCCTGTGCGACCTTCTCGGCTGCCCCGACAACAAGATCATCCAGGTGGCTCTTGACGGTCTTGAGAACATTCTCAAGATCGGTGACCTCGACAAGCAGGCTGCTGGTGAAAGCGCCGAGGCCATCAACCGCTACGCCCTCTTCATTGAGGAGTGTGGTGGCATGGAGAAGATCCACGATTGCCAGAACAACGCTAACGAGGAGATCTACATGAAGGCCTACAACATCATTGAGAAGTACTTCTCTGATGATGAGGAGAATGCTGATGAGGGTATGGCCCAGCCCGCTGGTCCTAATGGAACCTTTGGCTTTGGCGCCAACAACGCCCAGCAGTCCGGCGGCTTCAACTTTGCCAACGGTGGTGACTCGATGGACATGTAAGGGTCTAGTCTCGCCTTTGTTGGACACGGACATCCTCTATCCTCTAGGGGATCCGTGATGATGTCGTCAGGTCTTTCAACCTCTTGCCTTGGCATACCCCCACCCCTTCAAGCACATATCCCAGTTACCCCCCCCTACCTGGTACAGTTTTGCTAGACTGTCAAACACCCCCCCAACCCCAATGATATCACCCCGACACCGCGTCTTTTTAATCTATCTTGAAGGATTTATGTGAGGAAGGAGGAGCACCCTCGCAATGTAAACAGGCCCTATGGTAGCTTGAAAGCTCCAGCCTGAGAGTGAAGAAGGGAGGAGGAAGCGCAAGCAGAGGAGGCAATCCGTGTCTCGATCAGGGGAGCAGCAGAGCCGGCGAGAGTCGGTGGGTTCATGTAGAGAACGAAGGGCATCATGATGAATGGTGTGCAAGACTCACGGGACCCACGCAAGACTGTCGCCGAAGTAAGCTTGGTGGCATTTGAATGAGAAATGCTGCAGCTTGGAAGCCGGTGCTAGTGCACCCCAGCTTCTGCGATGGCGAACCTTGAAACTGCGGTCGATTCACCGCCAAGTGGTGGTGTGTCTGGTTGAAAGAGACCAAGCCCGTAGTAAAAAGAAAAAAGATATCAATGACCAATTTCCCCAAATTACTTGGATGACTTGTGAAGTGTGACGTGGCATATCTGGGCCCAGAGTACATGGCTGTGATTACGAGTGTGGCGGATCAGAGCTTCGAGCCCCTCACGCGAGAGTTCCAGTGTGGACGAGCCCTTGGAGCAGCAGCAGAGTAGTGGACCCATTCTCTGAATCAGTCCAGGTCGTATAGACTCTCTCGAGTTCAGGCTTGCTCAGCTACTTCTATCGACAAGACGAGAGTGAAGATCTATCATATCAACCGGTGTACTTCGTACTTCGTACCGTCCAGATGAGGGACACAACTGCGGGTGGGGCTGACACAACATGTTCGCACTGTAAGTGATATGACAAATATAGCTAACAACACAGTGCCTACTGTGCGCGATCAGCCACAATTTTTCCTTTCCTTCACACACACAATCCAACAGAGTACTGTTGCTGGCAGGATCATTACCCATTTCAGCGTCAAACAGCAACATCAGGACACTTCAACTCTGACCTCTCAGCCACAGACCAGGCCTCCCCACGAATTGCGCGGCCAGATCTCCTGAATACTATTGGTTTGCTATCGATCAGCCTTTCGACGGATCGCTTCCACAGCACAGACATGATCTGGATCGTCAGAGTCCTATAGCTCCATCCCCATCTCTTTGTCACCCAAACGCATCTGCATTCAGCCTAAACCATGGTCAAGAAAGGCAAGGCAAAGGCCGACACCCCAACCCCGAACCCTTCGGCGGGCAAGGACCAAGGCAAGGGCAAAAAGGGCCAGAAACAGGGCGCTCCAGCTCCAGCTCCCGAGGGGCCACCTCCGAAACCCACAGTGAAGCAGCTTATCGGAGGCTCTTCATGGACTGGAAAGTTGCCAGTAAATCTGTTGAGCGAGCACTGCCAGAAGCAACGTTGGGACAAGCCCGATTTTGACACCAGGAAGACCCCTGATGGCTTCTCCGTCTGGATCACCCTGAGCGCCAAGGACCTCAAGACACAGGAGCTCGTCAAGCTTGAGCCTTTCAAGATTCCCACAACCCACAAGCACTTGATTCTACGACCCACCGCTATCGAGGCCAAACATGCGGCTGCTACCTATGCCCTTTTCAGGGTTTGCAGCATGCTGAACAAGCACATGGTCCTCCCACCGGATCACAAAGCGCTATGGAAGGAGTTCCAAGCGTTGAAGGCTGAGGATGTCAAGGAGGGAAAGGCCTGGATGTACGAGGCGGACCCTTTCAAGACTCTCCAAGAGCGCCAGGACGCCAAGTCTAATGCCGAGAAGAAGAGGAAGGAGATGGAGGCAGCCAAGGCCAAAGCCAAGGCCATGCCTGGAGCGTCGGGTCTGGCGCTGATGAACGGTGACGGTCGGTCTAACATCATGAAGGGCTGGACTACCGCGCCTAAAGTCGAAATGGGAAGGAAGACCAGGTCACAGCTGGAGACTTTGCTGCGAGGCGGTGTGACCTGGAACCCTCACAAGATTTCCATGCCCAAGTCTAAGAAGGATGCTATTGTGACTGAGCTGAGCAAGCTCGGGTTCCGACGCAGCCATGCGGAAGAGGCAGTGGAGTACTGCAAGGACAGGGAAGAGACTCTCGAGTGGTTGCTTATCCACATACCGGAAGACGACCTCCCTCGGTGGGCGCTACCGGAGAGCTACTCGGCCGGTGTATCTGTTGGGGCCACGGACCTTAAAAGGGAGGGCATCATCAAGCGCCTGTCCGAAACGGGTTATTCTCTCGAGCTGGCCACGAAGGTCCTCGATGAACAAGGCGGTGACGAGGATAAGGCAGCCGAAACACTCCAAAACCTGCTCTTCTCAAGCAAGGTTGAAGCTGACAGCGACTCTGATTTCCTGGACATGGGATCTCCCGAGGAGCAATGGGAGGACGAGGTTGGAAGCCTAGAGGCTATATATGGCGAAGGCTTTGAACGCGATGGCGACAAGGTCATCCGTATCAAGTTGGATTCAGTCAAGAACGGACCTCAAGGAAACGTAGAGACATTCTTGCAAGTTCGCAGGGCGGCCACCTATCCAGCAAACCTCATACTCTCCATTGTCGCTAACCTTCCCTCTTATATCAAGCTGAGCATCATCAGGAAAGCTTTGCAACATAGCGAAGAGGCCTTAAGAGACGAGCCTACTAAGATCTTCCTAGTTATGGACTGGATTCAGCAGAACATCAACAGCATCATCGAACATCCCGGAAAGCTGGTGGAGATTTCCTCCGTTTCTTCTGCAGCGTCTGAGACGAAGCCGATCGCGGCTATTTCAAGCACCCAGCGGTCACATCGCCACGTAAAGCCACTCAAGTGGATCGAAAGTCCCCGGAGCAGAGAGCAGTGGCTGCGGCGACAACAATCGCCTTCTCTGAAAGATATGATTTCGAAACGCAAGAAGCTGCCGGCGTGGCACATGTGTGACGCCATTGTGAGAACGGTTGAAGAAAACCACGTTACCATTATCAGTGGAGAGACGGGTTCAGGAAAGTCGACTCAGTCGATGCAGTTCATTCTTGATGACCTGTATGAGAGGGGACTCGGTGGGTGTGCAAACATCATCGTGACGCAACCGCGACGAATCTCAGCTTTGGGACTGGCGGATCGTGTGGCGGAAGAGAGATGCACTCGGGTTGGCGACGAAGTGGGATACGCTATCCGTGGCGAATCTCGCAGGTCCAAGGATACCCGGATCACATTCGTGACGACTGGTGTGCTTCTGCGACGACTCCAGACTTCTGGAGGACGGGTAGAGGATGTCGTGGCAGCTCTGGCGGACGTCAGTCACGTTGTCATCGATGAAGTGCACGAACGGAGTCTTGATACCGACTTCTTGCTGAACCTCATTCGTGAAGTCATGAGGATGAAACAGAATACTCTGAAGCTCATCCTCATGTCCGCTACGCTTGATGCGTCAACTTTTGCGAACTACTTTACTTCTGAAGGACTGAGTGTTGGTATGGTTGAAATTGCTGGCCGAACGTTTCCGGTGGAAGAATATTACCTTGACGACGTTGTCCGAATGACTGGGTATGGCATCGACAGGGCTGACACCGGACTCATATCTGGTGATACCATGGGCAAGATCATCCAGAAGATGGGCCACCGCATAAACTATAACCTCATTGTGGAGACTGTCAGGGCCATCGATTATGAGCTGTCATATGAAAAGAAGACTGGCGGAATTCTCATTTTCCTCCCTGGAGTAGGCGAGATCAACCAAGCGTGTGGTGCCCTGAGGCAGCTCGGATCACTTCATGTCCTCCCTCTGCACGCATCGCTCGAGACACGAGAGCAGAAGAGGGTGTTTGCTAGTGCACCACACGGCAAGCGCAAGATCGTGGTCGCGACCAATGTGGCGGAAACTTCCATCACCATTGACGATATAATTGCCGTTATCGATAGTGGCAAGGTAAAGGAAACGAGTTTCGATGCGGTCAACAACATGAGGAAGCTCGAAGAGACGTGGGCATCGCAGGCAGCTGGCAAGCAACGACGTGGTCGAGCTGGTCGAGTCCAAGAGGGTAGATGTTACAAACTCTTCACCGAAAACTTGGAGAAGCAGATGGCCGAGCGACCAGAGCCCGAAATTCGACGTGTACCCCTAGAGCAGCTGTGTCTTTCGGTTCGTGCCATGGGCATGAGGGACGTTGCAGGGTTCCTTGGACGGTCCCCGACACCTCCTGACGCAACTGCCATCGACGGTGCAATGAAGCTGTTGCGGCGAATGGGAGTGTTGGATGGAGATGAGCTCACGGCCATGGGTCAGCAGCTGGCCATGCTGCCTGCGGACTTGCGATGCGGCAAGTTGATGGTGTTTGGCGCCATCTTCGGCTGCTTGGACGACTCTGTGACCATTGCGGCTATCCTGAGCACTCGAAGTCCATTCGTTTCCCCTTCAGAGAGGAGGGATGAAGCGAGAACAGCCCGAATGAGGTTCTGCAAGGGAGACGGCGACCTCTTGACGGATCTGGAAGCCTTCAAGCAGTGGGATGACATGATGCAAGATCGGATGCCCCAACGTCAAATCCGAAGCTTCTGCGAAGAGAGCTTCCTTGCGTACCAGACCCTGACCGATATCTCCAACACGCGATCTCAATACTACTCAGCGCTGGCCGAGATTGGCATTGTCACATCATCAGAGGCTTCTAGCGAGGCACATGCTCGAGGCGCCTACGCAGGCGGCTCGCAACTCTTGCGGGCGCTGATTGCAGCGGCCTTTACACCGCAGATTTCACGAATCCAGTATCCCGACAAAAAGTTCGCGAGCTCCATGTCCGGTGCGGTCGAGCTGGATCCTGAGGCGCGTGCTATCAAGTACTTCAACCAGGAGAACGGGCGGGTATTTGTGCACCCAAGCAGCACGCTCTTTGGTAGCCAGGGCTTCTCGGGAAATGCGGCCTATATGTCGTACTTTACCCTCATCTCGACAAGCAAGATCTTTATTCGAGACCTCACTCGTAAGTCCATGGACAATCTGATCCGACCCTTTTGTGACGATAGCTAACTCGTTCCAGCGTTCAATGCGTATACGCTGCTGCTCTTCTCCGGTCCCATCGAACTAGACACGCTAGGCCGAGGTCTTCTTGTTGACGGATGGCTACGGCTCAGAGGATGGGCCAGGGTTGGAGTCCTGGTGGCGAGGTTGCGTGGGATGGTGGATGAGTTGATTGCGAAGAAGGTGGAGAGTCCAGAGCTGGGGCTCGAGAACAACGAGGTGATCAAGTTGGTTACGAAGATGATAGAGCTCGACGGATTAGATGCTTAGACGAACGTATCATTGGATTGGGAGGAGGTGTTTGAATTGGGTATACTATTCGCGCCACAAGGAATGAGTATTGCTATTCGCATACATTCAAAATGCTAATCGTATACAAGTATAACTTTTTATACCTAAACTTACCCAGATAGTACAAGATATACCTGGACTGTATGCCCGCTTTGAGGTATCTTATTCTGAAGAGTCTCCAGTTTCCACTTTAAAATAAATTAAAAGATAAAATTCAAATAGCAGAACTCAGAGGATAAATACTTAGAGTAAAGCTTATTTAATTTTCTTAGGTTTAATATACTAATAGGCATATCGATGAGACGTCTTGGTGAAATTGGCCTATATACTTCAGTGTGCGAGTAGTATTTTGAGTGTGTGCGAATAGCAATACTCATTCGCAAACATAACTATTTGAGGAGCCTCGTTGTTTACGGTCGCTGTGACACGAAGCTAGACCTACAATATGCGGTAATCATGAGTCCGGAAGAGAAGTCCTGGAGAAGAATCGATGACGAGTAATTATGGAAAAATAGGAAAGGAGGCAGTCGTTGGTAAAAATACAGCGTAACTTTACCCGTCGTGTTAGTGGCTGTACGTCGAAGGCTTTTTGGTGAGACTTGACGGCGGGGCTCTCTGGCTGCCTGTTGTGGACTGAAGACCTTGACTCAGCGCCTCAGTCGGACGCCATTTCATCTCTTACAAAGCCGCCAGAGAAAGACATCAGACGAAACAATGGCGCATGAGGACTCTGGCCCAGAGGAAGCCATGACGATGGAGGAGATTCGCGGAGAGGAGCCACCGCCAAAGTCCAAGATGCGCAATGCCTGTGGGTTGCTCCCACCACGGTGAGGAGAGACTGTGCTTGGACTGACACCCGCGATAGTCTCAGAGCTCATGAACCCCAAGCCCAAGGCTGCCGCTCCTCCGCCGCCGCCCAAAATGTCCCGCGGAGGGAATCCGTTCAGGGACCGGATGGGCCTGGGCGCCTATCTCGAAGACCCGGCGTCGTACCCGTCATCCCGCGTCATCTCGCACAGCGACGACTTCGTCGTCATCAACGACCGCTATCCCAAGTCGGTCGTCCACACGCTGCTGCTGCCGCGGTCGACCAGCCACAACCTGATGCATCCGTTTGACGCCTTCGACGACGCGGAATTCCTCGCCAGCGTCAAGCTCGAAACCGCCAAGCTCAAGGCGCTCGTGGCCAAGGAGCTGCAGCGCCTCATCGGCCACGCCAGCCAGAGCGACGCCGCGCGACAAGCCGTCCTCAATGGAGACGCCGAGCCTCCGGCCTCCGGCCAGCTCCCGTCGGGCCGCGACTGGGACGCCGAGATCATCTGCGGTGTGCATGCGGTGCCCAGCATGAGGCATCTTCACGTCCATGTCCTGTCGCGCGACATGCACTCAGAAACACTACGCCATCGCAAACACTACAACTCCTTCACCACGCCCTTCCTGGTCAACGTCGAGGACTTCCCTCTGGCCCCCGACGATCCGCGACGGCACACCAAGGAGGCTGGGTACATGCGCTGGGATATGAAGTGCTGGCGCTGCGGTCGCAACTTCGGGAACCAGTTCCAGAAGCTCAAGACCCATCTCGACGACGAGTACGAGCAGTGGAGGAGGCAGTGAGCCCATGACGGCGGATTGTTCACCAGTGACGGCTGACCAGGCTAGAAAACCACGGAGAATTGACGAGGGCAACTTTATAAAAGCAACAAAACCCTGAACGTATACAATGCCCGAAGGCGCAAGCAAGTAGCAAAACCGAACAGCCCCCAATTAGATGCCGGAACCCCATGACCGTGCAATACATAATCCAGCGACGACACGTCGCCCTAAAGAATGAGTCCCCCAACCTAGCACGGATGAACGTGCTCGTATTAAGCCAATATCGAGTGGTCGCGCGTGCTTGGCGATCCCAGAGACCGACTAGTCCGAGTGGTCATCGCCCAACTCCTACAACCATAATCAGCTAAAAAAGTTCTTGAGGCTCGATATCCAGGGTGATGGACGGACCTCCTCACTGCCGTCGTCGGCTGCGTCGTGGACGTCTTCGGCGGCATCGTTATCTTCCGTCTCAGCTAGAAACGCGTGAGCGATGTCGCATAGGACGCGACGTGGGACGCGAATCCCGAGCACTTACCTTCACCCACAACATCAGGCTGTTCTTCATCGTCGTTCTCCGCGTCAGACTTGGCAGCCGCAACGGGGAGCTTGCGAGGCCTGCCTCGCCTGCCCGCCGACTTGGGAGTGGTCTTGGGAGTGGTCTTGGGCGACTTGACGGGGGTTGCGTCTCCCTTGCGAGGCCGTCCTCGGCGTCTCGTCGCATCGCCGTCTGCGACAGCCTTCGCGACAGCGGCAGGCTTGGCCTTCGTGATTCCCTTGGGGCGGCCACGGGGGCGTCCGGTGGGAACATAGACCTTGGGGGGGTTGTCACCACGCGGGCGACCACGGGGACGGCCCGATGGCTTCTTGACGCCGCCGTCCGACTTCGCGATGCGAGGCGAGGCATCGGCCGCCTCCTTGGCCGCGACGACGTCCTGCTTGGTGCGTGCCATGGCGAAGAGTTGCGGTGAGTAGAGACGAGGAGAAAATCGCAAGAAATTACCAGTATCGAGCGCGACGGTACAAATGGGAGATGGATGTCAGAGGGAGAAGGTGTGAAATCGGAGTTGCGGATGGTGATGTTGTGAAGGTTACTTGTCGCAGCTCTTCCAAGTCGCGCCGGCCGGCTTAAGCTAGAAGGAACGCGTTCTAGGTTTCGCGTGCACGCCCCGCGTTTGTGATAGTGCACAATACTTGTTGTGAACAGTGTAGATAGAATTAATGTGTAATTTCTTGCGAAAACAAGGCAACATGTGGTTAATTATTTATGTCACCCTAAGCCACAGTGCGCCACGTCCACTAGGCCTTAACTGTAGCACCATGTCCCCCTAGTGTGGCGGATGCTGTGGCCCAAGCTCCTCGAGTCCACAGCACCTACCTAGCTAAACCAACTAACCAAGTCAGGACAGAGCGAACAAGCCCCCCCGGCTGTTTACCCTGGCAACAGCGCATGACGCCTAGTAAACAAATCGGCCAGCACAAAGAGGAATGCCATGTACCACATCCTCCGCCAACGACTCCACGACAGCATCTACGACACCCACGAGGCATTGTTGACGATGGCTCTCGACCCACGACTAATGCCTGCTGAGCACCGCGTTGTGCACTCCTCAGCCTCCACCCCATCGCTACGATCGCGCGATGGAACGCTGCCACCGCACGCGAGGGTAGACGGAGGGGGAAACGTCAAGGTCGTCGTGCGAGTTCGAGCCTTTCTCAAACGAGGTGAGCATCTAAATGCCAAATGCCTCTACTCATTCAAAACCTCTCGCTAACATTTGGCGTCCAACAGAGCTCGACCGCCGCGCAAGATGTCTGATCGAGATGGACCCCATCACCCAGCTCACCACGCTGCTCACCCCAGATGAAGAAGACTCTCCCGCCAACACCAAGTCTCGCAAGGTCTTCGAAGAGAAGAAGTTTACTTTCGACAGCTCGTTCTGGAGTCATGACACCAACGACAATCACTATGCCCACCAGGAGGATGTTTACAACAGCCTCGGCGAGGAGTTCCTAGACCACAACTTTGAGGGCTACCACACCTGTATCTTTGCCTACGGCCAGACCGGTTCTGGAAAGAGTTACACCATGATGGGGACGCCCACCCAGCCGGGCTTAATCCCCAGGACCTGCGAGGATCTCTTCGAGCGAATTGACGCCGCCCAAAACGAGAACGCCAACATCGCCTACAACGTCCGTGTCTCCTATTTTGAGGTTTACAACGAGCACGTCCGTGATCTACTCGTTCCCATGTTGCCCAACAAGCCTGCAAACTACCTCAAGATCCGCGAGTCCCCGACAGAAGGCCCCTACGTCAAGGATCTCACCGAGGCGCCCGTACGAAACTACGACGAGATTCTACGCTTCATGAAGAGGGGAGATTCGTCTCGAACTGTCGCCAGCACCAAGATGAATGACACCAGTAGTCGAAGTCATGCCGTCTTCACCATTATGCTAAAGCAGATCCACCACGATATGGAGACGGACGAGACCACAGAGCGGAGCTCCCGAATTCGACTTGTCGATCTTGCCGGCAGCGAGCGAGCCAAGGCTACTGAGGCTACTGGTGCACGTCTTCGGGAGGGTAGCAACATCAACAAGTCGCTCACATCGCTGGGACGTGTTATCGCTGCCCTGGCCGACCCCAAAGCGCATCGAGGCGGGAAGCGAAAGGATGTTGTCCCATACCGAGATTCCATTTTAACATGGCTCCTGAAGGACTCGTTGGGTGGCAACAGCAAGACTGCCATGATTGCTTGCATTGCTCCCTCTGACTACGATGAGACCCTTTCAACTCTTCGATATGCCGACCAGGCCAAGCGCATCCGGACTCGCGCCGTGGTCAACCAGGACCAAATGTCGTCTGCTGAGAGAGATGCTCAAATTGCTGCCATGGCCGAAGAGATCCGCGTCCTCCAGATGTCCGTCTCCGACTCGAGGCAACGTGAGAAGAGCGCCAAGGATGCCGAGGAAAGGCTCGAGGAGTACCAGGATCGCGTTGCGGCGATGCAGCGCATGATGGAGGAGCGCGGCATGGTTGCGGAGAGCAAGATCAAGAAGCTCCAGACTGAGAACGAGGCTCTCAAGCTCCATCTCAAGCTTGCGATCGAGAGTCTCAAGAACCCCATTCCTGTTGTCACGGTCAGGCCAGACAAGAAATTCAACGAGATGGGCGAAGATATCACCGATGAGGATGACAAGGAAAATGCAGAGAATCATTCCGACTACGACGAAGAGTACGACTCTGAGAGCACCGCCTACAGCGACGACCTACAGGAAGAGATGCAACAATATCTCCAGGACATGGGCAACCTGCGAAAGCTCATTGGCGGCGATGTTTCCAGGTTCAAGGACGAGGCCACGGCTCGTATGCCGCTGGGCCAGAGGGAGAATGTTTGAATGGTGACGACAATGGCCCCAAGGGGAATTGCAGATTGCATGGACGGGAGCATGGTGTTTTGGGAGCGCTTCGATTTTTATGCCGGGATTGAATGAATGTCCTTGGTTGGAATTTGCTGGACAAAGAGGTTTATAGTCTTAAAATACAAAAGAGTTTGTCAACTTTATCTTCGTCTCGGCCGTGAACGTTGATGTGGCCTTAGTCGAGTCGACGCAAGCCGATCAAGGTGACGGATAGCTGTCAACATGGCCCTCTGAACTTCTCAACTCGCAGAGTATGCCCCATCCAAAAGTTAATCGAAGGAGAGATGTGCTGGGTGAAGCTATCTCAACCGAAGATTTATCGACCCGTTGGTGTTAGAACGGCAACCCTGTCGAGTTTTGGAGACACTCCTAACCATCAAGGGCAGGTAGTATAGACGGACAGCGTTCCTTCCAGGCTTGGTCGACCGCTTAGCTCCTTCTACAATCATCTTCATGCAAGCGTCAACAACTCTTCTTGTTCTATTTGCCTCATTCGCCCCAGTTGCTTTCCTCTTCCCGCATCTCCATTTCCATAAACAACACACACCCTTTGCTTTCTTCTTCCCGTATCTTCATAAACAACACATATACTTAGACAATACACTTCCACAGAAGACGCAATGCCTACCTGCAACTTATTCTGTTGTCCAAATCGGATCGCCTACCCCGAAGGGCGCACACAAGACCGCCTTTACGGTCGGTGTGTCACAACAACGACTATCACTGCTGCCACATCGACGATGGAAACGACGGCAGATGTTTTGTGTATCCGGAAACTACGACTCTTCCGCGCCGCCTTGACCTTGACCCTCGACTACCTCAATTATGCCAACACGTCGATGGAGCTGGAGATCCTCAGTTGCCGTGCCAAGGAGTGGTGCACGGCATACTACCAGGGACATGAAATCTTCGCGGGCCTACCAAAGGATCTCTTTGAATTCATGCCGTTGTTCTTCTTCTTCAGAATACCGTCTTGGTACCGGATGGATGCGCCGGCACGGGGGCTCCGTGCCTGGAGAGTAGATCTCTTTGCCGACGATCCAAGCATGAGATCTGTCGTCGTACAAAAAACGGAACTAGGCAGCCGAATCTTGGACGAGATCATCAGAGAGCACGGAAGCAATCAGCCTGGAAGAAATCGCCAACACACCAATTTCTACGGTAGAGATCGCTACACGCAGCACCGCATCCCTTTCAACGCCGAGGACTTGCGAAATACACCACTCATGTACCACCTCCCCCAAATCGTATACTACATCTCAACCCTCGACGGCTCCGTGCTTGACACCAAGGATCCGCTGTTGCTCCTCGATCCGCCGTGCGGAGATACGATGGCCAAGTTGGTACGCAAGTAGGGAAGCTTGTTAGGAAACTGTGCAAACAATAGCGAATAGCGGGAGGAGGGTTCCAAGTGATTCTGGGGATGGGCAGTTAGGCTTCGTAAAGTACAAGAATGAAAGATACCAGCGCTGTTTCTGAGCCTCTTAAGCTATTGCCGTGAAGATACCCATGTCCCGGTAGAGTGTGATCACCCCTTCCAAAGAAGCTCGTACTCAACGATAATACCGGTATATCAACAAAGACCGTGTGTACAAATAGTTAAAGATGTAAACCCTTTTCACTTCTCCCAAGTCAACTAGTTGAGAGGCAAGCTAGACAGCACAGCCAACTTATTTGCCGGAGCAGTAGCCGACCTTGCTGGGCTCGCAGCCGCCAGCGCAGCCCTTGTACATGACACAAGGGTTTTTGGCATCAGTGCAAACGTTCTTGAGGGTGGCAGTGTCACCGTAGTTCTGGTTGATGCCGACAACCTCGCCACCGTTGCGAGCAGTAACGCCCTCGACGTAGACGTTGCGCTTGCACTGAGTCTTGCACTAATGGTAGAGTTAGTCAAGCAGCTTGGATGGTTCTCGTGTATCCGGAGGGAACGGGTGCTTACGTTGCCGCAAGATCGGTAGACTTTGCCGTAGTCCTCGGCGTAGAAGTTGATGATGTTGACAGTACCGCAGCCATTGTGCTGGATGACCTTGTCCTCAGCGTGGTAAGCACCACCGCCGATGATCCAGGACTCCTTGCCAGCCTTGTCGTTTTTCTAGATACAGTCAGTCCTAAGTAGCAATACAAAAGGCAGGGAGGTGGACTCACGATCGAAATGGCATCCTCACAGACGTCCTCGAACCAGACGAATTCAAGAGTACAGTGGCCATCGCAGTGGACACCCTCCTTCTGGTTCTTGCCAATGATAGCATTCTTCAGGGTACCACCCTCGCGGACGACAAAGACAGCATCGTCGATGCCTGAATTAGAAGATATATCAGCGCCACTCCGCTTACACGAAGTCGAATTACTTACCGCCCTCACCACCACCGCAAGCACCGGAGCCACGGTCGAACCTGGCCCACTTGCCATCGTAAACTTGACCCTTCTTGACCTCTATATACTGCTTGTTGCTGTAGGTGGTGGTAGCCTTGGGGACACCGCCCTCATATCCAAGGCAGGCAAGTGCCGAGGGGAGGAGGGCAGCTAGGACGCCGACTTTGGTGAAGAGCATGATGAATATGAGGGTGATTCTTTGGTTTGAGAGGGAAGAAATGAAGATTGTCTGAAGGAGAATGCTGGAGGGTCGATAGAAGGCTTTTAAGATACTTACAGCGGGATTTCTCGAGCCTTTATATGTCACTAACTCCTCCAGACTGGATCATCCGGAAACATGTCACTTCGTATTGCCGCCTCCCATCATTAACGGGCTTGTTCTTCAGAGGCGTGCTCTTCGTCAAGACAGGGTATCCCGATTCCACCCCGAGGATCCGTTAGGCTCGTCCAGCTCGGTTCAATGGCCCGGATGGGCAAGGGAGCCAAGCAGTTGAGAGACCCCACGGCGCTGTTTCAGAAACAGTATAGGGATAATTTAGCTGCACCCCATAATCCTTCCTCCAATCGAAGAAGCTCGGGATGATGCTCTTGGCCTCCCGCCCTCACCCTCACGGAGCCTGCCGAGCCCACCCCACGAGAATTACCTTGCTTCGTGGCAAGTTAAGGCGCAAAGTTGAACCCCTGGGTCATTTCCGGAGGGCTCCCAAAGGTACCCTTGCGGCACATGTGGCAGTGGCGGAGCTATCCAGAGTAGGGATGTGAAGTAAGGTTAAAATCAACCATGCCAAAATCCAACGGTTGTGTATGGCCCGTCAAGTCTTGAGCATCACATTCGGGTACAATCCCATCCGAACCGTCAGCCGATTAACCGTGGTGTAAGCTTGTTTTTCAGCGCGATCTCCGGGTAACACCCTAAACAGACCTGGCAGTTCCAGGAGCCATCAGTCGATTTGCACCAGCCTATATTAGGGAGGAATACTAGCTTCCGAAGATGAAGCCATCTTCTTTGCCACCGTATACGAGCTCCAGTTGCCAGGCTACACCCTAAGAGACCCCGAAGCATTTTGAACCTAGTATCTGACAGACAGGACCATCAAGTATACAATGTTTAGCATGCGGCATCTGAATTGCCAAGACCCCTTGATGGCCCGTGAGAAGATAAGAAGTCACATTCACGATGAGCCAAGTCGGGCCGTGATCCTCCATTTGGCAACACATTGGACGATTCTAACATCTCATTGGTGGATCTCTCGGGACCGACCTACCTGTTGTCCTGAACCTAAAATGGAGTGAATCGCGAGGGCGAATAGTGTGAGGATGCGATCTGGGAGGCTAGATAGCTAGATAGCTAGATTTTCTGAGTTGTTCACGGAAGAAGAAGAGTCGACGACCTGGTATAGTTCCCATCATCTGCGTCTTTGTAGGTGAAAGGACCCGGAGATGCGAGGGCGACGGCCCATGGAAGTGTGATTCGGCGACCGAGAAGGGCCCAAGGCAGTCTTCACGATGAAAGATGATTTGCTCCATTTGTTGGGAATCCAGGCGGAGGCAACTCGACCTCCAGGTGCTCCGTGCTAACACCAGCAATCTGAGGTTCAAGAGAGTGACTGGTTTAAATTGTTCGGTGGATAGTCACTTGCAATGCCACCAGTAGAAGTCGATCAAAGGATCCATTAGCGTTGCAACAGATAATGTCAATCCGGCAGGGGAAGACATCTCTGATTCCAGTCCACCACACCTGTTTGTCAATGTTTTGGTTCTTGGCTCTCTGTTCAGCATTAATTCATTCTCAAGCCCCAAGGTTCCTCGCAATCTGAAGCAGTCACGAGAGAAATCCATTGTCGTCATATGACGGACGTTTGCTGTGATTCAGGCGCATAATCAAATCTCACTCTAATCCATCGCCGTGTTCTCGGGTTGGCGGCCTTGTCCTGTGAGCGTCCGGCGCAGCATGGGCAAGGGTTCGGATTCCGGCTACTTGATGAACCCCTGCGTCGGTCGATTCCCCTCGTGTGTCCTGTCCAGTCTCCTGGGCACGTGAAGTTGCGACCAAGTGAATGATCCGCGCCGACGTCTTACTCATGAGAGATACACATCCGAGATCAAACCTTCGGTGGTGGGCCTCGGGGCTTTATCATCGGGCCTACCGCCGCCCAGGTCCGCCATATCGAACGGGAGAGGCGTCGAGAGTCCTGAATTAGAAGGTGCTTTTTTTTGGGGAGTTTCGGCAAGCCTTTATTATTGGCTTCGGAGCCTCCAAATGTGAGTTTCCCGATGACCGTGAGTCGATGGTTCTCACGGGTATATGTGGTGATGTACGGAAGCAGGCAAGGGAGCGGACAGCGAAGCACGGTGAGGCCGTAACGGTGAGGCCGGATAACGGTGACATCGACGGTGAGCAAAGAATCAATCAATCAACCCACTGCACTGGCGGAGTGAGTGGATTCATTCACCTCAAGAGGACCATGTAAGTAGCTGTCGGTCAGTCAGCCCGCTTTTCGTCCATAGGGCACCCGCTATCAATTATTGTCTTGTCGCAGCACCGCGGCAATACGGTGGTGCTGTAGCAACTGATGGGCCCTCTGGCTAGCTGCTTGGCTGTTGATGGATGCTGCGGCCGCTACTCCCGCCATCGACGTCTCACATTGTGCCGTATCCCGTCGTGTTGAGGGGCGTCGTGTCAATGTGAATGTAGGTATGTACGGAGTATGTACGTCGTATGCCGTGTGCTGGATGCTGCGTAAATTTGAAAGTCCTGCTACGTGGTCGCGCTCCTTCCTTTTTTTCGTCTGGGCTATTATGCGCCACCTTGGGCGATCGTCAGGCACCCAAGCTCCCCAACTACCGTCGGCATGCGATTTCACGTTGGTGATACACCATCAAATTCACTCCCGCGCCAAGTGACGCCTCTTACACTAGCTTGACTGCTCATTCGCACTCCGAGTCCTGAGGCAAACACCTTGGGCCGCTCCCCGTCGCGCCTGCCCCTTCCACATACCACTCTGCTTGTTTACGAGGAAGGCAGAGAGCCCTGTCCAGGTGGCTGATAGGCAGGTGCCGTCCGATCCAGGGGGTTAGCTCCCGTGCACTGACTTAGACCTCCCTAAACCGCTGGGCGTCTAGTCTGACGTGCCCCTCAGTCAGCTCCTACGTACCTCGATCCCACTCCGCCGCTTCACCTCCGGCTCCGTCTCCGTCGCCGCATCTACACCTCCCGTCACCGGCCTCAACCTTCACTCTCCCCTCCAGTCCATTCCCCCTTTTCTCCACTCAACCTTGTTCGCTCAGCATCGCCAACGTCGTCGCCCGCCCGTCATGTCTACGCGCCCGCAGCTCTTCACCCGTGGCCTCTCCGGCCTCGCCCAGTCGTCCGATGCCAACTCTCCCGCCGAACAGCGCGACGATGCGAAGCGCAACTTCCTCAAGACGATGAGGCCCCTGCCCACCCAGCACTACTGGAACGTTTACTTCGACCGCCATATCAAGGAACCGGCTCAGGGCGACAACGCCGAGTCGTACACCGCCCAGCTCGATCAGCTGGGCGAACAGATCGAGTCCGTCCAGGACTTCTGGCGCTACAACAATAACACCCCCGTCGACAACATCAAGATGCGCGAGTCCATCTACCTCTTCAAGGCCGGTTTCCGCCCCATCTGGGAGGACCGCCGTAACATCCTTGGCGGCAGCTGGACCTTCCGCGTCCCAAAGAGCATTGGCCCGGATGTCTGGAACCGTGTCCAGCTCCTGGCCATCGGCGAAACCCTCCAGAGTGTCCTTGACGACGGTATGCGTGTTCCGCCCCCCTTTCCACGCTCCACACCCACCCATACTGACATGTATTATCATAGAGGACCAGCTCTGCGGCGTCGGCCTCTCCGTCCGCTTCAACTCCCACCTCATTTCCATCTGGCACCGCGACGCCTCCAAGAAGAACTCGGTCGATGCCATCCTCGCCTGCATCCTTGAGGATCTCCCCGAGGAGCTGCGCCCGAAGCCTGACAGCTACTTTTACAAGAGGCACTCCGATCACGCTGGCTTCAAGGCTCCCCCTGAGCTACAGGCCGTGATCGACTCCCAGAAGCGCACCGAGGAGTTGGCGGCGGCAGCCGAGAAGGATACCCCAGCCGATGACGCCGCTGACAAGCCTGAGGTGACTGTGCAGTCTCCTCAATGAATCACAACGTCATAAATCTCGTTTGGATTAGTTACACGGGAGATATCTCCGAGGTCGATATCACGAACACATCCCGTGATGGGCGGGAAATTGCATCTTCCATGGCGTTTCAGAATCGGTGGAATTATCATAAAATGGCCAAGACCATTACATACTGTAGTCGAGTTAGAAATTCTCTCGGCGCCTCAAACTTAAACCATCTCAGGAATCAAAATAACGGCCGTTTCTCATGACTTTGCACTCCTCTCTTGGCAAATACCCGCCAGACCGCACATTGGATGCGGTTCCAAGAGCAGGCGGCCCCTGGCGAGTCATCGTCTCATGTTGGCACCCGCGCCATTCAGCTTGATCCCTACAGCTCTCTGCGACAACTTGCTGCTCCCTGCAAGGGTCCGTTAATTAGAACCTCGAGCCCCGCCATTGCCGGCCGGGAACATACCTTGAGTTGTCTGAGCATCATGTTCAGTGAGTCGGTGCCAAGCTGTGGCGAGCAGGTGGATGAAGCAGCTCCGAGAAAGAGGAGCTTGCGCCCAGTCGATAATCAGACCTACTAAAGCCAAGTCCTTTTGGTTTCGGCTCACCGGAATGGCGCGCGACTTTCCATCAACGTCCCTTCATTGGCATCCTTGGTAATTTGCACGTAGTGAGGGGCGGAAAGGAGGTGGTGGCTCAGACATTCACCTCCAGACACCCGCACTCTTCATCACCCCGTCAAACTCCTCAGGCCCCACGCCCCGCGCAACGCCAGCGCCGCCGTTAGCCTCCAGGATCATGTCCTTGAGTAACTCCTCATCGACGTCCTCTTTGAGCACAGCGGCGACGCGGCGGAGGTGTGCGAGCGTGATGGGTCCGTCCTGGCCGTTGGTAAATAGGCGGAAAGCCTCGTCCAGCTCAGCTTGGTGCGCATCCGAGTCGTGCTCGCGCGTGTGGAACTTGAGCGCGCAGATGGCGAAGAAGGGTTCGAAGGTCGCGTAGCCGTCGGATTCAGGGTCGAGGATCGAGATGAATTCTTTCAGTTCGGCCGGGGACGATGCGGGGACGCCGAGGGCTCTGGATGCGCAAGAAAGGTCAGCTCGAGCTCGTCCAACACTGATGGATGGGACATACACCAGGGCGGACTTGACGTCGTCGATGGGCAGAACGCCCAGCTTCTCCCCGTCCATGGGCTCTGCAAAGAGACTGAAGGCCTCGCGGATCTCGCCCTCCTCCTGGGGCGTGACATTGTGCTCCTTCGCGAGCTTGGACTGGCGCGCCTTGGGGGCACTGCCGCTGCCGCTGGCGGTCGCTTTGCGCTTCGGAGGCTGTGGCATGTTGCGTCAGAAAGAGATGGCCGGCTTCAGTGCGATCCGCGACGTACCATGTGTGATGCGTGGGTTCTCGGACGCCGGAAAGTCTGAGTTTCTTTGACGGTTGGTTCACGGTCGTTGATGTCACCGGCTTCTCGCTTGGTCATTAACGCCATCAAGCACGGCGGTGCACCAACGACGCGACCTGACAGTGCTAACAGCCGTGCGTCGGCGTTATTCCAACTGTACGGGCCAGCTCCGCGACAAGCTCTTTATAAAAAATTCCCGCCGTCCCCAAACCAATACCTTCGATCATTCTTCATCACCCTGGTCGACACCCAGAACACTGGCAATCCGCGCTCCCGTTGGGAAACGATCAATCGCGATGTGCCCCTCCAGGTTTGTATCCGTGTCGATCAATCAATTCCATCAGTGATGTCGCAAACGTCTCGAGTGACTCTCACTCGTCAATTGAGGCTCTTCTGCCTCGAAATGACTCGAGCCTACCAAGGCCAAACCCCGCTTCAAATTATGCTAGAGCTTGCCGCCTCAGATTTTACTACAGCGAGCAAGTGTGGACAGTGAAGCAAAATGGAAAGAAGCCATGTCTACAAGACATGGTTCCATGGGTAGCAAACGATGCCAGTCTCTATGATTGGTGCCTCGCGATCCATGGAGATATACTTCAAATGAACCATCTGATTTGATATGTTTGTGTGTTCGTATGGTTGACTTTGTTGGCCTAGAGACCTCGTAGATTGGTTCCGCTCCTAAGAGTCGACTTTGCCATCTCATTGTCACCACCCATGACGCCGCTCTCCATGGTCACGAATGTCTCAAATAAAGTCCATACCCTCTGGCTCAGGCCTACCTACATCTTAGGCTCGGGAGACCTAGGATGTGGTCAATTGGATCCAGGTGGCCATGGGTTAATGTGTGAGACTGAGATACTTACTCACTTGAAGTTATTCTTCATCTCTCTCAACTTGGCCATAACCGATGTCGGCTCAGTCTCACCCGTAACCTGCTGGATCTCGGGATCCTGTCCAAGTTTGTCAACATGGTCTATCACTAGAACACTTAGCACCTGGAGTGCCTTACCTCGACTCGCATAAAGACGTTGTGTAGCTGGAAACTAGTCAGACCTTTGCTTCCGCACGTCAATGAGTTTGTCATACCTTCTCGTCCCCAATGGTAAACTTTCCAGTCGTCACCTTGTTGTTGTCGGCATATGAGTGTAGCTTTTGCACAGACTCACTCTGCGACACCGAAATGCCAAACTTGACATTGGATTTCGTGTACTCGTGTCCCGGCTGTGTACGGGTCAGGCATTTGTCAAATTGAAATATCCCCGCACGAGACTCACGTAAACAACAGTGTCATCTGGCAGGGCCGCAAGCCGCTTGTTCAGCGCCTCATGCATCTCCGCGGCCGAACCCTCAAAGAACCTTCCGCATCCTTGAGAAAGATCAGTGTTTGGTCTTCAGTCTGAATAGCAGGTCCTTGTGACGCTTCAGGCAACCTACCGCCGATGAAGAGGGTGTCGCCAGTGAAAACAGCCTTGTCGTTGCCGTCTTCCATGAAGAAGCATATGCTATCTTGGGTATGGCAAGGCGTGTGCACGCCCTTGATCGAGATGCTGCCAAGCTTAAAGGTCTCGCCGTGTTGCGGCGTCTTGGTAACGCCGTCACAGTCTTTACCGCCGATAATCTCCAGCTGCGAGATTCCCAGTTCCTTCAGCTAGTTTACTGGTCAGCGGTGTCCTCAAGATACGCCAGGTATTCCTATTACTTACCAGCTTTTTGTTGCCACCCGCATGGTCCCAATGGCTGAGATGTGGTCAGTGTGCGGGCAGAGCAAATGCATGGCCCGGATGCTTACTGATGAGTGTTCACAATGGCTGTCAGGTTGATCTTGCCCGCCTGGATAGCTTCCTTTAAAACGGGCGCAACCCTACCCACGCGCTGTCAGCTCGGATCATCGGGAATGGAAGCCATCCGCCATACTCCGGAGGATTCGCAGGATCAATGATCACAGCATCCTTAGATTTGTCGTCGATGACCAAGTAGGCATAGTTATCGTGGGAGCCCTCCCCTGCTCAGAGTCAGCCCTATCCCGATATCACAAACACCGGACCGGCGAGCGCATCATACACATAGGGATAGATTGGATATGCATAGCGCGGGATGCGATGGCCTAGGTCACAATGATTCAGCAACTATGTCCTTCTCGGTTTCTCGAAGTGAAGACGAACCGTAGCTGAAAGATATCCAAGTTTCTGTTTGAGAAAAGGTCGGTGGGTCGCGAGCCTATACATAGATGCCGAATGGGATGGGAGGATTTGTAATGTCGAGAAACGCGGGCAGGTCTCGGGCATTTGTCCATAAGTCCGCATCATGACGTTCGGTTGCGCTTGCGGCACGTGATGCCTCCGCAAGCCGGTCCAACACTGCCATCGAATATAAGTAGCTTCGAGAGGATGCCTATTGAATCACCTTGATGCACTACTTAGATAAATTCATGTATGGAATTTAATTATGGGTATCAAGCGTCTCCACACCTTTCAAGTTAAGCCTTTCCTTTAAACAATGCCAATGGGTTTGGCCTTCCAAGTGCCTTCAAATCGTGACCATCCACGGTCCTCTTGCGCCGGCTCAGGAACGTCCGCCGCTCGCAGAACATGTGCACCGTCCATTGGAGTATCCTTCGTCGCATTTGTCACCAAATCGGCCTCCTTTTGCTTCTGTGATTCTGCCTCTTTCAGCAGTTGAGATAGCTCCTGACACTTGAGAAAAGCCTTGTTTCCAGGTAGACTGTTGCGCACTTCGGCAATGGTCTCCAGCACCATATCACTCGACCATCGCTCCATTTCCTTGATCAATTTCCGTGACTGTGCCTCATCGTCCTCCCGTAAGTACGTTAGCACGGCCTCTCTACACGGATCTGCGGCATCGTCGCCAAGATGCTTCCAGTAGTAGTCCCAGATCCACAGCAACGCCTTCTTGGCCGCAGACCGCAGCTTGGCCAGCGAGGGTAGCTGTTCGTGGGTGCTCTGGTGCCGCAGCTCGACAAACGTGGCCGGCAGACTTATTTTCTTTGCAATGGAGTACATGCTCTGTTTTCGCTGCTTGTCTTGATGTCCGTCAAGCAGGCCGGTGACGAACCTGGTAGCTACGCATCAGCAATGATCGCGATGGACCGTCGAACAGGGATTCGATAGACAGAATTTAATAAAAGAACTTACCGACTAAATGCGGCTGAATACGCCGCCCGAATTGCATATGCCGACGACGCCGCGTTCTCCGATGATGCTGCGTCTTGGTCATTTAGCATCGCCGCCATCAGCAGCGCTGTTGACTCTACCATGTGCGGACAGTTGCCGCGCTGCATCCACATCGACACTCGAGCAACTGCACGGTGCTGCTCCCGCCGCGTCTCATTCTCTCTGTCTGCTTCACACTCTGTTGATTTCTGCTCGGGCTCTTTGGCGCTGCCGGTGGATGTGATGCCGTGAAATGAGGCGTAAAGCTGTCGTCGGACAAGTAAAAGCTCGGGGCGGTCGCGCCATGGCGTGAAGACGTAGTGCACCATTGCGCGGTCCTTGTCTAATTCTCCAAGTCGGCAGAGTTCAGAATGAAAGCAAATCAATTTTGTGTATGATTGCGTTGGCTGGGGTGTGAGTGAGAGTGCATGTGGCGGGAGAATCAATGAGTTTCGTAAGTAGGTATCGACAAGAAATTTTCCGGCAAGCCCTCAGGCCAGCTCTCAACTTGGTGGGCAAGATGTAAGCAACTCGGCGTCACGCAAAACCATCACGAATTTTTTTATTTTTTTTTACAATAAAGGCTTTAGCATAGCATAAATCAACGCGGTGTGTTTATGGGAGATTTGAAAAGTTGGGTTTCTTTTCGTTAATTTACCTTGTAGTGTCCGGATCATCTCGCCCCTTCATTGCCTGTTCATTGCTGATGCTAATTTCCAGGACACATCTAGGTGCGACATGGTGGTATTCTGGACGATGGAGATGGCATGCTCCTCGAGCTCCTGTATGACCAGGTTACTAATATTGTATTGGACATGATGGGAGCCGAGATACCCTTCACGGAGAGGGAGCCGGAAGGACTGACTTACCAGCACCCAAAATAGAGCGCGCCCAGCCACAGTCATCATCTCGTCTAGCAGGATGAGCAGAATGAGACAATACCGAGCCACACGAAGGAGGGGCAGCGATCGGCCACCGCCACGCCACAGGATGATGTAACCGCTGCTGCGGGGTGCTGCTAGAGAGAAAGAAAAAAATAGGTTGCTAGGGCACCGCCGCAGGGGACGCGCAGGCCACTTGGGTTGGGGGGGGTGGCCAGGGCCTCCGAGCACAACGCACAGGGCTGGGGAGAACGGGCGGGGGCTTGTTCGGGATTGGACCCCTGCGGCCAATCATCTGGTGTCTGATCACCCCCCTCTCACCGGACCGAAGCACAGACCTGCCGGGACCACATGTCTGACAGGGATGACAACGCGGCTCTTCGTCTCGCTTGTTCCTTTTTTACTTCCTAGTGCGCGCCATAGCGCGGAGAGAGACACACTGACACACACACACACATGAGCCATCGTGAGAGTCACCATCCCCGTCAAAGTCCGTCGTCCCCATCAAAGGCCGACCCCGCCCGGCTTACGCTTTCCTCGTTTCTCTGCTTTTCATCCCCACGAGTTTTTTTGAAACCTCAGCAATTCGGTAGCTAGCTTAGCGTTCGTCATTGATGGGGACTGGGAGGCAAGTGAACAGCAGCTGATGCATATTTTTACTTCGTCTCATTTTCAAGCATGGCACGGCTCATGCGCCTTGCCTTGCTTGCTTCGCTCCTATCCTGGGTATCCTATTTCGTAGAGTCCTATTCCCTTGATCCAAGGTCAACGCTTGTGCCTGGTCCCAGTCCCAGTCCTGGTTCCCGTCCCAATCCCCCCCAAGTTTGTTCCGATCCCTTGCGCCGTGTACTCTCACAAATCCCACTTGTGGTTCCCTATCTATGTTCCGAAGGCCGTTTCCTGACCTGCCCAAAAAAAAGAATCCCGTACAAATTACATGGTTTGTTTCGTCAATCATGGATCATGCAGCTTGAACCGCCGCCCAAGTTGTCAGTTGTGACAGTGTCGTTTTTTGGAGTCCTTCCTTGTTTTCCTACTCCTGTTCATCCTCCTCGACTTCCTCGTCCTCGTCATCGTCTTCCTCATCCTCATCCGACTTGGGTGGCTCCCACGTCTCCTCCAGCTTCAAGCCTTTGCCCTTGGGCTCGTAGCTGCGGAAAGTGGATCCTAGAAGCGAAGACACCGTGGATCGATAGTTGTTGAGTTGCGGGTCCTCCTCGTACTTGTCGGGAGTATCATATAGTCCCATGCCAACAAGGATCTCGCCCTCTTCTTCCGACTCGTCCAGTGCCTGGTAGGGGATGGCCTCTTCAGACATGGCTGGCTGCGAGTGCTGTGCCTGTGGGAATGCCTCAGGTGTAGGTGGGGACGTGCTGTTGAACCCGTGCATGATGAACGTGTTCCAGTCCCATCCGTTGGTGTATGACATATTCTCGGCAGCAACATCGTCAGCCGTAGAGTAGCCATCATGGGCAAGTCGAGGAGCGGCCATGGATGGATAGGGCACAGTGGCTGGCGCCGCCAAGCCCGTCTCGTCGGTGGGCAGAAATGGCACGTTGTCCACGCCTTGGTATGGAAGTGATAGAGGAGAGAAGGCGGAAGAAGGCGAGGTGTTGCATGAGTGTGACCCAAGCATCGGTGACAGGTGAGGGTAGCTGGCGTACATGTCCTGTTGACTGGCGTACAGGTTGGCTGTTGATACAGGATACATCGGTTGCTGAAGTTGAGGCTGGAGTTGTTGACCATAAGTGTTTGGGTGCCAGCTGACTGGCCGTGAAGATCGCTTGGCGGGTTGTTGTTGCTCAATGCCGTAGAACAAAGAAGCTTGTTCCAGGGCCTGTTGCCGTCGACGTTGGGCGTTACCGTCGTTCATAAGCGTCTTCCTCCGAGCCATCATGCCAGAGGATCGGGGGCTGTTGTTGGCGCTGGTTGGCTTCACGACACGCATGGCATTCCCGGAGCGTTGGCCAGTCGATCCTCTCGAGAGCCTCCTGGCGGCTTGGGAAATAGCCATCTGCCTCGAAAGTTCGTCGACCATGGTATCGTGAGGGTGTGGTACGGGCAGGGATCCGGTGGGTTGCCCACTGAAGAGTGGGTGCATCATCTTGCAAGGTGGGCTTGGTGGATGGATGCGGTGGAATCAGGGAAAGGAAGAAATCAGTGTGGAAGAAAGTAGAGGCGGTCGTAAAGGTGAGCGTCTTTCTTGTGAGTTACGAGGTTGATGAGAAACTTCTGATGGATGGCGGGTATGAGAAGGCCAGGAAGGGCTCGGCTTGGGTTAAGTATCGTGGACGGAGCGGGAGGGAGTATGGTCCCAGGGGGGGTCAAGGGAGCAGCGAAACATGGGGCACATCGATGGCTTGAAGGATAAATCGAGCCTAGCAGGCTGAACAAGATCAACTTCCCATGGATCTGGAGTGGGCCTGGACACACAAAGTAATAAAGAGCATGGGCGTTTTGCTGCCGTCGAGCGATGGACCACAAACGTGGGTTACATGGGGCGTCGAATCAGCGAGAGCTGTCCCGGTGGTACGTACCGGGCCAGGATTGTCCTCCGTGCCTCTAGTTAGGATTGACAGTCGAGCTATGGCAGCTGGGACGGGTGGCCTGCGTCATACGGGACGAGCAGGGGGTGTCGCAACGGGCGGATTCCACAGTCGGAGAGGGTTGATCTAGGCGGGATGCACGCTCTAGTACCGGAAAGTGAGAATCAGGCCCGGCTCTGGGGGTGGGGTGTGAGAGCTTGAGGGTGTGTGTGAGTCCATCCTGACTTTGAGTGTCTGTGGGCGTCTGGCCTGGCGGAGGACCGACCAGTGGGGTCACGAAGCACTGATGCGGCTACAATGAACAACCAGAGTCAGTCGGTACCACACCAAATTTGGCGTGCCGGCAGGGCGAGAAACGAGAAGACATGGTGGTCATAGGTCCGGGCTCTGTCCCAGACCCGGGTGCTCGCACGGGTTTGCTGTGGCTCGAGTGCCTGGGGAGGGTGGTCGGGTCGTCTGGACTTTCGGTGGCCACCCTTGCCGCTAGTGATGCCAGTCGCATTGAGCCGTGGGCGATGGAAGGGATGGAGAAGGATTGGGGCCACGGATTGGCGTCGTAATAAAAAGGGAAGCGCAGGGACCTGGCCAATCCCAGACTGAGTTCCGTGGACCAACCAGGTCCATCACGAGGGAGGTGGACAGAATCGGGGTGTGTCCCAAGCGCTTCCCCACCCCGGCACCGACGAAGTGTCCTGGGCCCCATGGCAAGGGGAGAAGGCGGACCGGGAGTGCCCCACTGCCAAAGATGGGACATTGCCTTGCTGCTAAAGTGCCACAAGAGGAAGGGTTGTGAATCTCACGCGGGATGCGCATCACCACTCCAGAGTGATTGGCATGTTGAGACAGCAGGCTAGGGGCACCCCTTCGGCAGCATCTGCGAGCCCTTGTCAGCCGAGATGTGCGGGCATCCTGAGGAAGATGTGGTGGCCTTGGTCACAGAGGGGCGTTAGCGTACGAGAAACAGGGCTTCGAGACAAGGTCTGATCGGAGAACGGATGAGGATGCAAGATCCTCGTGATGACTGAGCACGGAGAAGGGACACGGCTTGTGGATGTAGCCATCTCGGCGCTTCATTCGGCACGGCGTTGTCTTGCCGTCGTGTCTGTGTGATGGGCTTGCTGGTTGCAAAATGTTTGTCACTGGCGGCACTCCGGAGGACCGAACTGGCATGGTTCGAGTAATCGCCATGATGGCGGCAGAGGTCTTCAATGGTGGATCTGGATGGAGGTATAGGACGCATGGTTTGGCACCGGGGCGCGGCCATGTCCATGGGCTCCGGCCTTGGACCTTGGTTGTGGAAGTTTCAATCGGACGAGGATGAGTGGAGGGCGAGCTACGTCGTAGAGGACCGTGTGCAATGTGGGTGTCGTCAAGCGACATGGCGCAGTGCGCCGAAAGGCAGAGCCCCGGTGCCGTGCGGGAATCTGCAGGGTCGTCGACGAGCGGACGTGGTGGATGTGAATGTGGATGCAGATATGGTGATGTGGAACCGGCGACTCCAGGGCGCAAGCGTGGTAGCGTGCCGTGGCACTGGCTGCAGGGCCAGCCTGCTAACAATTGAGTCGAAGAGAGTAAGTCGGCGTTGGTGAGGTGTTCCGCTGTGATTGTGTGAGTGTGTGTGGATGCGCTGCGGTGCGCGGGCGCGGGTGTGGACATTGGTGCTGGCGGTGTGGGTGATGGGGAAGGGGCTTTGGGGCAGGAGCAGGAGCAGCAAGAGCCAAACAAGCCAGGAGCGAGCCCCTCCAGACTCCTCCACCTACGGTGTGGGTGGCGAGGTTTGCCGAGTGGGGGAGGCCACAAGACAGCCAAAACTTTCGCGTCCGTGTACTGGGGACTCCGTTTGGTCGAGTAATTTCAACCACAAGGCCAGGTACCAGGGACCTCGCTGGCCGAACAAAGAACGGGCTAGAGAAATCTGCCTGGGCTTGCTCCGGTCCTCAAGAGCCAGCGAAACCAAGACGTGATGCACCACATTACACGACACCAGGATAGACGTCGAGACAGCCAGATGGGGCTACGGGGGGCCGCTCCCTCCAGGGTATGTGGTGCTCTGCGACATATGCCCTGGCGCCTTCAGTCTCCGGCATCGATCACGACAAAGTCACTTCTACCTGAGGCCTCAACTCATCACTGGGCGCGATGGCAGGTCGTAAACACCATCAGCCCTCACCCATTCCCTCGCATCCTCCATCCACCACCACCCACACAAACCTGCTCATCGGTCGGTCTCCGCCATCTCCCATCCGCATCCCTCCCACCATCCCTCATCAAGACCCCAGCCCACAGGCCTCAAGACCCTCTTCAAGTCTCCCCCGGACCACATCGCTGTCCGACCCAACAACACGACCAAGACAAGGTGGGCGGCCCAGAAGCCGCCCTCCACTAACCTCATGGACACTGCTTGGCCAGGGATGGTGAGAAATGCACCACCAGATTGCCAGCCCGCGGACGAGGGGACGCAGCGGGGCGCACCTGTCTAAGGTCCCCTCCCTGCCCAGGCTCCAGGCACCTTCAGGTCTCGAACAGGGCTCCGACAAGGCCCAGACAGGGCCCAGAGAGGGCTCCAGCGCTTCCAAGAATGGCCCGCCACGTCGTCAGCCTCTGGCGATTCAGTTCCAACCATGGCTTCTGGGTCCTGGTGTCACCGGGCTCGGCCGGGATGACGAGCGAGCTTTTGCTTGCTTTCCCACCCAACAAGTGGGGCGAGGCAAGACGCCCAGCATCAATTGCCTACCGGCTATCTAGTCCCATTATTACTAGACAAAGAGACTGATCTGGTCAAAGCAAACAAGCCCTCGCTACGGGGATCGGGAACCTGAGACTCATGCGGCCTTCGAAACTCAGTACATTCATTCCCCTGTCTATGTCTATCATGTGGGGGCCCAAACCATTGGTACAACGAGGAGTAAACATCGAGGATGAGGAAACAACCACCTGGGCTTTGCCTTGCACATCGAGGGCAACATCGTCGCATCGTTTTGGGCTACAGGTCGCTGTGAACGGGAAAAGGAAAGGGGAAAAAACCAACCCATATGCAGCCTTCGGACCCGCCCACGCCGCCGCGAACAATCCACGCAGCAACAAGTCTCAAAGGCGAGCATCTCGTCCCGTTTCGCCCCTTTCGCCCCCCGCCTTACCTGCCCCATCTGCGAACTGCTACGTTGTTGGACAAACTATCGGCACTGCCATATCCACTCCAATGTTCCGATGCTGACCGTCGGGGCCGGGATGAGTACCAAATGTACGAGCGCTCAGGAGCTACGTGTACCAGCGGCAGGGCCTGGCGTGTCTAGGCCCCCCCTTGGAAGCTTGCTTACCGCGTACCTCACTCCGTACCATCCACAAGGACGAGAGGATGGACAAACCCCAATGCCAGCGCTTGGAGGGTCTCCTGCCTTACACACCTGGCCATCGGCTGCCTGCTAGCGGGCAGCAGGCCTGTGGAAAACGCCGGGCCACTGCTGAAGTGTCCTGATCGTCCGCTGGATCAGACACCATACAGGGGCTGTCCCACTGCGCCACCAGCGGCGTCACTCCCTCCCCTGGCTGTTCAGCGGGCGGCAAGCCAGATGATTTTTAGTTTTCCCAGTCCAGCTTGTCACTTACCACCACCGCCCATCCAGTCTCATGCCTCGGGCCTTCATTTCAACCAACATGCAATGCAGCCAGCACTGTCCGTCTTTGGTCCATCGGGCCGCGATGGATTGAGCCCTCGTCAGCTGGACCTACTGGCTCCTTTGTCCCCCCCAAGCCCGGCCACTAGCTCCCCGTCGTGTGCCCCTGGACCTGTTGGGACACAAATCCATGGTGTGCGTCGACAATGTGAGTGAGCATGTGCGTGTGTGCCACTGACGGTCGGCAGCTAGATGCTAGGATTCTGGGCAATGGACATTCAGCGATCCCTTCTGGACGGACAATTGGCACAGCTACCTGCCCGTCTCGGCACCACGACGACGCCTGTGAAAGCGGCATTATCATCTCCTCCCACACCAATAGCAAGGCGATCCATAAATCCAATAGCTACTGTACTATACTCGTGCTTGCGATTCTGCAGCTTGCCCACTCCATGCATTGATTGCGATGGTGGCTCTGCAGCTTGCGTGTTCGTCTCCTTCATCCACCTTCCTTCACTCGACGCAGGCGCCTGCCTCATTCACGAGAGGTGATTGAGGGCAGGGCTTATTACAGACGGAAGCAAGGCTTAACTAGCCCAGCCAACCTAGTCAAGGACACCGGCTCGGCTCAGCCAAAACCAGCTCCGCCCGACTCAGCTCAGCGCTTCTGGTTTCATTCAAAGCTCGTCTCATCACAGACGCAAACAAGGAGCCACGCTACTGTCATCTTGGACTAAATCGCATGGTGCCCTTCGGTACGACTCACCGTGGTCCGCCCACCTAACGGCGCCTCGCGTCCTTACCTCCAACCAGCAACAAGAAACAAGTAACAGGCCTGGGGAACCTACGCCGGGCATCCCTCGGTCACCCATGGATGCCAATAGTCTCATCCAACAATTGCTCTCGGCCTTAGGTCTCACCATTTGGCATGGTCTGCGAGCGAGACCTTGTACGCACACTCTCACGCGGGGGTTTCCTTGCTGATCGCAAACCCGCAGCAACTCCTTGCACTGTTGCTGTGTGACGCCCCAAGTCGCGAATGCGCCCTGACGGAGCCGCCATGTGATTCAGCTGGAAAACACCTACGCGCAGCCATACCACAGCACACCTAGAGTACTACATCATCTCATGCTGCTATGCTCTGTTGCCTCGCGCTCACCCGTCTCGGGTGGTCTCGTATCACACCTGCCTATCACCGTTGCCAAACACTAAAAAGATTCGTTCGGCGTCGTCATGTAAAATACCTCTCACGGCAGATCATCCACCGCTGTTGTCGGCAGTCCCACGCCCACCCCCGACTTGATTGCGTTTTGGGGCGACGGGCTGGACGCCAACGTGCTTCACAGATTTAGCATGGACACCTCATGTCCCTAGCTCCCAACACCCATCCCGACAAACGAAGTGGTAATCCTTTTGTGGGGTTGTAGAATGGGCTGGCTGCCACCAGCGCCAGAGCTTGGGACCTACCCAGAAGCATTGTCACATCGGTAACCACACATTCCTGCCACTGGGACTGGTCAACGCCGATCACAAACTCGTCGTTATTATTAAACCCACCAAATTGTCGGCAAATGACGAGTGACATTGTGACCGCAGCGGTGGGATGCCCAATGTGTACTCACCAGGGTCGCCCTCTCAGCAGTGTCCAAAACAGAATCGGTAAATCGAGTCCCTGTCGCGTATCATGACTGCTGTGGACATGCACACGCACACTTGCAACACTCCCACTACCTCTAGGCTCCCCGTACCAATGTCAAGACTTCCCATGCATCTCCCCACCCGGGACTAGCCTCTCGGATTCCCGGGAAAGCTGGTTTCCAGCCCCAGAAAAGCCGTAGTCGAGCTTTTTTATGCACGCGCCGCAGTTTTACCAACACAGACACCCCGACAACCTTTTCCTCAGCCATGCATCCTCCATCAGGTAGCGCGCCCCTTTCGATGGTGATCGGCATCGGATGCGCAACTGAACAAGTGGATGAGGAGGCAGAATTTTGCTATGATTCATTGCCTTAAACGCGTCCATGCAGAGGCAACCATCCACACTTCCTTGGCTTCCGCTCGGCCCTGTCGCGTATCTCCTGACCAACGTCAAGTTCAAGCCCAGCTGGAACGGGAAGTCATTATCGATGTAACTGCGGATCCTTGCGATTGTCAAAGTTTCGAGGCATGTTCGCCACTTTCCAGATTACCCCTCAGGTCGATTAATTCTTGAGAAGAAATATCCTACCAAGAATGACCTAACAGAGCAATAAGAAGCTCGGCTGTTTCGAATAGTGATCAACGACATGGGCTGGAGACATGCCTGGAGAAGCGACGACATCGGATCAAATCAGTGTTTCGCTTGGACACCCCGCCACCAGTGAGGGGACAAGAATTGCCTCTGTCACAAGCGTCCAACTTCGAATGAGAGTTCATTCGTCGCTTAATGGACCCATGCGAATATTGTCCGTCCCCCGAGGACGGCGCGCAGCCAGGATCAAAAGAGGCGGCGGTATGTATGACAGACCACGGTACCCAGAACGTCCAGCCCCAGTGCGACCGACCGGGGGCTGAACTACGAGCTAGAGCGAAGAAGGTGTGAGATGAGAGTACAACTTGACAGGGATTTACATGCCTCGGCGACACGGGAGTCGCCAAGGAAGACAAAAAGAAGGAGTCGTCGAAGCCACAGTCCCAGCTCATTTATTCACGATTTACGTGCCCCTCCAGGTCTCACAACACACCATCACTCATGACTCTCGAACACAGAGGCGGCAAAGTTCACGAGGCTCACACAGTTTTACTATTGTACCCTTTCTCCCGCCCATGGGGTTCTGATCAAGCTACTTCTTATGGAGCAACAATAGGGCATCAACACAACGATCCCAAGGATAATCCTGCAGCTGCTCACCAGACCATGGCGGCTCTCCGCAGCAATGAAGGATTGGCTCGGAGATGATCAGACCCTGGAACCTTGGAATGCACATCGTCCCTACTAGGCTCCAAACGAGCGGCGGGTGCTACCTTGCAAAACCGCTGCCATGGGCCCAGCACCACAAGGTACGTACCCCGATATGGAGATTGGTCCTCGTGCAGATGCAAGGCCTGTTTGGCATCATCTGGACATCAATCAATCCTCAATGACCGGGGTGAGACTGGGCTTGGATCGCGCGTAACTCCCCGGCCGCCGTCAGGCCCAAACGATGGGTGCCCCATGCAAGCAAGATTCGCCGCCTGGTTTCCGATGGCCCCGGCTTCGCCGCCATGGCTGGACACCATCTGCCACTGCATTCATGCGCCGGCATGCGAGGTTGTGATCATGCAGGTGCCTGCTTCCAGAGGGGCCACCAAGGAAGGACTCTGTATGTATGTACGTTGTACCACGGTGCTCACCCCCAGACACTTGCACATACCATGACTCGTCACGACAGTGTCCCATGGACTGCTTGCCTGGGGCGTTTGGCCAAGCCGTCCTAGTCTTAGCCGCCGCGTGCTACGACCAGGCTTAATGGCCGATAGCTCCATCCGCCTCGCCAGGCCGCTTGCATGCTGCGTGCTGCATCATCAACCCCCACATCTTTGCTCTCGAGGTGTGCATGGATGCTCAACGTGCCCGCTTTCAACTCTTCACCCTGATCGGTGGGGCCGTGTGCTCGTGCCGCCTGCGGAATGCGCCCCTGGTACGGACAACGGAGTAAGGCCCTGCACCGGACGGACCCTAGGCTGGGGCCTTTTGCGTGCCATTGGGCCTTGCGGCTTCGAGAGCCAAGGGACAAAGGCCGTTGCTTGGGTTTGCTTTTTGCGCGTCTCCCCTTTTGATTGGACCCTCTGCAATCCAATCTCCAAAGACAGGCTACCGGTATGGAACGGAAGGTTGGACGTGTTGACACCAACTGAGCCCCATCATTGCGCCCTCCTCTCGTTCAAGTTGTAGCATGGGCAAGCCCCCGAGCCAAGGCTCATCCGGGGACAGCATACCTAGGCTGTATATACGTACAGCGCGCTTCTAGCCCTTGTCGCCAACGGCGCGGCCTGAATTTTGTTTCGGAGGGGGCTCTCTGGCAGCCCAGCTCTCGATTTGGGCTGTCTACGGAAGCACAGTGCCAGGCTCCGGTCTTCCCCCGGTGCAACAACTTTCGATTTAGGCGAGTGTCGTCACAGAGGGCGGAGGTCGGCATTATCTCCAACTGCAACAAGACGAAACCGAGTGCCACCTTGGGACGGATACACTCAACCCTGCGGGACCAGGTACTGTAGATGAGACGGCGGTAGACAAGGCAGGATCGACTCCGCGCAAACGAGGGTGCCTCCGCCCTGAGACATTTTTAGTACGCTCGGGTGATCAGAGGCTACTTGGTACGGGACATGCCTGGTCACCACCCTTCCAGCTGCGGCGTATGTAGCAGCCCTGAGGATTACTATGGAGTCACCGGCCGAAGACGAGTCTCCAGAGAGCGCCGCTCCTCCGCCCGAAGACCCATACCGATCGGAACGTCCAGAGCGGGCCAGAGTTCAGCCACTTCCCAAAGCTGCCGCGAGCCTCGACCTCCGTGTCCGTGAGAGTCCGCTTTTTGAGCTGACCCCCTTTACTAACCTCACGGCGTCTCGCATCACAGCTGAGCTTGCTTGACTGGGCACCCCAAGGGCTGTAGCGCTAGAGTAACCCCCTACTGTCTGTACCAGGGACCCCCTCTTCCATCATTTCGAGGATCCAAGACCCAAGGTCCCTTTTTAGGGCGCATTCTTTGGCGGACGTCATCCAGCACCATCAGACCGAGATGGGCCTGCAGCCCGCCATTGTGCGGCGAGTCAACATCGTGGCCCTGGATGGATGTGGTCTGAAGCCATCCGGTTGGCTTTTGCTAGGCTTGCCCACTCACTGCCCATTGCATCCAGTGCTCCACATGCCAGGTAAAATGTCGTCGCCCATAGACTCCATCCCTCCCTTCCTGTCGCGGTTAGCCCCGTCAACCTGACGAGATGCCGTTCTCGACCTCCGGTTCCTGATTTCGTTTCTCTTCTCCTCCCCGTCCTAGGGGGCATTCGCGCCCTTCGCCCACCGACCGGATGTTGCGCCGCCGTTGGTGGGTTCGGTCTTGTCGGCTCCCAAATCAAACATGATCCGATATCTGTCGGCCTGTTCAGCTCGAGCCCCTTTCGAGGATATTCCAGTTGGTTATTTTGGGGACTCGTCTCGACCATCGCGACCCGAAGTGTCTAGTTAGCACCCACCAGCCCCTCTCTGGTCTTTTCGTCACATCGTCGACGCTGCTGCTCCTGCTGCTGCATTTCACAGATTCTGTGCCAGGCAGTCAGAAAACAAATCCCACTGCGCCTCCCTGAACATGGAATGACGACGCCGTCCAACCGGTCGGCCTCCTCTCTGATGCGTCCTCAGCCATTGCAGTTGGCCAACGCCTTGTTGTCGAGCCTGTCGACGACGATCCGTCACCGGGGAGAGAGAGTTTTTGACTAGTCGCCTGCATGCGGCAGCCCAACACGCACGCGCGTGGTGAATGTCCGTCCTGTCTTGCAGCGTTGCCCGACCCTACCATGCATCCTCCCGCATCACCGCCACACCAGCAGAGCCTGAAAGCCTCAGCATGCGAATAGTCCTGTGGATCTCGAGAAGGCGGTAATAGTGTGCATCTAACGCCTGCCTGCCGTCATCTGACTCCGACACCCTCGCCCCGGAGTCTGGCCCCAGTAACTCCTCAAGTGTGGGCAACCGTCCTGATGCCATTTCACCGCCTATTCCCTTCCCCCCCACACAACCAACCCCTTGTCCTAGCATCACGCTTCCCCGTCAGTGGCAAAGAGGCGGCAGCCGCTGTAAGCCATGAGCAACTGCCTTAATGCCTTTTGAGGTTGTCTTAGCCTTGCTGCACTGCACCCTTGGTCCCACATTACCCCCTCCTAGCCCACTTACCCACCTTCCTCCAAAGACTGAGCAGTGTGCCTGGATCATCCACCAAGCCATGATATTTACCGACTGAGCCGCCTGGCGGCATCGGGGACTAGGACTCGCCGGATACACACCCTAGCACATCTGCCCCGAGCCCATCAAACCCCTCTCGTTGTACTTTGAGAGTGGCCAGACGGACGGCGAAACTGACCTTTTGCCCGACGCTCCAGTTGTCGGCGTGGCATACGAGGCCGTACAGCATTCCTGCAATGAAAGTGTCCCCGGCTCCCACGGCACTATATCTCGGACGATTGTGTTAGTCTTGAGTACCCTACGATCCTGGCCCAGCTGGGGCGTCGATGCATACGATCAAGCAAGCGCGGACACGTACTCAACCACAGAAATGGCTCCTTCGGCTTCGTACTTGGCGGGACAACGAACACACTCGCATGCAACCCGAGACAGTCCAGCGGCTCCGTCAGCGCCCCAGGTACACAGCGCCAGTGATCTATTTGGAACCCGTCAGCCGTCACCGCAGCAGGCAAGCACACGATCGCTCGATCCTACGCCTTGTCATGTAGTTCGGTCCGTAGACAGGACTCGGGGGACTCGTGGCCCCGTTCCTAGACCCTGACGTCAGGTGCTTGCACTCGCAAACTGTTGAGTGATCTCAGGGTTATCATACCTCGGCCCAACTCCGCGAGTAAAAAACAACGTCGGCCTCAGCGGCGAGTTCCGGAAGGCCTTCTCGGCCTGGCTTCTCTACTTCGACACTGATTTGAGCGTTTGGAAGTACGTCACGCAAGAGGCGGATGTATCTGAGTGTTGCGTCGGGAACCCGCCCCTGCTCATGCCGTATCAGCTCGGCACCATTGCCTACCGGTCGAGGCCGCCTCTTGTTCAGCAGGACTCACTTCGAAGTGCCACCAGGTCTCCTGGTCTGGACTGAAGCTCCGTGTGATAGTCTCAAACTGTTCCATCGTCATCTCGGGTAGGTCATTGTAATTGACCAGGGTACGGCTCCCCGTCTCCAGACTGCGGATGATATAGCTACTCGCGGCCTCGCTTTTCGCCTCGTGGTAAATGCAATGGCGGAGGTCCAGCTTCGAACTGGGGCCAAACGAGGCGGCGATGCGTCGTGAGGCGGGTGACGACGCGTTGGGCAGACACGACACCAGATATGGCTGGACGGCGTCCTGTTCCGTGAGCAGCTGTTCGAGGACTTGGATGGAATTGGGACAGTTGCCTCCACGCCGGATGTTGAGGGTGGTGGCCCTCAACTTGGAATCTTCGGTAGGAAAGAAGGGCACGCTGGAGATGGTAAGTTAGAAGTTGTGTCTTGAATGTGAGCGTAGTTGGATGCTGGGGACGTCCCTGAGGATAGTGTCCAGGTAGCATGCTCCTACGAGGATGAGGTGCTTCATTGTGGCTGTCTTGAATCCCGTATCTCTTGTAGTTGTCGAGTGTGCTTCGTATGTTGTGACTTTTGCCAGGAATAGCATCGCCGCCCAGAGTTTGCATGGAAATAGCGTCAGTCCGCAACCGGGGATTCATTTCACCGTATCTCCTGGAAACCCTAGGTCCTGCTTTGGTGGTCGGTCGCCTTTGCACCTCATGTCTTGACGCATGTAGATATTCAGAGAACAAATTGCAGTTACGAACTCTTATTCACAAGGTGATTTTTGTTGCCTGATGATGCTAAGACCTGAGACGACGAGAGTTGTCACCGTTGGTATAGGGTAGGGCCGCGCAAATTGCACTAGTTCGTGCATAGAGACTCATTCAAGGATGATGCATTGTATGCAAATATATGAGCAAAGAGGTGCCTGCGGTGGTGAATATTCCTCGTGTGGTATAGCTGTAGTATTGAGTTACGCTCATGGAGGGTGATATGTTGAAGTCTTTTGTTTGTAGCTCCTGTATGCTTGATTGTTGGATGCTTGATGACAACGCAGGCCATCGGATTATCGGCCACTTACACGATACCAATCAGCAAACCCAAACCGTGCTATAATCGACACATTCGCAACTTCAACAGTGAAGAGTTTATCAGTATTTATTTGGATCAATTCCTTAACTTGTCATCATTTTGCGATCTTCTGGGAGGATAAAAATAGAAGATGTCATGGCACCTCATCTTTAGCGAGCTTCGAGAAAACTGGCCCCACTTGGGCCAAGGATGGAACCATGCTAAGCTCGGCGAGTTGTCGCGAGAAAGCGAATGTCTTTCACGCTCAAAGAAGCACGTCCAACATTCCGAGAGAAATCATCCTTGCTGTTCTTCACCCTGGCGACATAGAATCTGCCGACGTGTTACTCAGTCATTGGGATATTGCTTCAAGATACATACTCACTACCGCTTGAGCTATCGCGCATCTCCATCTCCCCACTCTGCCCCGCCATCAAGGCCCTGGCACGCAACGTCATCCGCAGACAAACGTACAGAAACAGGGAGATATACCCACGCAATCACAGTTGCAGTCGGCGCACAAGCGGCTGGCACGCACCTGCACAGCCATGGGCGAGAGATCAGAGAAGCATATCACGTTCGACGCCGACTCAGATGGCAGCTCTGACGAGGACGGCAGAGAGGTCGAGGTACAGTCATGGCCATCTACACTTGAATTCCCTTCCGAGGCTGAAGTTCCAAACCCATGCGCAGGTCGTCTTCGATCCCGGCAATCCTTACCGCCGCAAGAGTTCCATGGTGTCCTCCGATATTCAGGCACCGCTGATCCGACACCGGACCCGTCGCACCGAATGCCTCGTCCACCAGTTCCTCGACAGTCAGCGGAGAGCCAAAGATGCCGCCAGCTCCGCCAGCGAGGCGGACTCGGAGTATTCGTTCGGTCCGACATCGTATCCTAGCCCGAGCAACAACATAGATGCTGCCGGCAGCATGAGGGACAAGGGTCTCGATGCCATCCTCGACTCCAAGGCCGACTCCACGGCCCAGAAGAAGCACTGCGTCATAGTCGACCCAGACAGCCTCGAGCATGCGGATGGCGGCCAGGCCGATCAGCAAGCGTGGACGCAGCAGATGACCAAAAGCATGTCAGAGCTGGACCTTGCAAGCTACGACGATGTACACAGTCGCCTCCTTACCAAGCAACAGCTGAGCGACATGGCATGGGGGGTTCGCGAGCTGAGCCGCCGGCTGAGCAGCATGCGTATCCGCTTCCGCGTCAAAACCATCTTCCTCCTCACCAAGATCTATGACCAGGACCTGATACCCAAGACTCGGGAGCTGACGCGATGGCTGCTTCACCACGATCAAGAGGTGAAGTACACTGTATACGTCCAGGACAAGCTCAAGACACACAAGAAGTTTGATGCCAATGGCCTGATCGATGAAGTGTGCAAGGGCTACACAGCGTCGGGGGTTATCGACGATGGGACGGCGCGCGACTCCATCCGAAAGCGTCTCAGGTACTGGAACGAGGAAATGTGCAGTCAACGCCCGCACATGTTCGATTTTGTCATCTCCCTCGGAGGCGATGGGACGGTGTTATACGCTAGCTGGCTATTCCAGCGCATAGTGCCGCCGGTTTTGAGCTTTGCGCTGGGAAGTCTCGGGTTCCTGACCAAGTTCGACTTCGAGGACTACCAGAAGACTCTGACCACGGCTTTCACCAAGGGTGTTACCGTCAGTCTGCGCCTGCGGTTTGAGGGTACTGTTATGAGGAGCCAGCGGCGGAAAAGACCCGAGATCGACCAGGGATCGGAAGAAGATGAGGACGAGCTCCACCGAAAGCGAGACCTGGTGGAGGAGTTGATCGGCGAGGAGAGAGAAGACGAGCATACCCATCGGCCAGATGGCACGTTTGAGATTTTGAATGAGGTGGTGGTAGACCGAGGACCCAACCCGAGTAAGACATCCCCACTTCCATTGTTACAAATGGACTGTAGCATTCTAACATGCCCATCTAGCCATGTCATACACCGAAGTGTTTGGAGACGATGAACACTTTACGTCTGTGCTGGCTGACGGTATTTGTGTCTCAACCCCGACAGGGTCGACAGCATACAACCTGGCCGCAGGTGGCTCGCTCTGCCACCCGGAAAACCCCGTCATGCTGGTAACAGCGATCTGCGCGCACACGCTCTCCTTCCGGCCCATCGTCCTCCCCGACACCATCGTGCTACGGGTCGGCGTACCGTATGACGCGCGGACGGCATCCTGGGCGAGCTTTGACGGGCGGGAGCGCATCGAGCTGAAGCCTGGCGACTACGTGACCATCAGCGCAAGCCGCTTCCCGTTCGCGTCGGTGCAGTCGGAGGGTCGGCGGAGCGAGGACTGGGTGAACAGCATTAGCGGGAAACTGGGGTGGAACACGAGACAGAAGCAGAAGACCTTCAAGGAGTGGGAGAAGTGAAGGGTGCCTATTTGACGACGGAATTGAGGCGTATCGTGATGGGTTATGACGGGACCATTCTTCGGCATATACGGGACTTGGGTTGGTTAAGGGTCATAAATGTCATGTTGTATTATACACATACACTTTTGCTCAACATAGCAATGTTGTCAGCCACGGGAAAGAACCGGGTATAAAATATATTGACTTGAGGTTTGAGAGCCATGAGTGCCCTTACTATTGGTTCCATGAACGATCGCTCATTCGCGATGTCGATCTATGGATGAATGTCTTTGTTGCTAGTAAATGACACAACCTTCAAGAGCCTGGGAGAAGCACTTGGGTTTAAGAAGCCGGGATTACACTAATCAACTAATGACGGGCGGGATTTACATATGTTGGGCTTTTTGTACGAACGCGGGCTGTGCAGCATAAATGGTTGCATATAGAGGTACGGCTTGCGCCATCCGCTTTCTCTTCTTTCTTTTCCTTTGTATTCTCCTTTGTAAATCATGAAGCCAGGTGAATTCCATTACTATTTCGCGTGTAAACTGCAGTACGGATAAAATGAGTCAAGTTCGTCCCTCCTTCTCCCAGTGAATCGTGTGTGTAACATAGCGAGCGAATACCACCTCAGTACGCAATGTTCAAGCATGACAACAATCAAGCCATTCATAAACACATTTCCAAATCAAAACAGAAAAATGGACCCCCAACTGGGAGCATGAAAACCAGCTATTCACATATGGGCAATAAATATGACGTTACTGGAAGATCCAATCCCCGTTCGTTCCCGGCACATTCTGGGATCCTTTGTAGATGCGTAAAGGGTCTGGCCGCTTAGTTGCTCGGCGGAGGAGCGGAAGGAGTCGGGGGCTGGCTGGGGGTAGGCGGCTGTCCGAGGCCAGACATAGTTGCGGCGAGGTAGGGTGCAAGAGATAAGGGTGGTGTTGTTGCGGGAAGATTGAAGGTAGCCAGCTATGTGAAGCGAGATGCTGTCACCGAACTAGTTTCGAGCTGTTTTTTTTCTTCTTTTTTTCGCGGCTTGGTGTTTAATCCCGCAGTGTATGTTAGTTGAGGCAATGTCTCAGCCTTATAACCCAGAGGCCGATACCGTCCACATGACTGTATGCATTCTGGCCCATGTTGAGCTTAGTATAGGACTTGTGGCGATCTATTTATGCACCTTGTGCAGCGGCTTGGAAGCGGGTACAAAAAGCAGTGCCAAGACTCATTAAGAGTGCCCCACCAAAGTCGCGGTGCGATACTGCCAGCTCACTTGTTTTGGAGAGTCACCTCTGCTATTCCGATCTGGAACACGTCGACAAGTCGCCCGGGCACCTCAATTGCACGCGCGCTCTCTCGGACTCACCCGAGAACCGTCACAATGGCCACCGAAGCCAGCCAAGTCGTCGCTGAGGCCGCCGCCTCCATCGTCCCATCGTCCTCGTTTGCCTCATCTCTCCCGCCGGATCTTTTTGATCAAACGACCATCATCTCGCTGCTCTCGACGCTCGCCATCGTCCTCGTCGCCTACCTCGCCTCGCGCCAGTTCCTTGCGCCCACCGCCTCCGGCACCCTGCGTTTCCTCTTCATCTGGCATTTGGCCGACGCGCTGTGCCACTTCATCCTCGAGGGCAGCTTCCTCTACCAATGTTTCTTCACGCACCAGCCTATCGAGGGGCTCGACCTCACTGGGTTCTTCCCGACGCCGCACAACTTCCTGGGGTATAGTGACCGCTTGTATGGCGCGCAGTCGGGCAGCGATCCGTTTGCGCAGCTGTGGATGGTGTATGCCAAGGCCGACAAGAGGTGGGCGGGTGTGGATCTGGTACGCATTTGACACAATGAATCGGGGCTGCATTGTATCAGAAAGCAAATGCTAACTGGTCGGGAATAGGGCGTTGTCAGTCTCGAGCTGCTGACCGTCTTCTTTGATGGTCCCCTGGCCGTCTACATCTGCTACTGCCTTGCCAAGAAGAACCCCAAGGCCAGCATCTGGATGATTGTCTTGGCAACATGCGAGATCTACGGCGGTAAGCTCTCGACTCCGATTGAACACAAGTCCAACGAGGACGTTTCGTTGAGCTGATTCGTTGACCTAGGTTTCATGACATTCTGCCCCGAGTGGTTGATTGGCAACCTCAACCTCGACACCAGCAACTTCATGTACCTCTGGGTGTACCTTGTCTTCTTCAACACTCTGTGGGTGTGGATCCCGCTCTGGGTTATCTGGTACTCGGTCCGCGACATTTCAGCCGCATTGAACGAGCGACAGGTCAAGAAGAACTTGTAAAAATGAGTAAGAACTAAAGTGCAACGATGCGCTGGAGTTCGCATTCATGGATGAGCACGTGCATCAGAGCAAGAGTATCGCCATGGCCACAGAATGGAGCAAGGTGTAGAATTGGCGCACTAGGACATTTGGATCACTCTGGAAAAAGAGACAAACAACATTTATAGGGATTTTGGTTGATTGAAGGAGCTATGTAGGGTATCTGACTGTCGTTGTCGCAACCGGGGCTGCACACACTGTCGTGAAAAGCTCAGCCCTCCTCCGCCGATCAGGAACGCATTGTCTTCTTCCATTGCCTTCGGGACAGCTTAGATAGCCTCCTTGTGGACAGAGGCCTTGGCATCATGGCTGGACTCCTTGGTCTTGTCGCCGACGGCATCCTTGGCGGCGGAGGCACTACATCTCTTGTGTCAGCAGTTGTTTGCGTGTTTCACCCGAAGGTTTGGAAGCAAGGGGGAAGAGAGGGATGGTAGCTTACCGAGTGCCGATAGAGGCGTTGCTGTCCTTGGCAACCTCCTTGTTGGTCTCCTTGGAAACACCGGAAGCGGCCTTCTGGACAGTCTCGGAGACGTAGTTGGCACCCTGCTTGATGGAGTCCATTGTGATAGGTTGGGGTTGTTTGTTGGTTGGTGTTTGGTTGTTGATTGGAAGAGTGATGGAAGAGTTGTGGAAGTGTGTGAGTGATGATGAAAAAGAAAGGTCGGACTGGAGAGGACGTAGTTGGGTTTATATAGGTAGGCAAGTCGGTAGAAGAGTGATTCACTGCTAAGGCAGGCAAGCAGCGATAACTTCCGTCATCCAGCGTCAAGATCTCTCTGGTCGGGTTTGCAAGTGTCAGCCCGCAGGGTCTATCATGTGAAGGCGCCGACACAGCGTCATAGACTTGGATCAAGTGCAGGAACACTGTCCTGTGCGGAGGAAATGTTCCTTTCCCAACGGCACGGCATGTGGATCAAACACTGCGCCAGATCAATCGGATTGGAGTAATTGGGACAATGGAGTTCGTTGCACTGGGACAAGTGTTTGGTTGACGTCATTCTGAATTCTGGGGTAGACGTCATTGAGAGCGGGAACATCCGCGTGCGGCGTTGCCTCTCGGGGCAAAATGCGCCCTGGTTTACATCATGGAACGGGTAAAGGTTCCTCAATGCCGTGTTCGTGTTATTGTGCCACCGGCCAGACTCAAGTCGAACAAGTGATCGCGGATGGATGAGGTTCTCGATGATGGGCAATCTCCACTTCCCGGGCGATCACTCTGGTGATGGCCGGTTATGGCGCCACATGCAGACCTTGTGGCGGTTGCCAGACAAGTCATGACGTGAGCGAAGCCTCATTGCGGGGGGGAAACTTGTCCTTCCCAGCTTCCAGGCAACACAGTGCCTCGTTTTGTAAATTACGTACATGTGGTCTTCCTTGTTGAGAAGTGACATCAAGCGGGCGCGATGAGTGCATTTCTTCCCGTACCTTTTCGGTGCTACTTTGTTCTGTCACGTTCTTCGACAGCTGCCAAGTTGGTTCGTTGTGGATCTCCTGATTGGCTGCTCTTCCTTTGATCGCTGTCTACGCGGAGTGTTGCCTCCAGTCTATTAATTTTAATCACCATTGTCATTTTACTACCGGGTAACTACAAATAAAATGGCAAATGCAATCACTGCGTTGCATCTTCCTGGTTTCTGGTTATTACCTGTCTCCTTGCCCAATATGTTAGTCATACTTCGGTGGCTAATTGTGAACGGATGCCCCGTGGATCAGATCATAACGTTATGGGGCGCAAATATGAGCTCCTTTCCGCAAGGTTTTTTACTTTCACGCATATTAAAGACATAAGGAGAGGGGGGGAGATGATGGTGTTTTCTATGGGTCTCGGAGACTCCGTCGTTGATGTGATGTTTTGTCGGCCTTGAGCTCTCTCCCCGCTCCTGGGTTCCGCTTTGGAAACAATGGCAACTCATAAGGGAGGTAATACCGTAGCCTAGCTGTTCCACTTACTGCAGCCTTTTTCAGTCCGTTGCATCAGCGCGCCGTACCGTTTGTCATGGAAAGCCCTTATCGCCCTCGCCTAGTTTGGGATGCTTCCGTTGCAGGGTAGGTAATGAAGGAGGCCTGCTGAAGGGATCCAAGAGAGGTCCCAGCACGCGGGGTTCCCACTTCAGAGTACTACCCCAGAGCTCGGGCAAACCGGCAACTAGGCCAGGTCAGTCCTTTTAGGTTGCCGATCTAGAACTCGCTGTTCCGGTCGCAGGTTGATTGTGCGGGGCTTCGAGGCCCGAGCCCTCGGTGACATCGCGTGCCAACCCTATCGCATCCAGTCGTTTTCGCCATGGATAATGCCCACGCGAGAATTGGCAGTGGTCATGGAGGTGTTTGCCTTTGGTGGCTGGCTGCTAACCTGACTCTTGGGTCGACGAACGCCGTATAACTTAGCATGCTAATCTATCATGCTAATGCAGAATGCCGTTGCGGCTGAACCTTCGAAACCACGGTTGTCGGGTTTCTAGGTCCTTGGGCGCACCTAGATTCATTTGTACTTTGCTAGTCCAGCTGGTCCAGCATACCATCCAGTAGTCGGCTTCTTAGTGCTCCGCGTATTGCCCTACTGTCCCCGAGGCCAGGCATTGTGGAAATGGGAGCCAGGTTCGATCTCGCTTGGCCGGCTCGTCACGGATCTGACAGGGGCTGCTTCTCTTCGATCGCTTGTACGGCTGAGAGAGAATCTGAGAGGTCTGAGAGCCTGACAGGCACTGACAGCTCTCTGAGGGGGCACCGGCTCGGCCAAGGGGGGCTTCAAGAGACAATTGATAGGGGGGCCGGCGGGCTGGGAGGCTTGGCGTTGAAACAGGTTGATGGGGCCTAGATGCTCAGATATTGGGCGGTTCCCGTGTTTGGTTGAGAGGCCCGGTGATGATAACCTCATTGAACGTTAGGCCCGTCCATAGTCCGGGTGAGTAACGAGCAGGATGTCCAGCTCGGGGAGCGTGCTGCGGCGTGCTGCGGCGTGGCAATGTGTGTAAGGTAGGATGGATATCCACTGCCCTGGTCGTGTTTGACCATGGCTGTTGGCTGGCAGGTTTCGGCAACTCACGGTTCCGTATGACCGTCCATCGAGACCCTTATTCGCTCGTCCTTTACAGGCTATGATGTCGCAGTCCCCTGGTGAAGCCCCTGGTGAAGCCCCTGGCGCATTCCCCTGTCGGGGTTTGTTTTATCGTGGAAGCGAGTGCTGCTTTGTCAGGGGACCACGCCAAACCGTATCCGGCCTAGTACCGGAGCCTTTCTCGACCTCCACTGCTGCCGTCCAACATCTCGAAACTCGACTCTGTTCCAGCAATGCTTCAGCCGCTGTCGCCAGTCTTGCCCAGCCCCCCACGGCTTTCTTTTGCCTTGGTTTGCCTCACATCGCCTCCATCGCCCCCATCGCCTCGCATCGCCTTGGCCCGCATCTCGATACCGTGCACCAATGACTCGTATCGAAAGCAGGGTGCCCACCGAGATGGCAACCTCGCTGGGAGATCATCCATAGCGCATTAAGGCTGGCGCCCACTGAGACCTGCCATCGCCGCTGAATGCATCACAGTGAGTGACAGCCATCCACATATTCATGCGAGGCGGAGAATAGAAACCATCTCAACTACAAGCCACAATCAATTTGACATTGCAATCAATGCGGCAGTCGATGCTCGCCAGTGTTGGACTTGCTGAAGCCTCTCCTCTGCAGGCCTAATCTCTGAGCCATCAAGCCTGAACAGGCAAGATGCGGCACTTACTGCGCAATGTTACCTTGTATCTCTCCCAGTCTACGACCCTTGTTGCGGTCTTGGGTACCATCGCTCTCGACTAGCCTACCCCGGGGCCCTCACCCGCAAAACAGCAAAACACCATCGTCGACGGCTAACCCATGTCCGGCCGAGTAGTTGAGCCAAGAACCGGGGTCTACAGACTCTCAACGTGTTTGGGAGTTGGTCGGCTCGGTGCCTTGCCGATGGAAGCATTTAGGACTCTACGTCCCACTGCATTCGTTGTCAACCGGCAGACCTTTGTATCTGCTTTGCATCTGCTTCATCAAGCACTCCTGTTTCGATTCTCATTCTTTGGCCAGGAGCCTTTCGCATCGACTGCGCTTCGTCCACTCTCGTTACTCAATTCTATTCTCTCTCTGTGCATCTGACTCAACCGACTTGGTCTTTAGTTTGGGACCTGCTTCTATCCTGTTACTCGGCGGCTAAATCACAAGAAGCTGTTACCCTTTCTGCCTCGAGCCCAAACCGTCCCTCCTGTACAGCCACTCTCCGAACTTGTCAACTTCCCCTTCTTCCATCTGCCAACGTGGACACCGCGACATGTCTGCTTGTTAGATGGTCTAGACAACAACGCAGTGCCGGCACTGCTCGGGCTTGACGCCTGTCTTAATCTTCTTCAACCTAATCTTCTACACCTCCCGTCACCGACACGCGCCACAACATGGACAGCGCCATCTCGAACACAGTAAGAGCGGAGGACATCTGGCTAAGGGATAGCACGGATGGCTTTCGCTTTGAGACAAACACCACCTCCGCCTGGGACAACGAGCTGAAATTCGCCGCGGCCGAGTCGGTTCGAACGTCAATAATCGTCCTCGCAAGCTTCAATGCCGTCGCCGCCTTCGCCACAGCTACTGGCATCTATTGGAAATCATGGACGACAGCCAGGAGGTGTGACCCTAAGTGGAATCCTAGGTATGCTAGACACCTTGTACACTACTGACCCAATGCTGACAATGGCTTCCTCTACAGGTCGTCCTGGCTTACGGTTATCGGCCCTGCGGAGCTTTTCCCCTTCGCTCTCTCCTGCGGCATCACCATCCAGGGAATCATCTTCGCCATCTCACAGTCTAGGGGTCTGGAAGCCCTGATGATTCTTGGATGCACCAAGACTTCCCAGATCATGCTGCCAGGTACGCGAGACCCCGAAATATACGCCCCTTCAGTTGGCTAACCTGCTACAGCATTCTTCATCACCCCCTATATGCAGGTGGCATTTGGACTGGAGCTGTCGCTTCGAGCCCTAAAGCGACGTTCCTTCCAACCACGATGGAAGTGGAATACCCTCATTTGCGTCGTCGCCGTCGTGGTTGGCCTGTTGGTCACCTTCCTCGTCACCTTTGCAGTGCGACCCCCAAACTTTTGCTTTGCCTGCCTAGTTTGGTTTCTACAACATTACAAACTGGCATGCTTTGGCATCCTCGTCGCTGCCGTCGTTATCTTGCTTGTTCAGGCAGTCATCATCTCAGTTAGACTACTGAAAGCAACCAATATTGGCCCCACCGAACGGACTGAGGCCTCTCGCATGGTCTACTTCCTGGTGGTGGCGGTCATTACAAACGTGAGTCTTTGATTATCTCCGAGATGCTATTCTTTTACTAACAACAAGAAGGCACTTTTGATTCCATTCTTCTTCAGCCTCTCCTTCGGACAGGCTGACAGCGATCGGACGCTGCAGACTTCCATGGTGGCTGCTGTGGTCGTCAACATTTCAGGCCTCCTGACGTGCAGTCTATACCTCTTCCTCAGATCAAGCAGAACATCAACGATTGGCTGCAGTGACTGGGACGGCATGGAAACCCGACCCCTTGAGAAGGGCTTCTGGGATGGAGGGTCGAGCAATTTCGACTTTGGACTCCAGATTGCCCAGCCTCTTGTCCCCGCACAACATCGGAGATCAGACAATAGCCAGACTATTGTTCTCGAGACGCCTGACATGGGACGTGGTCTTGAGACCCCCGTGAGCGGCGGGAACATTCATGTTCCAAGTCTCGGCATCATTTGCCCGCCTACCAACTTCCCTCAGTCACCCCAACCTGCTCAGGTGTCAACAAAATCAACGCTCAAGGCTTTCACAAAGAGCTGGTACAACAAAATTCCCGGAGCGGGAGAGCCTCTCATGCCCAAGTCCAATTTCCTTCTCCCCACCACCACCTATGCTCCTCCACCTCCCGTGGATGACATGGAGACAGGTTCAACAGACAACCTGCTTGCTCCACCGGCTATGCATGACCGAGGACAGCTGCACCGCCAGAGAGGGTCCTCTGTGTTGTCCTCTGCCACCGTCCAGATTGGCCTTCGCTTGTCCAACGTTGGTGACATGCCCCCTGTCACCTCCACCTTCCCTGAAGACTTGGCCAAGGTTCATGACCTTGACTGCCCCAACAGCCCCGTGGGCTTGAACCTTAGAAAGCCGAGTCCGCTGGGAATCACTGTGATCACTCTCCCGGACGAGGAGGCGATTGAGGAGCAGCGCAACAAGCAGCTTCCACCAGTCCCTGCCGTCAGACCCCGCGACGAGGAGAGGGATGAGGAGAGAGACGAGGTGTTGACACTCAGTCCAGATGTCTATAGCCCACCGGGTCAGAGGATGAACCATTATCGCACAGGGTCTAGGAGCTCTCACAGGTCGAAAACCCCTTCCGTGAGTTCCCGGGCACCGCATAGTCGGAATGGCTCACGGGCCGGATCTGAAGTGATAAAGGAGGATTGGATCTAACGCTGATGGCTTCTCTCTTTGGCATTGTTTGGTGCTCTCGAGTTTGGCGTTCTTGTTTATATAACTTTTGGTGTGGCCGGCTTGGCGTTTGATTTCACGGCCTATCACGACTGAGATTCCCTTTGTTTTTTGGGGTTTTTTTTTTTGGAGGTGTGTTTGATAGGACTTGGGTGGACGGATGATTGGAGATGCTGGGATCACATCACCAACTTCTGAGGCACAGGGTGCCCTTTGGTATATCGGACGATGGGCTTGGCGACAAGCCCCGTAGATAGCACATTTAGATAGAAAGGAACGAGGACCTCTCGAGAGGCAGACAGTCCCACACATTTGTGGGATTGATGATTCAAGATCATCCAAGCTACCCATTGTGTTTGATGTCGAGTAAAAATTGCTACCGTGATGGCGACACATAATCAAGGCTAAGTCCTCAAAGATTTACTGTGCAAAGAGCGATACTTGGTGCGACATGGAAGAAAGGAAAGGGTCCAGGACTCGCTTCTAATACAGCATTTATTTAGTACCATGTCTTTTGCATGCGTGTATCTAGGTCGTCTTCTTGCTCTTCTTTGAAGATGCTACTTCTGCCCTCCTCTCTTCCCACTTCTCCCAACCAGCCTGGCACATGTCTTCCTCTACCACGAGATCTCTGACTCTGAAGGCCCTGGCGAGGGGCGTCTCCAGTGCCCAGCTCAGGAGACCGATGTGGCGCACAATGCTAGTAATGGCGAACCACCCCACGGCGCTGACTACTCCAGCAGTACAGCCCACGAGGACTTGCTTGGTGGTATGGTAGTTGAGGTAGATCCTGCTCCACGCCGTGACACCAGCAATGATCAAGCCAACCGTACTCATAGCCAATCGCTCGATAAAAGACCAGGGCTGGTGGACGCTGCTGTCGGCGCGGCCGCGCAAGACTTTGGGTGGGCGGTGGCGAACGAGGAGGAAGAGGGCGAGGGAGACGCACCAGAAGGCGACGAACTGGGCATGGGAGCTGGGCATGCCGTAGCCCTTGCCGTGGATGCGGAGCGGGCGCTCTTCCTTGATCAGGCGCTTGAGGGCGAAGTTGATGACCTCGCAGGCGAGCTGACCGGCGAACATCAAGGCGACTTCGACTTCACGGGTGAAGAGGATGAGGGTCGCGTAGACGACGCAGAGGGCCTGGGGGAGGAGGGCGAGGTAGGCGCAAACGAGGGAGAGCAAATCGTCGGGGTCCTGGGAGAGACACCGATGTTAGCTGCGATGTAACGGCGATATGTTATAGAGGAGGGCCTGGTACATAGTAGATGTGGGTGATGGAGAGCGAGGCAAGGGGCGTGGAGTCGTCCATGATGGGCTTGCTGCTGGGCTGTGGCCGCTGTCGAATCGGTCTCAACGAGGCATGCTTTGAGGGAGAGTTGCAGTCTCTGGGAGTCTCGGGATCGCGAAGAAGAGTGGCGCGCAAGAGACAGACCCGCGCCCTACGCAGACGCGAGGTTGTGGGCGTCTTGGTCGTCGAAGCGGGTGGTGTCGAGTGGTGATGGACGTGGTGATGTACGATGGCGTAGTGCAGCTGCATGACAGCTCTCTTTCTAGACTGCTCTACTGGAAGGGCTGTTGTGGCGACCTGCTGTGGCGTGTGTGGCTGGGCGCAGGTGGCGCGTATCTGAACTTTCTCCATCATAAATTAGTACCCTCTAGGGATATTCGTACAGGGTTGGGGCAAACCAGGGCTGGGGCGCTGCCAGACATTTCTCAACATCTCAACTACTCTCATACTTCCACTTCCACTCAACATTCCGCCTTTCAAGCGTCCACACCCCTTGATCCCTGAACTCGACTGCATCCAGCGTATGCTTCAAGCGCATCTAACCTACAGAGACCTGAAAGGTAGGTGGCTAGCAACAAACGAGAATTGTGTATTAGTCAGCACAATGTACCATATCGGCCTAAACCCCGTGCTAAAGTGACTAGTCCGGGTGGCGAGGCCATCACCACCATTTGTAAACTCCACCTCTTCCTCCCAAAGCCGCCGTCGACCGACGCACACACGGCGAAAGAGTCATCATCGTCGCCGAGGATCGTCAGGAACCCACAACAGACGAGAAGATTCTTTCGGGTTTTGCTCCCTACCGAGAATTTTAGCAGACGTACATCGTTTTTCTCACAGCTCTCCTCCTCCATAACAGGTGCTCCGCGGAGACTACCCGTCCCCCTCGCTCATGATCCTGCTTGCTCAGTTCTCACGGCGACGACGATGAAAATGACGGCCTAGCGACTCGGGGAAACTGGGAGTTTATGTTCTAGAGACCATATCTAAACCCACTCACATCGTTCAACTCAACTCAACTCGCTTCGCTTCACTCTGCTGTGGATGATGAACCCTGCCACTCTCATCGCCAACAATCACAATCACCGTCACAATGGTCGACGACAGCGATGATCCTCGCCACGTCGAACTCGAGACCCTCGAGGCCATCTATCCCGAGATTCGACGTCCAAATGAAAAGGACCTCTTCACCTTCGAGATAGAACTCCCCGTTGAGCCTGCTGCTCCCGTTACCGTCACATTTCCCGCAGCTTCTGCAGGCACTCTGCCCGCCCTGAATGTCGCCGGTTCATCCATCGACAATGTCCAGCCCGAGGTGGACTCTCTTGAAGTCTCCCACCTCCCAGCTCTGTGTCTTCGCATCTCTCTCCCAGATGGCTACCCTGTAGATGTCCCGCCCAGAGTTGTGATTTCGACGACTCCCCAGTGGCTTGCCCCGGAGACGATCGAGAGACTCCAGGACGATGGACCTCGTTTGTGGGATGAGATTGGTCGTGACATGGTTGCTTTCACCTACATTGACCACATCCAACAAGCCGCAGACCATGTCTTTGGGGCCATATCCCCAGAGGGAACGCTCCAGGTCGATCCAGAGCATAAGCTTGCTGTGTTGGACCACGATATCAAAGCAAAGAAGGCCGCGTTCGAGAAGGAGACATTTGATTGCGGAGTTTGCCTAGGTAGGTCCCCGTACATCCAAGAAGGAAGAAGCCTTCGACAATAGACACCGAAACTAACATGCCGTTTAGATCCTAAGAAGGGTACCAAGTGTCACAAGATGCTGGACTGCGGTCACATCTTTTGCCTCCAGTGTCTCCAAGATTTCTACAATGACGCAGTTAACGACGGAAACCTCTCGACCGTGCGGTGTTTGGCTCCCAACTGCGCCAAGGAGCGCTCTAAAGTCAAGGACAACGGCGGGCCATCGTCAAAGCAGATCAAGAAGCCCAAGGTCACTATCAGCCCCAGCGAGCTCTTACAGATTGGACTCTCCGAGGACATGGTCAAGCGCTACGTCACCCTGAAATACAAGACGGAACTCGAATCTGACAAGAACACCATCTACTGCCCTCGCCAATGGTGCAACGGCGCGGCTCGTTCGAAGCGTCACAAGAAGCCGGAAGGTCTTGACTTTGCCGAGACCTCTGACGGCGAATCCGACCACGACGACAAGGCAGAAGACGAAAAAGCTGGCGAGAAATCCAAGAAGAAGGCCAAGAAGTTCAACCCAGCCGACTTCTTGTCCGTCTGCGAAGACTGCGGCTTTGCCTTCTGCGGCCAGTGCTATCAGTCATGGCATGGCGAATTCGTCCGGTGTGCGCCCCGTCGCGAAAAGGGCGAGCTCAGCGAGGAGGAGAAGGCATCGATCGAATATCTCCAGCTTCATACCAGCCCGTGCCCTACCTGCAATGCCCCAGCTCAGAAGACCCATGGCTGTAACCACATGATCTGTTCACGATGCGATACCCATTTCTGCTACCTATGTTCTGCCTGGCTGGACCCAGGGAACCCCTATCGTCACTACAATACACAGCCTGGCGGCAAGGTTACGTCGTGCTTCATGCGCCTGTGGGAGCTGGAAGGCGGCGACGGCGACGACGTGGGCCTGGGGTTCGTCGGAGGTCGGGGGGATGGTGCGAACCAGCCGGTTGCCGAACCTGCAGAGATTGATCTAGACTTTGCATCAGATGAAAGCGATGCCGAGGCCGACGAGAATAACAACCACAACCACAACAATAACAACCTCAACAACCGGCAACTTGATGAACAAGGCCAAGCAGTTGCCGTTGCCCGAGAGGCGCCCCTTGTTCTCCGGCTCGTGGACAACCAACCCCGAGACGGCCGCAACGGCCACCGACCGGTTCCCCCAGCTGCACCAGACGCACCCCATCCCGCAGCACGCGGCCATGGGCCACACCGGGGTCCTCTAGGACGTGGGCGTGGCGCTAGGGGAGGTCGAGGGCCGGCCGGGGTCGCAGGGCGAGGGGCAGCGGCAGTGGGAGGAGGAGCTCGAGGTGGTGGCGCCGGAGGAGGAGGAGGAGGAGGTGTCGCTAATCGACAACGTCAGAATCAGCGACAGCAGCAGCAGCCACAGAACCAGGGGCAAAACAACAACAACAACGTAGATCACATCAACCCCCCGGCGGGTCTTGATGCAGCACAGGAGGAGTGGGTGCGTCGATTCGTGCAGATGGCGTTGATTGACGCTGAGGACGAGGTCGAGGGCGACTCGGACGACGAGGGCGACGGTTGGATAATCCAATGACGGCGACGGAAGCCGGGGTGGATAAGCAGTTCTGCATTTCTGGAGGATTGGACCGAGTCAAGCCACCTTGGCAAATGTGAATAGATGGGCATTTTTGTTTATACCGTACCGAGTGGCGTGCCGGGCCCCGGTTTGTTGTGTGGCTCCCAACCATGATGGACTCAATGCATCATGACGGGCCTGTCTCCGTCCTTGAACGCAACGATCCCTCGCCACCGTCATGAATTGTCTTGCCTGCTTGGCATCACGTCTGTCAACCACGCCTTGGCTGCCCCAACCTCCTCGTAGGTCAATTTCCGACCACGGGCATACTGCGTCGCCCCCAAGCAGCCGGCATTGAGCAACAGCTTTAGCTTCACCCTGGATGGACCACTGCGCGGCCGCTCCCACGCACCCTCATCACCCGCCCGCCTAATTCTTTTCTGACCTGCTTGCGGCTTGCCTGCGGAGTGGCACAACAAAAAGCACCCGAGTACTAGACCACAGAGCATGATTCTCAACGCTTAGCCGGTGGGTGCGTGGGTGCGTGAGTGCGTGAGTGCGGCGGCGGCGCCACGTGAACGAACCCAGAGCATCGAGATGCATCTGTGTGGTTACACAGCTCGACTTCAGGCTCTCACCCGCGCCTCTCGCTGGCGTCTGGCGGCCACTCCGAGGTGATGGCATGCTATCTGCCTGTGGGCGACGCCCGCTGCCCCAGTTCCCCTCATCGCCGCCAGACGCACGTTCGAGGTGACTGCGTCTCCGCTGCGACGAGGTTGTGATCGATGAGCCCGGATATCTGAGCTGGAAGCTGACACCCGGGTGTTTGCCACTACGGCTACTACCCACCTGTTTGTCCGGTCTACGAAGCCTTCGCGCCACCTCTGACTGAGTGTTGTGCGTCTTGAGAGGGGGGGAGGCGCAGGGCTTTTCCAACTCCCGAGGACAAAAGATCCGAGTAGGGGACGATTACTCCACATCGCTCTACCAATTCGGCTGAAGGACGCATATGGTGCTGGGTGTGTGCATTTCTAGGCGCCCTTGACGTGATATCCTCACCCGGCCGACTGATCGGCCTGGGAACATCCACAGTCAAGTAGGTTGGCAAACTTTGGCTGCTGATCGAGCATGTGATGCTCATTAGAATGGACAGAGCCCGGCATCCATTGAGTTGACCTCTGATGCCGTGCTAATCCACTAATCCCGCATGGCCAAGCCCCGATCAGAGACAAGGTATTCAGGTGAGAGGAAACCTAGTCGTTGTCTAGCAGTATGGAGGAACACGAGAGATGCTGCAGGGAAAGCCGAAGGTGACGTTGACTTTGCCAATGCCGTCCGGCACTCTGCCACAGTGCCCCCAATCCTGCTGTAAACGCGCGTGGCGAAAGTCGAAACATCAAAATGACGATATGGCAGGGAGATCTTTTAGCCTTGCGAGGACTAGGCGAAAAAAAAACAACCGGTCACTTTTTCGTCACAGTGCATTTCTCACCGGGGAAAAGTGAGAGAGTGAGAAAAGCATTTAGAACGCGCAGAGCTGGAAATCATCCTCCTGGTAATTGGGGGCAGCCAATGATTGGAAGCAAGAAAATGTCTGAACCCCGACTTGCTTGTGCTAACCCCCCAAAGCTTTGCATTGATTTGTACTGTATTTGAGCAAACATTCATTATGCCGATGAATGGCGTCGTAGATGTGACAAGAGGAGGTGACTTGTCTCCTCTCACAATCACCAAGGCGCCACTTGTATCACTAGAGTCTCAACGAGTCAAAGTGGAAGGGGGCGGGAAAAGCATTAATTGTCCCGCAGTTGTTGTGCTTGTCCACAGCCTTTGAAAGCTCGCACGCGCGCACCAGACTTGGCCCCGCACATTGGTGCTATCTGACGACACTGCCAGAGAACGGCACTGGCCGGTCTGGGCTGACGGTTGCAGATGGTGAGCGCCATTGGTGCAGCCGTACTTTGTTGTGCAGAGAGGCGAGAGGATTGGCCAGGAGGGAGTCCGGCGTTAACTTGCCCTATTCGGGCCTTCCAGCCTAAAGGCGACCGAAGTAGTAGTTGTAGGATAGCTGGGTAGCGCTTGGAGGATGAAGGGATCATAGATGATTGCTTTCGCCCCGCCAAGGAAGCACAGATTCGAAGAGTTCCATAACTGGGAAATGGACAATTTCGAAAGAGGAGACGCAGCCGTTGATAATGTGGTGGAATAATGAACAAATAAATGCAAAGAGATTAGTCCGTATTGCATGACATCAATAACCCTTGCAAGTACAGTACTGAAGTCTGGGTGAACCTGTCGGCAAGGGTGTCTGTATGCATGCACGGCCGCCGCTCTGCAGGTTGTGGGCGTTATGCTCTGTCTGGGCCCAGCCAGAAGCTTTGCTTGTCCGTGTCTGTTCCGTCAAGAACAGATACAATGGACGTTTCCACATTCCGTTTAGCTAAGACAACGCGCATCCTCACTCGCCAGTGGACCATGAATGCATAGTATTGGAAGTCCCGCAGGATACGAGCTTGTGATGTGCGAATAAGTGACGAGTCCTGCATCCACGACTCAAGAACAGGTGCTGATGTAGACGACTGTGTAATCGAGCCATGTGGCCAAACCTATTTTGGGTTTTAGCAACTAATTTCAAGCTGCAGCGTGGCAGAGAGGGAGGGTAGGGATTGTCGGTGCGCGACATTCCAGTGCTTATGGTGGACCGGGTGTGAGAGCAAGGAGCATCCCTTCTCCCCAAGCCCGCAGACGTTGGGGAAATGACGCCTGGTTCATCAACGACGCAAGCGACATTTAGATCTCGACCATTTCGATGAGTGGCCTGATACTTTGAGAGATTCTGACCGAAATTGTAAATCGCTGTTGATGAGCGGCGTACTAATGGTTGGGATCTTGCGATTCGAGCAAAACGCTTGCTCCAAACCCCTGCCAAGACCGGTACCTATAGTGCGCCGGCCTAGCCCAACAAAGAGGCCGATCGGGGCTGGGGGGGAGTCCAACGTTTCGTTTATTGTTTCTTCGTTTCTTGTTTGTCCTCTAGGCCGACTGTCCTTCACAGGGGCGACTTAGTAGTTGTTGAAGCTGGTTCCTCTTCGGCTAATCTGAAACGTAAGAGTAGAAAAGTCGTCCCATTTGCACATCCAAACGTGGTAAAGCAGTTTTTGGATGCTGCACCTGAGACTGCCGGCGGTTGAAGTCGAGAATAGCCGGGAATTCATTGACCAATGTTTTGCAACCCCCGTTATACACTAGACGACGATGCGAAAGACATGAGGCTATGTGCTGATCTCGCGGGCCAAACCGATGATGCACAGGTGTTTGCAGCAACATTACAACATTATCGCAGTAGTAGGGCGATTTGTGACGATTGCCGACTCGATATGGAAACGGGGCCCGTCAGATGCATCTGGCTTAGAATCCGGACATGCCTGAGAAAGAGCCGGCCTTAAGCCCTTCGGCCGCCGCCATCATTCAGGAACGAGAGCAAAGGGCAAGAAACGATTACCCCAAGCGAGTCAAGTCTTTTTCCACTCGAGACTACTGCACGGAGATCGTCGTCCGAAAACGGTCTACCGGCCGGAGGAGCGGGCCTGAGCGGGCCTTGGGTCAAGCCTGTTGAAAGGTTACTCGCCCCGAACCCCGGAGAAAAGTGGACACTGAAGCTCCAGCGAACAGGGGGCGGGACTCGTCGGCAGCCACGGTTTGTCACAATGACCCGTCAGTGATGTCTCTAGGCGTCGGCGGTATCTGCCGTGATCGTCTCGCGCATCACTTCCGGCTCATGTGCAATTAGCTAGCTCTCATCATGGATTCGTAGTCTCCCCCCCTTGAACGATACTAGTAGTTCAAGTCCATGATCGAAAGGCGAACCTTGCCAGCATGAAAGCGTCGCGACTCTTTAAACTCGACGGGGCGAAAGCCTCCATAGTAGTGCGGCTCTGGATGTTGGCGTGGCTGCCGCTCGAGATGTGGACGCATGTTTTCGACGTGTGAGCATGGATGTGGGCGAAGTCGCACCCCCTACGCATATGCACCTGCAGCACCGTTTAGCGATCATGTCAACAGCCAATCAGGAGGGCGGCTCCTCCAATGCTGGAGGTCATAACGGACCGCTGTTATAACTTAGGCCGGCGTCCTAAGACCATGGATGTGCGAAACATAATCTCGGCCAGAGGGCGCAGATAATAAATGTTCGCCCTGACTCGGTGCAATTGTCGCGGACCCGCGCGACTTCCCGGGTTGCCCAGAATTTGTTCCTGGTTTATTGAGCAAGGAACGGCTTGATGCCAGAGATGGCCTCCCCCCGGGAGAGCGGATGCAATACTATGTAACTGTAGTTCGTCCACACTGGAGGGGCATAATCAAGGCGACGAGCCCTTGACCTAGGACATGCCCAAAGCTGCCCAGCATGGGCACCTTCGACTGGCCGATGGTGGAGCATCCTGGGTGCTTCCCGAGGGGGCATCCCGGGAGGTGACTGTGCGATGAGGCGGCAAGAGTTGGCAAGCAAGCCACCTGCACCCACTCTAAGGTTGCTTCGTGCGATGAGACCAGGCGCATTGGACTGTTAGATCTGAAAAAGAAAAAGAAATCGCCGTGAGCACCTGGGATGGTTACATCGAGGTGCCGCAGTGCTTCGTAGGGAAGAGGAACTACCGTCGGGGTGGCGTCTGGGCAGGTGTATCAGGAGGGACCGGTGGGAGTTGACTTTGCCAGGGCCTCGCTCTGGCTCACGGGCCTGGGCTTGGCCGCCGCAGTCACCGACGATGCGAGAGTCTCCTTTCAGAAGCATGGGTGCGGGCGAAGAGGGCGGCATCACTTGGGCTTGTTGTTTGGGGCGACGAATGAGGAGCAGAGGCCACCGACCATTTCCACGACTGACAACCCAGCATGTGAGAGTGATGACCTGCGCGGGAGGGCGTGTTGGACGAAGCACGGCTGCGTGTATCTGCGTGTATCTGCGGGTGTTGCGCCGGTGCGTGTGTGGTGTGCGCGTGTGTGTGGATGGCCTGTGCTCTGATTAGGCCATGAGATATCGACAAACGCGATGGAGGAGCTCTGTGCGGTGCTTTGGCGCTGACAGGCATGAGAGGCCCTGGAGACCCCCGGACGGCTCTAGACAGCCCTAGATCCTGGACTGCCTGAAGTTGAAAGCCTCGCGAAGATGCCGTCTGTCGTTCAAAGGAGTCGAGGGGCCGAAGGTGTTTCGCACCATTGGCCCTGGCCATGGGGAGGCGGCTCGAGGCGGCGAGCCGTTGTCGGCGATAGCCTGTGAACCCGGCGAGAATGGTTTTGGGGTTGACCCCTGATGAGGCAGGCTGACGACAAAAACACGCGATCAGGGTGCACCGGCGCGGTCGATTAGGTTTCCTCATGATGCCTGCATGCATGCGAAACCTGGAGCGGGAGAGGACGAAGGAGCAATGGAGTGGACGTGAATAGTGGACAGTGGACACTGGACGGAGAGGATAAGCCTCGACGAGCCGTGACGGGCCTAGTCAAGCCTCCCTAGTAGAGCTTGCCTGGTATGCCTGGCAACAACAAACTCCAGCAATTGGGCAGGCGGCCAGAGCCTGGACCTTGACCCCTCGGCCGCAGCCAGGTGGAAGGTGGGCTGTTGACACGGTGCAGTTGGGGCCCACTGCACAGTACCGAGACACTGTGGGGACCCGACCGTTGACCGTTGAGGGGAATTGTGGCGGCCGTTGGGAAGGGGCACGGCCCTGGCCGCCCTGTCCGCTCTTAGCCCCTTTGACTGCTTTGCCTGCTCTTGCCCGTTTTGCCTGCTTCAGAGTCAGTGCTTTCCTTCCCTTGTCCATACCGTTGTCAAAGATCCCGGTCTGCTATTGCCTGCCCTTGTAGCCCTTGTAGCCCTTGTAGCCTTTGTGGCCCTTGCCCACCCTGGCCACTTGCAGTCCTTACAGGCCCCTGCTGGCCCATGCGCGAGTACGCCGATGGCCAACCCTGGTTCGCTCTGGCATCTTTCCCCACCTGCGAACCAACCAACGGCAACGCGAGACATCAGTGCGACGCGCGACGTGAAGCCATCTCCAACTCGGCGCCCGCCAGAGAGCTCATCGGTCGACTGCCCCCCAAGATCTCGCTACGCTCCTTGCGACCACTATCGGCACAGTACATCACGGTACAGTACGTACATCGCGGTACAGTGCAGTGCAGTGTAGCGCAAGCCTTCTGGCCCTGGAGCACACCATGGCTTGCTGATCGGATCCGCGAGGGAGGGAAAAGTACCTGCTACTGGGGATCAGGGTCCGCTGTTTGTTTTGTTTCCTGGCCTGGGAGTGAAAGCCATCTCGTTCCAATTTGAACATGGCCTGTGGAGCTAGACGCAGCCAGGAGCACGCTGCCGCCACAGCATCAACACCATCAGCATCAGTGCCCATCTGTTTTCTTTTGCTCCAGCGCCGTCGACCTTGCTCACGAGGATTCCCTTGCCTCAGGCTTCTCCGCATTCGTCGCCACACCGAGCCCAATTCGACTTCGCAGCGCGGCACTGTTGAGCCCGATCCCAATTCGGGGAGGCCCCTCTGCTCATCCACACGCACGCAGAAGCTTGCCAACCATGGGAATGGGGATGGCGGATGGTGGATGTGGATGTGGATTGGGATGGAGATGCGGATGGCCGTGGATGGTCCGTGGGACGTGCTGCGTCGATGGAGTCTCCGTCACGGCAACTGTGGCTGCTGTCACTTCCTGTGGCCGATGCCAGGCATCCTGAGTATGGAACCCGAGTCGACCCCACCTCTCGTCCGTCTGCCGTCATCCCTCCTCCCTCCTCCCCCCCATCCACTTGCCATTGCCGCCGCGGAGCTTTGAGTAAGCATAAGCTAATAAGCCGTCTCCTTTTTGCCAGACCAACAAAGTTCCTCGAGCGATTCATCTCCGGAGCCTAGCCAAGGGGAATGCTTCCTAGCCGCCTCTTGTCTGCAACGGCCTCGTCCCCGTTGTAATCACACCAGCCTGGCTATAATGGGGAATATTATCAGATATCCTCCCGCGTTATTCCCCCGCAGGGATCTAAGGAGGAGGGAGGCGCACACACGCGTGCTCCCTGATTGAACAAGGCCCTTGTCGCGAGCAAATCTCTGCAGCCGACAATTTCTGGTTTCTCGCCTCCCGGTCGGCGCCTTTCCCTATCGGTGCCTCTGTCCAACGGCCTTCTAGAAATTTGCGGGCCAGCGAGTTCTCGCAGACGTCGGAGGATTCTCTTTCAAATGGCATCCCCGGTCTCCCGCCAGGGGCCAGGATTGGCCATTAGCAAGTGTGCTTTTGGCTTGAGGGGAGGGGCTTCCGGGCCCTCAGAGATGGTCCCCGTGTCTCCACTCGGCCCATTGCTCCTCGGCCGCTCTCCATTTTGATCCCTACCAGGCTTAGGTCGGGTAGCCAGTACTCGGGCCCTGCGTCACATATTGAACTCCATATTCCAAAGGCTAGCGTCTCTCCTTGTCAACAGTACATGGCCGGCTCTCCATGCTGGCCTCACTCAGCAGGGGTCTCGAACCCCTCGGTAGACGCTGACGGGGGTGGATGGGATGGCAACGGGACTGGGGCGTGTCTGGGAAGCCTTCTCAACTCGAGCCCACTGGCCCTCCTCCGGCCCTTGTCATTGCCTCCTGGACCGACCTGCCTACCTACTTACCTGTACCCGGCACTTTGCCATCCCCTTCAACCCTCTGTGAGACTTCTCCCGGGGCATGGCTTCGTCCGAGCTCCATCACGCACACACCTGCCGACCCCCTAAGATGGCGCCCGACGTTGCTCATCCCTGACCTCACCCACGTTTGCTCTCTCCTCCTTGTTAAGTGGAATATCACCGTCTTCTAAGGCCCTCGTTTCCAGGCTTGCCCAATGTCTGCAGGGTACCCACCCCGAACCCCAGTATAGACCGTTGCTGTTCACCAGATCCGCCCCCTCCCACTCCCCATCCTCCTTCCAAGAACGGCCGCATGCACTGGACCGGTTTCCCAACCCACAGACCTGGCCAGACCCATCGGTTTGCCGTACTGCACTGTACTGAGGACTCCGGACTTGGTGCTAGTAGGCCTTGCTCAGAGCCCGTACCCAAGTCCCTGTGCCTGGCCGTCGAAACCTCCCCCCGTCTCCGTCCCCACCCCGGGGACAGTGCCGGGCATTTGATCAGACACTCCCCTCTACGAACATCTGCCGTCTTTGGGGCACCCACCATCCATCCATATACAAGTACACTTTCGCCTGCAACCTTGAATCCCCCCAGTGCCTTCGATTCTCCATTCTCCTTGAAAACAACTTGTTCGCGCCGCACATCGTGTCAAGGAGGACTTCTCAGGTCTTGACCACTCTCGCAAAACACCGGGTTAGGACCCATGCTCTCTGGGTTACGACGTTGGCGACGACTTTGATCCAGGCAACTCGGTTGCGTTGAAGTAACGGCGAGTTCGCAGAGATATGCTCCTATGACGACCATAGCAGCATATCCGGCCACCATGGCAGATTTGAGAGGACACCCGGCGCATTCGAGTCTGTGGTCAAATTATGGTGGTCCAGTACACATGTCCAGTCGGGTTCCCGACGCGATCCCATCAACCACTACGCCTATCTCAGGACGACCTGGCAGCAACCACGACGTGGATCATCCTCCCTACGCTTACAGCCGGTACCCCCAGGATGACCAGGAGGCGTACGACAGAAACCCCCATCCTGATCTTTCTTCTCACCACAGCTACCCCAATCTGAAGAGGTCCTTCTCCGAGACGGAGCCACCCGCCTACCAGGAAATCGTCCAAGACCTTCGTGATGATGGCAACAAGATGACCGTCAACCACGATCACAAGCTGTTGGCCTTCAAAAGGTCCCAGGACAAGCACACCATCGTCGACCAACAAGGCCGGATGCAACAACTGGAATTATCAGCCCAGCTCCACGGGATGTTCTTCCTGTCCGAAATGCCAACCAGCTCAGCCGACGGAAGCGTTCGACAGCCAGAACTGACGTGCTACCGGAGAAATCTGTTTCAGACCAGCGGATCACTGATTACCCCACGAGGCCAGTTGTCAATCATAACCGAGGCAGGGGAGACTGTCGCCGTCAGTAACATGGAGGTGACCATTTCAGCCATCGAGTCTGTGGACGGCAACCCTGTCCGTCTGATTGTGATTCCCTGGAAGACCCCCCCGCCAAACTCTCCAGAAACAAACCAAAGCCCTGACCAAGAGCCTCCATCACTCCCTTTGATTCCCTTCCAGGATGATGGAAGTGAGGCTGATGGAGAGTTTGCTGTCTATCCCATCGGCTGGCGTCGACTACAGTTTAGAATGTGCGTTGGACCACTCTCGTTTGTGAGGAGCAACACTGACAGCAGCACAGAGCTACCGCCAACAACGGACGGCGTAAGGAACTGCAGCAGCATTTTGTGTTGCACTTGAAGGTGGTAGGGACCTTAGCAAACGGCAACAAAGTTGTCCTCACGGAATCAACAACAGCTCCGATTGTGGTGCGAGGACGCAGCCCTCGCAACTTCCAGGCCCGGAAAGAGATCCCACTGTTGGGATCAAGTGCTGGATCCCGTGGACAAGCCCTTGTCGAGACAGGACTGGGTGTTGTAGCGGGGGCCTTGAACGCGAAACAACAGGAAGCCAAGGCAAGAGGCCTTGATGGGCAGCTACCACGAACAGCCTTTACGTTCAGCGCACCGAAGCTTCCAGGAAGCCAGCTCGGTTCCATCCGATCTAAGTAAGTCTCTCGCGTCTCCTGTGACGCCTCGGGTTTGGTAGAGACGGTACCGCGTCTCCAAACACGGCCCCTTTACCTACCCCTTTCGGCGACCCGGCGAAACTGGACTTCTGCTAACTGCCATTTGGCAGCTCATACCCAACTTGGAGCTCTCCAAGCCAAGTGCCAATGTCCCAGGTTCCATCTTCCGGTGCTGGGACCTATCCAGCAACGACCATAGCAGGCGATCCATTTCCGAAACACGCCCTCACTGGAGCTGCCAACTTTACTGCGGAGCCACAGGAACTCCCTCTTCAAACGTCGATGGAACCCTCAGTTCAACTTTCCCTTGTGGCCACCGACCAGACGCAACCCCCGATTAGGCCACAGTACACCTATGTGCACTCGACGACCGCTCCTCCACAGCTTCCCAATCACACTGCTCCGCTCAGCGGCCACGAGAGCGCGCTGAGCATCCCTCGTTACGTCGACAACCCCCGACCATCGAAGAGCCCACGACACGTGAGCCACCCTTCTGCGCGGAGCTCAGGGTCAATGGCGAACGAAGCATCGCCAGAATATCGATATGGATCGTATGCACCGGTTAATACTAGCCCGAGCGACGCCACGCAACCGGGATACAACCCAGAATCGTCTACTGGACCCTCTGCGCCAGCTAGAGATTATTACCCATCCTCAACCACCTGGACAACAGCTGGCGAGCATAGCTCCAGTGTTGCGTACACCAACAATGACGGGAGGCCTTACCCGTTCCCGCAGGATCAATACAAGAGCACCACTGCAGGGACATCGCCGACCAAGACTGATTCAAGCCAGAGCCAAGCCCCCTCAGTCTACAGTGGAGGGCCTCGAGGCTCCTTCGATGCCATGAATCAATATTCGTGGAGCGGAAGCTAATTTCTGAGACTTACGGTGAAACTTTACCTTGATTCAAAGGATATACAATATTTGTCGATTCGACATGATTGAAGCTCCGCTGACTTTTCGAATCTTTTTTTTATGTCAGCGGGCTTGTAGAATATTTGCTGGAACTTTTTCACGGCCGGTGTTTGGAAACGGTATTTGCGGGATGGTTATGGTAAAACCAAAGGGACGACAGGAAGGTAGACCGGCATTGAAGGAGGGGGTCGGGAAATGCGAACGATGGATGAGGAATGCAAAGCTCACGGCAAACCCAGCATCAGTCGATGAAACAACCGCTGCCTCCACAAAGGGTCGGGAGGCCGAACATCCTCGGTATATGAGGCTGTCACAAACACCACCGCGCGGCGAGGACAAGCTACCAGGTTTTGTCGAAGCACACAACATGCTGATAATGCTGGTGGTGGTGGGAGATAGCAGTCATGGCTGGGATCCGAACCGCGTGGAAGTCTACATTGCTGCTTTGTCGAGTCTCGGGCTCAGAAAAGGACAATCGCGCAGCCCAGATTTTTGTCGTTCAACGGTTCTGAGCTGACATGGCGGTTGAGGAAAGATGGACCCCCGATGTATTGACGAATATCCGCTTGTAATCGACAACGAAACGTATCCTGGTCGGCGGAATGCTTTTTGTTTTGTTTGTTTTAATATGATTGATGCGTGGATGCCGTTAGTTGGATGAGTGAAATGTTTTGTTGTGATCTTGTCCAGGATAAAATAGCTTCAGATGAGATGAGACAATGCAAAAACAGAAAATATCCAAATGAAGCCAGATTTGAGATCCTGGAGTGGAATCATTGAACAGAACCGGGTGGGGTTTGGAATGCCGTGAGTCGTGACGAGCGCTAGATGTGGCCGTGATATGTGAGAAGCGTAAGATGCAGGGAACCAGCTGGTGGAACAGTGGCTACCTAAGTAGTAGTGCTTAAGCTTGGAACAGAGGCGTGAATTGGAGATTACGATGAGACGACGGTGACGGGGACTATGATCCATGGAACCACAGGCCATGCCCAGACCTGATCCTTCTAGTGATGATCGTGGGCTGGGGGTCACGCCGGCCACGGGTAAGCCTAGTAGAGGCCCCATGTTCACGAGGTAGGCAAATTTGATGGGCTTTGTATTGCCCGGAATCAGCATCCTGATATTTCGCTTTGGAGCGTTGGTGCAATATTGCAAGCCGGTGATTGCGACTCTGGAGGCGAGCCCTTTGCCCATTTGGTCCGTAGTGGCACCGGTAGTCTGGGCGTTGCAAGGGCAAGCAGTTCGCAATTCTGGTGTTGTCGAGTGATGGATGGGTGGATGGTGTTCTGATTGGCTGATATTTAGTTGAATTGAGCTTGATGGGTGTGAGCGGCTACGCCCGATAAGATAAGGGACGGCGCCAGGGAAATTCTTGGGTTGCATTGTAATAACCACGGGCTCTGGTTTCAGACTGTCACAGTTGCAGCAGCCGGCCTGAAAAGCGGATAATCTGGAGACTCGGGCTGCTTTTTACGCAATCCCCACTTCGTTTGAGACAAACGCTTGACCTGCAGCCCTCTGATTGACGCAAGTTGCAACGCCGCCCTCGATTGATGGGCTGACGTCGACCTCGTTGAGTCCCATCTTGGCAGATATCCGGCGATCTGCTAATCTCGCAAATACTACCTCGACGGCGACACCACACAGCCATCATCGCCCATCCTTCTCCCGGAAATTCGGCTCCAGGTTTTGCAAAGTGAAAGGCAGCCATGTTCGAACTGCCAGAGGCCAAGAGGTTTGTCCTGACTCTCTGACCGTCCCATGAGAAGAAGATTTGGCGCTGACCTGCTTGCCTACCTAGGGTTCGTCGCGCAGACCTCGACGCCTCAGATGATGCCGCTGGCAGTGATGACGAGGGTTACGACGCAGAGCTTCAGGCAAAACTGAATGCTCAGATTGCAAGGTCGCTTGGGCTAGATGAGAGCTACGCCCAGCCGCGGGATTTCGCTGCGACGCCGTCTCATCTCACAAGACACGGGTTAGATGCCCATGAGTCCGAGTCCGAGCCCGAGTCCGAGGCTGAAGCCGAAGACGACGAGGATGCAGGCAACGAAGAATTTGCATTCCGCCTGTTCAACTCCACGCGGCCATCTCAGAAGGTTGTCTTGGAGGAGGACCTCGGGCCACAGGGCGATGGCGGATTCGCTTTCCCTCGTCCGTTATTTCACTACATGGCCACAAACCTGACAGCGGACCAAAAACAGCAGTACGTCTTTGCGGCCGTGAGCGGAGACGAAGTCCTGGCAAGATCCAAGGATCGCGCTTGGGGCCTCGAGCTACCATGGAAGGTTACAAATATCGCCGTGACACGGAAACGAAGACCCGGGGAGTCGACCTGCACAGCAGAGCAAGTGACGGAGAAAAAGAAGGGGAAGCCGGGCAAGAAGCAGCGGATTTCACTTCGCAAGAGAGCTAAAGCCAGAGAGGAGACGGAAAGGGTCGAGGCGCAAAAGCTGTTGGAGAAGGAAGAACACAGCAAGGATAAGAAGAAGAGAATGAATCGGCTAAAGAAGTTGAGGAAGAGGGCGAAGAACAAAGAGATGAAGGCAGCGGCTAATAAGGACGGTGAGGCAGGGGCTGAAGACTCCGGGGATGAGTCGGCAGGTTCCGATTAAAGACATGGGAAACCCAAGGTACCTAGGTAGATACGATGGAACAAACCAGACAGATTGAGCAACCTTGCAATTGCATTTCGTGTCACAATTGTATCGCCATCACGGTATTGTACGGGGTCTTGCTTGCCGTAGTTGACGTGGGCAAGACGGCCAGGCTGCGGGAAGGTTGTAGTGGAACAGGGCACTGTATTTCTAGGCGCCCAGGCCACCAATGAGCATCGCCCGCTCACCAACCACGATCCCCAAGGCTACATGCACCCAAGTCCACGCGAGCATCTCTACCTACCTTCGAACCAAGCGACGTGGTCCTCGCCAGTGATCCAGCCACCTCGACCATACGCAAACACACGCCGTGATGATGGTTGTGAGCATGGAGTGAATGCCGAACCCCACGATCGACTTTGGAGGGGCACTGAGCAAACAGCCCGCCAGCTCTAGACGGAGACGCCAGCTACGCCCACGACACCACGATGAGTAACCTCTGGCCCTCGCGGCTCCCGCAAGAGGACCCCCAGCCGGAGACGACCGAAGACGTAGCCGATACGGGCGAGGTTGCCGACGCCGACGCCGGCTCCGAGCCCGGGCAGACCGACCTCCCACCGGTGCCCGCGCCGCCGCAATCACGGCCGTCCCTCCAGCGCAACGCCATGCAGACAGCTCCTCCTCCCGCGGCGCCCATGGCTCCGCCGCCGCCCAACGGCCATAACCCGACCGACTCGCTCTCGCTGATGCAGCTGCGGCGCATCGTGGCCGAGTTTAATCGTGCCGACCCGGTGGCCTACGACTTCGAGTACTCCGACATGGGACCACACCCGGAGGAGATTGACGAGTGGTTCGTGTACCAGTTCTGGCAGTGGGTGCGCCTCAACTCTGCCCAGCGGGCGTTTGAGTGGCACTGGCAGCACGAGTTCCGCGCCCAAAATGCCTGGGACGACGCAGACAACGATACCCGGACGCGCTTCATCCAGGCCGCCATCGCTGGGGTGCAGTCCAATGACGCCGCTCTGAGGTCGGCTTCGATCGGGAAGCTGGTCTATCTTGTACTGGGGCGATGGGGCGACACAGCTATGGCAAATGCTACCAGCGGAGATAACAAATCGGTTGCCAGCATCTCTCAACTACAAGCTATCAAGGCCGGCGTAGAGTGCCTCACTTCTCTTGAAGGATTGCCCGTTATTTGGGAGGCGCTCCGCAACAGCTTCGAAGTGCATTGGTGAATACTTGAACCTTCTTTGGATCCCGTGGTTGAGCTAACACTGCCTAGGTCTGGCGATCCCCAGGGACAGCATGGTAACCTCCAGGAAGCCCAGGACGAATTGATTAATCTCATGACGATTATGTATATTGCGATTCAGGAAACTCTCAACGACCCCGAGGACATGTCTTCCACCTATGGAAAACTCTGTGAGTTTTGAGGCATTCATTCTTTCTTTGGTACTTGTTACTGACCAAGGCACTCACTCAGTGGAGCTTAACCCCTCGTTGGTCGACTACATGCTTACAGCTACCTCGAAGCTCCGATGGGACGAGCAAAACCTCATGCCCCATACTCAAGTATGTATTCTTATCGATTTGGAAACAACTTCACTGACATAAGTAGATATTCTTGCTCTTCTGGAAATCCATCCTGCTTGTTTTTGGCGGTTCCCAGGAGCTGGAAACAGTCAAGAAGGCTACCAGCGAAATGGCAAACGACGGCAAGGACAAGGAGACCATTACCGCCTCACCCCTAGACTATCATGTCTTTCGCCAGGAAATCACATCCAAGTACCCGGCTTATGTGCCCCCACAACCGCTCATACCCTTAGAAGCCGAAAATACTTCGTTGCTTCCCCCACTACACAACCAGTCATCTAGGAACAACGGTGCTAATGGTATCATTCCTGCACCGCCTCACGTTCAAAGCGGAGGTACATCGATCCTCGATCAGCCGGTTCACATTGCTACACCTGCGCCTTCACCGCCACCATCACCTGGAGTGGGTGGCAAGGGAGGCAAGAAGCAGAATTACCAGACAAATCAAAATTTCCCCTTCATGTATCCGCCCCTCGACGCTACCAGTAACAGCGCTGGCGGAAAGGGCCCTGCTGGGTTCCACGACGCCCTGGTTGGCCGGAAGTGGGAGGGAAGCGACATCCCTGCTTCGATCCTCGAGGCCGGCGAGTTGTTCTCGACTCGAGTAAGAATGACACGAGCAACCCGTCAGCTTTGGGAAGAGCGTGAGCGGTTCCTCAAGTTCGAGCGTGGCTGGGAGGCTGGCGACGAGGACGATGACATTGAGGACCTTGACCTCAATGAGCTTACACTAGAGGAGCGCGAAGTCCTGAGAGAAATCAGGGCCGAAGAGAAGTTTGAAGAAAATAAGAGAAACCCGACCGCGTCAGAGCTGGAGATAGACTTTGGGCCACGACCAGAGCTACTCAGTGAACGAGACAAGCAACGACTCGTTGCAGTGGAGAAGTTCTACGTAAGTGACCCTCAATGATGCCTTGAATTCTGTTACTAATAAGCTCATAGCGCGATGCGTTACCCCATCTCCAATCTCTCGTCATTGTTCTTCTGCGGCCAATTCTCATCAACGTGACGGCAATCGTCGCACAACAACCCCAACAAATGCCACCCGGAATGGGTCGGGGTAACAACCCTGGCATGAATGGTGGTCCCATGAGTAACAAGCCCCAAGAAATGCCAGGCCAGAACGGTATGAGAGAAGTTCCAGAACCATCGCCCGAGGAGATCGACGCTGCACGAACGCGTGAGATTACATCCAAGGCGATGACTGGCATCCTCCTCCTCCTGTTGAAATGGCTGAGGCTCTCTCGTGAGTTTTTCGTCTATGAATCGCAGTGATCTTGTCTAACGGATGCGGACAGATGTGCTCAAGTTCGAGTACTTGACGCAGCTTCTATTGGACTCTAATTACGTCCCTCTCGTTCTGAAGCTCTTTGCTCATCAAGATATCCAGCAAGTGGTCGATAGTAAGATGGACCGCGTGGAGAACAGGTCAGTAATAGTAGTCCCTCCCTGTTAGTGTCAGTGTTCTGACTTGCCCAGCTTTTTCCACTTTTGCAATCTGCGATCACGGTCCAAGGACAAGTTGGCCGCAGATCTGGACCAAGATGAGGAAGAGGAAGAAGATATAGTGAGTGAAGATGATGCTGCGCCACCACCGATCAAGAGACGGCGGTCGCCAACCGAACCCCCACTGGAGGAAGATGAAGGAGATTCCAAGAACGACAATCAACTTTCCGCGAGGCCGGAAGTTGACGAGCTGGGATACCCCGTCAACCCCCTTCCCACCGAGCCCATTACCGATTTCTCACGCCGCAACTTCTTCTCTCTCATCAATTACCTGAGGGTGATGCAAAAGATTTGCAAAAACAAGGCACACCGGAATCTCCTGTTGGTGCAGTATAAGTCTTCAACCATCCTACGGAAATCCCTAAAGGTGCCACAGCAGGAGCTCCGGCTCTACACCCTGAAGTTGTTCAAGAACCAAGTCCCCTACTGCGGCCGTAAGTGGCGCCAGAGCAACATGAGGGTCATTACGGCGGTGTATTTGCATTGCCGACCAGACCTGCGAGATGAGTGGCTCGCGGGCAGTGACGTGGACGCCGAGGTAGACGCGGCGCTACCCCTGGAACAGGCGCTGCGTAGCTTGACGCACTGGCTCAACGTGCGGCGGTTCCCTGAGAAGATTGCACCCGAGATCCGGGCGGCGATGCGGGATGAGCAGGACTTTTTCTCGAGGGAGTTGGAGAAACTGGATATGACTTGGGCGGACCAGGCTGCTGAAGATGCCATGAACGAGCTGGAGCATGTGGAAGGTTGGGCGTAAGGACTGTGGATAGACAGCGCTGACTGTGTTATGGATGTTACAGTGACCACCCTTTATTGAGGAATGCTATATGCATTAGGCCTTGAATGACTACCGACGCGGAAGCGAGTTTATGCATGATGTTTCGATGATGATAGCGGTTCTAACTCACCGTCGTGGGAGCGAGTATTGGGTTGGAGCAAATTTGTTTGTCCATGTCTATGTCAAGCAATGGCCGTGCACCCGCAGCCTCAGTCTAATTGATGAAAAAGAACTTCATTAAGCATTACGAGGGACATTTATGCCCGTCTATCAGGCTTTTAACGTATTTTTCCTTTGCGTTCGCAGCCGGGTTGCCGTAGCCGGCCAGCAATATGCTGGGTATCACAATCTGAAAATATTTCCAGTTCCATTCCATATAACCCATCCCGGAATTATCAAGCAAAGAAACCATTCCTAGGTGCGATCGTATACACCGTCATATCTGTAATTCTGTTGATGATTCGGTTGGTGAGGGGGAGGCATGTGGTCGTCAGGCTCGGGGTAGTGAATCTGGCCGTAGCCATCTTGTCGTCCATGGGAAGCATCGGGCAGCGGGTATCCGTAGCTGGCATCGTACTTGTTGTAGATGCCCTCTTCCTGGTCGTCGCCAACGGCAGTGCGCTCGGAACCATGGCTAGGACGGTTGACGCCGAGCTGGTCTGGGTGCGTGTGCTCAGGGAGGACGCCACCCTCTTCGCCCATATGATCCTTCTTGCGCTTAAAGAGGCCGCCGAAGAAGCCGCCCTTACGACCGGAGCCCTCGGTGTAGTCGTTCTGCGGGCCGGGACCATAGCGCTTCTCCCGATTGTAATTGCGGGCAAGGGCGACTTCCATGAGAATAGAGAAGACGAAGAAGATGCTAGTGCGTGTAAGCGGCAGATCTACACATACGCGGGGGTTGATGCTTACATTGCGACGACGGCCATGGCTAAGCATGCAGATTGAAGTTTACAAGCGGAGCGGAATGTGGGAAGAGCTGTGAATCCATCGCTGGCCTTGGGCTTAGACCCGGCTTTCCCAGTCCCAAAGGGCGTATCGAGTGTTCCAGTACAGTCGCTGGAGCCGTCCTTGTTGGCTACAGCGACAAAGATGAAGGCGCCGATAAACGCAACGTCCAGGATAACAGCGAAGAAGGACGACAGAGTGCGGCCGGCGAGACAACAGAGCAGCAGCAAGCCGGAGAGGGTGTAGATGACGGCGATGCCGGATATGCCCTCAACAGCCTTTACTTTGGTGCTGATGGACAGTTTGTGGTTGGAGAGGGCGGCGAGGATGTACGAGTAGATGGCGAGAATGAGGGCGGCACAGGCGAACTGCACGCCGCGGATAAACCACTGGACGAACTTGAGGCCGATGGCTGCGCCCATGGTGGCGGTGGTGAAGGTGATGTTGTGCCGATGCAAGTAAGTTGGTTGGATGGATGGATGCAGGTTGTACCACGGACGGATGGATCGGGAGGATATTCTGAAGAGTCGGGGCGATGAAACTCGTATCCTTGGCGAGGAGGAGGGGCGAGAAAGAGAGAGAGAGAGAGAGAAAGCAACGGCGACCTAAGGAGAAACGAAACGTGTGTATGTTACGTGAACAAATGCATGCGGCAGCGGGTGAAGGAGGAGAGAATGGTTTGGGCTCAAGGATTGCTGACAGCGTGCATTACGTAGACAACTGCCCGCAGCAAGCGTCAATTATGTACAGTAGGTAACTGAGGTATTAGCCACAGGTCGAATGCGACGAACGAACGGGGCATCCAAGCGCCAAGGAGAATTTCCATTCGTATTGCAGGGTACGGGATCTACACCGGGCGATTTGCATTCGGCCTTACTGGGCAGCGAGCGGCCAAGACCCGAGTGGCGACGACGAATGCATCATGCATCATCGCCCGTTCATCGCCTCACTCAGCTTAGTGGTTTTGGTGATGACGAGGGTCGTGTGGCTGGTGCACACCATGTCGTCGAGAAATGCGGGGCGATCGAGGGGATCCGGAGCTACGGTTGGGCAGATCGGGTCCACAGCCACAGAGAGCCCAGGGATGTGGCGATTGCGATTGGCTGAGGCGACAAGGTGCGAGGGAGGGAGGGGCTGAGGAAAATCCCCCCACTCTCGAGGTGTTGATGGATCATGATGTCAACAACCCGTGATGATCGCGATGCAATCAGGTTGTCAGGCTCGAGGGTGTGGGCCAACCGACAAGAGACTTGCAGTTGCTGTTGATCCGCATTCGTTGCCACGGAGAAGCTGCATCTGCCGAGTGATTCATGCGGGTGCCTTGTTGAGTTGTTGAGTTGTTGCTTTGTTTTGCTCATGCATATGCGGCCGCCTGCATCATCCCTGCACGCCGGAAGCCCTCGTTCAAACCAGCATTTTGTTTTCGTTTAATCGGATTCACATGCATCGAGGACGTGCTCATCGACAAGGGCGGGGGACTCAGGCCTAGCTGCTAGCTCGTCCAGAAGTCAATTGTGTACAGCTGAGAATCAAACACAAACCTGCATCATGTCTCTGATCTTCCCGCAAGTCTTGTCCATTCAAATGCTGCAATGCGAGGATGGACACCATGCTAATGTTTCATATGCTAACTGGTCGTACGCCCAAAAGCCACCGGGTTCTCTGAACAGCACACTCAGGTATTACGGCACCGGGGGCCCGGATCCGCCCTGGCTGTTCGTACGCTGTTGCACCCGTTAGACTGAGCGTCATTCTTGCCAGACGTTTAAGTAGCGTGACTCCCTCCGAGAATAATATACAGGATCCTCGTGTTTGTGACCCTCATTGACAAGAGTTGTGAAGCACAACAAAAAGGAATGTCTCGGAGTCGGGGGTTTTACATTGTCTAAGGCGGATACACTGACGGAACACTTGAATTTTAATTTCTTCATCTTCGACATCTCACCCGAGTCTTCAAGTGAAGTCCAAATGATCAAAATCTAGCTATTTAGCTGCACATAGTACTCGTGTCTCGTTGTGCGGTCGTTGTCTATCGATAAAGACGGGATATTGCATAGGGAGCTGTACACAGCACCATCATGCAACTATGCTCATTGAGCCCCCTCCTGCAGTACATCTGCACATTTCGGAAACCGACCAAGGAATCTACTGGGCATGGCCAGTTAAAATATGTCGTGTCTTTCAGGAATACGAAGCAGAAATCCACATTTGAGCAGATCAATGCCAGCTTCCATCTTTGGCATCATCTGTCCAACCTCAAGGGCCCTTTGATTGAAGATCAAACGAGGAATACGAACGATAGAAACAGCGTATCCTATCACAACTCTCTAGTTAGACCAATCAAAGCCCAACGCATCCTCAAATGGACGGGTTTAGTGCCGATAGCTTGGCATTTTGGGGACAGCTAATATGCCTCTTCTGTGCACCGTTCTATACTGTATGCCTTTGACTAAGAAACTCTTACTGGGTCCTTGACCTTGGATAGATATAACAGCTCGCATTTATCTTCTCTCATGTCTTGAGTTCACCGAGAACGGCTCCTGATGATCACATTCTACCCGTATTCCCAAAAAAGAGACTGCACGGTTATCCGTATGGTCTAGGCTTTATTGCATCACTCAACATGAAGTGGTACATCATTCTCTCCACCATGTACTTGGGTTTTTGCGCTGCAGCCGACCCAACATGGCCTTCAGAAGTGGACGAACTTGAGGAGATCATGTTCCAGCTTACGTCCTTCCGAGCGAGACAATTCTCCGACACAGTCAGTCCATGCAGCAAGGAAGCCTCGGGTCCCGGCCGACAGAATGCTGCTGAATGGTTGCGCACCGCTTTTCACGATATGTCGACTGCCAACATCGCCTCTGGCACAGGTGGATTAGATGCATCGATACAATACGAGCTCAACAGTGACGAGAACGCCGGCCCAGGACTCAGGACAACCCTAGAATCCATGGCTCCTTTCTTCAGCACGCAAACTAGTCTGTCCGATCTAATCGCCCTCGGTGTCTACGTCTCAGTCCGATCATGCGGAGGGCCCGCCGTGGCAGTTCGGGCCGGACGCAGGGACGCAACAGAACGTGGAAATCCGGGTGTTCCTCAAGCAGAAGATTCGGTTTCTGATTTCGCACGGATTTTTGAGTGGATGGGCTTCACTCACGAGGAGGCAATCCAGGTCACGGCCTGTGGACACACGCTTGGGGGAGTTCACACCGCTCAATTCGCGGACATCGTCCCTCCGGGAAGTACCACCAACGGCGTCGCGGACCTGGACTCCAGTACAGCTGTCTTCGATAATAAGATCGTGACCGAATATTTGAGCGGTAACACTAAAAATCCGTTGGTTGTTGGTCCTTCAGTCAAGATATCCAAACACTCCGACTTCAAGCTCTTCAACTCTGACGGGAATAACACCATGACCAGAATGGCAGACAACAATGAATTCAAAGAAGTTTGCAAGGTGGTCCTACAAAAGATGATCGATACCGTTCCCTCCGGAGTCGAACTTTCACGTTCTATCCTGCCTTACATGGTCAACCCCGTGGACCTGCAGCTCACGCTCGAGGACGGCGGATCCAATATTTTGCTCACAGGGTTCATTCGTGTTAAGACGACAGGTGATCCTGGGGGTTCTATTGAAAGCGTCACGGTCACGTACAAAAATCGACAAGGCCATTCCTCGTGTGGCTCTACGTCTTGCTCTATCACCGCGACGGCACAGGGTCAAAGCCGGGGATTTGACGATACTTTTGATTTCTTTCCAATTGCGGCCAGGATTCCTGTTTCTTCGGGCATTTATTCTTTCGTCGTAACCGTTAATAATGCTAACGGAACTCGGACTCGGTACGACAATGGCGGCAAGGAATACCCCTTACGAGATGCCATCTTTCTACAGAAACCCCAAAGCTGTCTTCAGGGGTCTAGCGGGGCGTTGAGGCTGGTAGCTGCTGTTCGCAATGGCAGATTGAGCCAGGGCGCAAAGGCAACCATTTTCTACAAGGTCCCTCAGTCGAATAGTCCAGTACCGGCCCTCAGGACTACCACTCTCGATGTTGCAAGAGAAAATTGCGTTGGAGATTACACCTTCTTTACTGTTGAGCATAAAGTCGAAGGTGGGCTAGCACATGAGTCTCGCATTGATGTGAGCAATGGGGACATGTCGGATAGTTTCAAGAACGTTAACGATATCGGCGACACCTGCCGCCCCTTCTCTAGCCCACCATCTTGTAACGGGTATATTTCGCCGAGAAGGGTAGGAGGCGTGGTTTCGAAACAATTGAGGAGAGAGTTCTCGAGACGAGACATTGGCAGTTGAACCGCGGGCACCAGGAGGTGGTACCAGCGGAGTGTAGGATCATCCATAGCGTATACAGTTCAGTATCACACACCAAGTTTAGTAAGATTGATTCTAATAGTTTATCACTGCTCATCAAGACGTTTTATTTACATGTTTTATTAAATACAGTAACAAATGGTGACCTCTAGGCTCCAGGTGTACTCCTAATTGCAGGGGTGGATCAGGTACGTGGATTGAGCTGAGGTTTATGTGAAAATATTTGTACGTACCTACCTGTGTATGAATAGTAACTGAGTACAGTATGAATAGCGATACTCGTAGTATATTTATGGCATTGCCTCTAGACGTGCCGTGGCTAAGATAATGATTTTGCTAAGCGGAAAATGCGATAGGTACAACGCCCACTGTAAGTAGGCGACTTTGGTGCCCCGCGACGCGTCGTTGGAACACGGTTGGCGCCAAGTTTATTATTCCAGCCGCTTCACGTCAGAACTTGCACTCCAACTTCACTACACTCAACGTGAAAGCACTCAACGTGAAAGCACTCAACGTGAAAGCACTCAACGTGAAAGCAACGTCTCAACTTCCTAATCAACCCTCATCTCGCCCAAAAATGGCCGACGCCTCCAGCGACGAAGACCGCGAAGTATGGAGCCCTTAACCCCTCGCCACAAATAGCAACTAACCCGCTCCCTCCAGCGCCTCAAGGCTGCCCTGTGGTACGCCATCGGCCAGATGGTCGATGAGGAATCCCTCAAGCGCAACCGCAATGCCACGCCCCAGTTCATCGGTGCTCTAACGGAACTTGTCTGGACGCAGATTGGTGAGTCGATGCCATTCCCGTCTCCACGCGCGAGGATCCCGGCTGATCAGGCGCGACGAATCGTAGAGAACGTGGGCACCGACTTGGAGAGCTTCAGCAACCACGCAGGGCGCAGCACTGTGACCACCGATGATGTGCTGCTACTTGCGCGGAAGAACCCGGATCTGCATCAGATCATGAAGGAGTTTGTTGACCAGACCAAGGCCGAGAAGGAGGCCGCCAAGACCAAAGGCTCTGCGAGTAAAGGCCGACGATGAGAGCGGGAAGTGTTGAATGATTACTCGCCTGTGTTTTATTTGGCGTTTTGGCGCAAGAAACGGTATGTTCTTTACGGAACGCAATCTGAAGAAATCACTCATTATGTCAGATTTAATGGACGGAAATACATGACATATGACTTGCAATTCCCAGTCCTCGCAATTATACCCGCTTCGCCGTCGCTCCCTTGCCCGTACTCCAGTATGCTTCGATGACTCGACTCGGGCTGGACGTCAGGGCTGCAGTGACAGTAGCTACGAAGAGCAAGTAGGTAGAAAGAGACCTCATAGTGACGGTATGGTTTCTAAATGTGTTTTTAGGTGTTGCAAAAGTGGGAAGGGTGCGTCTTTGGCTTCACAAATGTAATATAATTTCCCTCGCCTCCCACCAGCTCCCTTCTTCTATACTCCAGAGCAGTCCATGGTCATCCAGCCCATCCAGCCCATACAGCCCCAAGCAATCAATCAACCTCGGCCCGGTCTCGACGGGCGAATTGCTGTTGATAAACGAACCTTGAGAGCCACCATTGGCGGGCGGTCTGTTCGGCCTTCGGATTGTGCCCGTTCAACCGCACGGCGCCATGGCACGACGTGCATTGATTAAGCATATCTGAAGTTAGCCTGGCGAGTGGTGTTCGCGGACGCCGCATGACCGCATCCAGTCGTCTCAGAGCTGAAATTTCGTTCTAGAGATAGCCTAAGCGAAGCAAGTCCTGCGGATCTAGACGGCAGAACTATTTACTTTTTAGATCTTGATGCAGGACTCCCCGCTGTACTTTTCAGCGTACGCCTGCAACATTTCCAGAGTGATGTTGGATCCACCACACACAACCAGCACCACGCGTTTGCGGCTCCATTCCTCGTCGGAAAGCCCCTTTCCAAGACGTTCCCGAAGAAGGCCACGATAGGCAGGGGCAAGCGTTGCGCCACAGGCGGCCTCGACCAAATGTCGAGCGTCGTCGGCGAACCTCACGCAGCTCATGGCGGCGTCGGCGTCAGAAACGACGAGGCTCTGTAGGTTCGAGTTCTGGCTCCATTTCCACGTCTGCTCGGATACGCGCGTGGCGCCGAGTGATGTTGCGATGGAAGTGATTCCCGGCAGTGTGACGTGTGATTTGGCCAGGACACTGGCATTGAGGCTGTCGGCGCCGGATGTCTCAACAGCTAGGACCTGGGGCTTTACGCCTGGCCATTGGAGGGATTCTATCCCCTGCATTAGACCATTGAGAAGTCCGCCTCCGCCGACACTGCAGACGACGGCGTCTATGGAATCTTCCATCTGCTCCTTGAGCTCAGGGATCATAGTTGCAGCTCCCTCCCACACATGCGGATGGTCAAAGGGCGGGACATAGGCTCCGGTAGGGTCCTTTGCCAGCAGCTCTTCCCGAAGATACTGGTCAGCGGCAGCCCAATTGCTGCCAACCTGGTGGACCTCGACGCCCAACTCGGCAAGCTTCCTCTTCATCAGAGAAGAAGTAAGAACTGGGACGACAATCGTGGCCGGGAGCCGCAGAGCAGCCGCCGAGGTGGCACAGGCAAGTCCGGCATTGCCTCCAGAAGAGCAATAGAAGTGGACGGGGCCAGAGGCAGCGGCAGCGGCGCGGGTCATGAGGTTCCCGATGCCTCGTGATTTGAAGGAGCCCGAAGGCTGGAGGTTTTCAAGCTTGAGATATATGTTGCTGGGGGGTGTTAGTCGCCAACAACCGACTTAAGCCTGAGAGTGAGACGGGTATCGGGAGGAAGCGCACTTACCAGCCAGCAACTTGGGATATCTGAGGGCTGTGGACGCATGGCGTCTTGAACCAGGGGAGCTTGGACTCTGAATCAAGAGAGCCCATGGTTACCGAGTGATGATATGAGTATTGGGGTGTGAGTTGTGAGTTGTGAGAAGTGAGAAGATAACGGGTGAGACGGCTATATGAAAGAGGAATTTCGAGTTATAGCGATTGTGGGGCCATGGCGGGGCGTATGAGTCGGGGGGCTCTGAGTGATAATATAGTATTCACGGCAGCGGAACAACCCCTGGTTTTATAGGGCTTCCGAGAGAATGAGATGGAAAAACGTCGATTTTTATTTTAGATGACTCTGCAAATACCCACCACATGTCATGGCAAGGGCGGCGATGACATGCAGGGATTGCGTCGACATCGCGGTCAACGCCGTGCAGTAAAAACCAATTGGCAAAGGCCTCTAAATTATACCGCGACACAGTTTGTCCCAGTCTCAATCTATATACACCGCTTATTTGTAAAACTGGTTATGGTTTCGAGTAACGTGTGCTTGGTAGGTATTTTTGGTGGCATGAAATTCCTCCCCTCAATTGCCTAATTAGGTAAGTCATTGCATCTCTCGGAGCTGTGTTGATGGAATAGAACGAGACACGCAGTGATTTCAATGCTTCCACGCCCTCCTTTGGCGATTTTTATTTCACTGCCATTTCTCACTCCCACCTATTCCTGGCTCTCTACGGGGATGGAAGGACGAAACCTTAGGGGCAGCCTCAACACTTAGCTCTGATTGCACCACTCTAAACGCCTTGGCCGTGAATCACGCAGGAGGACCAACAACCAAGCACCCTCAATTTGAACTCCAATTGCTAATATCCCATGTCATCTTGAGAATCCCTTTGTTTTCTCAACACACCAGAAGCTATAGATATCCATGGCGTATAAGCCTGGGGCGTAATACGGTCCCAATCATCCCAACCGTCCCAATCGCCCATCCATATTTCCCAATAAGTCGAACCAACCAGCTAAAGATCATCACCAGTCCCTTCCCATATTAGAATTGACCTCTCAAACTCCCTGTTCGTCGTCATCAAACCCCAACCTCACCTCCTCGTAATCACCCTCGTGAACGTCATCTTCCAACTCCCGATCCATCATCTCTTCGTCCAGTTCATCCATATGCCGCTGGATGACCTCGTCCACGATATATTTGTTGCACGCACTGAGAACATGATTCTCAAGCTGGAGTAGCGCTGTGGCACTTCTCTTCGCGTTCCGGCTCCGCTGCATCAGGATTGATCGGTCGTTTCGCCAGAGATCCTGTCGCCAGCAGTCGCGCTGTCCGCCTGACTTCTGTCGCGCCGCGTACTGGGAAAATCGAAGATGCCGCATGTCGATGGTGAGACGGGCAATCTTGGGATCCTGGCCACCATTCAGGTACGTCGTGAGGAGGTCTATCTTGACAAACTGGCAGGGGAGGGACTTGATGGCCTCTAAAACTGGAGAGTCCTTTTTGAAAAAGTCGACAAAGGTGAAGGTATCAGGTCGAATCTGCGGCGCCACGCGAATCGTAAAGGTCTGGATATTCGTCTTGACTCCCCCTGAGCACGCTTTGGCGAGAAAACCTGGCTGGACCGTGAAGACTTTGATGGCTTCGGCCATGGCCATTTGAGTCTTGTCCGAGTATCGATTACGCTCTGCTTCGACAATCAACCGACGGAAAAAGCCCCCAAACTTTGTGATGTCTATCCTGTCACTGAGCTCTCTTTGATTAGAGTCTTCCGGGTCTGCATCTTCTTGGCAGTCACTTGGATCGAACGCATCATCGTCCGAGTCAGAGGCACCATCGTCGGGTTCGGATACAATGTCCGCATCTCTGGAGTCATCGAGCGAGAGGTCCTCAACGTTGACCACTTGGCCGGGGTTGGGAGGGTCTCGGAGGCGGTACAGGAATGTGTTCTCTCCGTACAGAATCCTCACTGTCTCATGATAGATTGCCTGGTTGGTACACATGATGTCGATTTCGATCCCGGGTCTCTTCCGCGCGTAGATTCGCTTCCATCCAGCTCGTACAAGGATGGAAGGATTCACGACAAGAATGTTGCGGTAGATTTCGTCTCTGATCTCCAATGGCATCCGCATCAGGGAGCATCGAGGTCGTTTCTGGCGTAGTGGCAGGGATGATCGTGGTGCAGGGGCCGATCGTGATACACGGGCTGGTCGTGGTGCCGGGACTGGTCGTGGTTCAGGAGCATCTCCCAGAGGAATCGACGCAACACTGTCCTTATCGTCGTCATATGGGTCTGGAATGCTTGGGATTGGCGCATATTCGTCTTCACCGTCAACCTGCATGGCCGGGGTATTGTCATACTCGGGGCAGAGGCAAAAGCCATATATGTTGCTGAGCTCTGCAAGCGACATGGTGACGAGGTTGGGGTGAATGATGATGAGATCAAAGTGAATGATGATGATGATGAAGATGAGTGAAGGATGTAAGAATGCGAGGCCGAAGTCTCGAAGGTTGCTATACACGGGCGTTGGTGCTCATGCTTGATTCACGACTAAGGTGTTTAGGGTGGTGATACATTAATATGAATGAACCCCAGCTCAGCAGCGTGTACATTTATGATACCGCGACAAGTTAGTGAAGCTTCTTAGGGTGTTATGCTACCCTTGATCTCCTAGTTGTGAGTTCCCCTGAAAGTCCCTGGTTGCGAACTGGGGTATGGGGCAGAAAGGGGCATTGGCAAGGAGTATTATCACATGGCGGGCATTGCCTATTCTCATAACACATTCAGCTTGGTAATTAACTATACATTGGGGGGTATTATGTTGTCTTTTCCTTCCAAATGGTTCACCTAGTACTCCACGCTCATCATGCTGCCGATATTTTGACCTTTTCCACCTCGAGCGTCTCCGTGTCCACAATCACCAGCTCTCTGGATTCCGCGAATGAGGGTACCGTGATGAGCCTCACTTCTTGGCCGTCGAGACCTTGGATCACCTTGGTTGAGAAATGCGGTTGGCAGCCAACAAAGTAAAGATGCGGGCAGGCTTTCATAACGAATGGGTCATCATCCTGGAACGGGTAACTCCCTAAGATGTCCAGATTAGTGACTTGGGCCGAAGATAAAACATTACGATGACTTACATAACGTGTCGGGGGCAGTTGGAGCAGAGCACCGCCAGCGGCACATAGCTTCCATCATGCCGAGGCGATCATCACTGTCCACATACTTGAAGACGTCATCCACGTTTTGGCCGCCTGTACCCAGGATCCTCCATCCATCTACCTCGCCTTCCCAGGGGTTTGTGACGGCATCAAACCAGCCAGGTTGGTTAGCAGGACTCGATGGGCCCTTCGAGTATGCTCTGGCCGAGGGAAACATAGCTGCGTGGATGGGTTGTTGGGGATAACTGGCGTTGGCCGGGTCCTCGGCGCCGGGGAGGAGTGTCACAGGCATGGAAGGGAGGAGCTCGGCCAGGAAGTTATCGAACAGCTGTGAGGGGAGCGGATTGTAGGAGTTCGCATCGTAACCGTACTTCTTGTTGGCCTTCTTTTCATCCGTGGCGGCGTCTGGCTTGCGGTCGGTTGTGGAGATTGAATTGCCCGCGATGATGAGCCGGCTGATCTGGGAGATTTCGGTCTGCGCAGCAGGAGTTAGAGCCTCGCCAAGTAGGTATTCAACGAGGATGTCGAGGTCGAGTGCATGGGAGGCATCGTTGCCGGAGAAGGACAAGCCGGACACGATGGCAATCTTCTTGTTGCCACTCGACTTAGTCGGGGCGTCAGCCATGTCCTCGTCTTCATCCTTGACCTCCCTCTTTGTGGTTCCGTTCGAAGCGGCAGGTTTTGATAGGGTCCAGCGCTCGGGTTGCGGGCACAGGTCGGGGAACTTGACATCGATGACTTCGAGCTCGCCATTGGCGTTTTCGGTTCCCATGACGGCGATGATGCAGCCTGTCACGAGGTGGATTGTCTTCAGCATATCTCCGACTAAGCGGATGCGACCCGATTCGTCTTCAAGCATGGTTTGATCGGAGCCGTCTTCGGAGAAGTACTTGTGGGTCGAGATGGGGGCAGATATCCAGCGCTTCATGCCAAGTTAGCTATCAACTAACGACCCGGGGCCCATCGTGGAGGGGAGCTCACGTCTTTAGACACATCCTCCAGAATGCTGGGCTTGAGAGACATATCCATGTAAACTGTTCCCGTAACCCAGCACAGTTCTCCCTGGCGCACATCGAGGACACGCGGGACCCGCTTCGCCGTCTCGCCGGCGATGACGGTATCGCTCCATGATGCGGCAGCAACCTCGTCAACAGCGGGCTTGATCTTGGTGAGGCGCAGGAAGTACATGTCGCCAAATTGCTGCTTGTAGCTTCGCTGCTTTTCGAGGGCGAAAGAGTCGAGGGGCTTGTAGGAGGAGGGAGCTCGGGAGGGCACCTGGTGGGCGGTATCGCTAGGATCGGTCAGACGAAGCCATTCGCATTCGCAGGGAGTCAAGGAAAACGTACGAAGGCTTTTGGAGCAAGCTCCCGGCGACATCTTCGAGGGCGACCATCTTGGCAGCGGCGATGGGGCCGCAGATTGGGTGGTGATGCGTGTGTTGTAGAATTGACGTTGTCGTCGTGGAGTCGAAATAGTTGACTTGCAACTTGGCCGCAGACGCGTTGGAGAAGCCGGTCCCGCGTCGCACGCGAAATTCTGGCGTAGAGTGGCTGGTGGTCGGCATGCGAATGGCCGCACCCCGCCGAAAGCGCCCCGGACCGGCTTCCTCTTCTGGACGGGATAGTGGAGTGGGGGATCGCTACAGGGCACCCGATAAGAGTTTTCAGTGGTGACGTGCCAGGATTGGGCGGTGAAGTCACTGAATCATAGCGGGGTCGCCGTGTGGTGCCCCGCCATCAGCTTCACCACAGGTCGTAGCCCGTCTTATTAATTGAGGGAAAATCCATTTCTTAGACGTTTGCTCTACTGATCAGATCACCATTTTATTCAAGAAGGGCTTCTAGGTAGGTACCTACTCACCGCGTCGAAGAATACTCTCGTGGCCCTCGACTCACATATCGTTAGAAACACTCCCAGGAATCGTCCAGCAACCAGCAAACCCATTCCTCGTTCGCCAACTCTTCGCCACTTTCATTCACAATGGCCCCCCAGAAACCTCCTCGCGTTGAAGTCAAGGGCTTGACTTACACGTTCCCCGACTATTCAACCGGAATCCGCAACATCCGCTTGGATCTTCCTCCTCGTTCTCGGACTCTCCTTATCGGTGCGAATGGAGCAGGCAAGACGACACTCCTCCGTCTCCTCGCCGGCAAGCGCCTTGCCCCCAGTGACTCCATCTCCATCTGCGGTGTCGATCCCTTCAAAGAGAGCCTGGAGGGCGTCACCTACCTTGGCCTCGAATGGGTCCTGAACCCCATCGTCCGCACCGACATTGGTGTCAATGAGCTGCTGGCCTCCGTCGGCGGCAACGCGTACCCGGAGCGTCGCGAGGAGCTTGTCTTGATGCTTGACATTGACACCAACTGGCGCATGCACGCTGTGTCTGACGGCGAGCGTCGCCGCGTCCAGTTGGCGATGGGTCTGCTGCGACCTTGGACTGTCCTTTTCCTTGACGAGATTACTGTTGACCTCGATGTCCTGAGCCGTGCCGAATTCCTCGGCTGGTTGAAGCGCGAGACTGAGATTCGCGAGTGCACCATCGTCTACGCCACCCATATCTTGGATAACCTCGCTGGCTGGCCCACTCATCTCGCCCACATGCATCTCGGCACTGTCAAGGAGTGGGATGAGGCCGACAAGATGCTCGCCACCATTGACGGCACTGTTGGAGCGACAGGCAACAGCCGCCTCGGCGAGCTTGTCCTCACTTGGCTGAGGGAAGATCTCAAGGCTCGAGGCCCGCGAACCGCCATGAACAGAAACCCCGAAGGCAAGACTTATGGCTTCGGTGGCATGCAGGTGGGCGGCTATGGCGATGAGTCCAAGCAGCGAGAGGTTTAAGCAACGACGTGGCATCGAAGTGGGAACTGACTCCATTGAGGATTTCTTAACAATACCCTCAGTCTTTTAGGGATGTGTGTACGAGGTGCTGGACGTGCACTTCCTTTCTTCATTTTGGTCGGGAGTCTAAACGGGGGCGGCACTCAACTGCATTTTCGGCGTCCATTTTATCTTAAGATGCTCTTACGAGGACGAAATCAATGACGAGGGAAAGTCATTCTGGCGTTCAATTTGGCGGAAAACAGTCCTCAACCCTGGATTCTGCGGCGTTTGACCTGTTTCAACACTTCATGTAGCGGTAAGGACAGGATATCGCGCATTGGTTTATTTTGGATTTGATGTTTGGCTTTCCATTCATACATCTGTACTTGATACCCTGTATTTCAACCAAGGGGACACAGGCTATTGTCCACTTCAACTAGACAAGTCCTAGATAAGCATTTCTATTCTACAACGCAACATTGTATCATCGCGTCAGATGCGATCCTAGTAGACTCATTGCGTCGAACTTTGGGTTGCCCTGCCTTCCATCAGGCTCCTCACAACCTTCATCGTGTTTTTGAGGAGTTCGGTAATTCCCGGAAGTTCATTGGCACTCAGTGTTGCCAACACATCGACGCGGTAGTCTTTCCAGCTGAGGTTTATCCCGCCAGAGCCGGGTAGACGAGCCAGGCTGTTCTGCGTCACTGGCCCGGCGTGTCGAGTTCTGATTGACTGGTCCCTCTCCATCCCAGCGTCCTCGAGTTCTCGCACCACTCGGATACTCTGCAAACAGAGTACAGGCGAGTATGACAGACCGAAAATCGAATCAAGGGAAAAGGTCTTGTCTACTGATGAGACATATGTGGTGAGAGCGGGGACCAAGGATCGCGGAACCATACACCCAAGCGCGTTGGTGTCGTTGTCCGTGAAGGCGCGTCCCCGCCAAAAGCAATTGCAAACATCCATGAGGAAGCCATTGTAGAGATCGACGTACGTCCTATTGTACGACGCGGTATCAATACGGTTGCTTGAATTGTGGCGTGCCTTGGTCTGCATGGCAATATCGAAGCCCTTCCGGTAGCACGCGAGTATGCTGCACATGCGTGAGACGACGGCGAGCGAACTGCTAAAGAGTAGAATGTAGACGAGCGCAGGGGGAGGAAGTTCTATGCAGATGTACTGTTTTAGGATATCATGAGAGACGAGACGGACATTTTGCTCGTAGAACTCGAGTATCGCTGAGCGGGTAGATATGGTTGGGGAGGTTTGGGCGAGCGTGAGAGCAAGCGGGTTAACATGGCTTATGAGCGCGGTGACAATCCCAGTGGCATTTCCAGGCACGTCGTCGTTTGACTGGAGTATGCTGGTCCAGTGGTGAAGTAGATTATTGTACAAAGAAAGAAGAGCCAGCTGGGATTCTGGTGTATTGTCAAGCGTTGCATTTTCCAAGGGTTGGAAAATGTGCTGGTACAGCTCTAGGGGGAGGTTAGCGAGCCCTGAGCAGATATGTGCCAGTACTCACCTTGGAAGTCGAGGAAGGGAGAATAGGAGAGGATTTCGAACATAGAATCCCGTCGACCAGAGCCATTCCACAAAGGAAGAAAGCGAGCAAAGAAGTTTAGTATGAGCGGAGGTAGTTTCTGGTCTGGTTAGTAGAGCTTTAGTGAGTGCACGATGACAGGCATATGTGTACCTTAGACGACACGACATAATCCCTGAGGATATCCAAGACATCAAAAAGCATGGCCTCTTCAGCATCACCGTCGATGACATCCTGGAGCGCCGAGTTGAGCCAATTGGCTATCCGCTGGTCCGCCTCGTCACTGGGTCGTAATAAAATCAGTTTCTGCAGGAGAGGATCGGCCAAGACAGCCACGAGCTGATTCGGTAGCTCAATCTTTTCCAGATTCCGGACGAAACCAGTGGTATCTTCAATCTCTTCCAGGGTCACCGAATCCTGCAGATGTCAGTCTGATGTCTTTGTTCACTTCGTGGACACGTACCTCGGTTGCATGGGATGTATGGACGAGGGGGATGAGTTTGTTGCGTTGACTTCGGGTGAGGGGTCGATGAACTCGGAAACCATCCCGTGGTCGAGTGAGGCTGTCTTCGGATTGTTGTAGATGCGCTTCTTGGATTTCATCTAGCCGTTCACGCCATTGGGGGTCTGGGTGCTTGAAAGCAGATGCCCTGCCTCGCACGGCTTCCCCGACGATAACTTCGGGATAGTAGTCCTTGAAAACCCTTAGGAGACCAATTAAACAAGGATCATTTCCTGTCTGTCTTGAAAGATTAAGACTTGTTGGAGTGTCAGCGTGTATGGATCAAATGCGCGGAGTGGGGGGACTAACAGTGCCTGTATCCTGAACGGCCGAACGTGTTTGCGCCGAGTCACAAGCGCGAGGAGATGACTGAGGTTTGGTCTATAAAGCGGTTAGGCATGCGCTGAAGAAGAAGTTACCCGAACCTACCGAGTTGCAGCGGTATCAAGAAGATTGAAGAGAACGGGATACGCTTGCGAGAGAATTTGGGGAGCTTTGAGGGCATGGTAAACCATGATGAGCCATCTCAACAGTGTTGCTTGCAGAGGCAGGGATGGCTTGATCTTGCCGTGGCCAAGACAGGAGACGACCCGAAGGACAACTTCATGAGACACTGGTGCAGCAGGGTAGAGATTCCTCGTAATAGCCGCGAGACTGGCTTGGTCCAGGTGACTCGGCGTAGTGACGAGGTTGATCAAGTCGTCGAGAGTGTCGGGAAGGACACCCCATTCATAGGAGAGTGAAGTTAGACTGGCCACGATAGGTTTGATATCCGAGGTGCGAGATTTGGTCGGGAGTTTTGAAGCTGTGGATTCATTTAGCAAGGGTTAGGTGGACTGATATGAAGATGCTATGAACTCACCCTCGACAACATCGCGAACGAGTAGGCGTATCTCATCATGAGCGGGAGCCATGACGTTCTTGCGCCACGCGCATTCAATACAGCAATAGGGCAGTCAGGCAGAGGCAAAAGAAGTTGGAGGCGGTAAAATGCCGCTGGAGTTGCCTGTAGTTCCCTCGCCGATTGACCGAGTCACGGGGCCGAAGAGACGGAGGGGAGGAGTCGGCGCGGGCGTGAATAGGTGGGACGTTTCCGGGACGCGTCTCACGGAGCCAAGACGCGTCTTTCGGAGGTTTAGCGGGGCAGTCGGAATCACCCACCAAGCCCCTAGATCCAGGGCACTAAGCCGCTAAAACACAAGCACCAAGCCCGCTGAGCCCGCTAAAGCCACCAACTTGGCCAGCGTAGGTACCCACTGCGGACACCCGCTGCAACATCACTAAGCCCCCTGAAGCGATTCTTCGTAGTCATCGCGCAACCGACGGAGCATTGGCACAAACAAGCAACAGCGGCGGGACAGCGGTCTAATTCAACGACGATCTCGTGGCTCGAGATGTGTGCTCGTGGTCTTTCTAGAGTCTAGAATTTACCCCAGAATGCCCCATCAATAACCCACAAAGCCGGCCACGTTATTGGATGATGGGCTACGGGCCAACATGCCTAGACGGGTAGCCACCTCGCGGGCGGCCTAACTGACATGTGGGATCATCATGCCCTCGTCATCGTCAACCTAAACTGGACTGCAAGAACGGGCGCGGGAGAAAAAAAACATGGATTCTAATGCGTTCTTGCACTGTGCGAGGTGATGGAACAGACAGCCTGCGTTGTCACAGCATTGCACACCGACGGACCGACTGGCCGCTCCTTCCTGCCCAGGATACAAACGCTGCTCACTCCTGCCCTTTCGCACCAGTGTTGAGCTCAAGACATTCACCGTTCTAGATCTTGTCTCTTCCCCAGACTCAGACTACGGCTTAATCAACGCATCTTGCTAGAATCCCTCCCATCCCTGATTTATTTGCACGCGACTGCTGCTCCTGGGCGCACAATAATAATCGAATGACAGCGTCTTATTTTCCCGACTCATTCCACGCAGCACAAATGCCCGCCGACCATGCGACGTTGCCCTCAACCTGCCTGCCCCGGGACAACATCCCTGGCCAGTCAAGCCCAGGTTCGCCAGCACCAACCCCCACGAATTGAAGCACGATGCCCAAGTAGAATGGATTCTTCTCGACTTGGAATGGCCGCCCGTTGGGGTTTTCGCACGGGGTGGAGAAGACGCACGCTGTCGGGGTATTTGGCAAGCCGAAGCGCTGCGCCCGAATCTCATTTGGATCCATCTCGCAAGATGATGGCTTCAACCAGCGCGAGCGGGAGGTGTTGAGAAAAAGAAAGAAGAAAGAAGAAAAAAGGTTCCACTTCCCAATCAAATTTGCATCGACACTCAGCGTCTACCTGTGCTCACCGTTCCAAGGTCTCCGGCGCCATTGAGTTGGAGGTGTCACTGCGCCTGTGGTCCGGCTCCCCCTCCCTTGCCAATAGCCTCGCCTTTTGCCTGCCGACGTGCGTCTTGTGTAACCCTCGGTCAACCTCACGCATGAGAAAACTCCATCATAGTGCCCCCCCGGGTACCCGTATTTCCATCCTTGAGAGCCTGTTGCCGCCGGGCCCCGGCCGGTCGTCACTGTGGCCGAGTACCGGTACCAGATCCTTGCGCACCCTGGTCACCACAGGTTCACCATACCCCAGTGCATCATTGCATCGCAGCAGCGGCTGATGCTGATGCCAATGGCCGCTGGACGCTTCGTCCCATCTACCCCCACTCATCTAACCCATTTCTGATCTCTACATGTATCTGGCCGGGCAAAACCACGGGACACCCCCAGACTACGCCATACCTACTCGTCGCCGTCAACTTGACTCGATCCGCAGACCGCCTGCCAGTCTGCTCGATTTCATCCCGTCCGCGGGGATCCCTATCCCTCATTTCCTCCTCACCTCATCTCTTCCGCTAGTGAGACCCCAATCGCAGACGAGGTTCGCTGCTACACGCTAACCCTCTGGCGCCCTTTCGACAAGCTCCGGCTGATAGGTAACAGAGCCACCTCGTCCTAGAGACAGACACCTCAAATCCTCACTGAGACACCCAGCAAGCCCCAGTTGCCGGGTAGGTGGGCTGGGCACAAGTGATAAGGGACGCAGCTGCCCAGGCAATAGCCTTCCGCTTAATCGGTTTCAATCTCGTTGGTTCATGGCTCGGCCATGTGACTTCCAGCAGCAATGTCAACACAGTCGCAGACCATGTCAAGTACGCGCCTCACTGCGATTCAAACCTCTGCCGCGGCTCTGTTGTGGGATCACCAAGACTCAGTTCCTTTGGGAAAGATCTTGAGTGACGGGGATTTGGTACTTCTTCTGACGCCGGCAATCATCCCTTTCAGCCCGACATCAGCTGAAACTAGCGACCCCTTCGAGCCCCTCGGCCAGGCTCTGGCTCGAGTGCATCCCTGGATTCGTCACGTTCCATACATCAAAGATCGTGGCATTACTGGCGTCCATGTGGCATTCATCAAAAGGGCTAGAACGGTCATCTTCCTGCTGACCGGGTTTTCATCGACAGAAGGAGCTTACCAACTAGAGCTTGCTGACGTTGTCCGAGAAGTATGCGAAGACCGCCCAATGATTATGGTGGCATGCTGCAAACTCCCGGATCACGAAGTCCAAGAATATGGGTTTCAAACCATGTTACAGTCTCCCGGATATTCGCCAACAGACCTGGAGACCATCGCAGCCCTTCTGATGACAGAACAACAAGGCTCAACCGGCTCCACGACGACTCCGACCAGCACCCTACCTCCCCGGCAGGCATGGCCTATCCAGCCTTGGGACTATGAGCGGGACCTTGTCGAGATTCACATGTTGTGGCAGGCGTGTCTCCCAGCCCAATTTCACCTGAGTCGGTCTGCACTTGGACCACTACTAAAGCGTGATGGATATGCAATGCATCATGTTGTGCGAAATCCATCTGACGGCAAAATCGTCGGATTCTGCGCCACATTTACCACCTTTGCCGACAGCAGCGGGGATCGCCTCATCGGGTCGATCGCAGTCATAATCGTACGAGAAAGTTTTCGGGATCGGGGGATCGGGAGAACTCTCCATGATGAAAGCTACAGCAAGCTGAGCAAGATTCGTGGTGTGGGTCGAATTCAGGTTGGAAGCACATTTCCGCGACTGTTGTACGGACTCCCCGCTCCCGTCAGCAACCCAAAATGGTTTGAGAATCGGGGGTGGAAGCTTGGTGAGCCGAGCGCGGGGAGAGGACGGCCTGTTTCTGACTGGTTTTTGCGATTCGCCGACTCTCCGATACCAACTCTGGCTTCTGCGGGGATGACCTTCAGGGCGTGTCAAATCACTGATGCACAGCAGGTCATTGACATGGCAAGTAGGGAGTCTGAGAGAAAACTCTGCTTTGGATGGTATGATCAGTATGCCAGGACGGTGGACAGTTGTCACATGGGCGATATCATTATCGGCTTCGAAGGAGAAAACCTGGTAGCCGCGGCGATAACGTATATTCCGGACAATGGGAGCCCATGTGCGACGGATATTCCCTGGCCGGTAGCAATTGGGCAAAGGATTGGGGGAGTATCTTGCATTTGCATCAAAGGTTGTACATCCCGCGAAAGCCAAACCACGATGCTAACCATTTTTTTAGACGATGACCCGGACATGGCAAACCGTCGGGATTCTGTAACAACAAGGCTGCTTCAGTCATGCCGTCAATTGCTGAACGAGAAAGGGATGGTTGGGATGTTTGTCGATGGAATCAGGTCAGACGAGAATACCTTCGTGTCTCTCGGTAAGCCAATCCGATCCCTCGTTAAAGAACGCCACTGACCCTTTTCTGTACAGGATTCCGCAAATGGGCAGATTACAGAGATGTCTGGCGTAAGGTGTGAGCACCAACAAAAGACGATTGGTTGCCACAATTATGCTGCATCACGAAGCAGGCAACAAATAACTCGGCCTCAAATACTCATCCCCGGCGACGGTGACCTGTTACGTGTCCAAATCGAATGGAAGCTTGATATCCAGCTCGGAGTCGAAGGCATCCCGCCTGGGAACTCAACCAACATATATTCAATCCAACATCACTGATGCTTTTCTAGCCGGCTTCCACCCCCGGCGTTTAGCACAAAGACCGGTTTCTTGTGTATACAATATCTGGAAAGAATGTCCTTGTCATATGCGCGAAGACTTGTACTGGCCGGTTCTTAATGATCGAATCATGCAATAGTTCGATCGTCGATTCACCTGCCTGCTATACACAACAAAAGATGTGGCTTGTCCCGGAGGTGTATTATTTACCCGGAAGCATTGTGACGATCTGCCCCCTTTCCAGATCATCTGAACCACGTCGCTGACCAGACATGGGCGTTGAGAGAGTAGGCACCTGACACGGTCAGCGCGTCATGCAGTCCTGAGCGCCACTTTCGGCTTTGATTAACGCGCGCCACAATGTTCCAAAAGCAGGCCTGACCCCGGATCTTAATTACTTGGCTCAGATGCGCGCCGTTTGAATCGCACCCTGGCGTCTCGTGACCCGACGGGAATGGCGCTTAGCCGACGCTTCCGTTGACGGCGCAGTTCCGAAATGAAAGCATATTGGTGGCCTTGGGCACGAATAAGTATTTTTGTCATCCGTGAGATGTTACTCCAGTTATATAGTTCTCGATGATAATCAGGCATGGTTGGCTGACAGGTCACCGCGCGTCAAAAGCACACCTCCATCAAGTCGCCATTCAAAGGGATCGCCACCGTGACGGATTGTGTGGCACGACTCCTGCAAGCAAGGTGCGGGCGGCATCTACGTAAAACGAATGTCTACATCAAATCGGTCGCGACAAGGGCCGTTGCCCGCAACCCTCATTTTCGGATCCCAGCAGAGTAAGGTGGCATGCAGGTGGTGATGGCTGGGTGATACAACCATGGAGAAGCTGAGGGTCTTTCATGACTCTTTGCAACCTAAGCAAGCCCCTAGTCGTAAAGGGTTGCGGTTGCTGGCTCAAGCCGGATGGCTCTGCAGACGGGGATTTGTTGAGTCTGGCTTGACGTAGTATCGCTTTCGTTTCCGACTGGTCGGACGCAGCAGATGAGGAGACGGCACACGTCACGTTCCTCCACGACGTGGGGATTACAAATGTCCGCTCGGACACAGACTGGGTCGAGCATTCCCACGCCAACGAAGCATCTCTCGCGACATCCAGCCTCGGCCTCTCCTCGAGATCAAGTGACTCCGTGCTGACGTTCTGGGGTCTGGGCCAAGATGCAGCGGAGTTGTGATGAAAGAAAGCTGAGCGTTCTCGATGTGACAGCCAGTGTCCAGACGGCCAGTCAGATGCTGGCCTGCCGAATGTGTTCGAATGTGTTCGAATAGGGCAATGCGGGATCACAGCACATCTGGCTCAAATGGGAAGTTGGTCTGGATGGCGATGTCGGCCAACAAGCCTGTCTCGTCAGCTTCTGGCAACCCATTCATTTCCATATCCCTCACATCGAAGGCGGGACAAGCCAATTGATTTTCTGATTCGCACCTGGTGAGCGGTCAAGTCTCCTCTTCCCTCAGAGACATCTTACCCCCCCCCACCCTCCTTTTGCCTACATAGAGTTGTAATGCATCCCTCCCGTCGGATTTTGTGTCACTCTGCGGCCCACCTGTCCGACCGAGTTGTCAAAAAATCTTCGCATGCAGCGAGGAAACTCCCCGGGGGATTCCGCAGCCGCCCCCAGTTGTGTAACCATGGCTTGCAGGGCTATTGACGCCCAGACAACGCAGCCATCACCCCCGTGTGTCGACGAGCACATCGAGATGTGGGTGTGATTACGGAGTAAGTGATGGACCTGAAACAGGCCAGTCCCAATTCTATCTTCAAGGAGATTTATTGACATTCCGGCCCTGAATCTGGCTGCGATAACGGGAAATTTCCACGGCGTGGCTTGGGAATCCCTGGCCAAAAAATGGTCTGGGCCTTTCCACTGGGGGTGCCAGGGTGCCTAGAACAACAACGCAGTGGCGGAGGGACATGCAGGCCAGGCGGAGATGGTTGTGCAGGTTGTGCAGGTCTTGCAGGTCTTGCATGTCGTGTGAGGTGAGTTCACTGGTAGTGGTGACGCGTGGGCTGCACCGCACTGCGGCTTCTTCCTTGAGCGAGCGTTATACCCGGCGCGGTGGCTAAAACCTCACCGAGTTTCCCTGGATGCTGGGCCACAATTCCATGTTCATGTTTCACAGACAACCCTCCAAGCGGCAATCGGTGCCAATTCCCCGCCCTCAGTCCAGCAACGCCATCCACGCCGAGAAAACTTGGCGTTGAGGCCGGTTAGGGCACCATGTGGTGGTGTCACGGTCGCAGGTGAATCAACTCAGATGCTGGAGATTGGCTGTCGGTCTGGGGCTGGATGTGTCCACCCACTTGATTGAGCCAGCCAACAAGCCGCTTAACAGGATGACGAACGTGGCCAATGTCTGATGATGGGTACGCGTGCCAAACCAGCCTGCAATTATCCAACGAAGCAACAAGGCGGGGTCGTCTTGTATGCAGACATGACTCGTCACAGCATCTGTCTCGCCCTCATCTCCACCCCCAGACTATCTTGAGAGGCTAGCTTCCAGCCATGTCCAGAGTGTTTAAGGCCGCCTCCCTGTGTGCCCCTCACAACCATCACGCGTCTTTCGTTGAGGCCAGCGCTGACGGTAGCGGTACCTTTCTCCAAGTTATGGGAGGCATATATCATGGAATGGGGTTTGAGGAGAAGACAACTGAGTGCTTGGAAGAATCCCTCGAACTTATTGACAAGACGCTCCTTGGCCTGGTTATGGGTCATAATCACCATGCTATGAAGGCACTGGGTAAGGTCAAATCGGCTCTACCCGCAAAAACACCTGTGTCGACATCAGGAGTAGACTGAGGAGATGATCGAATTGTTGATATGAGTGGCGTTTTACAGAACGAGATATCCAACGCTTCCCTGATCGGGTACCGTTGAATCACGACAACGGGGAAAGAAGAGGGCTCGCCAACCAGCCGTGATGCGAGCCCCTGCAAGAGAAGACAGAGGAAACTACTTCCGAGTGGAGACTTTTGGGTATGTCTCACCACTCTGCCGTGTCGGGGCGGGCGGTGACTCTCAGCTCATGGATAGACGCCGCCTCTAACTTGACAAAGAAACAAACCCTGCTCAGTTGATGATAGACAACAAGTCCCGCGCCCCCGAAGCTGTGTAACCCATGGCTGGTAAGCCATCAATCAGCTAGAAAAGCCCCCCAACCTAACTATACGCTGGCGCAAATCAGCCTGTGGCCAACTGGGGCAAGCCCCAAAGAGCGGTATGGGACGAGGACAAATGAGAGAAGAGCACACGGATGTGCCGATACGAATCTTGCTTGTTTTCTCAGGCGTTCCGTGTTGGGGGCTGCTAGCGGTGGGCGTCATGGCCGCCAAAAGTACCGATACCGAGGACTTCTCAAGCTCTGAACCTGTGTTACACGGCAGACCTCCGCCAATCTTGATTGTTGCACAAAGGACCTAGGTGCTCGGATGTCAGAGCCGATGAGATCTTCGTCGAGCACGGGTGTCTCACATCTTGACCGTTGTTACGTTACGGTTGTAGCGGACTAAGCTGTGAGAAAAAGAAAATAGTAAATTATCGGTGTGAACCAACTGACTAGACCGCGAGGTCCTTGGATCCTATTTTAAGATAACTGACGTGAGAGATGAGAGAAAAGCCTGCACTCTAGAAGAAGACCCCGTGGGGAGATCAGAAAACAAATCGCGAACACGGATCCTCTGTCTCAAGCGGAATGCTTCAAGACAGCAAGGGCATGCCATAGTACAGCCACACAGAGCCATACAGACTCAACGGTTGCGAGTTTAACGGAAAGCGTCTGGTGACAAAAGCAAACAGACATGAATACACAACCATCCCAAACATGAACTTTTTGTATCCCGTGAACCCATATGTAGACGCCCTCCCTAATAATATAGTTGCGTAACACCATCATACAATAGCCAGATTTCTGTCTGTTCCCACACATACTCTCTTATCTTAGCAGGTATTCCATCTGCTCAGGCCCACTTTGAGAAATCCACTGACTCTACCATCGAGTCTAATCCTTGCGTTGTACCAACCTCTGTGTCGTTTGTAGTGGTTGACGAGGAGAGAGTTGAGGATCGATGAGATGTCTGCTCGCTCGCGCTTGTGAAATAGGTCGCTACACTTGTCCGGCGGAGGCTAATAAAGCTATCGCGCACAGTGCTGCTCGGCCTCGATGACGATTCACTTTGCTGCTGCTGTGCAAGCCCACCAAGTGACGACGACTGCGATGCCGAGGGCGTCAGGTTGCCCAATTTGGGTGTATACTTCTCGCGCAGCCGCTTGATGGCCCTCAGCCGGCTTAGCCACGAGCTAACATGTTCGCCCTCACGGTTAGCCCACACTTGGGAGAACACGGAGGCGTTGAGTGCGATCAGACGGATCAAGCTAGGAAGAGCAGTCAACGAGACCATCTTAAGCTCAGAAGCGGGCGAGATCTCCGGGAAACCAGGTTTGCTCATCACCTGAACTCGGTAGAACGGCTGCCCACCTCCCAAGGGGGAATCTCTTGTCGCAATAAATGAGGCACGAGACGCCGGCGTAATTACGATGTGCACGAAGTTGAAGTCACCCGGAAACGTGTCAAATCTGAACGGCAACCCGGAGTCGTTGAATACGATGTTGACGAAATCATTACCGATGTGCCGCTTCTTCTTGTCAGATCGCGGGTCATTCTCCAGGTCCGTCGGCATTTGTGTCGTCACGTGAAAGACGATTTCCGTAACCCTATCGCGCCAGCAGAAGGTATACTGGCCATCACCGCCAGTGTCGCGATCTAGGCCGTGGCTGTTAAACTTAGCCCCCTGCAGCTTCGTCAACGTCCCCAAGTTGTTGAGGAATTCCACGTAATCGCTACTGCCAGACACATTGGCAAGGATCTCTGCCTCATCCGTCTGGCCTTCTCCGATGTAGATGACGCCAACCTTATGGCCATCAACCGTGGAGCTGCGATCAAAGACCCGAATGAATCTGTCCACATACTCCTCATCGGGCAAGGGAAAGGGTCGTCCAAGTTCATTGCTTTGCGGAAATGAGGAAAGCAGCTGAATCAATAAGTGACTCGGAAGAACCGTGTTGGTCGATCCCTGACCCTCTCTCGTAATGTCGACATAGTTCTGGGTTTGATGTGGCGGAGGTGGGTTGAAGGTTTCCCGAATCTTATATACTGAAGTCCCAGATGGCTGTCTCTTAATGATCTGAGCCCAGCCAGTGACCGTGGCCTGCATGACAGTGACAATGCTATGCCCAACCAACCAGTTCCTCGTTACAATCTCTCCAAAGCGGTCCTCAGTGAAATGAGGATCCTCCAAAGACTCATCAACATCTGCATACGTGACCCTCTGCATGAAGTCGACGGATGTAAATGCTTGTTCATGGTCGGTTTGTCCATCCTCAGAATCACTAAACAGGTTCCGAACAATCCACCCGACAAGGCTCGCCCGATCGGGGAGCTTCAGGGCAAGGAACCAGAAAAGAATCACATGGTACGCAAGAGCATATACATATTGTGGAAGGTCGTCTGTTGCACTTGGGTGCGTCGCTTCGGCGAGATTCGGAGTTGAGGTTGCCGGGGTTGATGGTTCGCTCACGTGGCTGTTCCGGTTGGACTCTTTCTTGTCCCGCACAGATTGTAGGTATCGAATGCAGATGCCGAAGACAATCCTGTACTCCTCCTCTCGGAAATTGACGTATACATTGTGTTGTCGACTGAGGGTGGCGAGAAATTCGAGGATGTGGATCGAAACATGAGGCTGGGTAATGATTGTAGACATTTTGGTCAACAACTGAACCAGTGATTTGCTCGTCGAAAGTGGAAGCTCGTGGCAACAAATCGACAAGGCATGGATGCAGCACTTTGCGCTTCGCTCCCAGGTCGCGATGCCATGAACAAATGACCTCACGATTTCGTCTTCCTCTCCTTTCTGGAAATAGACGTGATAACTCAGGATCATCGTCAAGCTGTGGAAGAGGCAGATAGCCACATCAGCTCGACGCAAGCCTGATGCATTCGGTGGCTCTTGGAAGCTGTTTTTCCAGATTTGTTCGCAGATAAGTCGCCGTAGCTCCTGAATCTGCGGGATCGCATCTCGAAATAGAGCATGGTTGCTCAGCTGCGACGGAAGGTGGACCAATACGAAGCTGTAGACCTCCCAATCGCACCCATGAAGAAGGCTTAGGACAGCCTCGAGCCAAACGGGAATATTCAGTGCGACAGATCCAACATGATTTGTGCCTTCGGCTGAATTATCCTCTGACTCGTCGAAATCAACATCACTCGATTGTGGAACATGAGAGACTAACACCGGGCTGACAGCTCCAGTGACGCCTGCTGGTAAGGCATCTGGATCCGGGAGTCTCCATAGCTGATGGTATCGACCCGAGTTGCTCTTGATACCGGCACCGCTGCCAGATCGAACTGGAAGGCCCCTTTCATTGGCCTGACCCTGTCCAAATGAGACACCCCGCGAGGATCGCGAAGCGCTACCATGCTCACTTCTCGATAGCCGCTGTGCTTGGGCAGCTTCTTCTGCCTGCCTCTTGGCAAAGGAATCTTCCGTGCGGCAAAGGGAAGGCGCAAGGAAATTGGTCTCGAGGACCTTTGTGATGAAAATCCGATTAGCCCAGTCCCCCCGTAACCGAAACAAGAGTTTCATGGTAGTCAACCGGGCATCCACCTCGCAATGATTGGATTTTGCAATGTTGACTAAGGCATTGAACAGGCGGATACTCTTTGCGCTGTGATATTCCATCGTTTGCACAAACATTTTTACATATCCCTTTGCCACCACGTTCGACGGTGACTGCTCTGGTACAGAATTGGATTCGTGGGAAGGAGGGGAAGCGAAAGGATTCGGCGAGGCCGAGGAAGAGATCGGCGATTTCAATCGATCGCTCACGACAATACCTCTCAAAGCATCGATGATATAATCAAAGAGTTCCATTTCACATGATGCTACAACGGAAATCATCAATGACATGATGGCTTCAAGAACCAGCACATCGGTTTCTTCTGCCACATCCTGAAGGATACTCTTGGCTAGATGTGGGATGAATCTCTGTTCAGGATCATCACCGACGAGGTCGACGATTTCGTATGCGTCCATGATGGTTTCTAGAGCTCGGAGTCGGATATTGGACGATCGGTCCCGATTGCAAAAGAAACCCTTCAAGACCAACGCCAAATTGTCTTCCCAGTAAAGGTCTGACGGAGAGCAGCACCTGAATTGTTGGAAGTAGTCAAGCACTGCAGATACCGTCGCATCAGGAAGTAGTTGATGAACTTCGGTGAGAAATTTGACGACGATTTGCCGAGGGACGAAGTCACCAGTCTTTTGATTTACAAGGACGTCGAGTCGCTTGATGAGAGAGATGAGCTCCCGACTCACAAAATCTTCTGGGCGCTCGTCTCTCGAGTGTATGCGAAGTCTATCCACCTCATAATGCTCAGCAGACGCTCTCTTGGAGCATTCTGAGGCGGCATCCAGAATCACTGACCAATCCTCATCGACGATTAAGCGGTGGATGTTACCTTGTCCATCGTCGAACAGGGCGTTGATGAGCTGGAGGGCAGCGACACAAGTCCTGACAGAAGATGTTGTCTTGGCAATTGTGGAGAGTCCATCGGCTAACAAGGCATATGGGACAGGCGGGTATCCTTTCTCTAGGTTCTTCGATAGTAGTTTCTGTAGGACGGCGAGGGCGCCACGAATCTCCCGATTGGCATCCTTTTCCTTGATGCCATCCGCAGAATTGTTGCGCAGAATGTCGAGCAAGATGCGGATGGTGAGATGACCATTGTGGGACTTGCAGAGATTGGAAAGAGTGTGCCAAGCAGGCTTTTGGAGTTTTCCGACCATGCAATAGATTGAGCCCAGAACTTGGATGCAACCCCTGAGTTTCAAGTCGGGTATAGAGCCAAAAGTCACAATAGTGTCAATGACAGCGATGCTCGATCTCAGGTCATCCTCCGAATTGGTGGATACACAAATGGCTAAAAGCCTGTCGATCAAGTTGACAACGGTGGTCTCGTCAGCATTGTTGAAGCTGAATTTGGTCACATCAATCAAGAAAGCAAAGAGCTGGGAGAGGTTCTTCTCTTCTCCGGGGGTGGCCACCCGGCTTTTCGTTGAGCTCTTATTGCTTCTTGCGGCCTTGCGCGGAGCCAGTCGCACCGTGTTGTAGGTTTCCCGGAGCCAACTGGTCAGCAAAGGGATAAGTTCATAGTCGAAGCCAGTCAGGACGCGGCCATGATGCGTAAGGTCGACAAGAGCTGCTAGTTGAAGGTGAAAATCATCCGAGTGTGCGGGTGAAGACAGTGTCGTGAAGTACTCCTGGCGCTCAAGATCGGTGGAGGCAGCATGCTTGACACACTCGGTCAGAAGCTCCCAGCCGGCGGTACGGGCAGTGGCGGGTTTTGCCGGATCGATAAGGTCCTTCGCAGCATACCAGATATCCAGGACGGGATTGAGGGGGTACTCAGAAATAGAGAACCGCAGGGAGTTGGCAGCGGCGATACGCTCATTGAGAGAGCCGTTCTTGAGAAGTTCGAAGGACTCCATGTGGCTTGGCGACAGCCTTTGAGACAGGTTCGCAGAAGTAGCATGGACGAACTCAGCAGTGGGTATGGCGGCCGAGGATGATGGTGAAGCAATAGACGGCGATGACTTGGAGAGCTTTGAGCTTGTTAGGCCCCGTAAGACGTTGGCGAGGCCTCCCTGACGGGATGAATCTGGTGACGATGGAACATCTCCTGGCTGCGGGGACATTAACATGTGCTCTTGTGAAGTCTCGGGGTCTTGGTGGCTAAGCGAGGCTAGACGGCGTAGCATGTTAGCAGAGAACCGGATGTCCGTGTGCTTGGTGCGCCGTCATCTGTAAGGTGCGTCGATGGGTGGGAAGCAGAGGCAAAGACAAGGTGGACGGATAGCATCGACAAGGGCCGCAGTAAACCAAAGTTTCTCAGGAGGAAGGATACAGAGGAGGGCCGAGGACGAGGGCATCCAGATGTGGCGCCTCTGGTTCTGTCGTGCGATGGGTGCGACGGGTGCGACGGACGGCGCAGCGTCTCGGATGTGGTATGCAGGAGCAGATCAAGCAGGCTGCGCAGGCAAGTCTCACCGGCGAAACATGTGCTACCGAGGCTAGCAAGGGGCCCGCAAGATGTCGAAGAGGAAGGCGAAGTTCAACGGGGAAAGAGGCGGCCATCAAAGGGCTGAGAGGTCGGCGGGAGGTTGCAGCTTGGAGGACGATGTCGAAGTCGGCGGCGGAGGTGGGCGGCCGACAGTGGAGGGAACGACGGCGGGGCGGAAGTGAGCAGATGGCGCTATGGGAGGGCAGAAGGGGTCGGAGGAGCAGAACGAAAGCAGCTGGGGAAAAGCTGGGCTATAGAGGATGTCGGTCGGTCATGGAGTGCGAGAAAACGAGGGGAGTCGATGTTGAGGGTTGAAGGTTGAAAGGTTCAAAGTCGAAGCGGGTTAAAAGAGATGGATGGCAGGCCGTCGTCAGACTCTGACCTGGACAATGGCTGGAGGTAGCTGCAGGGCCCGTCGATCAGGCGAGGTACTTCGAACCAGGTACCTCCACGAGGTACCTTGCCGAACACGAGCCGGGCTGTTCTGGCAAGGCGCCCCCTGGAACCCCACCAATAGGGGACCAACAGGCCGCACCTCGCGTGTCCAGTGGCTAGTTTTAGGGGGGAGCGCGCGAACAGTTCAGGGATCTCGCCAACTGTGCGGCAACTGTAAGGTACTTCCGCCCCCGTGTACCTTACCTCACCTTGCCGTTCCGGGTCGAGGGGCCAATCATGCAAAGCATCAACAGCATGCTGGACTGGGCAGCCACTGCGTACCTGCAGTTTTGCGCGTGAAGGCGAGAGGCTATTTTGTCGTACGTAGGATGCTACACGAAACGGGGGATCCTCGATTTGGGACGCGCCACCTCTTTGGGATGGGATGAAGGCGTGCAAAATACCCGCGCGAGCCCCGATGGCTCCCAGCCTAGCAGCACTGTACATGGGGTGCAAGTAGCCCGTGCCAGGCCACCTGAGTACCCAAACATACACGCACCGATTTCAAACTTGCCTACATAGGTACTTGCACCAAATTGCATTAACGCTTAGTATATTCTATATCTACTTTTAATTTTTATTTTATAATAAATATTTATCTTTAAAATCTATTTATTTTTAAGTTATAATTTTTAATAAAAATATTTTTTAAAAGTATTTTATTTTTATTAGTATAACAGGTAACTTAGAATACTTAAGCTAGCTAGTTGCTAGCTGGGAGGCCTCTAGAGGGGACTGGTTCAGGTTAAAAGGGGTCAGCTAGAGCTAAGAGGGAAGAAGGCATCAATTTTTCCCTTCTTAAAGATTCCAACTAGAAGTCAGAGAGGCTGGAAGGCCTTAAGACAGATAAAGAATCTAGTATTTTGCTGTTCATAATTTTAAGAGATTTATTTTAAGCCTGCCTACCTGATATCGCAAACGTATCTAACCTCTGTCTTAAATAACCCTCAGATTCTGGGCTGCTGCAGGCTGTATTGATACCTTGCCAGCGAATTTTCCCGCGACAGACTCCAGGTCCCATCTCATGAGATGCTTCCCTGCTAGGAGATACGAACTTTAGATTGTCCCAACCTCTTATGCGAATCTTGGTGCAGCTTTGGGCTGACCAGTAAAGATACCCTTGCAATAGTCTCTCAAATGTGGAATCTCAGAGCAGGTTAACAAGTTGGATATTATTTCTATTTCTTTCTGCTGCTAAATTAGAAGATTTATTTAATTTTAATTTAATTTTTAGAAAAATTTTAAATAAAAAAAACTTAGAGTAAATATTTTTATTTAGCTAGTAAATATACTAAAAATTAAGCTAAGGCAAATTAGGAAATTATAAATACAGTTTAAAGGTTTAAGCTAATTAGATATATTAGGCTGTGTAGGTAAGTTTAAAATCGGTGCGTGTATGTTTAGGTACTCAGGCTACCTGATGAGTTGACGGGTGAGGAGGGGGTCGAGACTATGTAGCCTCAAGTACCTCAGAATCCAGAACAATGTGATACGGCGCAAAAGCAAATGCTAGGTGCCTTAGTTGGGTGGGATGTGTCATTGAGAGTACCTATCTAGGAGTGGCCATGTCTCAACCTGAGTCTCGATGAGGGTTGAAGCATCAATAAAACACACTCGTGCATAATCACCACTGAATCACTTGTCACCACCTGCTCCCCAACAGGACAAGTGCATCTTATGATTCCTCATCCCTTCCCGTCCACAGTGTGTTCACTAGCCTGCTCCCCGGCGATACCAACAAGGTACCCGAGCTCGTCTGTCTGTTGCAGCGCAGCGGCCAACGCCTCAGCCGTGACGGGAGCGGCTCTCGGCTCGCACCTCTCTCAGCCTAGATGCCTAGGTTTCCTACCAACCTTGGTGCATAGTAGCCTATCTCCCACTGTAACTGCCCCCCCACATGCCCTGTGTCCAGCACCTGGTAGGGGAGCTTCCAGACCAGGTTAGTGGCGGCATCCACGCCTGCTAGTGGTTTCCATTGCACCCAGTGCAACCAAGCAGAAAAAAAAGCCAGAGCTTTTTGTTTGCCTTGCAGCCGGGAGCTGACCTCACAACAGCTTGCACTCCAAGCCAACCAAACCAATCCTCCGCCATCACCTCCACCGCCGCCTCTTCTCCTCCCTCCCTCCTGCATCCTCCCACACTCCCTCACTTCTCCTCGCATAACCTCCATCATGGCGGCAGACATTGGCCACATCTCCCAGTTGCTTGACGCAACCCTCGATCCCTCCCAACACCGCAAAGGTACTTCGTCGTCCCGTTGCCCTCCCGCACCGTCGTTGCCCCGCGATCATTTGGCTAATAAACAAACCCGCCCCAACAGCCGAGTCCGCACTCAAGCTCGAGGCAGCCAAGCCCCAATACTCGCTCGGTCTGCTCAACATTGTTAGCTCAGGCGCTCTTCCTGCCAAGACTCGCCTGGCCGCTGCTCTGGCCTTCAAGAACTTCATCCGAACAAACTATGTGGTACGTCGACCCTCCGAATCCTCCTGTCCCGCCCCTCCCCGCTCGACCATTGAATCGTCGACGGAGCAAATGCTGAACTTGATTTGTCTGCGTAGGATGAGGAGGGAAACTACAAGTTACCTCAAGATGAGGTCATGACTATCAAAGAGCGCCTCATCGGCCTCATGATCGAATCCCCCTCTAACATCCAGGCTCAGCTTGGCGACGCTATTAGCGTGATTGCCGACTCTGATTTTTGGAGGCGGTGGGATACCCTCACTCAGGTGCGCTCCCCCCAATCTCTAGATGCCCTCGGCTCGCGCTCACAGTCTTTCTTTGTAGGAACTCGTCGGCCGCTTTTCCGCTACCGACCCCAAGGTCAATGTCGGCGTTCTCGAAGTCGCACACTCCATCTTTGCGCGATGGCGACCGTTGTTCCGCACCGACGAGCTCTACATGGAGATCAACCATGTCATTGAGACCTTTGGCCAGCCCTTTATTCAGCTGTTGGTGGTAGGTGGCGATCGTCCACCTTGGCACTGCACAATACTAACACGCTTCGTAATAGACAACCGACAAGAAGATTTCCGAGAACTCGGACAAGAAGGAGACTCTCCAGGGTTGGTTTGAAACCCTGGACCTCCAGATCAAGATTCTGAACGACATGTCCTGCCACGACTTGCCACCCATCTTTGAGGAGAATCTGGCCAGCATCTCCGAGCTTCTCCACAAGTACCTCACATACTCCAACCCGCTGTTGGAGACCGACGATGAGACCGAGACGAGCATAGTAGACACTGTCAAGGCTGACATCTGCGAGATACTGGAGCTCTACACCGTCAAGTACGATGAAGACTTTTCCAAGTACTGCCAACCCTTCATCGAGAAGGCCTGGAATCTGTTGTCCTCCACAGGCACCGAAACCAAGTACGATATCATCGTCAGCAAGGCCTTGCACTTCCTGACGGCCGTCGCCTCAACAAAGGAGCACTCCGGGATATTTAACAGCGAGGAGGTGCTCACACAGATCGTGGAGAAGGTCATCCTGCCAAACGTGGGACTCCGCGAGTCCGATATGGAGCTGTTCGAGGACGAGCCCATCGAGTTTATCCGACGAGATCTGGAGGGCTCCGACACAGACTCCAGACGCCGATCTGCCACCGACTTCCTCCGAAAGCTCCAGGAGAAGTTTGAGGCTCCAGTCACGACCGTCGTCTCCAAGTACATCAACCACTATCTTTCTCAGGACAAATCGGATTGGAAGGCCAAGGACACCGCCATCTACCTCTTCCTGTCCGTTGCGGCCAAGGGTGCCGTCACCGCCGCACAAGGTGTAAAGACGGTCAACCCCTTGGTCAATGTCGTCCAGTTCTTCGAGCAACACATTGCCCAGGATCTGATCAACAGCGAGGGTGTGGAACCTATCTCGAAGGTCGACGCCATCAAGTATCTCTACACCTTCCGCAGTCAGCTGTCCAAGGAACAGTGGAAGTTGGCATTGGGTCCTTTGATCCAGAATCTCAACTCGGACAGCTACGTTGTGTACACATACGCAGCCATTGCTGTGGAGCGAGTCTTGTTCCTTACTGACGACGCTGGCGTTCCCATGTTCCCTCGAGCAGACGTTGAGCCCTTCTCTAAGGATTTACTTGGTCACTTGTTCAAGCTTATTGAGAAGGAGGCGAGCCCCGCCAAACTTCAAGAGAATGAGTTCTTGATGCGCTGCGTCATGAGAATCCTCATCGTCATCAAGGATGGTGCTTCGACCATGGTCGAAAATGTCCTTACCCATCTCATCCTAATTACGAACGTCATGAAACAGAACCCGAGCAACCCCCGATTCTACTACTACCATTTCGAGGCTATCGGCGCTCTTGTTCGGTACTGCGCCCCAAGTAACGCTGCTCTCTTCAACGAGAAGCTATGGGAGCCCTTCCACCAGATCCTGGTCGAGGATGTCACAGGTAAGCGAGCAGATCTCGATGCCGAAAAGTCCGCTAACAAGCTCTCCAGAGTTCATGCAATATGTCTTCCAGATCCTTGCCCAATTGCTCGAGTCCAGCCCGGCTGAGACAATTTCGGATAACTACAAGGCGCTGTTGGGTCCCTTGCTGAACCCACCCCTTTGGGAGACGCGAGGCAATGTCCCTGCTTGCACCCGCCTCCTGTCGGCCGTTGTTCCTCGAGCCTCCCAGGCTATTATCGCAGAGAACCAGCTTGAGGCTGTGCTCGGCATCTTCCAAAAGCTTCTCAGTGGGAAGAAGTCTGAACTTCATGCCTTTGATCTCTTGGACTCCATCGTCAAATCTTTCGAGCCGTAAGTCTCTTATGTTGATATGCGATATATAAGACTCCCACTGACAACTATTCCAGCTCGGTTTTGGAACCTTACTTCGGCACCATCCTTCGCCTCCTCTACACGAAACTGCAAGGCACTCCAGCTGATTCGTTCAAGCTGCGCTTCGTCAGATTCTACCACCTTGTCTCCGCTAGATCGGAGGCTGGGTTCGGTGCTGACTACTTCATCACCCAGTCGGACCAGGTCGAGGCGGGCGTCTTCACGAAGGTGTATCCTGTTTTCGTGCTAGCTGAGACGGAGAAGCTAGCTCGCCCTGTGGACCGTAAGGTCGCGGTTGTGTCCCTGACTAAGACTCTCTGCGACTCGCAAGCCTTCGGGCAGAAGTTCATGAAGGGTTGGGCTAACAGCTGCCGCATCTTGCTCTCTCTTCTGGCTAACCCGCCCACCGTGACTTCCGGTTCTGGTGACGAGATTGTTGCTGAGGCAGATGTCGATGACATTGGCTTCGGCATGTCTTTTACCGCGCTCAACACTTGCAAGGCTCTTGTTCGAGACGACTTCCCTGAGGTTCTAGATGTTACTACGTGGGTCAAGGAGTTCATGGTTGCTGCCAACCAGCGACACGGTGGCGCCATCGAGGGCTTCATCGGCCAGCGTTTGAGCCCCGAGGAACAGGAGGCCATCGCGAAGTACATCCGATGAGCTCCCCAACACCTCCGAGCAGAGAGATGACGAGCACCCGGCCCAGTAGGAGGTCGAGGCGGGATTTGATAAGGATACCAGGAGTCAGGGAGGATAACTATGTATGTATGTATTGATGGGCGGGCGGGTGTATGGGCATCTTGAATTAGAAGATGAATGAAGAAAAAAGGACCAGGGCATCTGGAGCAAGATGCATAGATGACTGGAGAAAGAAAACGGATAAGAATCTTGCCCGTCGAAAATATACCACAATTTTACACTCATCATCAAGACTCGTCACGCTGTGTGCACGCCTGGGTCAACCCAACATGATTGATATTTCTGCCCTAAGTCTCCATCGTCGTGGTATGCGACGTCGGGGACCGCTCTAGGTCTAAACTTCCCAGGGCGCGCAGAAGATCGTGTCTATCTATCCATTCATGATGCCACCAGACGTGAGAGCTCATTAGTCCATGTTATTATCTGCCCTCCGGTTCGGTGGTCCAGACACGAATTCCACGCCCGTCATCTTCATCGAAGACCCCCAGCCCATGATTCCAAACCCCGTTCAAGTGTTAGGGCAGTAGGGGTTATTCAACATCAACAAAAACGCCAAGGACTGTTTGTCCACTTCTCCTCATCGTAAGCGTTATGATGGCGAAACATCATCTGGTATCAAAATCGTACAAAACATTCAAATCCGCCCAATATGCCAGTGTCCTTAGTCTCATATGGATGCACGCAACAAAAACAAACCAAAAAAGAAAATCAGTATCTCGAAGTGCAGATGTGAAAATGATGTCGTCGAGGTCGGAAGAGGCTTCATTGCCTTCTAATTCCTGGCAAATCGTTCAAAGGAAACCACCGTCGCTGCTGATGACTCCAACACTATTGCGCCATCCGCATCTCCGGTCGTTTTCGTCTCGGTCTCGGGGAGGCGCTCCGGTTCCTCGCGGGTTTAGCGTCCCACGGGGTATGGACGAGGACTGGATGTCGATCTCGCTACTTCCCCGGCTACTCCAACTAGCGTTCGTCTGGACTAGCAGTAAGCTGCTGGTGCTAGAGAGTCTCTTGGTAAACTCGGTGAAACTCAACCTTTTGGCACTGGTGGTAGACAGTCGCTTGTCTGCATTTGGGCGGGGGGTGCCTTCTTCGGAAACCTTGCTCGATGCCGATATTTCCATATTGGTCATGGCCGCTGCAAGCTGGGAGGGACTCTGTATCCTTTGTGATGCGCTGGGGCGACTTTTGGCGTTTGCGGTATGTGGCCGCACAGGGGGAACCTGGTTGGGTACGATTCCTGAGCCGACCCGGGTGTTGATTGAAGTCCTAGAGGTTGGTGGTCTGGCTGAACTCTGAGGCTGTGCGGGCTCATTTCGGCCAGCAATAAACTGCAAGGCGCGTTGTGTTGTGGAGGGAATCAATACTGGACCGCGCCGTTCTGGGATGTGGCCGTATGCGCCCTCATCCGAATCGTCCGAGTCTCTGTCCTGGGCCTCATCCGAGCTGTCAGATGCCTCGAAAGCGCTCCGTATTGCCATTTGATGCGCTCGTTCGGCGGCTTCCCTCTGTTTTCGTTTTTGGTCAGCTTCTCGCATTAACGCCTCAAATCGCGCCAACGAGCTCAATTTCTCTTCTCCAGGGACCTCCTGCTCAGACCCAGGTATGCACCTCAGTTGAAAGGCTCTGTCGAGGATAGTCTCGCGAGGCGCTGGGGGTGAGCTCGAGTCAGTCGCTGTGATCGAGGGCTGTGGTGTCTGTGAGCTCATACTGTCTCGCCCTCGGATGGGCGAGCTCATTGTTGAAGACCTCCCCTGAGCAGCCGTCCATCCCTCAATAAATTCGCCCTGGTATTCGCCAGTGGTGCCAACAGGAGAGGGGAGGTCAGAGGGGAGGTCTGTGGGAAGCACAGTAGTGTAGTGCTGGCCAGGGATCGGGTACATTTGCTGGATGGGGTAGTTCGCACTCGAGGGGGAGGAAACATCGCTTCTCTTAGATCGCAGACTTAGCGACTCGGAACTGAAGGTATGTGGCCTTTCGCGTGGCCCAGTGGACTGCGTATTTGCGGAGCTCTTGTGCTGGAGAGCGCGAGTATCCGATCGGCCAGGCTGATTACCGCTGGTTGGGCGCGAAAAGTAGTCGGGCTGATCGCGGGATCGTGGCGCAAAGGGGTTGGTGAATTGGGGAGACATGGGGCTCTCGGGACTCATGGGACTCATGGGCGACTTCTTGGACAGAATGAAGCGCGCCCAATCATGCAGACTGGGATGGTGGTCGTCAGGAGGCGTACGAAACCATAACGTATTGGCGCTGGTCTCCTTGTTCGATGAAATCAGCCCAGCAGCGCGGCTGGAGCGTCGTTTTCGCTCTTTGTCGGACAGAGTGACAATGAGGGTGGGTAGAACAGGGCCCTGCTTCCTGTGGGCGACCATTTGGACCTGGCAATCGGCAATACCGCTGATGGGCCATTGTTGGTTCGGTTCATTGTCCTCCTAAAGTTAGGTCTCGTCAACGCATGTTCTAGAGAAAGTTTCGGGGTGAGCCGTCAACCGGGCCTAGATCAACACACCTTGTGTTTGTAGATGAGGAGGCAGCATTCGTCGGTGGGCGTCTTTGCAATCGGTTTAGGGGTCAAGCTATTGTTTCGGCTGCTCGTCACCAGCTGAGAGTAGCTGGGATTCGAAGTACCCTGTTGACCAGCTGAGGTGATGCGCCTCCCGACGACTACGTATCGTGTCTAAAGAGTATTGGGGTCAGAGGGTTGTTCTTAATTTCAAATCAATCCCGGAGCAGACAACAACAAGACATACCTTCCAAACTGCCCTACCAAGAATCTGCCCTCGGTCTGGAGGGACCATGAGCAACCCATCCAGGCTCTCCATTGTCGGCACGAGAAGAGGCGGTGGTTGCCAGAGAGTGAGAAGCGAAGGGGGGAGAAGCAGGGGACGGGAGGAGGGGCGAGAGAGGGGAGGAGAAGGAGAAGCAACAAGATTAGGTGAAGATCAAAGTCGCATCATGAGGCAACACGTGGTGTAGGCGGCGTGGAGACGGCCAGAGACAAGACGACGGCGGAATAAAACAGATGGCCAAGAAATAAGTGCCAGTAGGGATGGAAGGCTGCGAGCGGGTGGAACTGATTATTACGGTGACGATGGTAAAAGCGATGCTGGTGATGGCAATAACGAAGTAGCAATGCGGCGCCTGGTGCTGGTGATGAAGCAGGTTCGAAGGCTGGGAGACAGGTGGAAGGCGAATGGGCCCATGGGCAGTCAGTCGCGGATAGTCGACGAACCCGGTCCCGGCGACTTTGTCTCAGAAAACGAGCGAAGGAGGAGGCAATGGTGGTGGTGAAGGTGGTGGTTTAACCGGCCTTGGCCAGACGCTGGAGATGGGACGGATGCGGATTCGGAGGTGGATGCAGTTGCGGTTGCGGGAGGCGAAGGGATTTAGGGCGCATGGGCGAGGGTCCAGGGCTGGCACGAGGTTTGGAGGGCGAGCCCCACTGTCCTTACGGGGGTCGGAGGGGGGTGCGAGGGGCGGGAATAGTGAGCAGACTCGATAGAACCTCCTGAGAAGAGAGCCCCGAGGACTGCTTGCAGTGCTTGGGCGATGAAGAGGGCTAAGGCAGGTACCTCCGTACTAAGGCAGGATGAGTGGATGTACCTACCTACCTAACCTTTTTCCCCCATCCTGGTCTTCCCTGGTCTCTCCTTTCCTGCCGGACTGGGGCGCTCCATTGGGAGGCGAAATTAAACCTCGAACAAGAATGGAAGGGACGGCCAGCTCCAGGAGATCCGGTACCTGCAAGCTACTGCATGGCAAAGTACTCTCCGAGGGCAAGGTAACGAAGAATCGTCTGGAGCAGGTCTCAAGCGAGAAGCAGGGCAGAGCGACTGCAACGTATTCGTAATAGTGCAGACACATATGATCTGCTACGTACTGCCTACCATACCTGTACGTCCAGAGAAGGAGTAACTTACCTACCTAGCCTACCTCCGTTCGTATGCCGTGCCCCTTTACAGCCTCTCTATCAATGTAGCCTTCAGCCAACTAATAACCGAGATCAATGCCCCCACGAAACCGGAAAAGCCCAACTTGCGCCCCCAAATCTGGCATCGGATCCGTCACATTTACCCCTCCAGGCCAAGTGAGCTTCTAGAGGAGGAGGGTGGGAGGATGCCACAGCATCTTACATATTACCAGGCACACAGCGTTGTACTACGTGGTATACATGCGTCCAGGGTGCAAGCCTCAGAGCATCTAGTGCATCGTGCGGCGACGCGGAGGGTGAGTGCAGAGTGCAGAGTGCAGAGTGCAGTCTGTGTGTGCATGCGCGTGTGGTGCTCTGTTATCCATCCTGGTTCTCCTCCTCCTCCTCCTCCTCCATGATCCATGAAGCGCCATCCACTCCCCCATCCGTCGTTCATTGTCAATTGCCCATTGTCCATTGTCCAGATGCTGCCCGTGCAGCACAGGGTTCCAAGGGGCGCTGTCGATCCCATGCGGACAGCCGACAGGGGTTGGCTGTGGAAGGATGGCATGGAGGATGTGGGTGGAGGTACATGGCGAGTCAGGTACCCCCCGGGTCGCTCCCCCTCCACGAGCCGGGGCGTACCTGCCGACAGGGAACGCGACTCAGGGCCAGCGTCGTTCTAGCAGGATGCACCTGCATTGGGATGCATTGGATGCTTCCACCATCCTTCCTCTGTAATGACCTGGGCTCCGTCAAGGCTCCATCAAGGCTCCATCAGAGAAACAAACACGGCTTTTCATCCCCTGCGAATTCGGGCATTTTTTGCCGCATACAGCAACCTTGGGTAAGGCATTGTGCTATTTACATCATCCTGTATGCACGCGCAAGGCATCATTCGTCACAGTCTCTCGTCGCCGTTGCTGTCGGCATCGCCGTTGCTGACCTTGTTGGTGGCTGGATGGCTGCTGACTGCTTACAGAATGCTGATGCTGCTGTTCCCGCCCGTGTGTCTCGTGGGTGTTCGTCCCGACTTTCTGATTGCACGAACCCACGTCCAACCCATGGCGCAGTTTCAGAATCGACCTGACAGTCTGGGAGGCCCAAACCAACCCCGGCATAACCATCGTCCCTCCCTGACAAACGTCGCCCGTGCCGGACAATGGCCCTGGCAGTGTAACCGCAAGGATGGGTGTCCTGGGGGGTCGGAGTGCGATCCTTGCTGGTTCCTGCTAGGGCCTTGTACCACAACGCTATTGTTCAAGCGCCCTCGGGAGACGCAGGCCCAGCAAGCCCAACAAGCCGAGCAACACACACACACACACACACACACGCGCGCACAGAGTGCCATCATGTCTCCTACCGTCTTACCATCCTACCTACTCCGTACTCCGGGCACCATTCATAACAACTTCCAAACCCCGGCTACTGCAGCCAGCCATCATCTAATTACAACATGCCCCCTCACAGCGAGATATAAAGACCAGACGAGTCACGCACCCGCAGTACTGCCACTCATCCAGGATTACCAGATCCAAAAAGTAACAAGCACCACGGTCCGAGACGGCAAGCCGGATAGCATACGTACATCCTCGGGAGAACATCCATTCGCGGGCTCACACACCGATGGCGGCCCAGAAAACCGACCTCGCGCGACGCAAGCCTCAGACATGGCCAGACAAGACCCATGAGACGCAAAGGGAACAGGCTTCGTCACCGCCCTATCTAGCTGTCTCATTAACTTGCTTCGCCGTCTCTTCCCACCCCAGCTATCAGCGGGAACACTACTGTATTGATGACAGCGGCGTCCGCAACAAGTTCCTCCCCATGTCTCTATCTCTATCTCTGCTCTGCTCGCCCTCTGACCCCATCCATCCTCGCCAGGTTCCCGGGGCTAACACCATGCATCCACCTTCGCGCCATGCACGGCCATGGATGCCCTCCACAAGGAGAACGCTAAAGCCCATGTGGCCGAGATATCCACTTCGTAGCGCGCCACCTGCCCGCTGCTTTACAGAAACTCCGTCATAGCAAGTGGTCCAGTACATGGGTGGATGCTCACGAACCTACGCTGCTTTCCCTCACCCAGGTCATCCCAGGATATCCCGGGTACCATCAGCTTACGAACCTCGGTTTTGCCCTCGCGTCCCTACCTTCTTCTCCAAGAACAGCCTGGTTTGCTCCGACCGGCCTCTTACTATTGCGAGGAGGTAGAAGGTTTCTCCCGCTTGACGATCGCCGTCCTTAGCTGGCGCCCCCACCATCGCGGCCCTATCCGCCGATCCCCAAGGACCGACAACCCATCTGACGGCTGTTACCGGCACCAACGGTTACATCTTGTCAGATTCACGGGTCAAAGATTTGGGGGGTCGGGAATCGGGGATTCCAAGGTAACATTGAGATTCCGCTCTTGTGGTTTATTCCCGACACAGTTGTAGGTAGTTCGACCGCTCAACTCGGAGTTTTTGGCTGCACCAGCAGAAAGAGTCCGACTACGTACCAGTTTCAAGGACAAGATACCTCGCCGCTCCTCTCCACTCTCCTCTCCACTCTCCTCTCCACTCTCCTCTTTTGATCTTACTTGACGAGCCATCTGCCTCTTCCAAGGTAAGCCCAATCACTCAATCAATCATTGTCACTGTAACAGGGGCTCCCTGTATCATCGTAGTCAAGTGTTTGGTTCAACAGGGGGATCTACCGGTTCTTCCGCGGGGCACTCGGCCGGCACTGTCCTATTCATCCGCCAACAACAACCGTTCTGCCTGGGGGGCAAGGGACAACGAAGAGGAGTGCAGCAGCAATATTGTCCGCTTCGGCCCTTCCCACGTCTCTAGACGCGCCTCGTCGGCCAACCCGCGGCAGCACGAACGCACACTTTCCCGCTCTGGCGCCAGGGGTGAGGGCGGCACAAGAAGCGCACTGGGAAACTGGAACACCACCGGAGCTGGTGGCTTGATGCACATGGACATCCACCAAAGGTAATCAGATGAGTACAGAGTATTCGTACGGATGAAGGAGCCACGCCGACCTAGCTTGATGATCCGTCTATGAGTGTCGTCTTGCTCTTTCTCGTCGCTCTTGCTCCCGGCCCCGTTCCCGTCTCCCCACGTTTTGGTGCAACTTTGACAGGGCCGAGTGAACGATGCCGACTATGCAACTCCAGCCGGGTAGGCTTACCAACCGGTTCACCGGCGATATTGTTCCTGGATGCGGCGGGCGATAAGGTACTTCGACCACATGGTTACGGCGCATGTACGCGCAACCCCATTCACGTCGTCATTCCGGGCGGCTTACACAAGATCTTACCAGATCCGACGCTGTTTGTCTGCGAAACGCGACCTGAGACAATTTCTTTGCCAGGTTAGTAGGATCCTACTCTGCATTCTCGTAACGTGCCACTAGGGCTTCAGGTAATGTCTGACAGCCGAGCATTCCATTGCCCCTTGCGATGTGCATACTGGCTGGTCTGCTGTTGGTGGCGTTCAGACGGGCTCCACCACGTACAAAGAAAGCAGTCTGTTTCTTTTTCTGCCTCGTCTATCTTTGTTGCTAGCCATCGGACGATCTTCCTAGAGTATTTCTTCACTCGGTTACTAAAACCGCGAGCATCGTGTCATACTCCGTACAGCATCAATTGAGGGTCCGCGGACCGAGACCGGCCTCCAAACTCCACGGCCCCTGTAACGACGAATCCCGCCGAGACATCAATGCCGCCACCCACGGTTGGCTCACACAATTCTCGCAATGCACTGCACTGCACCGTCCATTGCTTGGCCATGGTCGACCGCCACCCGTTATGAGGCCATTATGCTGTAATGTCAAGCACCAAGTCACCATTCAGACACTTCGATAGCCGACTTTGCCCAGGCCTAGACTACTTGCCCCTCGCGCCAACCCAGAAAGACGCCAGCGCAACCGCCAACGGCCTGGAGTGGCAGCTCGGCGTCGTCCATGGCACTATTATGTAGCGATGGCGCGCTGCGTCAAAGCTGAGGTCGGATGGACAAACGATGGCCCGGTCAGTCCATCCTAACCCCTGCAGGCGGCGAGGCGTCGCCGTTCTGGAAACGGCTTCGACCGTCATGGTCCAGGCGGTCCGTTCCATCGCCGAATCTCAATCTCCCTTCCACACGAAAGCGTCAAGCCTTTGGATCCAGGCGGGGACGAATGACAGTCCTCGCTTGCCTGACCGCCTCGAGAGGCGGCTTGGCCTGTTCGTTTTGTCGTCTGTCATCGTCGACTCGTGATCCGGGGTTTGCCAGGCCTTGGGGCCACCCCCCCCCCCCCCCTCGAGCAGCCCACACTTGGGGTTTGACGCTTGCCCCGTATCTCTGTTGTGCGCAAATGGCGTGCCCTCCCAGACTCCGTACCTCATCTCGCCATGGCCCGCAGGCCCCAGTCCTGTCATCGTGTCGGCCATGCAGGTACCGAGTCCAGCCGCATCAACTCTGCGCGGACTCTCGGACCCGTCGTCTTTCGGACGTCGCATTGCCGGATCGCTCCTCCAAGCCTCAAGACATCCACCCACCCACACTAGCAAAGTCGGATCCAGGAACCGCGCGCCGTCGTGTTGATCCCTCCTCAATGCTCTCACCTCTCACTAACTTCTCACTAACCTTCCTCACTAACCTCCCACCTGCCCATCTTGTCCGCCGAGATGTTCCCGTCCCAACTCTATCCCACGGCTTCACACTGATGCCACGCCGGGCCCATAACAAAGGGATCCCGGCCCAGAAGCCTCGGCCCCGGACACGGCTAGCCACGATACACATAAACTACCCCGACCTGATGCCGAGATGCCACTGCCAGATTACGTAGTAACCAATCCCAACCACAGCGCCGGTGAAACCACCATTCAGCCAGTGGGCAGACCACGACCGCTATAATCGTCCACCGTCGCTCGTCCACCGTTGTCTATCGGCAGCCCAGTAACCCCGGAAACCCCTCACTCCACCCACCATTCTTCTTTTCTCTTTCCTCGACCGACTCCCGGCCTCCCAATACGCAACGGCTCTCTTTGTGACAGGTCGTCCGCGAGCACACCCACTCAGCAGAGAGACAGAGAGGCACGTAGGTCAGAACTCCAGGTGGAGGCGTGGCTTCAGCGTGATGTGATGGCTTTGCTCTGTCCTCTCCCCACCTACACCCCTCAGCTGTTCCCCAAGGTCCACCCTTGTTTCCAGCCTCAATCCGCAGCCAGACGCAATCCTAGCAGCCAGTCGCCCAGAAGACTCTTGTGGCTTTGCGATGAAAGATCGGTGCTAAAGAAGCATGCCTCCGGCTGCGGCGTGTATGGTCCCGCGCGTCGTGCTTCTGATATGCATAGGCATGGACATGGATTGATGCGCCCACGGCCGTATATTGTCTAGACTAGGTGCTACGTAGCACATAACCAGGGGAAAGTCCACTTTGCTACTGCATCTATTCGTAAAGAGTATTGCTATTCGCATACAAATACAAGCCTCTTTAGCCAAACCTCAGGGCAAACCAATGTACCTAGACCTTACTTTGACTTATATTTATTAATAAATTGGACTTGATGAGATAAAATAAAACAAATAGTTATGAGGGAATAAATATTGTGAATTAGTCTTACAAACTTATTAGGATGGTAGATGATTACCAGTAGGATTTAGGCATGCAGTGATGTGCGCAAGTAGCAATAGGTTTGTGTGCGAATAACTTCGTAAATTGGGCATGCACAGATGGACGAGGTAGACCAAGGCAGATATGGTTATGTAAGTGGGATTGCTTGCGTGACAGCCAGTCTACCGCAGAGAAGTAGAAGACAAAGACCAAAAATACAGAACCCGTCGTCTCTGCTTATGAACCTCGCCTCCAGCCGTTGCTCCAACGCCAGAAATGACAAGTAGAAGTAAAGGTGCCTTATCCCCCCTCCCCGTAATAAATGGAAAATATTAGCGGCGCTTTGTGTTGCGGAAAAAAAGGCGCCCCTCGTCGCACATGCTTCCATCGTCCCAGCATCCTCTTCTAGTATCCCAACAACAGACCAAACCCTCCTTTCCCGCGTGTAATGGTGAGTTAGAACTGGCTATATGATGACGTCTTTGACTAGTTTCCAAGAATACAAAGCCGACCAAGAGATACCTCCTAGGGCTCGCTACTCTCTGTGATCCTCCACCCGTTGGATGAGCCTCTGTTATAGCGGTTCCTGATGTCCAAGCTGCGAGAGTGGTTCGACCAGCTGGATGGTCTTAGTTAGCCAAGCCGTCCAAAGGACTAAACTGTGTCCAAATTTGAGGAGAAATACTTACATCTTGACCCGCCCGTCATCGCCACAGGACGCCAGCATAAAGGGGTCAGCAGGGTTCCATGAAACAGCGTTGCAGCGCGGGTGATGCCCGGGTAGACGTTCAACGGCGGCGCCCGTGTTCTTGTGCCAGATGAGGATATTGCCATCCTCGCTACCACTGATGACGAAGCTCTCGTTGGGCCCGCCGAAAGAGCTACGAATAAGGTATTCGCCGCCAGTGTGGCCGAAGAACTTCTGGACGGAGTTACGAGTGACAAGATCGATGAGCTGAGCCTCACCATCACGCTTGTTCACAAGTAGGTGGCGCGAGTCCTGGCTGATGCTGACGGACGTGGGACGGGCCTTGAGCTCCATGTCAAACTCGAGCTCGCGGGTGATGGCGTTGTAGACATGAATTGTCTGGACGTCGTCAACGGCAACGAGCCACCGGCCGTCGGGTGAGCCGCAGAGATCTTGCACGCGGTGCCTCTTACCCCAATCGTAGACCTCCTCGTCGTTAACATTGATGGTACAGAGGCTGTGAGCGCGATCCAAAGTGCCGACGACGAAGGATAGGTTGTCACGAGCCCAAACACAACCGCTGACGGGCTCCTCAAAGCGCCTCAGCTTTTTTAGGAGCGATCCGGTCTATAAAATCGCGTTAGTTCTGCAATATTGTTGAAATCCCCTTCGGAGTGTCACTTACATCAGCATCCCACAACCGCGCGTGTTTGTCTTGCGAACAACACACAATCATAGAGTCGTCAGGGCTCCACGAGATGTTACCGACACCACCATCGTGATCGCTCAACAAACGCAAGACAGCAAACGTCTTAGGGTCCCATAAAACGACCTGCTCTCGACTGCCACAAGCTGCTAGCTTGGTCCCGTCATGAGAGAATTGGACTTGCCAGACCTCGCCAGCCAGGTCAGTGAGTTCAATCGCCACCTCGGTCGGGAAATTCCGTCGATCACAGAAGTGGTCAGAGTACAGTGACGGTGACATAGCCTCTGTGTGATAGAGGCAAGTGTCGATCTGGCTCTGTTTAACTTGCTCGAGAAGGACGGCAAGGCGGTTCTCGGGCAACATGACGGATGGGGATATACATTCTACCCCATATTAGCAAGATCCGGCACATATGCACTCGACGTCGACTTACTAGATAGCTCTGATAATAGGCGCATTCGAGACACCCCATCAGCTCCATCCCATTCTGCTTTGGTCATGAGATCGTCCGCAGACCGGCACATAAGCAGACTGGATAGGAAATGCAGCTTCGCAGTGTCGTGTGAGAGCGGGGTCAACTCTCCCCGGAGCACCATAAGAGCACGGGTAGTATCCCTCTGTTCGAGAAGCTCCAGGAACTTCTGTTGCCGCAGCCAGAACCTCATCACGTCCCGATCCGAGCCGAAGGCCAAAACAAGCCCGTTCCCTTGCACATTACTGTCCTCGTATGATGCACCAGACAGCAGCTGCTCGGCCACCGTCCAAGAGCCACTCAGCACGGCTGACCTAAAACCGGCAACAGTTGGGCTCTCCAACTCGAACCCACTCTCTTGGCTCACATTCTCTGCCGCAGTCTGATATCCCATATCCGACAAGGCCTGGATCAATAGCCGGGTAACTTCTTGGCGATCATGGCCAAAGTATGTGGGAGGTCGCTGGGTTCTGGTAACCGGAGAATTGCTCTTGCCGTTGACTGCTGTACCGGCTTTATGACCATTCATAACGCCTGCCGTGGATGCCCGTTGCGACTGTGCCCTGGATGACCCATTCGAGTAGCCCAGGGGCGCCCCGTTATGAGGGTCTGGTGTATCACTATCGCCCATCATAGCGTCACCTCGTCTTCGTTTGGGGCCGGGTTCGCGGGTGGTGTCGTCAGCGCCAGAGCGTCTCGCGCTCTGTCCGGGGGCAGGTTCGAGCTCCGATAGTACGTCGGGTGTAGAAGAACGCTGGCGTCGGCCGAGGACCTGGGATGGTGCTAGACTCGCAGGTCGGGCGGGACGGGCACTCGAAGAACCTATATTCGCAGTGCCAGTCGAGGCTCGATTCCGGAGAGGCTGAGGGTCTGAGGGAGCGACAGAGGGGGGGTCGTAGGGAGTGGCAGAGGGTTCAGTGCTGGACGAGGTCGAGGGGGGTAGCGGCGTGGCAGTGTCGTCGGAGGTGTGAACGGGGAGTCCGGAGCGGGCGCCGGAGGAGTCCAGATCGGCCTCTCCGCGGCTGTTGACCGCGGTGGGATCGAGCGTTGAGGTTAACGGGAAGCTGACTGGGGGCCAGAGGAGTCCGTTGTTCGAGAGAAACGGGTTCGGCGGGGGGATGCTGGCGAGGGAGCAGCTTCGGACGATGGGTGGAGGTGAGGTGTCGTTGGGAGCGGGAGGTGGAGGTGGAGGCGGAGGCGGCTCTGGAAGCAGGTATCCAGCAGCAGGACGGTCGAGAGGCGCATGTGACTGACAGAGATGTCTTCGGGAAGGCGGTTATTCCAAGGAATGCGTATGGTTGTGGATGATGGGCGTTGAGTGAGGAAGAAGACTCTGGTGGTTGGTGGTTGGAGGTTGGAGATTGGGAGTGGTGTGTCGGGAAGAGGATGGCCGTGGCCGTGCTGGGTTCCGTGCTGGGCTCCAGGATGCTTCAGTGGTGATGAGATCCAGTAGGAGGTCGTCTAGCGCTGTGCTGAGCGCTAGCACCTCCGATTTCTAGGGATGTTTGCTCCTACTAGTGCTACCTACTAGGGCCCCTTGTGGCAGGCGGGACGAGTGGGCGGCGACTGGGAGACGCCGGGGCAGGGAGGGAGGGCCCGGCCAGTGACGGCCCAGTGAGGCTTCAGTGGGTTCCAGCGCTTGGCTCCAGCGGCCTTCGCGGTTGGGGCGATTGAAGAGGTGCGCTGGCGAGTGAGTGGGGCGACAACCTCGATGCTAATGTCCCTAATGGGAATCTGGAACCTGACGTGCTGAGCTCACGATTATCTCGCACGGGGTACGGGAAGCAAGGGGATATATATCCAACATCTGGGTGGTACATCCAAATGCTGCGGTTGTGCAAAGTCTCAGCGTGCCCTTTCTGTTCCACAGTTTCCTTCTTGTGCCTGTATTTGTACGCCACCGTAGTGCCAAATGCCGGGACGCCTCTAACGTCACCAAGTAGGAGGATGTAACTACCTCGGAGGCAGGCCGCCGTCCACAACCACCACCACCACATCACTAATAAGCTGGCTGGGGGCTGGAGGAGCAGCTGCAACTACCTAGGTACCTACCTAACCGATGACGTCCACGTTGTCCCCTCGCACGTCTCGCCTTCTCGTGGAGAAAGCAGTGCCGACAGCCCCGCCAGTTGCTCGTAGGCAGATGCGGCGTCTATTCGACAACCTCTGGTCACAAACCCTTGTTTGCCAAAGCAAGTCACCGCCGTAATTGCTACAATATACGATGTACTGTACCATGCACAGACGTGATCAGGTCGTATGGTTTGCGGTTGGGTGCTGGCTAAAGGTACCCTTGTGACTGATGACCCCACCGTGAACAGCCTGCTGATAAGCGATTCCCCTCATCCAACCCGTCCAGAACAGACCAGACGCATGCCAAAGAGTAAGCGTTTGTCTCACTGTACGCTCTCTAGCCGAATGCTTCCATCCTTCCTGTTGGCAGCTTGGATTAGGCAATCTCGTTCGGTTATTTGGTTGAGAGGTCGTGTTATCATGAAACCCCGTGACATAAATCGTAATCCAAATGCTTGCTATCTAAAAGCGATTTCGAGGCCCCCTGACTTATTTAAAGATGACAACACCCTCGTCGTCAATACGTATATTTGCATCCGCGTATACAAGGCCTATTTCAAAACGTGGTTATTTGTGATGCCTGTTACAGGTCGGTTTCCATATCTCTGGCCACGTAGAATCCCCACCCAAGCTGAGGCATATGTTGTAAGTGATACAACGAGTTCAGGCCGAGGTCGAACAGGGTAGCATGCATCAGACGCAAAGGCAATACGGATATCAACAGAATAACCGAATGTACGTTCTAGGCTGCCAGAATCGCCCTCGGTGTACACGCACAAGAAGTTATCTACTTACGAAATAGGCAGTATCCCTCGTGGTGGCGGGTCTGAACCACGCACAAGGCACCCGCAATAAAGAAACACATCAGCTGGTGACGTTATCATCCAGGCTGCAGAATTAACCCGAACGCCCCAGCCACAACCGGGGTCCAGGGTCCCATGGATAGCGCTGTCACGTGGCCTTACTGTCTGTGAATTGGACAGGCCGTACGGAGTATTTGCGGTGAAGACAGTTGGAAAAGAGGCTACCTAGAGAGGGTCCAGCCATAGAAGGGAAGGCTGTCGCGCCACGTGTGGCTTAGAATACAACGCTCCAGGGCGGCGCAACTTTAGTGCCTTGTTAGGCTCGTGAACTCGGTGTCGTCCCGCCAGTTGCTAAGCCCTCCCTATTCCAGCATCTCAACGCCGTTCATATTTCACGACCGCCTCCGCTAACCATCCCCTTTCATCCATCTCAACTTAAGAGACACCTACGCCCGCGGTCTGCAGATCGGCCCTGCATTCCCGTCTCCCAGCCTTGAGCTCGCGCAACGCTTCAGAAGTCCTCTCCCCGGTCGACCGCCCCTCCGCCAGCTCCCACCGAGCCGCAGTGCCCAGCGACCAACCCCTTCCACCTCACCACCACCGTCCTCGATCCAGCCGATCCTGGTTATACTTGAAGTTCTAGTGGAGGATATATCACGATCCCGACCATGAGCGGTTCCCTCGCTACGCCGGGTGGCATCTCGGATCCCGCCCTTATCCAGTGAGCCCCCCCGCGGTCAGGCCTCCAAGACACATGTCTCTAACCTCTCCTCCAGGCTCGTCAACAAGCTTCAAGATGTCTTCGCGACCGTTGGAGTCAACAACCCCATTGATTTGCCCCAGATTGCTGTCGTTGGTAGTCAGTCAAGTGGAAAGAGTTCAGTGCTTGAGAACATTGTCGGTCGAGACTTGTGAGTACCCCACCGCCTTGGAATATCCCCCCCTTTCCCCTTTGCGCTTCGGAGCCATCCGAAGCTAACATGCTGTTCCCAGCTTGCCCCGAGGCTCCGGTATCGTAACTCGACGACCCCTCGTCCTCCAGCTCATCAACCGTACCGCGCAGACCAATGGCGTAAAGCAAGAAGATATCGACGCTGGCTCAGACAAGGCCGCCAACCCCGACGAGTGGGGAGAGTTTCTGCATATCCCCGGCCAGAAGTTCTACGACTTCCAAAAGATTCGTGACGAGATTTCCAGGGAAACCGAGGCCAAGGTTGGTCGAAATGGCGGCATCTCCCCTGCCCCAATCAACCTGCGCATCTACTCTCCCAACGTCCTCACCCTGACCCTGGTCGATTTGCCCGGTCTGACCAAGGTGCCGGTGGGAGATCAACCCCGAGATATCGAGCGACAGATCCGAGAGATGGTTCTCAAGTACATTGGAAAGTCCAACGCTATCGTCCTTGCGGTCACCGCCGCCAACCAGGATTTGGCCAACTCGGATGGTCTGAAGCTTGCGCGCGAGGTCGACCCCGAAGGTCAACGGACGATCGGTGTCCTGACCAAGGTCGACCTGATGGATGATGGCACAGACGTCATCGATATTCTCTCGAACCGTGTCATCCCTCTTCGACTGGGCTACGTCCCTGTGGTCAACCGAGGTCAGCGAGATATCGACAACAAGAAGGCCATCAATGTGGCGCTGGAGGCGGAAAAGAACTTCTTCGAGAACCACAAGGCCTACCGCAACAAGAGCTCGTACTGCGGAACGCCTTATCTGGCCCGCAAGCTCAACCTGATCCTCATGATGCACATCAAACAGACCCTCCCCGATATCAAGGCCCGAATCTCCAGCTCCCTGCAGAAGTATTCGTCCGAGCTCGAGAGCCTTGGTCCCTCCATGCTTGGCAACAGCGCCAACATTGTTCTCAACATCATCACCGAGTTCACGAACGAGTGGCGAACAGTCCTGGACGGTAACAACACTGAGCTGTCCAGCACCGAACTGTCGGGTGGTGCCCGTATCAGCTTCGTCTTCCACGAGCTCTACTCCAACGGTGTCAAGGCCATCGACCCGTTTGACGTTGTCAAGGATGTGGATATCCGCACCATACTATACAACTCGTCTGGTTCCTCCCCCGCTCTCTTTGTGGGCACCACCGCCTTCGAGCTGATCGTCAAGCAACAAATCAAGCGACTCGAGGACCCCAGCTTGAAGTGTGTCTCCCTCGTCTATGATGAGTTGGTCCGCATCCTATCGCAGCTGCTTGGGAAGCAGTTGTACCGCCGGTACCCTGGGCTCAAGGAGAAGATGCACACTGTCGTGATTGGCTTCTTCAAGAAGGCCATGGACCCCACCAACAAGTTGGTCCGGGATCTCGTCTCCATGGAGTCGTGCTACGTCAACACTGGTCACCCTGATTTCCTCAACGGCCACCGAGTAAGTTATTTTCATGTGCCGGGACCTCGCCGTGATGTTGCTAACTTGTTGCCTCTAGGCAATGGCCATCGTCAACGAGCGATACAACCCCGCCAAGCCTGTTCAGGTTGATCCCAAGACTGGCAAGCCCCTTGCCTCAACTCCCCGTGCTGCCAGCCCCACTGTTCCTGAGGCCGGTGCCGACGGAAACAACTCGGGCTTCTTCGGTAGCTTCTTTGCTGCGAAGAACAAGAAGAAGGCCGCCGCCATGGAGGCTCCTCCCCCTACACTAAAGGCCTCGGGCACCCTCTCAGAGCGTGAGAACATTGAGGTCGAAGTCATCAGTATGTGCATATTCACCCCTTATTTCCCGTTCAGCACTAACCGTTCAACAGAGCTGCTGATTTCCTCGTACTACAACATTGTGAAGCGAACCATGATTGACATGGTTCCCAAGGCCGTCATGCTGAACCTTGTCCAGTAAGTTTTTTTTTCCTTCTCTGGGTTGCGTTTCTCAGGGGAGTCAGCTCACAACAGTTACAGGTTCACCAAGGATGAGATGCAACGAGAACTCCTCGAGAACATGTACCGAACCGACACCCTAGACGAGCTTCTGAAGGAGAGCGATTTCACCATCAGGAGACGGAAGGAGTGCCAGCAAATGGTCGAGTCTCTCTCTAAGGCCAGCGAGATCGTCAGTCAAGTACAGTAATGCGCTCAAATCCACAACAAAACCATGCCCTCCTTGTTCACTTCTTAGCCGGCGTCAACAAGGCCAGACCGGCCTCTCGCTTCTCTCACACACCACATCGCCGCTCATGGGAGCCACTGGAGACCAAAGTCTTGCTTTTCCCCCACCCCCCTTCCCCACCCCCTTTGCCACGCAACAAACACCCCGAGCATCTCAATTTTTCTTCGATACCACCAGTTGTGCAGGAGGAGAGACCTAGAGTAGACTGCTTATGAAATTATGCGGGATGGATCATGATGGTTTTCTCTTTTTTTGTTCTCTCCCCTATATGGAGGCCCGGAGGAAGGGTGTCAAGGGGACTTGACCAAGGGTTGTCGGGAGCCGGAGTACGGAGGTTATGCGCGTGGGCTGGACTTTGGGACGTCTCCTCCGCTTTTGTTGTCACCATTCTATCTACTCGACTCAGTAGCATTGCAGAGGTTAGGTAGAATATACATAATCATGTTCCTCCTTCTTGAAACTTGGACATGCAGTACCGGAATGAAGAGTTATCTCACAGTGCCTATAATGTGTCAGGAGCAAAAGGCTAACTATCTTGTTGGATATTGTTTTATTTCATCGAGACTTTATTGGCCGTTTGGCCTCTCTGCCCACGCATCTGTCGGGACGAAGAGATGTCTTGACGAGTTCTCTACCCAAAGCTAGAACTCGTGTGCCCTTCGACATTTAGACGCCATCTACATCCGAGTAGATTTAATCTCATTTTAGAAACTCCTGCGATGCACCCCCTGATACCCCACGTGTATTCTCTCCCCTAGCATGTAAAACGCCAATGTGTCAATCCCAAATAGCGCTGGAAAGTATAATTGAGTAGGCCAACAGCCTACAGATGTGGTGAGCCGCATGGTGGCGCCCCTTCACCAGGTGATCCGTGTTTGGCGAAACTTTGGGTCGGGTAGGCCGGGTTGTAGCCCCCGTGTCCCGACCTGGAGATCAGCAACACGGGTCCGCAAGTCAAAGTCAACGGCCCGGATCATGACCCGCTTCTCCTCGGGGATGATCCGAGGCATTTGCCTGACGCCGCTGTTCAATATCGGGTGCTCGGTCATAGCGATAGTCTCCGATTCTTCAAGATTCATCACCCAGGTGCTAATGTGGGCAATCATTTCGCTGTCCCACATACTCTCACGTCGCGCGCTGCTCCGGAGCAATTGAATGGCTTGACGGCGGGTGACAGGGTCTCGACACTTGGTCGCGACAACAAAGAGAGGGGCTATGATTCCTAGGTCGGCTGAAAATCGTGGCTTGATATGTGGTGCCGAGTATCCCGGGCCTGAAAAGATGCCTCCGTCTTGTAGGTGCGCGTTCTGATGTCTATCATAATGGTGACACTGGGCTGGGTCAGGACAACGGCGAGCGGCAGCCCTCTTCTCCTCATCGCCGACAATCTCAAGGCCCAAGTCGACAATAGTCTGAAATTGAGGTAGGAAGGCGTCAAAGTCCGACTCTTGGTCACTAAACATCATCAGGTACAACACATGGCTGTTAGTTTGGAGCATCTTAAGGGCAGCAATCGCAGCCTTTTCTTGCGGTTTGACTGATAAAGAGTGCCGCGAGCTGAACAGGTTTTCGAAGGCATCACCCCATGTTTCAATCTGATTCTTGAATTCAAGGCCATATTCTCGCCATGATCGGGGAAGAGTCCCTTTTCGATCCGTCTTGACTGCGTATAGTCCCTCGATGTACTGCATGATCCTCTCGTTGAGCTTGTCGCATGCCAGTCGCGCCTCAAGCAAGGAGGTAAAATTCTCTGGAAAGCTCAATGGCGAATTTGCTGGGGGCGATCCGGCACCGCTCGAGCTTGGGGAAGACGGTGCTCCCGGCGGCGTAGTTGCTGTTTGCGGGTTGGTGAGGCGGATCACGTAGGGCTGGGGGAAGTGGAAGGCCATGTCGTAAGACTTGGCCTGGATAGCCAAGCGGGTGAACATAGTGACAAGCTCTTCCTCGAGAGGCTCTTCTGGTGGTGCCGATGAATTCGCCAGGAATCGGTCGTGCTGTTGGGTCCGTAACCGCTCGAGAAGACCAAGACCGGTCTGTATTTGCTTTATAGCTTGCCTGTGGTCTCCAATGAAGGAGTCGAAACAAGCTAACAAAACATTAGCCATGATGAGTGTCTTAGTCGACTTTTGATCCTGGGAATTCAACCCGACAAGAGCGTTACAGGCGTCAGAGTATCGCTTAACAGCAATCTGCCAATGACCCATGACGGATTGTTGGCGATGATTGGTGACAGAAGGATTGCGGGCCGCTGGTTCGGATGTCTGCTCAAGGGTCTGGTAAAGAGCGCCAAGGGCAATGACAGCATGCTTAATGGCAGGTTCAGTATGACATTCCTGTAATACACGTCGAGTCCAAAATTCAAAGTCGAAGTAACCGGATAGCTCGTTGGCGGTATGGGTTCGAAAAATCTCAAAATAGGGGCCCTCGGTAGGCGGGAGGCGGAGACTTATGGACGGTTGGTACGCGGTAGGAGATGATGCCAGGGCCAAGGCGGTCCGCTGGACAATTTTCTGGCGGACTCGGCGAGGTGGCAGGACGAATTCAGCACGGTGGAAGGGCAAAGAGCCAACAGGTGACGTGGCCTGGGCCTGGGCGACTATTGGTTTTGGAGCGATGCGAATCTCCTCAAAGGGGCGGGAACTGCGAGTGGGTGGAGGATATCCGATGCATGTCTTTTTGCTCCGTACACATTGTGTACAAGCTGGACGGACCTCGTCGCATTTAATGCGCCGTTGTCTGTTAGGTAGAGGTGAGCTTTTGGATGTAGGATGCGGGGAAGGTGAAAACAGACTTGCAGTTGGTACATCCCGTCTTAACCTTGGGCTTGCTAGTTCGGACGCGCTTTTGTTTTGCTTGGGATAGATGGAGCGCGGAAGCGTCATCTCCTTTTACAGGAGATACTTGAGAGGTAGAAGTAGATGGAACAGAAGTCGGAGGTTGGGTGGTGGTAGCGCTGCTAGGGGTGGTAGAGGAGTCGTTGGAGATAGGGGAGAGGATGTTGAGATCGGGATATAAGTTAGTATAGTTAGGGTTCGTATTTATAGACATATCGTTAAAGGGGTATTGGTGATGGTGATGGTCGGGATCATTCACATAGTGATCGTTTGGCAAAATTGCCGTTGGTGGTGATGCCCTCTTTGTGGTTGGGGAGGTTCCAGGGGGAGTTCCAGCTGCTGCCGCGGCCGTGGCCTCCGCCGGGGGCGAGATAGACTCATCCTTTATCCGGGAGGACATAGGGACTCCAATAATATTGCTTGACCTGGGCTTGAACTGGGTTTGATGGGCTTTTGACTCTCGCGTGTCGTCTCGGTGGTGTCCCGGGTCCGTTGTGTCCGTTTTCAGTCCGTTTTCTGCGGGACCGGGTCGGCTAATACGTCTCAGAAGGATGATGAGAATATGGTAAATGCCAAACCAACGGCGCACCAGTCGTGGTTGCGTCTGGCGAACTATGTGGAAATGGAAGAAAAGGGAAGAAATAGAATCACGAAGACGGCATGGCTGTCAAACCGCCCGGTGCTTGTTCTTGGTGAAGCGGGTCCGGCCCCGGATGGTATTGTCGGCGGTGCAGCGAACAACGTCCGTGGATATCCGTGGAAATTTTAGACCGTCCAGTGTGCTCTCTGGCGGTCTGACTGATGGCTGACGGCTGATGGGTTGGGTTTCTGTCTCGCAGCGTCGCTGGATGCGTGTGCCGGGAACCAGGTTACTGGGTGCGGAAGCGTCGTACTTGTAAGGTCCCAGTCGGTACGGAACGGAGAACCGAAGTGATCTGGTGGGAGCAAACAAGGGACCAGGCGCAGCGGGAGTCGGGTCAAAATACAGAAAAGAGCCAAGAAAATCCGCCGTTTCGTCCGTGGCGGTGGGATGAAGGATGACGGATGAAAGGCATTGCCCAGACAGGCCCTCCAACGAAGAGAAGATTGACTGTCGTCAAGGTGGGATGGGGCTCTTGCCTCTTTTGCAGGTGTGTGCACCCCCAGTGATGGGACCTAACGTGGAAGGCGAGTGGAGGTGGAAGCGGATGTGGGCACTGCGGTGGACTGTGGTAAAATACAAAATACAGGGCAGGAGCCTTACAGGACTACGACGCCCGTAGATTAGTGGGCTCGCGGATTCGCGCATGAGTGGTCCTTCGCCCTCGGGGTGCGCCTTCGCTCTTCGCACTCGCTCGGCTCGAGTCACTCCCTCGCGCCTTCTTTCCCAACTTCATGTTCCCACCTTGCACGAAGCAGGAGGCTCCACCCACCATCCTGCGTGGAACTTGGAGTAGCAGTGGTCTGTGAGCCACTAGGGGACTAGGGAAGCGCTATGTGACAGGGAGTTACCCGCCCAAACTCTCGCGCTTGCCAGGTCGCTCCCAAGGCTGCATAGGCTGGTTCCTGGTTCACCTACCACCGGGGGGGGCCTTGGCATATAGAGAGAGCCGTACCTACCTACCTAGGTACTTACCGATTCACTACACACCTCAGTACAGCCTGCCTGGGGACCTGGCGGTGGGAAACGGCCCCCATCCTTGAACCGACCCTCCATCCCCCATAGCCCTGGAGCGCTTGTAGCCCTGTCGTCATTTTTGCTGTAGGCCAGTAGCCCTGTAGCTCAGGGCTTTTGACAGGGGGCCTCTCTGTCTCTCCACTGCTCCTGTCTTGCGTCGTCCACCCGCAGGTGCACAGGGGCCCGCCCTTTCACGGGTATAGTAGCCGGCATGCCCGTTCAGCAGTCCAGGGCTGGCTGACAGTGACGAGCCGGCTCGCTGGCCCGTTCAAGGCGTCAGGCGCCAGGCGCCAGTGGAGACTAGGTTGCTTTAAGTTATTAGCGCACGCCTACGGGGACATTTCAACTGAGATGGTAGGATTTGTCACAACGAGGCGTCTGAAGCACCGTCTGAGGCGCTGTTTGACGCGCTTTTCGGAACACACACGTGCCTGAGAGCCTAATCCTAGCCAGTTGGGCTTTGTCTTCTAATAGGCCGCCCAGAGCGGGCCAGAAAAAGGAAAGAAAGGAAGAGAGGGGGGGAGGAGAAGGGGGGAAGAGAAGGAGAAGAAAAAGACGACGAGAGGGAAAAAACGATGCTATCCAAAAGAACCCCAGGGTTACCTGCAAACCCCTGACGGAAACCTTCTCAGAGCGGGCGGGATGCGTTATTCCTAACCCCCCTATGGCTTCGATGCAACCCGCTATCCGGGAACCAGCATAAAGAAGGCGCTTGGAAGAGGGACCCTCAGATCCATCCATCGAACATCCAGGCCAAGCACCAGAGAAAACGCCCAGACAGACGCCGCCCAGAGGTGGGAACCAACAGACTCATGATTCAGGGGTGGGGAGTCATGACCACCATGTGAGTCGTTCCAACACCGCGGCTGCCACGGTTAGTTAGCCTGACCGTCGGCACGGATGGGGTCCATCCCTTTGCATCGCTCTGCATCATCGTGAACCAGGTCCAGGCAACAGAATTAAGGCTCTCCCAAATCCTACAGCTCCTCGTTTGGGGCTGAGCTGCTGCGCCTGATCTGCCACGGCTCGGCCATGCATCCTGCACCGAAGGATTGAATCTTCTGCCTTCTTCTTTTCCCGATCGGTGGACAAGATGCTCTACTTGGGACGCCTGGTCAATCATGCTAATCTCTCTCCCGTCCCTTCCCTCCTACTCTCCACGCCTACGCCTCACTAACTCGTGGAGTCGTGGCCGACATGGCTTCACGCCATAGGCCAAGCCAACACGTTACCCGTGGCATCGAACGGTAGTTGGGCACCCCGGTGCGTATGAGCGAGGCAACGTCATTCTCATCAAACTTGCTCGCCAATTCTCCTCATTGCTCCATGCCCCATGCTTCATGCTCCATACTCCACGCGCGATGCCTGGAAGGAGGCGTCTGCGCCCGCGGCAGAGGAATCGTCCGTGTCCATGCCACCATCTCCAATCTCCACCCGTTGCAGGGCGTCACATTGGCTCCATTTGGGGCTTTCAGGGGATAGGTCTCGGGAGAGTTCGTCCCCGTTCTCTGGGTGTGATTAATAACTGTGAGGAAAGCAAATGGGTGGGGTTGGAGTGACAGGACCGGGGGTTCGAGTAAATGTCCGTTTTCAGTAAGGCTGAACGAGTGATGAGAGGCAATACGACCGTTAGTTTATTAGTCAAACTCTGCCAACAATGTGGACTGTGGAATACGACTGTGGGCAGTAAAACCTGTTCCTTAAAATGCCAAGTTGTGTGCTCTGTTTCACGGTGACACCGCTCTCAGGAGCTCGGCAGGCTTCTTCTGTTCCCGCGAGTTGAGAAAGCGGTTGAAATACCAGTTGGTCAGTGGTTCAGCCTTACCGGACAGGCTTTTTTGCCTCCACTGTCGAACATCTCCCAGGCGATTTTACATGTGCTTGACGACGATACCTGTACGGATGTCTTCCCGCAGCAGCGTTATCAAATCGGTCCCACCATATTTCTACACCAACGACAGCACAAAGAAAAGGAAAACGGGCGTGACGATCTCATATTGTCATCATCGCTATCCACTAGGTACTCTGTACCGGAGATGTCGTTAATTCCGGGCTAGCCCCTGCCCCCCAAAAGAGAGGGGCCGACAGATGTTAGATTCATTGCACGACAGCGGGCTAACATTAGCGTCAACTGCCAAGTGTGGCCAGGTTGCCAGGGACTGATCAGTACCGCTAGAAATGCTCCGTAGCCATTAAGTAGGTGTTGTTTCCCCAGGAGCAGTCAGCCGATTGAGTTTCACCGTCCTTCTGTACACCCGGGTAGACCCTGGTACCTTGTGTCTCTTGTCTTCCCTGCCCATTATCTGGTTACAACACCCAATCCGAGTGTCGCCTAGTAGGTAGGTTGTCAATGATCTCCCATGGTCGTGCGTCCTTCTACTGCCAGCCCCTTGGTCCATAGTGCTCCCGGCCCCGGATTCCCGCCGGATGTACACCACAGGGGGCGTGCGACGTAACCAAATTAACGGTTTACAATGCATGGCTCATTAACAGTGTACAATTCGAGTCTGTGCCGGGAAGTCGGGAAGCAAAAGGAGACCCAAGCCGCTCCCCAGGGAAACCTTGGCATCCCAAATTGGGTTCCCCTGATTTCGTCGGTCATAAGTTGTCTCCCGATACCCGATAACCCGCCAGCTTCGGCTCCGAACTCCGGGCTGTTGAAGTGTCCGGACTAGGGATAAATGAGGTGCGAGGAAACCATGTGCTAATTGTCACGACGACATAGCCTCAATGCCCCACGCACCACCTGTTTCTCAGATCCTCAGCTAGATGAGAGGGTCATGGGAACTGGAAGACCCATATCCTTTCACGAAATGGCATGTTTTCTTAGCCATCGTCTCCGCCTGCCTTGCTACGTTCACGTTCCTTCGCATCCTAAGTTTTGTTTGAGTCTCATGTTGGCGCGTCGTTGGCCCGCACGGTATATTCCGTTGCATTTACATGTGCGCTTGTTCATAGAGGAATCAATCTCTCCGGAAAAGCCGTCGCCCTCTCCTAGCAGGGGTGAGCCACGCATTCACAGTAGGGATGGATACCAGCAGCAGCTCAGTCAGTGATCAACTGGATGTGGCCCTGTTGGAACGTTACGTGCAGTGGCGGATGGGGGTAGGGACGAACGGCATCGGCATGAACATGAGCATGGGGACAGAGCTGGTCACACGTATTATCTTCGGGTTGGTTCGTCCTGAGATGGCATCGATCTCTGTTTTCGGACGGATGTGAATTAAGGTTCTCACTGTATCTCCTCACACAATGAGTCAACCCTTCGGCGGCATGACGGTCCTTTTGTGTTGCTCTGCCCGAGTCTTTGGGAAGAGACCCTCGCATCGGTGCTCCTTCGTGCCAATAATTGTCGGCCAAGTGAATGGTCCGTTGGCGGGGATCGGAGCCGCCGGTTCCGTCAGAAACTCCGTTCAGGATCTTCCACGTGCTCCGGCGGAGTTCCACGGAATCCCATCCCAGGCTAGGGGATTAATCCATACTTATGGATTGGTATCTATGTAACGAGTCAACAATGCAGCAATGCCCCAGTTCACAATGCCTGCGTCAAGCGATTAATTGCGGGCCTTTCTTAGGGTGCCACAATTGCCCTACCAGGCAAATGTCACTACAGATGTCACTGGCAAAGTGCTGTCGTTAATTGTTGGTTTATTTTTCGCATCGGCTGACTGCATTGAAACTACAGCATCGGGGTTCATAGTGTGACAAAGTCTCCGATCCCATCAGTACAGGTGTGTAATTCCATATTTCCCTTGCGATAGGCCGATGAAAAAATTCCAAGCTAGTGTACCAAGTTCCGTCCAAATCAGATACTACCAATGCTGCTTTATAGAAATGAAGCTCTGTAATTATGACATGATCAAGATCATAGGTCAACAAAGTACAACCGCTTAATTGACCAATTTAGCGAGGACTCCAATCTAAATTTAATTAAAGAAAACGGAACTTGGACAAAAAAACGTCTCATACCGATAAGGTTCTCAACCATGAATCGGGGTTGGAAATCGACACACAGCTCTAGGGTAGGCTACGGACCAGTGTCATGATGGCTCTAGTGGAGGTACATGGCTCGTGTAGTAAACTCGGTGGAACCACAGGTAACTCCATTACTGATGATCACTGGACCCTGGCCAATGACGCTGGCAGAAAAAAGTTGTTCGGCACTCTGCGCTGCGACAGCATTGTTCTCAGCTCAACGCTACGATCCTCGACGTTCGACCGACCGACGAGACCTCAATTCCTAGGAGACCAAGTCGACAACGAAGCCGTAACGAGCCAATTCGAAACTCCGAGGTCGCTACATCCCGCTCGCCCACCATGTCACAAGACGAAGCGCACCCGTTGCCCCCGCGCAATCCCTTCATCCACAACTCCGCCATTGCGGGCGCCATCATTGCGCCCATCGTGATGGCACTGCCGCCCCGAAAGATGGATATCCGATTCTTCGTCCTTGCTGGCGCCTTCTCCCTGTCCACTAACCAGCTTGCCTACGAATATACGGGTCAATCCATCTACGGCCGGTTTGGCAGCCGCATGGGCTCCATTGTCGGCACGGAGCTCCCCGAGGGCGCCAAGCGAACACAGCAGCTCCTACGAGAGCATCGCGAGCGCGAGGCCGCGGAGAAGAAGAGGGCTGCGGATGAGAAACAGGGTCTGGCAAAGGTGCTCAACGATACCTGGATGGGCGGCGAGAGCGAGGATTGGCGAGAGAAGCGGGCAGAGGAGCACCGCAAGAAGTTCGAGGAGGGCAAGGGCTTTGGGGACATCATCATGGACCAGGTGTCGGATGTGTGGAACGGCAACTGGGGCAGCGGCGACAAGAAAAAGAATGGTGAGGCGAGCTCGAACAGCGACGAGAAGAAGTGAACGAAACGAAAGCCCGAGGATTAAAACCACCAACATAGAGACAGGGATACCGGCACCAGCGAAGGGCCGGCCAAACGCTGCTATGTGTACAACAACCACCTGTACCATATTTACGAAAGAATGGCAGGAGATGCGACCAGCGACAAGCGTGGATGGCGAGAAGACATCGCCGGGACGCCCTTACGGATACATGTACCAAGTCCACCAAAATCTGTACTTATAATTGACGAAGCTCTCCGACACCCACCTACTCAACAGTCTACCACGATATCGTATGGGTGCCTCATTCTGTAGTGTGACTTGGGTTTGATGACTTGGCATGCATTTATTTGCACGAGTCATACCGTGGGAGCTGCCTGAAGCACCATTGGTTTGCAGATGAAGCCTCATCAAAGGGGATGGTGTGATTGTTTGGCCTATAAGTTCCGGTGGTCATCAGAGTAAGATTGGGGGCTGAACGGGAACAGGCGCATTCCATCATGCCGAACCCGTGTGCTTGCGGCGTCAAGATTCAACGGCGATGGCGGAGTCCCGCACGGGAGTGCCGAAAACACACGGAAATATTGACTTTGCCTGGAGATTCACGCTCCGTGTGCGGTGATTGAGTGCATGGTACGCGTCGCTAGGACAAAGCTGCCCTGCCCAGGAGACGCTCGGTAAGTCGGCATATGTATGTGTAAGCTGTAACTTCAGTATCCACATGGGGGCATCTCAATACGGGTGTATTCGTCACCATGAGCGTGGCTGCAGCTGGTCCCACAGTACCAAGACCGTGGCTCAGCTTCAGCCACCCGCGTACACTCATCGTTTGTGCTCCAGCCTTGTGGGTAAGAAGCAATGGCAAAAAAGATCAGATGGAAACGAATGGACCCATGTTCGAGGGGGAATGGCGGGGGCCAGGGCTGTGAAGGGAGTTGAACGATGGAGGACGCATGTTGATCGGGGAAAAAGAAACGAGCCAGGACGAGAAAGTGCAGACCATTTTCAAGCAAAGGGTGCTCTGTTTCGTGTTTGAGCCCGACATCGGTATGCCATTGACGACAGCTGGCCGCCCACATTGGCGTGTCACATGAAACATGACGGGTCGCAGAGGGAGCCGGATGTGTCGTCATGTGTGGATATGGGCCGGCAAAGGGTTTGGCGGGGGGAGCAATGGCAGCATCCGGAACATCTCGAGCGTGATCTCTGCGGCAGGCTGGCGAGCGATTGATGAGGGGGCTCTGTCTCGCGTTTCCAACTCTGCCTGTTCCGCTTCCGAGAGCCTGGCTTGCAATGCACGTAGGTATGGCGTCTCGGAGCGACGTGTGTCGTTGGTGTGATCTTCCGACGAAGGCCCTACCGCGACAGGGGACCGCATCCTTTGAAATACATACAGTAGCGTCATGACGTCCTGCGAGGTTGAGAGTGGGGAAGCTTGCGAAGCAGCAGCAGAAGCAGCCTCTCTTGTCTCTTTTCTCTTCTCCAAGCTGTGGCAACGAGGTGAGTCCGTTCGCGGGAACCAACCGCACGTAGGCCGTAGGGCACATTCCCCGTGGCCAGCTGGAGGTAGCCCAGTGGACATGGTTACGAAGCCAAGGCCGCAACACACCACAAAGCTGAAGCCGGGCGGCTTGCACTTTGACAGCCGCGGCGTGAAGTTCTAAAACTGGAACGGTGCCAAGGCCGCTAAACCCAGTCGGGGCCGGGGTTGACCAGGCGCTGCATCAGCACTGCCCCGGCACTGCACGTCACCGTGCCTCACAAAGTCAGCAGCGACAAGTGAGTGACCAGAGAGGCGAACATAGGTTGAGAGCTGTTAGTAATTAAGGGAATAAAGAACAAGGAGGGTTACTTCTTCTGACGGCCGACATTGTTGGCTTCTTTCCCTTTTCCCATCTTTCCTCCCTTTTCCCATTCCCCTCGTTTCCCCGGTCTCTCGCTTGCTGCCTCTCGTCTCGCTTTGCGCGACCAGCAAATTGTTGCCACGACCACCACAACGCCAGGGACCCCAAAGTCGAGTCTTTCGTACGTTACGGAGTACGGGCTGTCCGAAGACCCGCAAATTCCAACGCGTCGCCAGCTCTCCAGGGCGCAGATCCGCCGAATCAGACGCCGGCAACCAGCCCAAAGCTGCCCTGTTCCGGGGCCAACGTCACCTACATAGGTAGTGCCCCCCGTAGGCCCTTTCGTTTCCCCAAAGGCCCTGCGCCGCCGCCTTACTTTACGGCTTCTGCACCTTGCCGCGCTCCTACAACAGCCAAGACACCGCCCGCGGCCCCTAGAACCCTACAATCACCAAACAAAGCCGGCAGCCAGTCAGCCGCCGCGGCACCTCACAGCGACAGCCTTCTTCTAGACATCAAACAAACCGCCCGACGCCGCATTTTTGTCTCTTCTTTTCTCCTCCAACCAACTCACTCCTCCGCCTTCACCGTTCACCGACCGACCTCGTATCCGATTCCGCCGTACCGCTGCAGCTAAAGGGCACCGGGCCCTTGGTTCTAGCCCCGTCGGACCTTTCTCCCCTTTCTTTCCCTTCCAACCTCAACCTCGTCTCTCCGCCATCCAACACCATGGCTTCCCACGACTACTACCACGGCCAACAACAGGCCCCCTATACCAGCACCCAGTCTCCCTCGCCCTACCACCAATCTAACAACACGCCATCACCCTCATCAACACCAGCTCCTCCCTACCAGGCCACGTACTCCGCGCCTTCGTATCCTCCCCAAGGCCTTCACGATACTGCGCATAGCAGCCCCGTGAATCAGCAGCCTGGCAACGGCCGCCCCGACCAGTCTCCCTTCGACTCCGTCTTCGACGACAACGCATATCCCATGAACAATCAGAGGCCGTCACCCCCCGTCCACTCCCATTCGGGTGACCTCTCTCAACAGCAGGGATACTACCACCAAGACACCAGCTACTATGGCGGCGCGGGCCATGACCGACCCCTGCACAGCCAGGAGGATATTCCTCTACAAGACCGTCCGATCAAGGACACCGAGATGAACGACCACATCTACGACGCGCCCGGGGGGCGTTCGGGACGCAGCAAAAAAGATAAGATGAAGGGCAAATTCGGACTCGGCGAGCTGGGCATGATGGGCGCCGACAAGAAGCGTATCCCTTGGGTTGTCTACATTTTCACCCTCGCTCAGGTTGGCGTGTTTATCGGCGAAATCGCCAGGAATGGTATGTTTTTGCCCTTCGGAGATGCTATTCGACATTCCTAAGAACTTGACTGACCACTTCGCAGCTGTTTTGACTGGTTCACCCATTATGATCAAGCCCTCGTTTAACCCCATGATCGGGCCTTCGACCCAGGTCCTCATCAACATGGGTGCCCGTTACGCGCCTTGCATGCACAACGTCAAAGGAATCCAGGACTCAAAGGTCGAACTTCTCTTCCTCTGCCCCAATGCCACCAGCAACGACGATACATGCGACCTCCAGACTCTCTGCGGCTTTAGCAAAAGCGTTCCCAATCCCGAATGGAACAACATCAACCAGAGCCCCGAGCCTAACCAGTGGTACCGCTTCATCATCCCCATCTTTATGCACGCCGGCCTTATCCACATCGGTTTCAACATGCTCCTGCAAATGACCATTGGAAAGGAAATGGAGATGGCTATTGGATCCATTCGTTTCCTCCTGGTCTACATGAGCGCTGGTATCTTCGGCTTTGTTATGGGAGGTAATTTCGCTGCTCCCCTGATTGCTTCGACTGGTGCCTCTGGTGCATTGTTTGGAATTATTGCGCTTACCCTTCTCGATCTGTTTTATTCGTGGAAGGAGCGGAAGAGTCCGATCAAGGACCTCATGTTTATCCTTGTTGATATGATCATTGCCTTTGTCTTGGGACTCTTGCCTGGTTTGGACAACTTCTCTCACATTGGTGGTTTCTTGATGGGTATCGCTCTTGGTGTATGTGTTCTCCACTCCCCCAACGCTCTCCGAAGAAAGTTGGGCGAGGATCTTTCTTACACTGCGGTTTCGCCCGGCACCACCGAGACGCCTCCCCCCTTCTTCAAGAACCCAGTCGGTTTCTTCAAGGGCCGAAAGCCCCTCTGGTGGGCGTGGTGGCTTGTCCGAGCTGGTATGCTCGTCATGATCATCGTCGTCTTCATCGTTCTTATCAACAACTTCTACAAGTACACCAGTACCACCTGTTCATGGTGCAAGTACCTCAGTTGTCTTGTGAGTATCTTCCACACTAGCGTGGAGAGAAGAAATACGTGCTAACATGTTAATAGCCTGTCAATGGTTGGTGCGAAGTTGGAACGCTGAAGAGCTCTTGAGCAAAATTCATGTGGGATTAATCCGGACCAGTGTTGAGTTGGATAAATATTACTTGGGGATCACGGAAGGTCTTTTGGACAAGAATGCCCTGGCCGCTCGGGACAGGAGGGTTCTTTGAATTGCACAGCGTTGGCGTTCAAGTTTGAGAGGGTCGCTGTTTAAGATTCACAAAGAATGTCGACCAAGGCTAGATTTTAATGAAGCCATGACTGTACAGCATACATACATGGGTCCCGGGGTGTGATTTTGCATTATTCGGATCTGGGGCATATGGGACGTCCCCGGCAAGAAGCCGGCGGTCAGAAGTCCCTGAGCACTCACAGGGTTGCATGGACATGTGAGATTCCATTACATGAGGCTGCATGTCTCGGCCCTGGTCGACACGACGCCAGGTCATGCCATACCCCGCAGACCTGTTGTGGCTGCAGCCGTATGACTAAAGGGATGATCCTGGACAAATAATATCTAGGTACTTAGAGTAGAATAAATGTCTCGTCTTTTCTCGTCTTTTCTCTTCATTTTCTGCCTCTCTTTTGCTTTCATTTTCTGTGGATGTCAAGCAAGGTGCGGTTGATTGCCGATGATCGATCCCCTGACGGATAAGGCTGCCTCGACCTCACAACACTACACGTCGGACACGTTGTGGTCACTGTCGTGTTGATCGAGGTGTGTTCCATGTCTAAATCGTGGGATAACCAACGGTAGGAGAGATCCATGGAGTAAGTGCTTCTCGGTTTTGTCTATCGTTGCTTGAATTTGGATGATGAATACCTTTTTTGCATGGCTTAGCTGAAATCCTGAGAGGGATGGGGATGCATTTAGAATGGATATCTGACTGTTGCTTTGAAAACACACACTCCTTATATTTTTGCACCTGATAAAGTAGCCTAGAAATGCTAACTTGAATCGGGACAGGTGTGAGCCGAGGGATCGTTAATGTCAACGTTGGGGAGTAACTCAGCGAGCCTGATGTGGCGTTTGGAGATGACTCGGAGTATGCCAAGGCCCCCCGCTGTCGTCACTGAGGATTTCCCATCCCATATGCATGTGCTGGTAAGTAACTTCGCTTGCGGCCCTTGAAAGATTTCATACGATAGTGTGTACGCCATTTTGTATAGTAAATATGAACCTGAATTCTCAATGTCTTTACACCCGAGAAGGGTGTTGGGGATGGTTGTTGCCGTCGCCGCCGCCAGAAGATATCATAATAGAGAGTAGTTAAGCTGCAGGAAATGTAGTCTCACTAGAGAAGGCAACAATGGCATGATGTATTGAAATAGAGAGTAGTTAAGCTGCAGGAAATGTAGTCTCACTAGAGAAGGCAACAATGGCATGATGTATTGAGGATGTAGTTTAAACATTACCACTGTTCCTCGAATGTATCCCCGGCACTCTTTCGCCATCCACTATGGGCGACCCTCGCAGTCAATATTGTAAGTACACCAGTGACTACCGACAACATTGTCGTCGTCGCTACGCAACTTCCCATCCTGGCGGTTCTGAACCGAAAAAAAGAAACTGTCCGATTGACACGACTGGTCGTCGTAGAATGCGCAACATCCACCATTTACCCTCACGCTGGTCATTTTATTATCGAGACCATCCGCAACCCTTTGGCACACTTCATAAGGGAGGCGTCGACGATGCCAAAAGCTATCATGGTATGTGCACCGTGCGGGATCGTTTCCCCCAGCGAGATCCTCGCTGGCAGAGTATTGGAGCGTCATGAATGAGCGACCCTCCTGAGCCTTTGCCTCTGGAGCAGGGCTTGACTCTTCCTCTGTGCGATCCCAATCAATACTAAATCGATAATCCGGAAGGTAAAACGTGACGCTCTTTTTCGCCACACTTGCGGCAGCATCAGCCGCGACAGTCAAACAGTCGAGGTACCGATCATCCTTGAGGATCTTCTGGACAGTCTTCGAGTTTTTGGCGGCATTGATTGCACTTTGGGACGGCTTTTTCCGCGCTCCAGTGCTGAACTCCTTGATGATTTTAGGCGTACTCCCAGACACTCCCTTGAACAACTTGGGGATGACCTGCACAATTGCTCCCCCAAAGCCGGATGAGTCCATCTGGTTTTGAACGATGTTTAACTTGTCATATTTAACAACGTAGTTTGGAGGGATTTCGTTGTTCGAAGGAACAGGCATGTCGTTAGGATACAAGGCAATCATGCCGTCGACTTCGTCCATGGACATGTTGGAAAGGTCGTCCGCCATATCAGCCCACGCTCCAGCCATGGCCAGGCTGACCCAGCACCACCCGCCGCGTGTTCGCTTCTTTTGCTCATCTGCCCTCTTTTGTATCTCATTGATAGCCTTGGCATGATCGACTCGGCTCTGGTATGTCTCTCTCTTGCGCTTCTCGTATTCTTGCGTAGCTCGGCAGCTATGCTGGACCAAACGATCGCCACCTTCCCAAAATACTTGTAGTCAAATGTGTTCGAGTCCTTGCACTTAAACTTGGGGTTGCTGTCCTTGCCGCACTCAGGTTTATAAGTGCCGTCTAAAGTGTAACCTTGCCTGCGCGAAGCTGCGATCTGACCACTGGGGCATTTCTTGTCGTCGTCGGCGAGCACTTGGGATTTTTCGTGGAAGAATCCTGACCCCCAATGGAAAGGTCAATAATTTTCTTTGGGACATCTGCCTCGATTCTTGTTTTTGTCCTTATCTGACGTTGGGTCGACGCACTTCTTCCCAGTGGAGTTGGGTTTTTGCTTTCCAGAACAGGACCGACACATCTTACCATTGGCTTGGATTTGGTCCTCTGGACAGCCAGAGTCTTTCCACACGCATGCTGTACCATCGGCGTTTGGCGTTTTGTTCTTCCCGCAGTCGTTGCATTTACCGGATTTGTCTTTGACTTGTTGGCCAGGGCATTTCTTACATGGCAAGAGGTTGAAGCATTTGTCGATCGTGTCACCAACCCGTTCCACACCAAACTCGTTCAGAATTGCAGCCCAAACTGCTTCGTACGCCTCTGAGTTACACGACCTTGCTCGCGCTTCAATTTTTACGGGATTCTCATGATGAAGCGAGGAGGAGGCATCTACCACCGAAGTGGCATATGCTGAAAGAATGCATAGGAATAATAGTAGTTTCATGATGCAAATAGAAATTGACTACCAAGAAGTTCATGCAATGCCAAACTGACGAGAAGAGCGACACTTTATGGGACCTACCGTGGAGAGATATCCTTGATCGCAGAGACGTGACCTTGGATCACACTTGGACATGTCGGATCCTAGTCATCAATGTTGTTCCAGCCGAAATCTGATGATGAGCACAAACTATATATAATAAGCTTGAGTTGACGACCAACAACGAACCCCATCTTGATATTTGATTTTGCGCTTCCCTAAAAACAAGAGGTTCGGTTAAACGTGAAAACTGTAGGAGTATTAACCTCGGCGTTGAATTAGAAGCAAACTAGCAACCAGTAATCAGCGCCCAATACCTAACACGATGCCCGCAAGCAAGGTAACTGAACAGAGATTTCTAATTTTAGTACTGATTCAGTATTCGTCGGCCTGCACACAGTCACAATAAACTTGGGCACACTTGCCCGATTGACTGGAGCAGGGAGTAAAAGTGTCACAAAATGACGAACGTCCCTTGTGAGACCGCATACCCCCCCTTGTACCCTGTGCAACAAAAAGCACAGTTGTAGCCCTTGACGCCTTCTTCTTACTTCGAAGGCAAGGAGTTTCGCCCAATATTCTTGGCTAGTACAAATAATCATGGAATCCTTTTTTCGAGTTCTCACCGCAATTCTGGCCCTCTCGCTACCCATGGCAGCTGAAGCCTTCGAAACCCGGCTGTATAATACCAAACACTGCACAGGCTTGTCCGCGGTAAAAAAAAAAAAAGTGAGCGTCACTGAAGGATGTGTGACAGACCGCGTCGGCGAGATGGCGGGCGTCATCAACGAATGGTCAAGCGAAGCTGACAACGGCCTCGTCCTGGCCATGTTTAGCGGCTCAGAATGCTGCCACGCCAACTTGGTTGCGACCTACGACTGGGAAGTGCGATGCCTAGAGGTTCCAGCCGAGGTGGGAAGCTGGAGGGTGTTGGATCCAAACAAATCCGATGAGGGCAAATCGGGGGACAACTATTTATGTGGATAAATGATTTTGGTGAAGTCTTCTTCTCACACGCGTTGTCTACCTACCAATGGCTTTGATCGTGGATTCGACAGCGAGCTCCTAAGGTTAGAAATATTACTGCTTGCAAAAACCATGAGAAGAGTTTACCACAAGAAATATTGTTGTGATGCCGAATAAACCGAGAGAAAACCCTGGATGCAACTCCCAACGTCCAAGGCGAGAATGGATGAACATGATAAACCGCCAAGTTGGACTACCTCAATTCAGATTCAACACGCTGCTTGATGGTATCAATTTATCTCACAAGCCCCCGATTTTAACCGCAAGACCTGTGGGAATATTATGTAAAATTGACAGAATTAATACAAGATTCCCGTCACTACGGATGTCCAAGTGCTCTAACTAAGGTACCTAGTGCTCATGCTGTCCCAGGTTGAAGTACAAAGCTGGTCGGATTATTGGCAGATTCCCGATACATCAGCTACTCAACTGGAGTGAACTACTAATCTGCCTGGACGAACCAAGCTGCTACATCTTTCTGCCTTAGGCAACAAGGAACGCCAACTCACGTGCTACTCATTAACGACCTGGCGACCGGAGTGGGGCAGTCACGTCACGGTCGAGACGTCGCGCTTCGCGGTGCGGATCAATTAAGTCGTGTCGTCCATTTCATCCTTTCCAGAATTTGCCTGAGTGTTGTCCCCCAAGCAAAAGCCGAAGTCAACAAACAACAATCCGTCTCCATTTCCCCCTCCTTCATGACGGCCTAGCTCTGGCTCTGCTTCTTCTCTCCTCTTTGCTTCCTATCTCCTCCTTTCTCAGTTTCACAACGTGAACCGTTCACACCATGGCGAGCGTCATCCTCCCCCACAAGCGGGTGTTGAGCGAATCCCTCACCCGCCAGAACCTCCCCTCGACGCCCGCCTCCGCCAAGAAGCGCAAGGTCGAGGCCGTTTCCTCGTCGCCGGCTCCCCGATTCAACAGCTCCCAGAATAACCCCCGATCGAAGCTCGCCTCCAGTCAGCCAAAGAGCACATTCGAGCTGGAGGTCCTCGAAAAGCTTAGCCAGGACATCTCAGATCTGAAGCGCAACAATACGGAAAAGGATCAGGCATGGGCACGACCGCCTGTTGTCGACTTCCTCCCCGAACGTGACAGCTTGTGTTTCCAGTCCATTGAGGCCGAGGAGGGTACACTTCATGGTGGCAGGGCCACCGTGAAGCTTTTCGGTGTCAACGATGTGGGAAACTCCGTCATGCTGCATGTGACGGACTTCAAGCATTACCTTTACGTCGCCGCTCCGATTGGTTTCCAGCCCAAAGATTGTGCCGCTTACAAAGCATATCTCGAGACACAAACTGCCCAACATCAACCGGCAGTTCACTCAGTGGCGTTGGCCATGAGGGAGAGCATCTATGGCTTCCAGGGCAACGTTGCTAAGCCGTACCTCAAGGTCACTGTCACAGACCCCAAGTTTATCCCGAAAGTTCGATCGACCATTCAGTCCGGCGCCGCAAACTGGAAGGGCATGTGGAAGTTGAGAGAAAAGGAGGAAATTGAGACCTATGACAACATTCAATACGTGCTACGGTTCATGGTCGATTGCAAGGTAAGCACTCCGCACTTCTGAATTCAGATGGAAGCTCACAATTTTAAAGGTTCAAGGCATGTCATGGGTAGAGGCACCGGCCAAGAAGTTCAAGCTAGTCCCCGACCACCTTCGACAGTCGAATTGCCAGATCGAGGCTGAAGTGAGCTATCTTGATCTCGTAGCACACAAGCCTGAGGGAGAATGGTCCAAGATGGCACCCCTACGAATTTTGTCCTTCGATATCGAGTGTGCCGGCCGAAAAGGAATTTTCCCTGAAGCGAACTATGACCCCGTTATCCAGATTGCCAACGTCGTCACCAGATACGGAGAGAAGAAACCCTTTGTTCGAAACGTTTTCTGCCTCCAAGACACGAGCTCTATTGTAGCAACCCAAATCCTGGAGTTTCAAAAGGAGGAGAAAATGCTCAGCGACTGGCAGAAGTTCGTGATCGAGGTTGACCCAGATATCGTCACCGGTTACAACATTGCCAACTTCGATTTCCCATACCTACTCGACCGAGCACACCATCTCAAGGTCAAGGGATTCGAATACTGGACTCGCCTCCCCAGTGTCCCCTCCAAGGCGAAAGAGACCAACTTTTCAAGCAAGCAAATGGGCAATCGAGACACCAAAGCTACCAACATCAATGGCCGCCTGCAGTTGGATCTCCTGCAACTGATTCAGCGCGATCACCACCTTCGAAGTTACACGCTCAATTCCGTGTCGGCTCACTTCCTGGGCGAACAGAAGGAGGATGTTCACTATACCATGATTACCGAACTATTTAACGGTACCCCAGAGTCACGACGTCGTCTCGCGCTGTACTGCTTGAAGGATGCATATCTCCCACAGAGACTCATGGACAAGCTTTCATGCCTGGAAAACTACACTGAAATGGCGAGAGTCACGGGTGTGCCGTTCAACTTCCTGTTATCAAGAGGCCAGCAAATCAAGTTCGTCAGTCAGCTGTTCCGAAAGGCCCTGGAGCAAAAACTTGTCATTCCCAACCTGAAGTCCAAACAGTCGGATGATCAATACGAAGGAGCTACCGTCATTGAGCCGACTCGAGGCTATTACGATGTCCCCATTGCTACGCTCGATTTCGCGTCGCTGTACCCCAGTATTATGCAGGCACACAACCTCTGCTACACCACGCTATTGATGAGCAAGAAGGATATTGAGATATTTGGTCTCAAGAAGGACGAGGACTACATCGTCACCCCTAACAACGATATTTTTGTCACCTCGAAGCAAAGGAAGGGATTGCTGGCGCAGATTTTGGAGGAATTGCTCTCTGCGCGAAAGCAGGCCAAGCGCGAGCTGGCGATCGAAACAGACCCGTTCAAAAAGGCCGTATTGAACGGTCGTCAGCTAGCTTTGAAGATTAGCGCCAACAGTGTGTACGGTTTGACAGGTGCCACGACCGGCAAGCTTCCCTGTCTCGCGATTGCCAGCAGTACGACCAGTTTCGGACGGCAGATGATTGAGAGGACCAAGGATGAGGTGGAGAAGCGATACAATATTGCCAATGGATATTCGCACGACGCCCAAGTCATTTATGGCGACACTGATTCGGTCATGATCAAGTTCGGAACCAAGGATCTCGCAGAGGCGATGAGACTGGGCGAGGAAGCATCGAAGTTCGTTTCGGAGAAGTTTATCAAGCCGATCAAGCTGGAGTTCGAGAAGGTGTATTTCCCGTACCTGCTCATCAACAAGAAGCGATATGCGGGACTATACTGGACGCGGCCCGACAAGTACGACAAAATGGACACGAAGGGTATCGAGACGGTACGACGAGACAATTGTTTGTTGGTGCAGACGGTGATTGAGAAGGTGTTGCGAATGATCTTGATTGACCAGGACGTGCCTGGAGCACAAGTGTAAGTTCCGATGACGGTCCGACAGGGATATTGGATGCTAACAGCGGCACTTTAGTTATGTCAAGGAGACGATCGCAGATCTGCTGCAAAATAAAGTCGACATGTCGAAATTGGTCATTACAAAAGCGCTCACAAAGGACGATTATGCCGCAAAGCAAGCCCACGTCGAGCTGGCGCATCGGATGAAGAAGCGCGACGCGGGCTCGGCGCCGGGACTCGGTGACCGAGTGGCCTACGTCATGATCCGAGGCGCGGCGGGGGCCAAGAACTTTGAGAAATCGGAGGATCCCATCTACGTGTTGGAGAACAATGTGCCTATTGACACGCGCTACTACCTGGACAACCAGCTAGCCAAGCCACTGGGGCGCATTTTCGAGCCGATTCTCGGGGAGACTAAGGCACGGTCGCTACTGACAGGGGACCACACACGGACGATTTCGGTTGCGGCTCCCACGGTGGGGGGTCTGATGAAGTTCGCCAAGAAGACGCAGACATGCATGGGTTGCAAGAAGCCATTGACGGGTAAGGAGGAGAAAGAGGGGGCGGTGTGCGCCGACTGCGCGCCGCGTGTCGGGGAGCTATACAAGAGGACGCTTGATCGCGTGTCGGACCTGGAGGTGCGATTTGGGCGACTGTGGACCCAGTGTCAACGGTGCCAGGGGAGCATGCACTGCGAGGTGATCTGCAGCAGCAAGGACTGCCCGATCTTTTACATGCGAATGAAGGCTAAGAAGGATTTGGAGGACGCCGGTAAGGAGCTGACGCGGTTCGATGCGGACCAGGCGGCGATGTGGTGAGAAACAGGGCAAGGGGAAGCGAGGGAATGCGATGAGAAGCGACGGCAAGCGAGGAGATGTGAAGCGATGAGGTGGAAACGCGGAGAGGCGGAGAGGCGGAGAAGGCCGGGGATTCGGGGACTCGAATGGAAAGATGATGGCGCAGGCATAATTACTGCAACTGCACAGGCATATCGCAGGCGCAACGCACAGGCATTGGCAGTGGGAGGACATGGGATTTTGATGTTGTCGTTGAATGTACGTAAGGCGTTCCGGCGGGGTTCAGGGTTTCCGGGCCAGGGTTCTGCGGCCAGGGACAGATGCAGGGCCCGACGTCATTGCAGATGGTTTGTCTTTAGATTTTACGTATAAGTTTGGCTCTGGGCCAGTAGGAATGTAGGTGAATGAAATGGAAGAGTGGCAGAAATTACAGAAATGGACGACATGTGTAAGAGGGAACGTTTGCAGCGTGAGTGGCGTTGCGTGTTGGCGGGGATGCACTTGGCGTGGCGGAGGCAGTTGGGATGCTCGTGGAATCATTGTATGGAAGAGCTGAGGTGAGAAAGGGACCATTTTGGGGCAAAGGAGAAAACGGTGAGTAGCAAGGTGGCGCGATGCAAGGTGAGTCGGACGTTTTGCCGGGGCAGCGTCGGCACCCCTTGGAAGGCAGAACGGTCGAGGCCTGGTCTGGAGGGATTGCCATGTGGCGGCGTTAGAATAGAGTGGGCGGACAATGGAGAGATGATGAGCAGACCGACGGTGAGGCCTGGTAACAGGGGCAGCGAGGATGTGGTGAAGCGGTTGGCACGGAGGATAATTGCTACGTAAACGGAGCAGACATGGAGCAAGCGGAGTGGGTAAAACCGGGACGGAGGGGGAGAAGAGCGGGAATAATCGGAATCAGGAGAGAGGATACGCGGGTGGTCTGTGGGCGTTTGGGTGCTGGGTGATAATACGATATTGCTGCACAGAAAATGGGAATAAAATTGGATCATGAAGATTCATCGTGTTGATGGCCAGGGAGGGGAACACACCGGCGGGTGGATGCGGGGGGTTGGAGTAGTGGCCGAAGATGGGAGGCGGATCCGAGAGACGACAGGAGAGAGCGAGACTTACAGACGGGCTTAATGGAGAGTGGCTGGGTTGCAATAGTTGGGCTGATTGAAAGATTGATAATGATGATAATCATTACTCCGGGTATATTAGGCACACCGAGAGAAGACAAAAAAAGACTCTTTCTGCCTGTAGTGGCTGCCCGGTATAGGAGCTCTTAGCCGCCCTGGCTCAGCTCAGCGCAGTTCTCTGTCCCGTCTGTCACCGAAGAACCCATCGGTGGAATTACATCTCCGGGTGGCCACTGAACGGGAGCGATGGGGATTGTGGGCTAGACACTTTTTTTTTTCTTAGTCTCGGGCGAGAACAGCACCGAAAACGCGAGGGGCTTTCTTCGGAAACGTAACGACAGTCGGAATCGGACCGGACGGAGAAGCGTCAATGACAAAACGCCAACGACTCCTCCCGAGATACTACGTGTCTACCGCGCGTGGATGCCGGGGGAGCTCGAGCCACTTGCGGGAGCCATCCATGCTTTCTGCGTGCGTGGTGAGACGAGCGGGACGAGACAATAAGAGACAACCAGAAACACAACATACGCGCCAGACACGGACGTAGACGCGGAGGATCTTGCCCCGGATTCATCATGGATCACAACCCATGGAGTCCCCCCGTTTTCCCCCCAATCCCCCCCAATCCCCAGCCTGAAGAGAGGGAGAGGCGAGCAACCATGGTTCAAAACACGGGCTTGCCAAGACAGGGCCGTTCCCGGCGACCTCTCGGCGATGGGATGGGCCAATTCCAGTGGGTTTGAGGGTTGAATCATGAAAGCGTGTACGAAAGCAAATACAGTAATCTGGTTGAGTCGCGGACGAATCAGGCAACGGGGATGAGTGGTCTGCCTCTGTTGACAAGCATGTGTGAGCGTCGTCTCTTCCCTTTCTAGGCTGCCAGGAACCCCGAGGACGCACAGCGATTGGCCGGGCCTTGAGAGCGATGACAATTGATTCTTCAAACGACATGACAAGGCGGCCAATGGGAGGGCTCTGATAGTATCGACGGGACTAGTAAGGGTCCAGGGATGCATGCATCATGGCAAAATATGGGGCCACGCCTTTTTCATCTTGTTCGGGGGGTGCTTTTGGGGTTGCCTACTACGTAGTAGGCTGGGCTGGTTGGCCCGTGGTAGACTCCATGACTCCATGACTCCATACGGACCTGGCCTAATTCTTGGGGTAAAATGGACGTGTAATTCGAATAACGTACTGGACGAGAGAGACCCCGACGTATGGTTCCGAGGAATCTGGCCGAGGCTCCGGGGTTCATCCAGAGTGGCGCGGCTCGGTCATCGGGAGACGCTTCGTTGGTGCTTTTAGAGACCCATGCCCCATGTCCCATGTTTCCGTTCCGCGGCCTGGCAAGTAAGTACAGTATGATGCCATGCCGCCATGCAAGCGGCAGTCTAAATGGTGGTCTGCAGGTTCGTCGGGTCCGTCGCTCTGGGGCGTTTCTGATTCGGTGGCTCCAACGGATGGTTACCCTTTTCAGGCGAGTCTTTTTTTTTTTTTTTCCCCTTGGCTTCCTGGCTTTCTCTACATGAGGCTGGATGTCGTGTCTGCGCGTGCTGTGGGATGCGTTGCAGGAATGGGGGGGTGGTTTCCGGGGGATGAAGATGGGGGACGGATGCTGGCATGGATCATGATTATTCCCCCCGGGAGGTCCTGGAGGTTCCGGGAGGCTCCGCCCCATGTTTTTTTATGTTATGTGATTTGACGTCGTTGCAACTACGTGTTGTGTGTATGCGTGTGTGAGTGTGTGAGTGTGTGTGCCTCCGAGCTGGTCGTGTGCGCTGCTTACACGGAACACGTCCCGACTGCCTCATTACCTACCTTACCTACCTACGCAAGACATGGGGGGCATTGACCTCGGGCGTGGGATGTCATGAATGTGGGGTGTTTTGTTAGCTGAGGCATCAAGCAATTGTCCAGCTCAGCTCAGCTCGGAGCCCAGCTCCAGCCATGGCTTACATGGAGTTGGCGAGCTAGAGCCTAGCCGACAGAGGGCGCCAAAGGGCAAGCGTCGATGAATGATGGTAATGATGAACAGCAACATAGATAAGATCGTGCATCCAGTCCCATGTGCTGCGCTGAGCTGCGGTGCGCTACGCTACGAAACGCACCCCCGCGCGGCGCCCCGCGGTAGGCGCATGGCCAAAAGGTGCGTCTGGCCAGTGGGAGTGGCCGGTGAGACGTGGGAGTACTACGCAGTAGGGTACGTAGTAGGGTTGGCTAATGGGAATATGTCTGGGCTGGCCGAAGGTAACTTGCGCCGTAGGATAAGGGCATCTGAATGGAGACCCGACCGAGTTTCGGAGGTTTGAGCCGTATGCACGTCGCTGCGGGTTGCACTGCGCTGTGGTGCAGTGGTGTAGTGGTGCGGTGCTACCGTGCTGCAGGGCCCAGCTCTCTGTTCCTAGCCACCCTTTGGTTGGCCGTGAGCGGCGGCGGCGGCGGCGACGGCGGCGGACGAGGCTTTTGGCGGCGCGTCGGCAGGTGGAGGGAGGGGTGGCGGGGGTGGCGAGATGGAAGGAACGACCCCAAAAACGACCAGGTAGGAGGCAAGGGGAGGCAAGGGGAGGCAAGGGCAGACCAGGGAGGAGCAAGGGAAGGAGGTGGGGAGGGTAAGGTAGGTCCGACATAGGTACCTAGGTAGGGGCGTACCTGCCCGGGGACCAGCACACCCAGAACTGCAACCAGACTGCACTCACACTCACACACACACATACCTTATTACACCTTACACGCACACACGATGCACCCAGCACACGAGGACGGACCACCAAGCGGTCCCAGTGTCCTGTCTTCCGAGGGACAGAAGACCGGGGGTCGTGGCGCACAATCCATTTGTCTTGTTGACTGAAGCTTTCATGTCACGGCTAGCGATGAGTGGGCTGTTTGAAAATGGGCTTTTTCCCCGTAGCTGCACGCACCTTTTTTTCTTTTTTTCTTTCCCACTGTCGGGACGTTGTACCGCAGTTGGGGGGCGAATGGGGAACGGGGAAGGGGGGAGGGGTGTGGGATGGATGGGAGTTGACGGAGAGAGATAGGGGATTAATGGATTCATGTCTGGAGTGGATTGCGGATTGTGGATTGCGGACTGTGGAGTGAGGCTTTGGTTTGGGATGAGGGTGGTTTGAGCCCATGAAGCCATCCGGGAACAGCCAGCAGCCAGCAGCCAGCAACCCGCCAATAAGTTAGTATGGGAATACTATGGCCGCTCCCATTGTCACTTACTTACTTAGTAGGTGCTTCCCGCCGTCCATCACTTATATAAACCCTCTTCCCATCCTCCCTTCCCAATCTTGCCCTTCATCCAACTCATCCTCCCACTCGAATCTGGCATTTGACGACATCCTCTCTTCTCTCAATACAACACCAAATCTCTCTCCCAACCACCCCTCATGCAGCTGAACAACATGTCTCACCTTCCTGCCGAGCCCGAGTTTGAGCAGGCTTACAACGGTAAGCTCTCTCCCCCGCCGCCATCACGATAGCCTCAATGAGACGAAGTGCCTAACTCTTTTTTATAGAGCTCGCCAGCACCCTCGAGAACAGCAAGCTCTTCTCTGAGAAGCCCGAGTTCCGCACCGCCCTCGCTGTCGCCGCCATCCCCGAGCGCATCATCCAGTTCCGCGTCACCTGGAGTGACGACAAGGGCAACGTCCAGGTCAACCGCGGATTCCGTGTCCAGTACAACTCTGCCCTCGGCCCTTACAAGGGCGGACTCCGATTCCACCCCTCGGTCAACCTGTCCATGTACGTCAGCTCTTTTACAAGCCCAATGCCACGACAAGATATCACCGCCGTCATCGATTGCAGCGATAGCATCTACCGCTCGTCATTCGATGATACGCTCTGTTATCTTGCGCTGTGGCGGATTGGCTTGCCCTAGTGATCAATCGAGCGCCTTTACTGACTGTGGCGCCTGCAGTCTCAAGTTCCTCGGCTTCGAGCAGACCTTCAAGAATGCCCTGACTGGCTGTAAGTTTATAATTCCGTCTCCGTCGCGTCCCAGCCGCATGTTCCTTATCTCCACCATGTGATACCCCTCCCCCTCCATTTCCCCACCACACTCGATATTTGCTTTTGCTCCGTTGCTCCTCGCTCCCCGGATTAGAGAGTTAGGGGCTGCGAAGCTCCATCACTCGGCCGGACGGGCTCCAATAGCGCGGTTTATCAATTGTTGAGACGATTGGAACGATAAGAGCATGATCGCTGACAATGGCCTCTAGTGAACATGGGTGGTGGCAAGGGTGGTGCCGACTTCGACCCCAAGGGCAAGTCTGATGCTGAGATCCGCCGCTTCTGCCAGGCTTTCATGAAGGAGCTCTCCCGCCACATCGGCGGCGAGACCGATGTCCCCGCTGGTGATATCGGTGTTGGTGGCCGCGAGATCGGTTACCTCTTCGGTGCCTACCGCACCATCCGCAACCGCTGGGAGGGTGTCCTCACCGGTAAGGGCCTCACTTGGGGTGGTTCCCTGATCCGCCCTGAGGCCACTGGCTTCGGTCTCGTCTACTATGTTGGCCACATGCTTGAGCACGCCGGCCGTGGCACTTTCGAGGGCAAGCGCGTCGCCATCTCCGGCTCCGGAAACGTTGCCCAGTACGCCGCCCTCAAGGTTATGGAGCTCGGCGGTACCGTCGTCTCCCTGTCCGACTCCAAGGGTGCCCTGGTTGCCGGCGACTCCGCCAGCTTCACCCCCGAGCACATCGCTGCCATTGCCGATATCAAGATCAACCGCAAGGCCCTGACCGACTTCAAGCACGACGGCCAGTTCACCTACCTCGAGGGCGCTCGCCCCTGGGTCCACGTCGGCAAGGTCGACATTGCTCTCCCCTCGGCTACCCAGAACGAGGTCAGCAAGGAGGAGGCTGAGGCTCTCGTTGCCGCTGGTGCTTTCATCGTCGCTGAGGGCTCCAACATGGGCTGCACCCAGGACGCTATCGACGTCTTCGAGGCCCACCGCAAGGAGAAGGGCACCGAGGCTCTGTGGTACGCTCCCGGCAAGGCCTCCAACTGCGGTGGTGTCGCCGTCTCCGGTCTTGAGATGGCCCAGAACAGCCAGCGCCTCGCCTGGACTTCCGAGGAGGTCGATGCCAAGCTCAAGGGCATCATGAAGGACGCCTTCAACGTCGGTCTCTCCGCCGCCCAGAAGTACGTCGAGGCCAAGGAGGGTGAGTTGCCCAGCTTGGTCGCCGGTTCCAACATTGCCGGCTTCATCAAGGTCGCCGAGGCTATGCACGACCAGGGTGACTGGTGGGCGGACAACTAAACAAAGAAACCCCCAAGATCCAAGAAAAATATAGCAAAGGGAACCGAGCATATACCCCCCCGAGCCGGCCTCAACAGAGTTTGAGACGTTCTCGCTGGCGCTCCGGTCTTCCTCTCCTCTCCATTCACAACTGAGCGTGGTTGTGATGGGGACTTCTACAACTACTGCCTAGCTTCTGTTTCTCGTTCTCGACTTTCTCGGGCATGGCATGATGCATTCTGCGTGGGGCGTTGGTGGGGTTTCAAAGAAGGGATCCCCCTTGAAATTGTGTGTTTTCTCAGATGCTTCGCGATAGACTCGAATGGTTGTTTTTGTTACTCTCGATTTGGCCTCTATTATCTAGGTAGTGCGGACATGAACAACGTACCCTTTTTTACTATACTTTGCTCACTCTGTCCGTGTCCCGAACCTTGAACATTTGCTCCGTTATTCTGGTGGCTCCTGAAAGGGTAAATGGCCAATCCCGCTTACACCATGAACGGATATTTGTATTCCCTAGTTCGTTACCTCAGTGTGTCGGGGCGTCAGGATATATTGTTCAATTCTCTCGTAATACATCCTAGCCCTTGACCGAGCCGCCACCGAATCGGGCACTTTCCGTGATTCCTTGTTCTCAGACCCTGCGGCCAGAAATGTCACCAGAAATGTCATGTCGGGAGGATCGCGGTGGAGTGACGACAACATTGATTGTACGTAATATCGTCAATCCGGGGTCTTGATCTCGTGAGGTTGGGGTGTCCTGCGGCGGGTTATAGCGACAGCCGGAAGTGGCTCCGGGGGTGGATGTTCATTCAATGGATCCTTGATGATTATGCGAGGAATTCCCCTATTGAACAGGGATTCCGTGCAATGTGGGACAGCGATCTTGATTGAATTCATGATGCGTCATAAATGGCCTTGTTGCTGCCAAGTCTCAGTACCCCATGCTGGTCACCTGTTGGCTTGCACATGTCGGACCATATTATGGAGCTTCCAGTCAGTGCGATTCTCGGCAATTAAACAGTTAGCGGACGGGGAGCCCTCCGCGGCTCCGTGCTTCAGTGGACTCGAGCCCTGTATTCCGTGTATTCCAGGGGGCTTTTTAACAGTCCATAGCACCCCGCATTCTGGGGCTCCCGGCGCATGGCGTCCCGGCCGGAGCCCCGGCCCGCTAAACAAAGTCCGCTAATTCGGCAGCCGGGTTCAGCTACGGTTCAATGTGTTTGAGTGTTTGACGGCTCAACCGTTTGGGGAAGTTTTTGTACGACCTCGGCCCGCTGGTGATGGCATCGCGGGGCGGGTATCCTCTTCCGACTGACCTTTACTTGTATCGTCTAAATATCAATGAGTCTTCCAATAGTAATGCAATTTGCTCTGTAAACGTGTTGCTTTTACCTCTGTTTGACCGTCTAATTGAAAACTCCGGCAATATGGCTGGTCCTCCGCCTCTGCAGGGCATCAAAGTGCTCGAGTTTGCCGGCCTTGCGCCAGGTACGTCCTCAACCTACAGCCATCGCGATGGTGATACAGCGTGACACGATGCTCAATTGAACACAGGTCCATTCGCCGGCATGCTCCTCGCTGACGCCGGAGCCTCTGTCCTCCGCATCGATCGCGCGCAGAACGGCGCATCGCACCAGATCGGCGGCGGCGCACTCCCTACCGAGGACATGCTAGCACGCCACAAGGCCTCTATCGCCGTCGACCTCAAGGCGCCGCGCGGCATCGCCCTGATCAAGCGCCTGGTCGCCAAGGCAGACGTCATCATCGACCCCTTCCGGCCCGGCGTCCTCGAGAAGTTGGGCCTCGGGCCGGACGTGCTGTGCGCCATCAACCCGCGGCTCATTTACGGCCGCATGACGGGGTTCCGGCGCGACGGCAAGTATGCGACCATGGCCGGACACGACATCAACTACCTCGCCGTATCGGGCGCCCTGGGTCTCCTCGGCCGTGAAGACGAGAAGCCGCACCCGCCGTGGAACATCTTCGCCGACTTCGCCGGTGGCGGCGCCGTGCTCTTCCAGGGCGTCCTCCTCGCTGTGATCGCGCGCCAGACCTCGGGCCGCGGGCAGGTTGTTGAGGCCAACATGGTCGATGGCAGCTCATACTTGGCCACATTCCCACGCATGGCTCTCAAGACGTCCATAGGTGACAAGGGCCGCGGAAATAACTTGCTCGACGGCGGGTGTCCCTGGTACGACACGTACGAAACTGCGGATGGCAAGTACATGGCTGTTGGCGCACTGGAGCCCCAGTTCTTCGCCGTGCTGATGAAGGGCCTCGGTCTATCAGGCCAGGGTTGGGAAGAGGGCCGTAGCGACGTCACCCGGTGGCCAGCCTTCCGACTTCTGCTGGCCGATACCTTCCGAAGCAAGACGCGAACCCAGTGGGAGACAATCTTCGACGGTACGGACGCGTGCTGCACCCCCGTGCTGGAGTATCCGGAGCTCGAGTGCCAGCCGGGTCGGGAGGGCGACCAGCGGCCGGTGGTGACACTGCGGGAGACGCCGTGCCTGGCTGTCAAGCAGGGCGCCGCGCTGGTAGATGCCGCGCAGTACGGCCAGGGTAGCGGTGTAGCAGGAGATGGGTACGAGGGACAACCGCTTGCGCCGGGATCGGGTGGTGAAGGAGTGTTGAGAGACTGGGTGGGCTGGCAGAGCGGGAGAGAGTATGAGGTCAAAGGAGGCGGGTTGGTGTTGAAGGATGGAGAGACGTCAAAGCTGTAGCGTGTTGACGTCTTTCAGAACCATGGAGGCCCATGATGGTTCGCGAGATAATATGTGACATGATGCGAGATGGACCCTGGTGTTGTACATACACCGCGGAGGCTAGAAGATGCTTCCCCTAAATGAGAATCCAACGCATGCATACAAGTACCAATCAAATGTTCATGACTTTTATCGTCCAAGATACAAAACATTCCTTCAACGCCAAGATGCCCTCGAAACAGGTCTATCCATATCTAATCATACAACCCATCACACAAGTTTCATCGTCACAGCGGCGGCAGCTCCTCTCGACAAATCGGACACTGCAGCCTGAACCTCATCCATCCCTCTAGACATGCGCTGTGGAAGATGTGTCGGCACGGCGTGACCATGTATAAGCGGCGCGCAAAGACGCCTGCTACGCCTGAGTCCTCGTCACCAGCTGAGATGACCGGCACCTCGAGAACCTCGCGGCAGATTGCGCAGTCCATAGTGCGGGTGGAGCTACGCTTCCCAGCTTGGTCGTCATCCGCTTGGGATGCCGAGGATGCAGTGCCATGGTCGGGGTCTGGATTATCATCAGAGACCAGACCGATAGGCAGCCCGCCAGCCTCAAGGCCATCCTCACGAAGGACAGGGTGATAGTCCCAGGCCTCAGGGGTCCAACCGACAGGTATGCCGAAGCGTGGGCCGACAATATCCTGGGCAGCAAGAACAATTAGTTGGAGCCAGACCCAGATGCAGAAAATAGTAAAAGCGCGGCGGTCAGGCTGGGCGTAGAGGAAGTTGTCCTCCTTAATCCAAAAGTAGGCAACGGGGAGCAGACGCAAAACGGATTGACCCAGCACAAAGGGCCACCCTAGGGCGCGGCGGCAGTTGCGGATGATATTGCGGTAGATCTGCGGTATCCATAAGGAGAGATAGGCGAGAGTACAACCGTTGAGAAAGAGGCAGCGGACACTCGGATACCAAGTAGTGGAGGAGATGGCGAGGAATATGACACACAGGGAGAAGAGTATGAGTCGACCAACGATGGTTTGGAATGACTGCGGCGGCGGGGCGGTACGCTGCGCTGTAGTGGTATTAGGAACAGCGGCCGCACTGTCGGCGATTTCAGCATCGACATCTTGATCGGACGGAATGATAATGGGCGGAGACGGAGGTCTCGGCGGCCGGCCTGCGGTCACCGGGGCCGGGAGAAGCGGACCGGAGCCCGTAGGATTGGGGGTTAATACGGCGGATGATGTCGCGCTGCTGGAGGTGCTGCTCGAGTTACCTGGTGTTCGGTCGCGGTCACGTCGTGGGCGCGTTTCAGGGAGCTGGACCTCCCATATCTTGGCCAAGAAGCTGCCACCAATGGTCATGGACAGGAACGCAGAGAAGAGGAGAGCCAGTGTCGGCAGAAATGTGGCTGCCGCAGAGGACACCCACGTCGCCGCGGCGGTAAACGTCATGCCGTCGACCATGACCATGATGGCGGTCGTCCAGAAGCTAACGCGGCCCATGGTTGACGGCGTACAAGACTCCTTGATCTGGTTCTTGAGCAGATTGACCTGCGCAAAAACCACCACGGCGTAGACCAGGATCCAGGTCTTGATTTGATACACATGAACTTCAGTCTTCATCCCCATGAGGTGGTGAGCCTCGCTCGGGCTAAAGTCGGGCGGCCCCTTGGACTCGAGGAAGAATGCGCAGTCGGGGGAGTAGATGACCACTGACATCTGCAACTTTGGCACCTTTGGGATGGGAGCACCCTGGGGGGATTGCAGCTCAGATTCGATGGCGCCAATGATATTTTCCATCGTGTCCCTCGAGATGTCATCCATATCAATGTTAAGGATCTGTTGGCCCGGTGGGTGGACTTGCGCATACATGATGTACTCGCAGTGCGGCGAGGGATTGGTCGTGTACATGGGGTTCTCGAGATCCGAAGTCCAGGGCATGGTTTGGTCGATGTAGATATTTTCCTCCTTCCTGGCAATTGTGCGGGCCAGGGACTGATTCAAGAGTCTCTGGCTCGACTGAAAGAAGTCCTCACTTGGAGTCAGGTGCGGAAGACCAAAGATGCCCTCGAACTTCTCGCTCGTGGTTGTCATGAGGATGACGCCCTGATGCGGCCAGTGGACGCCCCAAAGCCTCATCTCCCAGTTGTGACCAGAGCCATCGGTATCTTCAATGGTCGTAGTACCCTTGACGCTGCGTATCAGACCCCCAGAGACCGGCGTGCTATCCTCGGCCAGCTGCTCGTACTCCGACACCGTCTTGTTCCCATCGATTCGTAGCATCATCCTCCCCGACTTTCCTGTTATGTTGCGGGCCCAGTCAGCCTTGTCTCCTATCCAATCCATGCCAGTGGCGTTGTGGGTGAGGTTGTAGCTGTCGTATCCCCTGGGGACAGAGCCCTCCCGTCGAATCCATTCGCCGTGGACCGTCCCGGATGCGTTCATCCAGACTGCCTCGCCTTGGCCAATATCCCACAAGTCCTGCCCTGCCACCGGTGGTATGGCATGTCGACTAAACTCCAGGCTCCTCTCACGGAACCGTTCCAGGTCCTCCCACGCAAAGTTATCCTCGGCTCGGAATCCGGAGAGGTTAAGATACGAGGGCGTGGCTTCGTCATCCTCGCTCGCAAGTGGTACTGGCGTGAAATCACCCCAGCGGGAGGTGTTCAAGATATCAAGGGCATCGTGGAACCTCGAGAGCCTCTCGGCGGCTAGGTCGGAAAGTGCGAGAGATCCGTTCTGGTACTCGCCGTCGGGAAATATCAGCCAGATGAGAAAGAGGACAAAGGCCAGCCCGACGATCGGGTGCTGCGCGGGCGGCATGCTGATCGGCGGCGGCACGGAGCTACCGCAGCGACATCCTACTTCAGACGGGGCCGGGTCTCATGGGCGATGGAGATGGAGAACTTTTCAACCATGCCCGGGTGAGATTTGTGGTGGTTGTGAATTGGAAATCGCTGTCGCGTGGTTGATTGTAGGTGACGAGTCGAGCTGCCTGCACGAACGAACAAGGCCGGGTCCTCCCATGACGGAATGTGGCGGTACATGTGGCGGGCGGAGGCCGAGAAACGCCGCACCGCGCGTTGCGGCAGCTGTAATTACAGTACGAATACGCGACGTCTATGAAGCAACACACGCGAAACACATTAAAGCCACCAACCACTGTGCATGAAAACCTGTCTCGGGAACCGACAGTACACCTCCAATTTATCGCTGTGGGTTCCGGTTGAGAGAATCCAAACAAATTTTGCCTCCGATTGTGGGCTTTTGTGACACCCTCGTCGTTCCATCTCCTCCCGTTCCTCATCTTCTCCCCGCCATCCTCCTCCACCTTCACAGACGAAACCATGGCCAGTAACCCGGAGACCCCCACCCCTAGCCTCACCAAGGTAGAGAACGTACGTCTCCTTGATGTCTACACATCATTTGTCCCATGATGTCGTGCCATGCCACTTGCTGGCTGCAGAGTGCCCTGGTCGGAACATTACTGACTTGTCTCCCAGGAGCCGGAGGATGCTCGCGCCGACGTCACGGCCGCTGTCGAGGAGCTCTTGAACACGCTGTCCAACAAGTTTGCTGGCGTCTCTTCCGAGATATTCGCCAAGAGTGAGTCTCTCGCCAGTGGTGCCCACTAGTTCTTCCACAGATTACTAACATCGCGTATAGTGGATGACATGTCCGAGAGACTTGATAAATTAGAGGCTGCTCTAAAAGAGAACCAAGCCAAGGACGGAGGCCCTTCAAAGTAACGATAGCAAGATGATATATTCCAATAATTGGAGGTTGCAAGGCGTTCAGGGCTATCCTTTAAAATTATGACGAGACATCGCGGGGTTGGGTTGCTGGCTCGGCTAGGATGCGTCTCAAGTCATGGCAAGGGCGAAACCCAAGAATCCAGTATATATTCATTTACTGATGTCCACCTTCACTAGATAATTTTTTTTTTTTCATCTTTAGAGTCTTAAGATTTCTCCTTTACAACTCATCCTTGACATCCTCATCCTCCTTAACGAACTTGCGAAGAACGTTGGTCCTGGTTTGGATCTGGTCGCGCTTGGACCCGGCAAGGCCACCCTTCTCCAGAATACCTTCAAGGCGAGCAAGCTCCTTGGCAACGTAACCCTCAGTCTTTCTAATCTTATCGAAGATGCGAACGTAGTACTCCGCGTACTTGATCTCGGCGGCATCCTTGAGTGTCTTGGCCGCCTTCTCAACCTCAGCGGTGACCTTGGCAAGGTCGCCACCGTTGATGAACTTGGTAACGAGAGTGTCCAGGACCTCAAGGGTGCCAACAACAGAATCAAGCTCTCCACCAGTGACTCGGTGAGTTCCAGCCTGGAGGTTGATGTACTTGACCAAATCGTTCTCGCTCCGGCCGCCCTTGTAGTCAACAGCCTCCTTCGTGCCAGCAGGGTAGAACTTGATCGTAGGGTATCCGGAAACTCCCTGGGACTTGGCCCAGGCCTTGTTCTGGGTAGCATCGGCATCGACTTTGGCAATCACAACGTTTTCATCGTTGGCGAAGTCGGTCGCGAGGGACTCCCAGGTGGGAGCGAGGGTCTTGCAGTCTGGAGCGGTCAAATGTTAGCCTGGCCCTCAAGTTACATGTCGGAAATACTCACGTCCACACCACGGCGCAGTGAAGGCAATCAGAACGTGCTTGTCTCCACCAACAACCTCGTTGAAAGACCCCTCGTTCAACATGACAATGTCGCTGGGCATCTCCTGCTTCTTCTTGGGCTTAACACCAGTCTTCTCGGCGATGAAGTCGGTCAGACTGTCCAGGTCGCGACCCGACTTGTAGTCTTGGGGTTTGTTGCTCTTTCCATCGAACCACTTGAGGGTAGGGAAGCCCTGGACACCAAACCGTTTGCCCAGCTCTCGGTGCGCATCGGCATCGACCTTGGCGATCTGGACCTTGTCCTTGGCATACTCGAGGGAGAAGGCAAGATCCTCATAAACAGGTGCCAGAGTCTTGCAGTGGCCACACCAGGGGGCAAAGAACTCAACAAGGGTAGGCTTGCCGGAATTGAGCACAACTTTGTCAAAGTTGGTCGGAAGAAGCTCGATAACAGCGGATTTAGCGGTGGCCGAAGCGGCCAGGGCGGCGAGCACGAAGCTCTTGATCAAGACCATTGTCGGTGACTGAATTGAAATAAGGTTGATATATAGAAGGACAGCCGAGGCAACTTGGAGAAATTGGTATCAAATGCACAACTTTTGGGAGTGCAAGATGACTTTTATGCTGCTGCTGTTGTTTAGAAATCAAGCTTTAAGATGCCAGCTTGCAGCGAGCTCCGTTCCTGTTTCAAGGCGACAACGGTGAGGTAAGCTGGCAGCCACAGTGGGCTACCTACCAAGGTGGCAGCGGCGTGGCTGGAGTATGGCGCTGAGCACGTGAAGATAAGGCGACGGGAATTACCTACGTAGGTAGGCGCTTTATCGAGTTCACGTGATCACATGCCCTCACGGACCACCCCCTCGGCTGGGCTGGGGCTGCCAACCCTCCAATCGGTGGGCGGTGCGTATCGAACAATTCACACAAAATTTCACGCCCACTTCAACCCTCGCGAAATCACCATCCTCAACTCCAGCTTTCGGCATCATCACCGCAATCATGTCTCACGAAAGTGTTTGGAACTCGCGCCCCCGATCCTACGGAAAGGGCTCTCGAAGCTGGTACGATTCACCACCCTCCTCGTCGCAGCAGCCCTGCTCCCTCCCGTTCTCCGAGACCTCGAAATGCTAACAGTTTCTTTCCCCAACTACAGCCGCGTGTGCAAGCACAAGGCTGGTCTTATCCGCAAGTACGACCTCAACCTGTGCCGTCAGTGCTTCCGTGAGAAGGCCAAGGACATCGGTTTCAACAAGGTGAGTTTTGATTGGAGGACAATCGAAGACTTCCTCTCTTCGACTACATGAGGACTATGGGAAACTGACTGTTGTGTGCCTACAGTTCCGATAAGCGATGTTGGAACGAATTTTCTCGGATCGGGCAGGTGACAAGTAGTGGAGGAGGAACTCTTGAAAGAAGTGAAGGGCCTCGCCAAAAGCATCTCGGAGGGCGGCCACTTGGAACTGGAGTTTTATGGCTTGCTTGGGTCTAAGGAAGATCGTGCGTCTGACGAACATCCTCCGAGGATAAACGAATACCATTGCATTGGACCTTACACCTTGTGCCTCCCCCCTCGTTTCGATCTCTCCGTGTTTGACACCAATTGGACGCGCGAGATTTCGGCTCTAATGTTGCGATCGGGTCTGCAGGCAATGTGTGGTCGGAATGAACCCAACAGCTGTCAGAATATTCTCCTGCCGAACCACCAACAAAAAAAAAACCCGGCCCGCATTGTTGACGCCAAATCTTGTCCCATAAGAAATTATGTGCATGTTCTTGAGCTGTCAATCAGCCATGTCGCGTACGCTCAAACATATTCCTTGCCATCACATCACCGGCGAAGTGAGAATGAGGGCTATTTTACAAGTATTGATTACTGCCTCCCCTATTTTGTCTAAATTACATGTGTCGAGACAACGGGAAGAAGCAGAGCGGAGATCTTTGAGCCCCCCGGCCGTAGATATACAAGAGCCAAACTGGACTCAAAGTGGGAGACATGGCCCAGTTGGACGTGAGCGCCAATAATTCGTACACCATCACCTCCTTTTTTCCCAGACGTAAAATCCTCATCACGTCATATCCTAACCGCAAGAACAGCTCTCACAGCCAAGTCACATCACTCTTCAATCGCTTATTTGACAATGCGAGTGCAGAGACCAGTGGCGACAGTGCGGCCACCCTCACGGATGTTGAATCGCTGACCAACCTCAATCGCGTTGGGCTGGTTCATGGTGACAACCATCTCGACGTTGTCACCAGGCATGACAGTCTTAGCGGAGGCATCCTCGGTACCCTCGGGGAAGGTCAGGTCGACAGACTCATCAGCAGTTCGGAGGTACAGCTGGGGTCGGTAGTGCTCCTGGAAGCCAGTGTGTCGGCCACCCTCCTCCTTGGTCAGGACGTAGAGGGAAGCAAGGAACTGGGTGTGGGACTTGACAGTGCCGGGAGCGCAGACGACCATGCCACGGCGGACATCCTCGCGGCGGATACCACGGATGAGAAGACCGGAGTTGTCACCAGCCTCGGAACGCTCGCAGGACTTCTTGAAGGTCTCAATGTCGGTGACCTTGGTCTTCATGACCTCTTGGCCCTTACCGACAAGCTCAACCTCCTGGTCGCGGAGCAGGGTACCGCGCTCGACACGGCCAGAGACGACAGTACCACGGCCAGCAATGGAGAAGACATCCTCAACGGACATGAGGAAGGGCTTGTCAAGATCACGGACAGGGGTGGGGATCCAGGTGTCGACGGCCTCGAGCAGCTCATCAATTCGCTCGTTGCCAATCTCGGGGCGCTGGTTGTTGAGGGCCATGAGAGCAGAGCCCATGATGACGGGGGTCTCGTCACCCTCGAAGCCGTAGGTGGTGAGGAGCTCACGCATCTCCATCTCGACGAGCTCCAGCATCTCAGGGTCATCAATGGCATCGACCTTGTTGACGAAGACGACAATCCTCTGGACACCGACCTGACGGGCGAGCAGCAAGTGCTCTCGGGTCTGGGGCATCTGACCATCAGAAGCAGCGACGACAATGATGGCACCGTCCATGTTGGCGGCACCAGTAATCATGTTTTTGATGTAATCGGCGTGGCCAGGGCAGTCGACGTGAGAGTAGTGGCGGTTCTCGGTGGAGTACTCGATGTGAGCAGTGGAAATGGTGATACCACGCTTTCGCTCCTCGGGAGCCTTGTCAATGGAACCATAGTCGAGGAAGTTGGCAAAGCCCTTTTCGGCCTGACGCTTGGTGATGGCAGCGGAGAGAGTAGTCTAGAGAATGGCAGAGTAAAAAGTCAGCCGACATGTTTCCAAGTGGGGGGTAATGCAATTGAAGGGCATCGAAGCGTACCTTGCCGTGATCGACGTGGCCGATGGTACCGATGTTAACGTGGGGCTTGGTTCGCTCGAAGACGGCGTATGATCGGTAGATGTTGAGTACGCCGGAGACATTCTGCTTCTTGAAGGCAGACTGGAGGGGGCTGGCCCGGGCAGAGCTGAGGCCCTGGCGCGCGGTCCGTAGGAACGGCGCAACAGATCGGAAGGCGGTAGACATGATTGCAAGCCGCGGGGTATATGAAGGCAGCGCCAAAGAGAGGAGAAGGGATTGAGCGGAGGAGGGAGGGGGAGGAGTTGCGGGAATTCAGGAACACGCGGTGATGCTGCTCTGATATGATGCTGGAAATTTTTATGAGCTGTGCTGGACGCTGGCTCGAAGGTGGTTTGCCCACTGTTGTGTGGGCCAGCCAGTGAATGGGCCAGGGTCAAGGCGTCCACTCAACGCATTGTGGCTGGTAATCAAGTCACGTGGAGTCGCGTCCTCAAGGTTCATCAAGTAGCGCCTCAGGTTGACGAGGAACGATGGAGCTCGGAAATGCCCGATGGCTTATTGCCCTGTGATCCTCCGTTTGGTACCATGCACCACTGAGCATGTGAAGCCATAGCTTACATGGCCATGGTTCGTCAAATGATCGCTTGTGAGGTCATCGTTGGAGGGCTCAGCACGGTGTTAATTGGCTGACTGTCAGGGAGACAACCAATCCCGATGCGCCTTAAATCCTGCCTCGAAGGTCACGTCGTTGTAGTCGCTTGTATAAATGAAATGCTGACGCTTTGCCTTTCACCGGCTAAACCATCTACTCTCTCATTTTATCTCACCTCACCTTGATCTAGTCTTGATATAATCCTGCTTCAAAATAAAGAAGATGGCCGACGTGGACGCAGCGCTGGACACATGTCACGGTATGGTATTGGGAGGCTTCACTCCTTGAGTCCGTCAAATTGACAGTACACGCAGTCCTCTCTCCCCGCAATTCGGTCGGCGATACGGAGAAGATGGCAAAGGGTTCCTCCTCGCGAGCCCCAAACCTTGGGCATGATGCTGGTGTTGAACATCACTGCACCTGTCTTGAAGAGCCCGTCTCACACTTTGGTATATCGTGTCGAAAAGCCGATTGCGCATTGGCACCATCAGAGAAAGGCAAACAGACATCATGAGTTGAGAGGAATTATTAGGCAGTTATCATTTTCTCATCTCAGCCACAAAAACAATTTGGTACGAAACGGCAATTCGATGCCGATCAAAAGGGATGTCTGTTCATATCGTGGTCTAGCGGCGTGGGCACCTTATCGCATTTATATCACTTCAAATAATTGACGATATGTATCATACGCGAAATTGCAGACATGCGTCGTAATAGAACCGATATTAAGATCAAACGCAGTGAGTGATTAAAAGGTTAAGACTGGGGAGTGACGACCAATGTCCCGCGTCTCTCTCAATTGCCACCAGAGCCATTTCCGCGCAGAAAAGCCGGGACCATCGGGGAATCCACTCTAGACAAACCCGCGCTATAAAAACTTCCAGCTCCAACAACACATCTCACAGACCGAGTCTCAAAAACAGCAATACTCTATCAGTTTCTCGACTTACGCTCGTCTGACCTTGTCAGCGCATTGCCCTCACTTCAGCTTTGCCACTCAGCGCTCCGCCTGCTAAGATCAGCCGCCACAATAACCGCTCAGGCTACATCGCCTCACTCAGCCTTCGCAGCGTGTGCCATCTCTCTTCGTCCAAGTCACCTTGTAAACGGGGGCCAGCACTTCACTCGGCGTTTTAATCTGAGCACGCAACGATCCACTGAGCCAGATACGTCATCATGGACCCTGAGACCGCCCAGCAGCAGCCGCTCGAGAACGAGCCGATTGAGCTCAATGCCATCGGTAAGGCGGCGGCTCAATTCCTCCAGCTCGGAGCCAACGCGTCCAACAACCTCGCAGATGGCTTCAACAAAATGGACACCAAGAGCTGGATCCGTCTTATCGTGATTGTGGGTGGCTACATGCTGCTGCGACCGTACGTCCTAAAGCTGGCCGGCAAGGTCGCGGTCAAGAAGATGGAAGATCAAGAGGAGAAGGAGAAGGAGGCGGCCAAGGCCAAGATTTCGGCCAATGAGCTCCGAGGTGAAATCGTTGAAGACATTGAAATCGACGCCGCGGGCGACGGTTCAGGCGCCGATTGGGGCCAGAAGGCTCGAGTGAGGCAGCGGGTGATGCTGAAGAACATGCTCGAGGCAGAGGAGCTACGGAGACAGGAGGAGGAGGATGACAAGGACATTGAGGAGTTCTTGGTGGACTAAGCTGGATTTTCATTGTACACATGGGATACGGAGTACGCATTCGAGGTTAATAAAGCACGCTGGCCAGAACTAGTTGTGCCATCGTTCGTTGTGCCTCTGTCGGAAGAAATTCCAAGGTCAGGGGGGTGTTTTCCCTCCCTAAATTACGTACGGATGCTAAGCAGGGTTTGGCTCATCTAGAACGATCTGTGGCCTCTTCTAGCGCCATGCTTGGCAGATCGACTGCCCTGTATCGTGATCGGCGCGCTCCATCAAACAGCGCAACCCACCTCACATGCGAAGTAACGGAGGATGAGAACCCAAAGTTGAAAAACAGTTCACGCGACGCCTATCAGTCACACTTGTCAGACGTTGCAGAACGAGCAGTAGTGACACAACGCCCGCAGTCGCGTTTTGTTGCAAGGTGGGTATTATATCCTCGACTTGGTTATGGTCGCAAAGCCGGTTCCTGTTAGGTCGGCTTGGGCGATAACAAATCTGCGACGAAATCCCGAACCCAACGTTCCCGTAGGAACGGGCTACTATGATGGCAGCATTACACTGCGGCTTAGTGCAATGAAACCCAAGCCCGTGGCAAAAATATTCAGTCGCGAGTACGATATGCAAGTGGCTGCACCATTTGCCGACGGTGAATCAGGCTTGTCCTTGTAGAACGGGCGAGCAGATGCCAGGTCGTTGGGCAATAATTGTCGGTGAAAGTCACAAGGTTGTAACTTATGTCCCTGCGATGCTAGAAGTATCCATGGAACTTCAGTGTCTGGCCACAGGGTGTGAGTCAAGCTGGTTATTGCCACCCATACGATGCTTAGGCCCTGATCCGCAGTCTCCTTAGACCTTAGACCTTAGACCACAGAGGTACTTCCGGCGTGCATATTACTGCAACGCTGTGCGGGCTGGGATAACGTCAAAGGCAGACAAGTTGCTGACAACTTGCGCGATGCCTAAAAGCGGCGGAGCACTCGTAAATCAATTGCGACCCATTGTCACAATTGCAGACGGCCGCATATGTGCGTACAATTGTACAAATAGCAGTTGATGCGGTCAAACCCCCAGCAATAGTTCACCGAAAAAGGAGACCTGGTTGCGCACGAGAAGCCGCCCCAACCAAGGTGTACCCCAACCAAGGCGCACCCCATGCATCATGCACACTGTTTTGTTGCCATGGAGTCACCGACACTAGAGTCCAGGGTAGTTAGCCAGGCATGCCCGACGTCGAGAGGGGCAACCTGGCGGGGCTATTGGCGGGTGAAGAATGAGGGGCTGTTCTGTGAATGGATGCCTGTCTACCCTCCGGTACCTGAGTTGCAGGTGGCGCGCCCGCATTGGCTGAGGTACCCCGGCGTGGTGGGTGGTCCATCCTATGTCATGCCTCTCCTACCGCCGCTTGGGCGCTCAAGCTGCGCCTCCAAGGCTCAAGCATCCCGCTTGGCCCTCTTACGTCGCAACCTCCTCCACTCAACATCCCGCCTGCTTTTCCTCTGTTTCTGTTTGATTTTGGCCTCGACCGCCTCTCACGTGCCGCATAGCTTCCAGCTCAAAGTTCTGTTCCTCGCCGACGAGCCCCCGTGGTTATCTCCCCTCCACGGCCACAGCATCCGCCTGCGCGCAACACACCGAGAGTCACCGCACCAACAACAAGGCCTCGGGCGTCGAGCCGTGACATCGCCGAAGCCCATCCGCGCACCTCCCGTTGGGCGCATTCTTATTTCCCTACCACTGAGACAATGTTTTGATCTCCTAAACTCGGCCAAGTGAATTCGCACCATGGTTGAGTCGCTGGACATCCAGAACCTGCTCCAGACGGGTTATTATGCCACATCCCGGTCCAAGAGCCCCCAACAGTATGCCCTCCTCCACCCACGTCTCAATGCCATGCTTACAAGTCGCTCGCAGATCGTCGACGGAACTCGAAGCCCACCAGCACTCGCGGCCACCCCCGTCATACGAACTAACAACTACCCGGTCTCACCAATCGACGTCACGATCTCGGAGATTTAAACCACCACCACCACCCAGCGTCGAGGACGAGGAGGTATCGCTCAAACGAGAATATGGAGCCAGGGTCAAAGCAAGGTCCTCGGAAGAGGACACCCCCTCCCGGGGTGACGTCGATCAGCATCCCCTCATAATGGAGGTCCATGAGTACAACCCAGAGCGTCGGTTTGTCATCTTGACGGGTCCACCCAGTTCGTCTGATGGAGGTGAACAAGAGAAAAATTCACCAGAGAAAAAGGCAGATTCCAAGCCGCCACGAGAGGAGAGACGAGCGAATGACATCCCATATGAGACCAGCACCTCCCGGAGACACGAGCCCATCTCGAAACCCGAATCCACATTGAGGCCCGGTTCGAGCGGCGGCAGGGATAGCAGCAAGCCCCGCCTGGAGAAGCGCAAAAGCAGACAAGACCTCCCCAAACTAGAAACCGAAGTTGGAGATGATCACCTACCAGAGAAGTATCGCAGTTATCCTGCTGCACAAAATAGCCGGCCTGACTATCCTCCCGCTCGACCACCTCGACCACAGCCAGACCCGTCGCTAGCTCCCGAAGTCATTAAACATGGAGCAAGCGGGCGAGAACAGGCCTACCATAGCTACGCTCAACCACAGAGCGCCAGTCGCCGGTCGCCTACTCAGCGATCGTATCCAAACCAGCCAGGAGATCGACGGTTTGAAGAAAGTCATACTCGCGCTTCTTCGGCCTCATCCGCGACTAAGCGGGTAAGCCCAAATCAGGACTCTGGAAAGCCAGCTCGTCCGCTATCCAATGATAGGATAGGCGACGCTCGCTATCGCCCCGAATATGCACCGTCACCGGGCAACAGAAAGGAACGATCTCCTGAATATGGAAGACCGGAACGCGATGAGGCCGCACGGTCGTCAAAGTATCCGCCTCGAGAAACCGAGAACCGCCGGGAAGCAGAGAATCGTCGAGAAACTGAGAATCGTCGAGAAACTGAGAATCGTCGAGAAACTGAGAATCGTCGAGAGATTGAGAACCGTCGAGAAACTGAGAACCGTCGAGAAGCAGAGAATCGACGTGAAACTGAGAATCGACGGGAAACGAAGAGCCAGTCCGGTGACGACCATCCCAAGGGTCCACGAGAGCTTCAGCAACGTCGGAGGAAATCAGTTGTTGTTCAAGAGGGCCGCGAGTCTTTGCCGACTCTGGAGAAGGTTGAGGCACCCGGCGGTCCACGCCTGAGACCGAGAGGACCAACGATGCCCTTGCCGATCCCGGTGCTTTCTGCTGGGTCTCCAGATGATGTGCCTACGAATACACGAGGTGCTTCAACCTTCCCGGTCTCGAAAGAAGAACAGAAGCCTTCGCTCCCAGAACGCCCAAAGACTCAACTCCCGTATCCTGTCGACGATGACGCTCCATTAGACCCTTTTGGTATTCGGAGACATGAGTGGACAGGTCGACCGCAATACGATGGAGAGCCGTCCATTTCTATGCCAGAACTACCACTGCCAATCCCGATTGGTCCCGAAACGCCCATTGAGGCCATGTCGGCCTCTATCACCCCAAGCGCTCGTGTCCCAGCAACATCTCAATCGTGGCAACCTCCAGCATTCGATCCTGGAAGGGATGGTTTCCACCTTGAGAGGCCAGTTGGCTCTGTCCGACGGCACTCGGAGAACATTGATGCGCCTGGGGTTCCCCAATTTCCCGAATGCCGTCGTAAACATCCCGTAGCGGGAAAGATAGACTGGATCACCTTGCCGAGGACAGATTTCAACATCTGCCCTGATTGCTACGGGACTGTATTCTCAAACACAGAATTCCGAACCTTCTTCCAGCCAATGCTTCGCCCCTCGGACCGACCTATATCTTGCGATTTTGGGGTATCACCGTGGTATCGCATTGCTTGGTTGCTGACTCTGAAGAATAATAAGCCGGACTTGCGACTCTTCCATGAAGTCGCCAATGTCGTTTCAACCACTCACAATGTGCCTTGCCCAGGCGATAGGACGACCTCACGAAATTGGTCAACGATATGGAACCCATCCACGCGACGACCGGTCTATGACTTTACGATTTGCACTCAGTGTGCCCGAATCATCCAGGCTTTGCTGCCTAACCTTTCCAGCATATTTATCCCCTTGGACCACCGTGGGGAGCCTTCTCGGGGAACTTGTTCCATGCGATTCAAGGCCAAGCGAAAGCGATTTGTCATGTACTTTGACGCCATGGAAACCACCTCAGACATAGCACGCCAAGAGCAGGAGGAACCAGACATCATAGGTCTAGCCAACGAGCTAGAACAAATGACATCAATCAGCGAGTGTCATGAGGACACGCCGATTGCCAACGGGCATTGGCACATTATGCAATTCCTACCACAACTTGCCGTCTGTGGCGATTGCTTCGAAGAGGTGGTTCGCCCACGGCTCAAGGATAACAATGTCATTGCTCGCAATTTCTGCTCAAGCGCGCAGAGGCTTCCAGTGGCAACATGCCAACTTTACTCTCCCCGCATGCGGGACATTTTCCAAAAAGCGTGTCGGTGGAATGACCCCAAGTACCTGGAGGCAAAGGTTCTAGAACGGATGGAACTTGAGGCCATGATACACGACAAGTTGGCCAAGTTAGACAAGTCAAGACACGATGATGACTGGGTGGAGGAGCAGGTAGACAGTTTGATCCAGGAGTGGAAGAGGTGGGAGTAGACAAGCTCACGCAATTTTGGATACTTGGTATAGAAGAAGTGGGGGCATAATTATGTATGTATACCCGTCACCGCGGCCGTAATGATATATGCGGTGAGAATGAGACTCATGATATTATAGAAATGGTTGAGTCCTTGTTGCTGTGACCCAAGGGAGGATTCTCATGGCAGCCAGACGCTACAACTACCACTTAGGTAGATACCAAGACAGGTGGTGTGAAGGGCGTTATTAGCACTGTACAAATTATCGTCACGTGAGCCACAACAAACATTCGCTAGGGCGGAGTGCCGGCGTGTGGGGCTTAGGGCCTCCGCCCACCAAATCGCAAAAAAACCCAGGTGAAATTTATCGCGGGTCCCAATCCAACCTCCCACTCCATCACTAATTTCGACGCCGCACGACGCTCGAGGTAAGCCCCCCTCGCTTTTGAACAAGAGTGATCCCAATCTCTCTCCTACAATACTACTAACTCGATCCTCTTCACCAGGTCCAAGTCCCACCTTCAAAATGGCTTCGCGACCTACCGTCTCTATCATCGGCAAAGATGGTACTCCCACGGGAGCTACCCACCCCATCCCCGCGGTCTTCACCAGCCCGATCCGACCGGACATCGTCCAGCAGGTTCACACCGGCATGGCCAAGAACAAGCGTCAGCCCTACGCTGTGAGCGAGAAGGCTGGTCACCAGACCTCTGCCGAGTCCTGGGGAACTGGTTAGTGAACAACAATTTTTTTCATTGTGGGCGACGACAAAATATTTTGTGGGATGGGACGGTCCAGCAACGCACCGGCGTGCTGCTAAGAGGAGGATCTGCTTTGGAACGGGTTTCAACGACATAATGAGCATTCGGCTAACATAAATCTCCTAGGTCGTGCTGTCGCTCGTATCCCCCGTGTCTCCGGTGGTGGTACTCACCGTGCTGGTCAGGCCGCCTTCGGTAACATGTGCCGATCCGGTCGCATGTTCGCCCCTACCAAGATCTGGCGCAAGTGGCACGTCAAGGTCAACCAGGGCCAGAAGTGAGTTTTTGCAACAAATTCCATTTTTGAGGGGTAATGCTGACCAGAAAAACTAGGCGATACGCTGTCTGCTCCGCCCTGGCTGCCTCCGCTGCCGCTCCCCTCCTCCTCGCCCGTGGCCACCAGATCGCCGCTGTCCCTGAGGTTCCCCTCGTTGTCGACTCCGCCGTCTTCGAGGCTGCTTCCATCGCCAAGACTGCCGCCGCTCTCGGTCTCCTGAAGGCTGTTGGTGCCGGTGCTGATGTCGAGAAGGCCAAGGGCACCAAGAAGCTCCGCGCCGGTAAGGGCAAGCTCCGTGGCCGCCGCCACCGCCAGCGCCGTGGCCCTCTCGTCATCTACGATGCCGAGACCGACGGCAAGGAGCTTGTCACCGCTTTCCGCAACATCGCCGGCGTCGAGACCTCCCCCGTCACCTCCCTCAACCTCCTCCAGCTCGCCCCTGGTGGTCACCTCGGCCGATTCATCGTCTGGACCTCTGCTGCTTTCAAGGCCCTTGACGAGATCTACGGCACCACCACCGAGCCCTCTGCCCACAAGCGCGACTTCCTCCTCCCGTCCAACGTTGTCTCGCAGGCCGATCTGACCCGACTCATCAACAGCTCTGAGATCCAGGGCTCCCTTAACGCCCCCAAGGGTGATGCCGTGACCCGACGTGCCGCTGTTCAGAAGAAGAACCCTCTGAAGAACAAGCAGGTCATGCTGCGCCTGAACCCCTATGCTTCTGTCTTCGTCCAGGAGTCACAGAAGAAGCAGGATTAAATGTCCAACTCGCTGGGTGTGCAGCGGGCTAGGAAGAACTAGGTGGCGGGTATTGCATGGTCTGATATCGAGGCGTATGGCTTCTGGAAGGTTGAGCTCTTAAAAATGAATCAGAGATTTGACACTTTATGAAATCCGTTCTACCCCTGGCATTCGGTCTTTTGACTCCCATATACCTACCTATGTTGCGGAATACCCCATATGTCATCCTTCCTGTCAAGGTTAACTGTGTCTTGTCATTGTCTCGCTGTGAAATGGGTTTTAAATCTATAAAAACGTAGTTGATGTCGGACCATCCTGATCTGACTTGTCAATTACCGATGGCGTAATTCAGGGAGACACTGATCTCATTCTCGACCCCCCTTCCTCAGCCAATCACCCGACGGATCAGTAAACCCACGGGTTATCTGTTCTCACCCTCTGGTGTTTTGTAACCTGTTTTAAAAGACGGTCACATCTTACAAATAGCGGTGCGCGCCCAGTCTCTCATCCTGCAAACCCCATTTCCTCTTCATTGGTGTAGAAAGAATCACGTCTTGCGTTCCTTTTATCACAAATTGTATTTAAGCTTTCTACCTTCATTGCGACATGGGACTATTATCGCGTCTATGCTAAAGTAATAGACAGCTCCTTGACAAGCTTCTCGATTTCGGCAACCTCCTTAATCCTCCAGAACTTTTGTAGAGCGTTGGCATATCTTCGGGAACCGGCCTCGATGTTCTCGTCGCTCTCGGCCGCGAAACACAAGCGCACATAACTCCAGCCTCGCTCATCCCGGATTTGGGGCGTGGCGCTGAAGATGGCGCCTGGGGACCCGAGAACCAGGTTGGGTGCGTGAGTGGTGAAGATCAAGTATGCAGAGGCGAGCGTCGCGCCGTCAATTATGGGGATATCCACGCCCTTGGCCTCGAAGAGCGGGTGGTTCTCGAAGTGGATGCGCGCCCAGACGAACATGCCGCCGCGGGCCCAGTCGAAAGACAGGATCTGCGTCTTGGTGATGACGCCCCATTCGGAGTCGGTCTGGCGGATGGGTGTGGACTGCTTGAGCTGGTAGGTATTCTCTTCAAGGATGGAGCACATCAGGACCATACGGCGCTCGTACTCGCCACGGAGACCGGCGAGCCACCGGACCCAGCCGTCAAGCTTCCAGCCGCCAAAGGTAGCCTTGTCGTGGATTGAGAGAGCGTTGAAGGCGGCAACGGTCTCGGCGGGTTGGGGGCCTCGGATCAGCTCAGCGATCATGGACTGCACGAATCCAGATGGCTGCTGCGTAGTGGCTTCGGTAATTCTGTTGGGGAGGGTGGTCAGACGAAAGGTACGTGCCGTTTGTGGGCGAAAACTCACCTTTCAAAGCGCTCAATGATGGCCGGTTGGGCGGTGATCCAGCCGAGTCGGCAGCCGGGCGCGACTGTCTTGGAGAAGGTATCCAGCCGGATAACCCGGCCATCGATGTCAATGTTTAGGTATGAGGGGATGAGGGAGTCAATGAACTCGAAGCCCGACTTCTTCGCGAACGGATATGGCTCCTCGCTCTGGGAGAGCTCGAGGCCTCTGGCCTTGGCCTCCTCGAAGCGAGCAGCGGGGAATTGCAGGTACCAGTACGGCTCATCCTCTACGATGAGGAGATCATACTCGCTGGCAAGCTTGTAGATCTCCTTCCGCCGGTGCAAGGACTGGATGCCGCTCGTGGGGTTGTGTCCCATCCTGTAAGCGCGGGTGTGGTCAGCGTCACATCGCACATCTTACTCGATCGCCTCCTGATCGCCTCCCGTCGGACACCAGGGGCAACGAAAATCACTTACGTCACGGTATAAATGAACGACGGTCGCCGGCCATTCTTGGGATCCCAGTTCTCGAGCACCTCCCGCAAGCCACCGGGGCCCTCCGCCAGCATGCCCTGCCCATCCAACTCGACGGGGACGACCTGGAGGCCGTGCGGCTTGGCCTGCGAGAGGATGTTCCCGAAGACGAAGGTCTCGCACAAAAAGCTAGGGCGATCGGCAACGGGGTGGACACCCTCATACCATGGGTCGATAATGAGATCAAGCACCTTGGAGAAGCCATCCGTGGAGCCGTTGGTCATGATGATCTCAGCGCCGCCCTTGTACGGCACGTTGGGGTGGAGGACATCACGGGTGAATTGGCGGACGAAGGAGTACAGTGGTGGATAGCCCTGGGAGAGGCCGTATTGGAGGGCCGTTGACAGATCGAGCTTGAGGCTTGGGTCAGGCTGGTTGAGGACCTTGGGGATCGTGATGTGCGCCGACGTTGCGCTGAAGTCGGGATCTGGCAGCAGGCCACCGGCGCCCGCGGCCACGCCACCGGCATTAGTGCTATACGAGGCCTGCTTGCTTGTCTCTGCCAGAGGGTTGTTGGACGATGGCGTCCATCGGTCGGCCTTGGAGACTCGGGCTTCGAGAGTATCATAAGGAAAGTATTTCACATTTGGCATTCCTGGAGAGTTGGTCAGAACGCTGTTAAGAAACCGATATGCAGGCAGAGGTATCCGTAACGGTCATCCATCTAGTGTTCCGTCATCGTGAGGCACGGAGGCCGCGGACATCTCGAGCCAGCCCAACAAGCCGGGTTTATCGGTGAGGGTGAGACAACCGGTGAGACACTCGGCCGGGAAGACAGAGATGCAAAGACAAAGACGTACCACCAGAAAAGTTGCTGATCCCCGGGATCTTAGCGAACTTGTAAAAGGCCTTGATCTGACTAGGAGCTCGGTTATTTGTAACGGCTGAGAAGTGGTGAGACAGGTCCCGAGGCGCTGGCGCTGGCGCCGTCGGTGACGCCGTGGTGTCGGCTGTTGCTGAGGGAGACATGGCGATGAAGCTGAGTTGAGCTTGTCTCGGTAGATGCCAATTGACACTTGGTCAGATGCTAGGATATGATGTAAGAAGAGAGATGTCTGATTCCCTTCAAGTACCTTATCTCTTGGTTATCTGCTGGCAGGCATATGGGACGAGGGGGTCTACTCCCGATTGCGGCATGGAGGTGTGCATTACAAATCCATTTATCCCACTAACCCGTCATTCACGCCCGCGATCACCACATTATGCATCATCCCCAACCCCGTTCTCAACCCCGTGCGTAACCCCATAATCCCCCGACTTCAGAAGTGGGATGCTACCGAAAAGTTGCGCAACGAGAGTTAGTTATTAGGTAAACCGTTGCAGCGGCTGGTTCTAAAGTGTTGCTAGGTGCGCGCCACGGCGCTCGGTCTATGGGTCTAGGGTAGACCGGGGGGGTTTGGTAGCAATGGACAATGTCGTGATATTGATTGCCTCTGACATTATCTCGCAAATGACCTAAAAGGGTGTATCTTGTACCTAAATATTCAAGACCATGCTATAATAAGCGCCGAGAACCCTATCCTTTTATATCACGCCCCCAGTTCTCCGGTTCATAGTGGAAACCAAGCTCCTCCAGAGTCTGAGCTGTGCATCCCAACTGCTCAAACCGCGTCTTGGCCTCGAGGAAGATACTCCGCTGCCACATAAGCTCGTCATTCCACCGTGGGGGCTCCTTTCCAAGCTCCTTTGCCCTCATGACCCAGTCGTGGAGAGCGTTGATGTAGTATCCGTCGCCCAGGGGTTTGAAGACGTGCAACGCATCGCCTTCCCGTCGCACCAGTTCCTGACTCCACGCCTCCATCTCCTCCCTGGGTGGCAGCTGGAGGTTGTTGGACCAAACGGCCGAGAAGACAGCCGCTTGGCTCTCAGAAAGCGGCCACGGGGCGGCCTTCATGTTGAGGCTGGGGAAGACGAGAGTTGGGTGTTGGATAAGGAAAATGTGCTCGTACAGCCCGTTGACGCCTCGCCCCGTCGTGAGGAGTTTGTGCTCCGCGTCGGAGAGGAATGGATAGCCGTATAAAAATCCCGTGCAGAAGACGATGGCGTCAACGTCTGTCTCAACCCGGCCATCCTTGAACCGGACACCCTTCTCCTCTACGAGGAACTCGTCAATCTCGACCACTTCCTCACACCCCGCATGTGCCAGCCTCTCTAGAGAGGTGGGATGCCGAACAGACATGAGCACGGGCTTCATGCACTCCTGGTTGATCTGGAGAGCAATATCCAGCCCAGATGGACCATTGCCAACTACGACCACCTTCTGATCCTGGAAGGGATGCGGCGTGCGGTACTGCTTTGAGTGGGTGATGACACCGGGGTAGGTCTCGTTGAACTCCCGCATGTTCTTCATGGCGGGGATAAAGGGAGTCGAGTAGTGGCCATTTGCGACGACGACGGCGTCATACGTGTCCTTGGTGATATGGCCGTTTAGAGTAAACTCGGTTTCGACCTCCCACTTGTCGTGGCCATCTCTTGGAGTTAGAGTGACCCGCTTGACCTTTTGGCTGAATTGCACCAGACCCCGAACATCTTCAGCGTACTGGACAAGATACTCCTGAATCATGACGCGCTCGGGGAACAACGTCGCATTATCGGGGAACTTTTGAGAAGAAAAGTTCATCAGCCCGCCGGGGATGTTAGCGTGGAGGTTATCATACATTGGCGAGGTGAAGATGGGCGTTGCCTTTGCGCCGAGACGGATGGGCTCGTCCGGGGGGCAGAAGGGATCCTCCTGCGGCGCCCGGCAGGATCCCGGGGCGAGGCCGGTGTAGTTCCATATCCCGCCGACCTGATCCTGCTGCTCGAAGATGACAATCTCTTCAAATGCGGCCTGCGCCGTGAGGTATTTGGCCGCGGCGAGGCCGGCTGGCCCGGCTCCAATGATGGCGACCTTCTTCACGTCGAAGCCGGCTGGTGGGTAGGAACCCATGGTGTTTTTCCTGTGAAGCGCTCGGCAGTGGCTTCTGAAGAAGGAAAAAAAGAAGCGGCTTTCTATCTACAATAAATACATAAAAATCTGAAGCCTCTCGCACGAAGGTGACTCGTCTCCTCTCTGACAGGCGAGTGGGGAATGGAACTATTAGCTATGTCGTGCTCGACACTTGTCTGCTGTAAGTGGCATGGAAGGGCGCCGTTTCCTCCAGGCCACTGCCGACCAGGGGGGCCGGAGACGCCAATCCCGGTTTCATTGAGTACCTAATCAGAACAGACCAATTATAATCATACGCAGATGCGAGCTGAGACTGAAGCCAATCAGATGCTAGATGTCAGTCCCACCTAATGCTGTTCAAATGGGAATGGTGTCTCATTGCAATTCCAAGTTCCTGCTCTGAGCAGCTTTAATTCTTAGGAAAGGGCACGCCTCGATTCAAATAGAAACACCGTGTCAAAGGCTCAGATTAGCGGCTTGGAGGATATAGCGATTGGGTACTTCGTATGTGTTGATGAGAGCGACAGCTTTGTGCGATGGTAAGCAGTTTATTTTAGAGTGATCCTAAGGCATACATGTATTTTCGGCTTCACCCACACCGCCTTCCGCTTTCGGCATTTTGCCATTTGAGCTCCAGTTCCGACCTGAGGTTTCGAGGGGAGCTTCACAACGCATCTCGGGAGCATCCACCATCAAACAACCGGCAAACAATCACGACATACGACGATACCCCGATCGCTGACGCGATGCGACTGCCGCACCTACGACCCCACGCGTTTACAACCAGCTCATGAACCATTCCTCGACCCTTGTCTGCTTTGGACGTCGCGCCACGTTCATGACATAGAACTCGCAAGGTCCCCGCGAGCGCCATCAGCTGGTGCACAACCGCCGCCACGATGCCTGACAACGAGCCACCGCCCGAGACGCTTCGCACTACCGAGCCAACACCCATTGCTCTCCTCAGCCCCGACATCGCCAACCAGAAGACCCGAGTCGTCGATGGCGCCATCACCATCACCTGGCCTTTCAGCATTGTCACCAAGTCAATCGCATTCATCGTCGCCGAGCGTGACTTTCGACTCCGACGTGACAAAGGCCAGGTTCGCATCCGGTTCCATGGTCCTGCCGCAAAGGCCATCGCAGATGCTTCAGTGGGAGGAGGAGATGAGATCCGCCTGAGCTTGGACGGGGCGCAGTGGGAAAAGAACGAAACCAATACCCAGCTTGCGGGAAGCACGTTGGAGTGGCAACTCGAGTTCACTAATCGCCTAAGCCTGGTCATCAAAAGAACCGACTCGCAAGAGGAAAAGACGATAGAGATAGATTCCGATCCGACAAACGGCCAAATAGACGAGGCGCCACCCCCCGACGAACCGTCATCCACATCCGATCTCACAATACCATTCTCAGGATCGCCAGATGTTTCACTCTCCACGAAGCGCCCGGCATCCCCTTCATCCGAACCCCAAGAGTTTGCGTCGCCGGCCTTTATCAAGCGCGCTCGGGTTTCCTACGGATCACTCTTCGAAGGGGGTCTCGACATCTTTGATGAGGATGTTGGTCAAAAAAACAAAGCCAAGAAGAAGTCACGGTTTAGCTTGCCTGCCAATGCCTGGAGATACAGCAGCCGGTCACCTAGCCCTGACATTGAAGAGGAGCTGGAGGAATCGACCGAAACGAACGGAGCTGGCGAGAGACCGGACGCAGGCAATGCAGACAATGCAGACAAAGAAGCGGCGGATGTCCCCATGGATACGCCATCACGGCCGTCTATGGTTGATGAGGGATGCCAAACGATGGATGTTGACTTCACTCCGATGCATAGTGTCCAGGTCTCGGCCGAATCTCGCCCACTGTTTGGGTTTCCCTATGCCACACCGACGCCACTTCCTAGGACGAAACCGATCGATGCCGGGGATTCAGTGCTGGACAGTTCCTTACGTTTTCCACGCTCACCCGATGAGCAGCAGCCCTCAAATGAGCTGGCCACTGATTTCCTCGGCCATTCGCCCGCCCCCATCGACGCTGGCTTCGGATTTGGATTCACGCCCTCACAACCCATGCTATACACATCCGCACCAGATCTCTTCCCGATCACTCGCAGTGAGGGAATCTTGCACGACTCTGTCAACGATCTTCCGGTACCGGAGGACTATCCTACGTCATTCCTTGACAGCACTGGTCTTCCTCCAACAATTGAACCTCTCACCAAACTACCCTCACAGGATTCCCACTCCAAACCAGAAGCGATAGAACAAACGGTCCCCCCCTTCGAGCCCGGGCCGCCATTTTATTCTCCTTTTCAAACCATCTCACAGCCTCCACAAAGCTCATGGCCGGCAGGAGTCTCATCCGCGCCATTCTCTATGGCACCAGCTGCTAATGCTGTCGATCAACCAGTCGAGATCATCAGCTCTTCCCCCACAAGAGAACCTGCCAACAGCGAAGAGCAGCGTTCTTCCCCATCCGAGATGACTGGACTTGTTACGCCCTACAGTCGCCCAGAAGAAGTCATAAGCAACAACGCGCCGAACGTATTCCCTGAAGAGGAGGAGGAGGTTGATGAAAATGCGGAGGGTTCGAATGAGGAGGAGCAATATGAGGATGGTGGTGACCGACCCGGAGATGACTACGACCTGAGAAACTACGACCGCGCTCACGCTGATGACGACGATGTGGATGAATCTGAGGAGGAACAGGAGCCTGTCAGCAACGACGCTGAAGCACAAATCGCCAACCCCGATAACGGCGAAGAAATTGAGGAAGAGGATGACGACGGGGAAGAAGAGGAAAGCGACGAGGCTGTTGACTACGATGAAGAGGTTGAGGAATACGACGATGAAGAAATCGAGGGGCAAGAACACGGAGAATTCGAGCGCGATGCCGAGGGTGAATACTACTCGGACGAAGAGGAATACGACGAAGAAGAATACGACGAAGAAGATGACGATGAGGTAGAAGAGGACGCAGAGGAAGAGACCCATCCCTCTGGTCCACCAGCTCCCAAGGAACCGGTGTTTATCAGCCTACTTTCTGATTCAGAAGATGAAGACGAACAGAAACCAGAATCCGAGCCTGGGAAGGAACCAGAGCTGAAGGAACCGTCAGCGGAACCAGAGGAGCCAATCCAACCAGAGGAGCCAACACAATCTGAAGTAGCTGGCGAGGCCATGGGAACAGCTCAAAACGATGATTTGGAGGTGATGGCTGAAGGCCTAGGAGCCCCTCCACCCGCTGATCAGATGGACATTGATGGTAAGTCCTCGGAGCTTTCGATGCTGCCGAATATAGCCGAGGGTACTGCTTCTACCGAAGCTTCCCATTCTGAATTGGTGGAAGAGCCGAGTACCGCAATTCAGCGCCCCTTGGATGAATCTCTACTCTTTGGTCCGGAGCAAGGGGAAGACAGCGAGCAAGATCGGGACCCTGAGACGAATGCGGTGGGTGCAGGGTCTCCTGACCAGGAGGACTTCGTGGTGGTCGAAGAATCGAATGAGACCGCCAAAGAAGACGATGATATTGAGCACTTGGAAGTCCCTCGACCTGTGATTGAGCAACCTACGGGCTCAACTGACGCCATGGATGTGGATGAAACGAACGAGGCACATGTAGAGAGAGGAGAGGATTCGACCGCTGCAGCCGCGCCAGAGATTGCTGACACGACAGATGATGTCGAGGAAGCTCATGGCACGATTATAAGGGCGGCGATGACGATCATCACAGACGACCAGGAGGGCCTGGACAAGGCAGTCGGGTCTACAGGGCCGCCAGCTACCCCAGAAAATGGCGTACAGCCATTACCTGGGTCGAACCCTCCCGCTCAGGAGATCGACCAGAACCAGCAAATAACGGATCCGAACCTGGCCACACAGGGGCAAGGGGACGTCGAGCCCCTGGACGCCACGATGCAGGATGCCTCGCAGGTTGAGGTGACAGCCGGATCTGAGCCGCTGCAGGCAATGGATGTGCACGAAACGGGAAACACGGATGTTGGAGAAACAAACGAGCCTCAGCCGTTTGTGACGGACGGTCAGATGTCGCCACCAGCCACACAGGGTTCCCAAACACACCAACTGCGACAAAACGGGGAACCCGCACTTTCACAGGCAACACCTACGGTATCAAATCAGGAGCCTCAGGAGCATCTGCCCACTCCCGGAGAAACGCAAGTCGAGGAGGTCGAGATGACGGAGAATTACCACCCTGCTGAGGAGCGCGATGGCCAGACCGACGAGGATGATCTAAGCCCGGAGGATCAGATCATGGCAGAAATTCTGCAACACTCCCCGGAAAAGCACGACAGCGCGCAGCAGCACGTGAACCCTGCACCACTATCTTCACCGCAGCCCAGGCCCGAGCTGACCGAGGCACCCCGCGGCTTAGAGTCGACAGATGCTGCGCCGACACCCGATATTCTCATCACCGTCAAGTCTTTACGCAGCCGAGGCCATAGGTCGACCAAGTCAAAATCATCCGATATATCCCATCCAGATCCCAGCATCCTATTGGCTAAGACAGCGACCACAATTGCCCAGCCAGACGATGATGTCAAGGCCAGCAGCCCACCGACAACCCTGCGCATAACGCGTAGCAAGGCCGACCAGGCCGACCCCAGTCTCCAGCTGGCGAGAGCCTCGACACACGTTGGAGCAACAAAGGGAAAAGGGAGGGGTCGCGATGAGGTAGTCGAGGCAGAAAACAGCCCACCAGCGAAGCTTCGTGTGTCGCGTAGCAGGGCGGACCATGGTGATCCGAGTATCCAACTGGCAAAAGGACCGCCCTCTTCTGCGACGCGGCAGTCGCGGCGACAGGTCACGCCGGAGCCGACTCGCGAGACTCGTTCCAGCTCTCGCAGTGTAGTGCATAGAGCTAACACGCCGGACACGGCCGTCTCGGCACTGGAGTCACCGTCGGTGTCCGGTTCCTTCGCCGCGCACGAGGACGAAAGTGTCGGCACCGTCAAGCTCCAGCTGCTCAGGAGCCTCCGCACCGGCCTTCCGGACTTCTTGTCGCTTAAGACGCTCCGCAACTCACTCCACCAGGCCACGGACATTCTGGCAGTGGCGACGACAACCCCGGCTCAGCCGCACCGGCCGAAACACGGGCCCAGGGATTACATGTTGACGATGAATCTAATCGACCCCTCAGTGGCGCCCACAGGCGTGTCGGTGGCCCACATATTCCGGCCGCACCTCTCATCACTCCCCGTTGTACACGCCGGCGACGTGGTACTCCTCCGGCGGGTGCAGGTAGTATCGATGAAGAGCCGGGGGTTCGGAGTTCGAGCCGGCGAAGCCTCGGCGTGGGCAGTCTTTGAGAAGGCAGATGAGGAAATGCTACCGCAGATCAAGGGACCTCCTGTTGAGGTAACTGAGCAGGAGATCAAGTACGTCGAGGGGCTGCGCCGCTGGTGGAACATGCAGGACGACAAAGCCTTGGAGAAGGTTGAGAGGGCGAGTCGCAAGGTTTCGGAGGCGGGCAAGGAAGATTTGAAGTGAGAGGCCTAGACCAAGCTAAGGATGATAATTCGCACAGGCATACTCGACAGTTGGTACTGGTGTTTGATCACATGTATGAGTCACGATCAGGGGGAACAAGATAGATAGGGAAAAATGGGATGTAGAGAGGACGTGGGCGAGGTCTGCCCTGCAGTATATGACTTTAATTGAAGCCGGATTGGGAAATACCGAATCAAGAGTACTGCGTCAAGTGCTACTACGTTGATGCGATATGTAAAGAGAGTCACGATGAGGCAAGGAAGCTAGAGCTAGAGCTAGAGCTCGAGCTTGAGCTTGAGCTTGAGCCCAGGCTGCAGCTATGTGAGCCGGTATCGGCATCATGGTCGTAAGCTGTGACTCTTTCTGAATGTTCAAAGCAGAAGGGGTGGGCGTAATAGAGGGTGGCCTCGGGAAGGAGGCGAGACAGATGGAGGAATGGAGGAACGGAGGCACCCCTTCGGCAAGGGCACCACGAAGCCATGATGGAGCTAGGGCAAACGGCTCGCGAGCTTTCCCCAGAAGTTTGGAGATAGCCGCCACGGAGCCGCAGGCGACCCTCGGCCCCAGACCGAGCTTCGTGCGTGATAGTGTGTGAGTGAGTGAGTGAGTGAGTGAATGTGGGGGTGGGGAGAGGCCGAGGGGAAGCTTTAGATGGCGATGGGTCAGAGCTTGTGAATGATGCAAGTTCGAGCCTCGGAGGTTCGGCAAGTCTGGGAATCTGATCTCGGAGGAGAGCTGGGAGTCAGAATTGGCCCAGCACATGTCATGAACAATCAGTTGTTACAGAACGGGAGCTCAGACGCGAAGGCACAGGCTATGGCTTCTTGGGGAAATGGAACAAGCCGGGATCGAGGATGGCTCATGGCAATGGCACGTGTGCGGGGAGACTAGCTTCAGGGTAGGGTAGTGGCATGTGGGGATGGTCGAAGGAGTCTCCGGGGCAGCGGAGCATCGAGGATCAACAGGATGCATGCTGTAGGATTGTGGGATTGGAGGATTGTGGCTGCTCGATATGGAGCACGGAGGAGGTGGCATGCCGCATGAGTCTCGACACACAATGGATGATTTAATTGGAAGGGAGGAGCATGTACCGCCCTATACGCAGTATGTAATTACCAGTAGACCATGTGATCAAGTCAATCAAGGAAAAAAGGGAGACCAAATGGCGGAGACAGGGGAGTTGGTGAGGTCGTGCATGCACATACAGATGGATGATGTGGGCGGTGTGTGTGTGTGTGTGTGTGTGTGTGTGTGTGTGTGCATCGCAAGTCAATCCGGGCGTCAGCTCCAACGCGGCGAACCAATTGGCTCGCCTTGGCTTGCAGTCCGCCCGCTGTTCAAGATCCCTTCCCCAGATAAACCTGCCCGTGTGAAGCGCAAGATGATGCGATTGAGATGCAATTGCTGCCCCGGAGCAAGCCGAACCGAGTCCTGGACCAGCGTGTCGCAAACGAAGCCATCACGACCTGCTGGCTAACACTGGGGACGGGTGGGCCCCCAAGAATACGGGGCCGAGCGCCAGCAACGGGAAACGGTTAGCCGAACCGAGGAGAGGGAGGGACAGAGGCAAATGCAGTATTCGTGATTAATGCTAGGACGAAGGGCGGCCCTCCCCAGCCTCGTGTTTGAAGGCTTTTTCCCATCACGATTTCTTTTACTAAGACGGCTGTCGGATGGCCAGGGGTCAATTGCGGTGGGGACGGAGCCTGACCAGCCACAGGCCCCGGTGGAGTGGCCTTCCTTCCTCTAGAGGTAATCAAGGGTACCTGACCGCTTGTACCTCCTTGTCGGAGTAACCGGAACAGTCCGACGAGTGGAAGCGGATCCATCCGCCATTGAAGAGCAAGCAATCCTTGAACCGACCTGGTGCAGCTCCCCTTTCGTCAACCGCTGAACCATTCAACTTACCGGCATTTTTTCCCCTTTCTGTTGACCAACTAATTACCAGGATCCCGCGGTGACGTGCTCGCCTGAAATCCACCACCGCGGCTGTCGGTGCTCCCAAATGGCGGTGCCGAAGCCCAGGACTGACCGTCAAGCGGTTGGTGATCATGCGCACGCCACATTTAGTCGCCTTCGTGACGAGGACGATGGGCTGTGCGTCACCAATGTAGCAGCCGGTGGCAAGGTTCTGGGATGGGCCCAAGATGTGAAATGTGACAGGGCATTGATTCGAGCCTAATCCGAGACATGATTTCTTATGTGATTTCCTTGTCACTCTCTTCCCATGCTGACCACGGAGGACATGGACGGTCGGAATGGCCTTGCCGAGACAGATGATACAGCTGACACAGACGATACAGACGATACAGGAACCCGGTGTCTTTCTGAATCTCTTGCTTGTACATGGTGTCTCGTCTCGAAATGCCGTCTCACATGTACCACATCCGAAAGCTTGGGAGTACACTGCCAAGTCTCACAAGTGAGTTCCCCGGCATTTTGGGCGTTTGCTGGTCGTTGGCATGGTTTAGCTTGCTTGACAGGGAGTGGCATGTGGCGGGGGGGTCGGCAAGATGGCGACTTGGCCGCCTAACCCTCCGCGTCAAATCGGTCCCTCAAGCACGTACGCCGCCGCTACTGTCCTAGGTTTGAGAGCCCAAAGAATGAACATCATGATGGCGAACCTAAGATAATGATCTGCCGAGTTTTCGGGGGGTTCGGATTATTTTGCCTATCTTGTGCGCGCCGTTGGGGATCGCAGAATCGAATCTTGGCTGAGACCTTGTTTGGCTGGGACTGAGAGGTCGGGCGAGTGGTGTATCCCTATTCTTCCCCCCGATCTGGATGGGTGTTTGCGGGTGTGGTCGGTGGAGCCCCAGGAGGCTACCGGAAGCTAGTGAATTCAATGTCTGGGCCGGGATGCGACGTCGCTGTCTCGATCTGAGCCAAAGACAACCTCGAATCGAGGCATTGATTCAACGTGTTCCGCACGCCGTACTTGGTGCATGACATCGAACGCGGCACCTTCGTCACACGGCCGGCCGCCAATACCACCGCAAGGGGCCAGCCACAAAAGGAGAGCACACACACACAGGGCAAAAGACAAACAGCTGTTTTGACCAAGACCCCCGTCGGGCAGTAAAAGTGAGAGCGAGGGTGGAGACTGGAGAAGGGAACGCTGAGGTGAAGGTTAGGGTGAGGGTGAGCGGACTCGGTGGATCCCCCTCATTCCTTGGTGAGACGACGAGACCTTGAACCTCTAGAGGTTAGGCGCTCCCGAGACCCCTTGCAGCTATGCACTAACCGGGGCATTCAAGGTGAAGTCACTAATTAGTGGACCCGACGAGCGGGACTGGGGTGGACTGGAGTGGACACCAAGATGGAGTCGCTGTGGCGCGCTGCGGGCTGGCTGCTGGGAGGAAACCGGGGGACAAGGGACAAGGGTGAATGGCCAGTGTGCCTGCGGCCTCCCAGACCCGTAGTGCTGGCAACGCTGGGCGGGATGCCGTTGGAGGGGTGCGCTAGCGCTGCATTTGCCCGGGACGCGCTCGGGGAAAGTCGGAAGCTGGATTCTGGAAGTCGGGAGACCTTCGTCTGACCCGCGTTGCGGATCCCACACCCGGTTGTTTTGTCCAGGGCTGGGTCGTGGCCCAGTTACACACCGTGCTCTTGGGCGCGCAAATTGAAGGAGACGGCGAGAACGGGTTCAGGAGACAAAAGAACACCCGACAACGGCAGGAGTAAATAATGGTTTGATTAAAAATAAAAGGGACGGCTAAACTGTCATCGGGAGCATGACAAATTGACAAATTCCGTCGTCGGGGAACGATGACGGGCGTGATACCAATCAATCGCCCCCCTCCCCCCCAAACCCGATGATTGACTGAACTGATCTGCTTCTGATCTGTACGAAGTACCGAATCCACATTTGGAGCCACCTCGTTTGTTGATGCTGACGCTATCTGACGCTGGTTGCTGTGATACCGCGATTCAACGTTGAGAAGCGAGCATGAAGCATGACGACGCACACCATCCGTTGTCTTTGTCTCCGTCAATCAACACAATTCGATAAGTAAACCGCCCGCGCCAATACAGCCACCTCAAGTCGGCAAGTAGTCCGGATCATTCCTAGAGATAGGCAATGCAGATAGGGACGTAGCATGAGCATCATCTGGGTGAGAGGGAGGGAACTGCTGCAGGCACCCACGTACATGTACGAAGACTGGCGCAAGTTTCCATACCTGAGGTACCTAGTATCTGGGCAGCCCCCACACAGTACGACATGCGGCCGATCAACGGAGCAGTAAGGGCTTCACAGGTGTTCTCCCAAAAAATAGATAGAAATACACAAATGATTCATGGTTATATACTATACTACGTAGTGTACTTGAGATTAGCAATCCTGCTGTAGTAGGTAAAACTTCACTTTGAGGAGAATAATAAATGAACTTCAGTGCATTGCTTAGGACTAAATAATAAATGTGTTCGGGCTTGGTAGGCACTGTATGGGCACTGTACTACACTGCACGGCCGGTACGTACCTATCTATACATTCCATGGACGGAAGTTGTCAAACGTCCTGCGTCAGCCTTCGCACATGAAAGCTACAGCTACCTTCGTACATGACCAACGTAAAGCTACAGCTATTCCTCACGCACACGCACCCGCACACGCAATTTATTCACTCGCTCACCACAAGAGTCACACAGACACACACGCGATGCAACTCACAGCGACGACGCGGGGACGCATTAGGCTGGAATCAGCATCGGGCACCGCAGAAGCAAGCAACAGAACGTAAATGCATGCAGCCCTAATGGTCGGACTGGAGTTCATTGGGGTGGGCACCAAGTGATGGGTCTGCGGGGCAAGCTTGAAGCGCGATGGGGCCTAGCCACGAAAGCCCTGACTCCATCCACGACGTCTCCAAAGACATCGTCTCGAAACTGTTGGAGACGAGGCCCACGATGACCAGGGTCCCTCGTGCCGGCTCTGGGGCGTCCTGGGATGCGCAAGGTCTCCCTGTTGGGCGCATATGCACATTCGATCCAGCCGGGAAAACAGGGCCTGGCCTGTTGGGGCGAGCATGAACATGCGCCCTGAGTGGACGTCGTCGCTTTCTTTCCTTTTGCTTCCATCTCAAGGGGGATCGGGCCGCAAACCAACAACCTGGGTAGGGTTGGCTGATGGGTAATCAATGCGGGAAGTCTCCTCTTGCGGGCGATCCTGGGGTGAAGATGGCCATCGTGGTATGAGAGGCGGGTCGCCGGTACCTGTACATCATCGCACCGTGGCATGTCCGTCGCAGGACGTGGCCTGTCATGCTGTCGCATCTCACTGTCCCAAGATGGAAACATAGCCCACTTTGACTGGTTCTGGGCGGGCTCTGGAAGTCTCAACGAGCGGGCTCACACGACGCGCAAGACCCAATTACGCTTCAGCTAACGGCATGTAGCGCCGTGTCCGTCCGTCCTCGGCCGGAGTGAGAGGGTCAACCCACCGACGGAAGTGGGGGATGTGACATTTGGGAGGAGGGAGGGACGACAGTTCATCCCCTCAAAAGCTACCTTCTGTGCGGCGGGGTTTCCAAAACTGGTGCGTGAGAGGAGTTGTTTGAGGATGACGGTGTGTTTTTCTCCCTCTTCGCCGCCGGCCACGGTGTGCAGCACGCGTATCGTACATGGGACAGAACCCCAAGGCCACGGATGATTGAATATGCACGATGCGACGGCCTCGACAGGGTATCCGGCGCCGAAAGTGGATGGCACTCGGCGGCCGGGCTGGGGCTTTGAGGATCCAACATCCAACCGGCAGCAGCCCGTCCAGCCAAGGCCCCCGGGCGACTAGGAAGCAAGTGGGAGACGAAGGGGCCACCAGAGGAGGGGCCGAGCCACACCTAGTCTCACTATTTTTCCATGCCCCGAAATCTCAAATGTCTGACTGGGAATTTAGAAAACATGACAGCATGGGCATGTCGCTGGGGGCCTTTTCTCACGGCCGCATGCAATGGGGCGCTTTCGGTCAGGCTCTGAAAGTGCCCCGGAGTCGGAGCCAGTCACCGTCAATGATACGTCCGTCTCCTGTGCTCCGTTTGTCGCTTGCCCTCATCTTCTAGACTCGCGTCCGGTTGAAAACGGGCCAACTATTACGTAGCAAGAGTCACTGTTCCTCTCAGCATGCCCTACTTGCCCCAACGAAAAAATTTGGCGGCAGAGAAACGGAATCTTAAAAAACCGGGATAAAAAAAGACCCGGCGACGGTGAAAGGTGAGGATCGCGAGCCACCTTGGAAATTGCACCCTCTAACCCTTCCCACCAAGCAACCAGCAAGCAGCCGCATCACCAACACCGCGCAGTAATTGCCTCCTGGTGCACAGCCTGTCGCCAGCTCAGCTCGCCCCCCGACACCGAGGCGAAACAACGTGACGTGACCCCCACCATCACCCCATTACCCTCGTGTTGTCGACCCCTTTGCCCTTCTGGACGGCGCTCTGGGCCCTCGCCTGGCAAACGCTTCACCCCAGATTCCTGCCCCCGAATCAATCCTGGCCCGCCGGCGTGCCGCTGCGTCCTGACGTGCGTGGGCGTGAGTCAATCGCTTCACACACATAACAGCTTTTCTCCGTGCGTATCTCCCAATACTCCTTTCTCCCATCAACAGCCACAATTCCGCCCTCAGCTGGTCCTCTCTCCACCGCGCACTCAACAAGAGAGAGCAAGGACGAGCCACGCACACAATTCCACTTACTCACACCTGCACCTAGAGAACATCACGCGCGCGAACAAGCACCCGCAATACTCAGCAATAAGCCGCCCTGACTTGAGGTGGACACCCGAAGCCCAAAAGGCACCTGCAGCTAAAGGGTCCCGCTTCCCGAGGTACGTACTGCCGGTACCCATGCTCTGGGTACCTCGATACTTGGTACTCCGGACCTCGATACATCGATATGCACCTGCCGCTGTCCCCTTAGCCACCCCCGTTACGCCTCTTGCCACCCCCCCTCCGTTCCTTCCAGCCCAGGTTCCCACGCGGCCGCCCACCTACCACAGCAGTCCCAATGCCCAAATTCCCCCATGCTTTTCCCCATCCCACACATCATCCACTCTCATCCACACTCATCCACGCCCATCCACACACACTCCAAAGAGTGAATCCCTCCATCCCATCCTCCCACCATGGCCTCCACCCAACTATCCACGCCCCGAAATAGGGCCCCGAACATCCCTATGCCCGCCCGCCGACGCCGACGCCTCCGTCTACACCCAGCCAACAGGGATGCTCCGCACACTCGGCCGCGCCGCAGACTTTTCGTTGGTGCTCGCTGAAACCTCTCTCGCCGTCCCGTCACCGTCGTCACCTCAAGCCCTGGTTCGCCCTGTGGCCCGTCCGTTCCTCCTGATCTGCTGCTGCACCTCTTGCCCTCTCGTTTTGCCCCCCTTCCGGGTACGAATTGACTGACGCCGAAGTGTCAAGCAGACGCTCACACTCTCTCACACACACCCGCGCACCCCCGGCCTCCCACCACTTCTCCGCTCTCTCTCTCACCTTGCCGCAGCATGGGCCTCTCGACCATGGCCGCCTCTCCTTCGGGTCCCGGGTGTGCCCAAAACGTCTTAAACCGACTTTTCCTCGTTAGCGGCCCCTTGCGCACGGCAACATCGTCTGCTCTCACCCGCTCGTCTGCTGTTGTCCCCCTCGTTGCTGCTGTCACCGCGACTACTAATAATCGCCCTCGACTGCCGCTCCCCCGTTTCTCCTATTCTTGTTCATCCAAGTCACCCCATCTCTTCCGCCCCATGGCGTCGTCTCCCTATAGCACTTCCAGTTCTGAAATCCACACGCCTCGCTCATCAACTCCGTCATCGTCCGTACTCCCTGCTCCCCCTCCACAAGTATAACAATGCTGACATTCCCGTGTCCTTTCAGTCGAAGCTTGACACATTCCCATCCCATGTCCAACGTCGATATCTCTGCCATTGAACAAAAGATCAAGATGGCTACTCTTGACCAGCACCGGGGCTATGCCCAGAACCACTATGCGGAGGTCAAGCAGGACCGTCCCACCGAGTACCTCAACGAGGAGCAGGCTGCCGGTTACCAGATCGTCCGCGAGCCTTTCTGGAATAAGGGTGAGTGTGCCTCCTTCTTGTTGGTCCTCAACATCGTCATGGTGTTGTTGACTTGACGTCCACGTCTTGGTCCCGACATCACCCTGTCCCCTGCCCTCCTCCAAATTGTAATCGTCGTCGGGTTCGAACTCGGGTTGTCGTCTGGTCGCTTCTGCTTCGTGTGAGAAATACCTCCGCTGACATTGTCTTCCCCAGGTCTCGCCTTCACCCCCGAGGAGCGTGTCTCCAAGAACCTCACCGGTCTTCTCCCCCACACCATGGAGAGCTTCCAGACCCAGTGCGCCCGAGCCATGAAGATGATCCGCAGCCGCTCGACCCCCATCGACCAATACCTGTACCTGTCCACTATCAAGGACCAGAACATCGACCTCTTCTACCGCCTCCTCATAGATAACATCCGCGACCTGATGCCCCTTGTCTATACCCCCACCATCGGTGATGTGTGCCTACAGTACTCAAGCCTCTACACCCGCCCCGAGGCTTTGTACATCTCCATCAAGCAGCGCAAGTCCATCCGCACCATGCTCCAGAACTGGCCTTGCAAGACCCCCGAGATCTGCGTCGTGACTGATGGTTCCCGTATTCTCGGACTGGGTGACCTGGGTATCAACGGTGTTGGTATTTCGGTATGGACTCCCCTTCAAGCTCGTGTTTAGTATGGGGCCTCACTAACACCTACCCCTGTAGGTTGGCAAGCTTGCCTTGTACACCGGCGCTGCCGGTATCCACCCCGATAAGACCCTGCCCATTGTCCTGGATTGCGGTACCAACAACGAGGATAACCTCAAGGACCCCTTCTACCTTGGTCTGCGCCAGAAACGCCCCTCATTCGAGGAGCAGCAGGGATTCATGGATGAGTTCATGGAGGCTGTCCACGAGGTCTTCCCTGACATGGTTGTTCAATTCGAAGACTTCGAGAGCCAGAAGGCCTTCGACTACCTCGACCGATACCGTAACCAGTACAAGTGCTTCGTGAGTCAAGGTGTGACAATAAAAAAATAACGATTGGATTCGCTAACCTAAATCTAAGAACGATGATATCCAGGGAACTGGTGCCGTCGTCCTCGCAGGGTAAGCAAAATTCCAAGCCACGCGATACCACTAGTATCAGGACTAACAGACCACTAGTTATATTGGTGCCGTAGATCTCTCTGGCGTCCCCCTTGAGGACCAGCGTCTGGTCTTCATGGGTGCAGGTTCCGCCGGTGTTGGTGTCGCTAAGCAGCTCGTTGAGTACTACACTCGACGTGGTTTGACCGAGGAGGCTGCTCGTGACAAGTTCTGGCTCGTAGACACCAAGGGTCTTGTTACCAAGGACCGTGGTGACCGTCTCGCTGAGCACAAGAAGTACTTTGCCCGTACTGACAACAATGGCCAGCAGTTCCGTACTCTCGAGGAAGTCATTGAGTACGTCAAGCCCAGTGCCCTTGTCGGTCTGACTGCGACCTTCGGTGTCTTCACCGAGTCCGTTGTCACTGCACTCAAGAACTCTGTCGAGTGGGGTGGCGTTGGTCGTCGTCCCATCCTCTTCCCCCTCAGCAATCCTCTGACCAAGGCCGAATGCACATTCGAGCAGGCTATTCAGTGGACTGAGGGCAGTGTCCTTTTCGCCTCAGGCTCTCCCTTCAACCCCGTGAAGGCCAAGTTCGGCGATGAGACCAGCGCCACCACCTACTACCCCAACCAGGGTAACAACGTCTACGTCTTCCCTGGTCTGGGTCTCGGTGCCATTCTCGCCAAGGCGACCCGCATCACTGATGAGATGGTGTACACCTCGGCCGCCGCTCTGTCTGGCTCGCTGAACGCTGATGAGATCCAGAAGGGTCTCATCTACCCCCGCATTGAGCGTGTTCGTGACGCTAGCGTCATCGTTGCCCGAGAGGTGATGAAGGCTGCCCGCCGTGCTGGAGTTTCAGAACTTCCCGAGGCTCAGTGGACTGAGTGGGAGGAGTGGGGTGATGTTGCTCTGAACACCTACATCAAGCAGCACATCTACGATCCTCTCTGCTTCGCCGATAACGCCGCCACCGCCAAGACCCACCTGTGAGGGAACGAAGCATGCGTCCCAGCACACTGGTGCATCCGTTCCGACGACCTTGTCGAAGATGGATGAGTGAGAGAGGGGTGTGTACCCTCTTCGATGAGCAACCGCACTTGCGGAAACAGCAGCACTTGGGCGTTTTGAGATTGCTACATCTGGATGACTCGAACGGACTTCCGTTTTAGCAAACAGATGGTAGTCTTCTCCCTCGCCAATGATCTTGATACCTACTCATGCCATTCCAGCGCTTCGATCGCTGGCCATGAGCACTCTGCTGAGCGGGCCCAATGATGGGCGATTTTGCGTTTCATATCTGCGTCATGCGTTAACGGCTATTTAATTATTTCCATCTGGTATTGATGGCATAGAAGAGTTGGGAAAAAACGAGGTGTGGCAAGTCGTACGTACTGGTAGATGAAATTGTTGAACAAGGATTGAGCCTTACCGAACTCGTGTCGTCATGATGCCGTGATGTAGTGATACACATAATGTGATCGACATGTTTGATGAGGCGTGATGGTGGCATACCGTGGGTGTCATACCATGGATGCCACAAAGGAACTTGATAAAATTGTCCCGCTCGGAGATTGAGAGATATTAGAAGACTTGACTTACCTCCCTCCGGCTTCTCGAATTATTTCCTGGTACGAGAAGCCGACTAAGTGGATCACATGACTTGGAAATTGCCTGGGAAAGTATCCCCGGGCAGGACCTAGGAGGGCTACCGGCGATCTCAAGGATGGAGCGGACAATGTTTTCGGCAGTCCGTTGATGAGGCCGAGCCGACTGGCGCCAGATGAAGGACATGGATGGACATGCCTTATTGAGCGAGCAATGCTGGGCGAGCAAGCAAGCTCCCACCGCCAACGTTTGTTGAGGGCACACAGCCTTGCTGGTTCCCGACGTTGCGAGGTCCTGGTGATGGTGTTGATGCTGGGTTGGGGCTGTAAGTGATGATGGATTCCCGAGCCACTGTTGAAGCGACCAAGGGCACGAGCAAGGGCCACCAGCACCCATGGTAAAATGGAGTCGAGCCGAGGGTATCGAGATCTCGAGGAGAGGGGAGACCCACGCGCGGGCGAGGGCGTTGGGGGGGAAGTGGTTTTTGTTCGTGGCCCAGACGTCGTAAGATGGGTAGGCGCGGGAGATGGCCGTGGATCGCGTCGGTAGCCGAGCGGAGGTTCGCAGGAAAGCTCGGGGCCGAGCGGGGCTGACCGGGGTAGGTGCCGGTTGGCGTCTTGTGGCAGCAACCAGCGAATGTGTGTGAGGCAATTCTGCGACGGGGGTAATGAGGGGTGTGGCGGCAGGAAAGATGAGACAATTTGTGGTCAAGGGAAACGACGGCCATGCCATTGGACGGAGCTTGAGGGTGGGTGGAGGGCTTGTTAATCGAGCAAGGGTGGTTTGTTTGGTTCTTCGACATTGCCATGGCCAGCCATCTTGGAAGGGCACTTTGGTGGTGATTCTGGCCGGTAGTGCGCATGGGGCATCAGTTGGTGGCTGGTGGAGACCGCTTCCGGGCCCGGCCCCGGTTTTCGGGACCTGGGGGTCGGAGCCCTCGGAATGGGCGTCGTGGGAGGCGCCGGGAGGTGAGGGATTGGATATGAAGCATGCAGACGAGGTGGCGTAGGCAGTGCATTGCCTGGTCGTTGTCTGGGTGCATTCCCTAAGCATCATGAATCCTGCGAGACGCCAGCCCCCGGAAGCAGGCGGCGTATCCTTCCATTGTGGCAACAGCCGAAACCCTCTGCCGTGCCGCCAGGATGCGGTAACTGGACCACCCACAACGTCCACTGGCCTCGGATACAAAGACGAGCCCGGATTGCGCTGCCGGAGAACAGCCCGCCATGCCCCATCGTTGCAGCGTGGTAATCTTAGATGCCACCTCAGTATCGGGTGCACCTCCGCGTGTTCCTCCGCGTGTTCCTGACCAGAGTGGACCAATACCTGGAGAAACACGGAGGGTTCGATGTGATGCGACTGACGACGCATTCTGATCCTCCACAAAATTCTGGGGATGTGGACACGAGTGGGGATGTCAATCGATGAACATTACTGTAATAATCACGGCGACGATCTGTCTCCGCTTGCTTTGTCTAGGAGGGTCCATCCCGTAGTTGTGTACGGCGTACCCATCCAAAGAGATGCACGGCGTTTCTAGAATAAGCTAATATAGCATCCGCACACCGTACCTCGCCGTCGGAAGTTGGCCTTGAGTGAGCAGAAATCAGCAATGGCTTTTTTGGGGTTGGAACAATGACACGCCCTCCGCCGCCGGGAGATAACCTACCCCTCCTCCATCTCTTCTGGGGCATCCTCTCACCCAAAGGTGCATCATATATGCTGTTCGAGTGAGGTTCGACATAGCATACGAGAAAACCCGCCCCCCCACGCTGAAGACGACAAATTCAACGCTGATCATTGATATTTCAAATACACCCGGAACTTACGGAAAGTTTCCGATGAATTGCTGGCGATAACATGGCAATTGTCCCAGCATCCGTAGAGTTCGCTAGGCCGGACTTGTTCTCACCGACGGGCAAGATCCAGAAATAAAGAGCTCAATTATCAGGCCCATCACGTCAAGCTACTGCATGTCGACGACCTTGACCTGGCACGAGACGCACTGGACGGAAATGATCCACACCCTCCCATGGGAAAAAAATCGACAGCCTTGTGTGGAAAAGTGAATAGCAATTGACCCGCTTGCCTGGACTTTGAAGTCCATGCAGCCCGGAGGCGTGTACCAAGAACGGCCAGGGGTGTGGGCGGACGTTTAATTCCGCCCCGCCCACACCGCATTGTGTCGGTACGTGGCCGATGGAGGGTAGCTACGTTTGAGAGCCCAACTGGACCCGCACCGGGGCCGGGACTCCACCACTCCACCGAGGTCTGGGCTCCGCTGAGGCTGGCTGGGGCCTGGTTTCGGTGATTGACTTGCATCGCGGCGGGATCGGGACGGCTATTGAATTGATCCTAAGTATTTGTTTGGTCATGCCACCTCGTTAGTCGTCCCGGGCGAGAGAGACTGAGCAATTGGCGCTTTGGCGGTCAGAGATGCTTTCCGAGCCTAATTCGAAGAACGAGAGCTGTGCTGTAGGGATAGCGCTGCATGAATTGGAAGAGCTCAGCTCCAGGAAGACGGATGCGGTTGGGTTCAGGTATGGTACCGGTACGGGCAACGGTACAGGCAATGGCGTCAGGGAAGCGAGGTGTACGAAGCAACGGGAGGCGCGGGTGTCAGTTATGACAGAACGCAGCCGGCGTGTGTCAAGATTATGTGGGATGGATGGAGGTGGAGGATGGAGGTGGAGAAGAGCGAATTTGCATGACCTTGTGAGCCCTGACTGACTGTGCCTGACAGCGGGCAGGTACGACGCACAGTCATGCTCCTTGGTTTGGAAGGAGGTATCCATGGCCGCGATGGGATGGGATCCTGCCGTTTCGTATCGGCGCTTAGCTAAGCTGGCGGTGGCTTTGCAGCTTCACACGGGTCCTAGTTGTGAAGGCCGATAACCTCAACACACACAATCATTGAGCTCTGCACTATATACTCACTTTCTCTGACCGACACCCTGATGACTGAACTGCCGAGTCATCGTTATAATTATCAATTGATGTACGTTTCGCCAAGCGTTAAGGTTCTGGAGTCCCGGAGCCTCCCGCAAGGATATGCACCGTTGGGTTGAGCCAGAACCCGTGTCATCGAGCCGTCTCACACCTCGCAGCTCACGCTTCACACCCCCTAAGCCCCAAGCGTCCGGGCGACGACAACAGAGATTTCCTCGCAGTTTGATTCGCCCGCAATGGAATTGTTGGCCACCTCCTAACCAGGCTTTCCTTTTGCCTCAGGGCTGGCCATTACCGAACTTTGCCGACTAATCTCCGTTATTGGTCGATCCGCCACGCGGATGCAAAAATGACACCCTCTGATTGGCGCAAGCACGATCCTGCAAGTCAGGTTTCCACCCGTCCGCAATGCCTTTGCGTCGGACTAAAGGCACATCGCCCAGGGCCTCGGCCTGAAGATATTCCCTGCATATCATATCACTTCAAAGTTCTGGTGGCTGCCTCATATTCTCGATGGCATTGCCATGGCTTGAATTGGACGTTGAGAGGGAGGGGAGTGGTAGGCTTGGGAAATCCCACGATTCCACAGCTGGCCTGTGTGAGTTGGGATTGTTATTGGAGGGCCTGGGCATGGATCACGGCACTGCACTCGCGAACCATCATGACCTTGTTACGGAGCAAAGTACCCACCTCCGCAATCCACCCGGCTTCTATCTTGAGTAAGAGCTCCAGCACCGGAAGCTGTTCCATAGTGGAGCGTGGAAAACAACTGGACCTGGGAAAAACCTGTATCCCTGGACGCTGAACGGAATGATCCCCACAACGCGCAGGGCCTGCGTCTGCGTTTGCGGCGCTCGTGATGTCCCAGTCTTTCAACTTCACACCCCCCCTTGCCTTGACGGGCTGCTGACTCGATCCGAAGCCCACTGTGGGGAGGTGATTGGCCGCTCCACACAATAATGACAAACTGTGGGGAGGCCTTGGAAAAACAGCCATCCTGGCAATGGGGTCCGCAACCGGGATCGAAGACGAATCGAGCAGCTGGATTACTTGGTCTACGCTGGAGAAGCTGGGGTGCGGGCGGCCTCTGCGTTCTCGGGGCCGGGAAGGGGTTCGTTCAGGTCAACCAGGAGTCCGCCCCCTCCTGGATGGCATGCAGTGAGATCTGGCAAGATTGATTTCAAAGACGGCGAGATGAGATGAAGCACGTTTCCTCCGTAGGGAGGATGAGAGAGGAGAGACAAGACGAGACGGAGAAGCCAATGAAGCCCTTACTAGTCGATTTGGGGAAATGCAGAATAAGGAACATTGCCTCGCGACTCGAAATCCTCAAGGGGTCTGGCGGGCTGCCTAGGTAGGTTAATTGATGGCAAGTGACGTTTGATGCCGCCGGCTCTAGCGTGCGTACCTTGATCAACCGCTGCGGCCTTGCTCGTTACGTCGTTGATACAACCTCGTCCCCGCGCGGGCGCGAGATGCGTGGGTACGGTTTGAGTCGAGAACAAGATTGGGGTGGCGGTCGTTGTGGTGGTGTGGTGTGAACGTGGCCATATCGAGGCGACCAGACGCAGCAGAACACGCAGGCTTACACCTGATTCTTCTCAGAGCATACACCAGAGCATGGTATCGTCGTCTTGTTGTCGTACGTCGTCCCTCGCTGCCGTCTCTGCTGTTGAGATGGAGTGGGATGTTGTCGGAGGGAGTCGTCTGTGTCAGTGTGATTGGTGTGGCAGCGCCTAGTCCATGCTGAGGGGTGCATGCTCGCGTGGAGCCGGGGCGGAAAGGAGGGGGAGGCGTTGTCCACCAAGGCTACCCCAGGACAAAGAGAAGCCCGGCGAGAACAAAGGTGGGAGCTTCGTCGACCACTCGTGGTGAGCTAAACGAGCCATGGGGAGCGTGAGGAGTTGTATGAGGAGCGCGAGAGTCACCGGGAGGGACCAACCAGGGCCAAGTCCGACAGATTTTCGCTCTCTTGCACGCAGCACACAGGACCCGGGGCCGGACCATTGAAACACCCTGGCCTCCCCCCCAGACAATCAACCCCAGAGAGGAGAAGTGCATTTGGACAACTGGATTACGGGGCCGGAGCGCTGCGTCGGCGTCTCGTGGTTATTGGGGACGAGTAACGGGGATTTCACCACGCCCAGTCGGCAACTCCCCCAGCATCGAGCATCGTCATCTGGGCGCGGTTGGCTCTGGGCGCCTGGGGCACAGCTGAGGAGACGTTAGGAGTGGAGGAGGACTTGAAGAGTTAGATGGGGTATCCCCACACACACAAGGCAATCGCTTGCTCTGACTTGCTATTCGCACCAACATGACCGAGGGGGATCCCCACAACCTCGCTCCCAGCAGAACTACCCAGCAGGAGCACGCTTGGCATGCGCACGCACGCTCCCCGATGCCACGGTGCCACCTCCAGACTCCGTACGGTACCTTGCTCCGGCCTTACCGCGTCTGGTGTAGGTCCGTCCGTTGCCCACGCCGCTATCCAAAATCCGGGTCTCAGACCACTACGCGCACCCTCCTCCGAGGTGCTGGGCTTGCGTCCCCCTCGACGCCATCGTCGCCTTTGCTGCCCCTCGACCAAGTAAGCACGCCCTCGACGAAGGCGTCACACACACCCTCCTCCTCCACTTGGCATTGCCCTGCTCTGCCCAAACTCCTTCGCCCCTTCGAGAGCCCTCGTCCAGACTAGCGACCAGAATATAATAATCACCCACCCCCCCCACCTGCCGCCCCCGGATTTCCGTTCCCTTGGCTTCGAACTCCTCGACTGTGTCCGTCTCCTCCAACCGTGACTGACTTCCACCACTCTCCCTGAGGGAACTTGGGCGCTTGCTCTAACCAAATCCCTGGGATCGTGGTCGACGTTGAGCCTCACTTGAACTACCTGCCTCGCCTACCTGCCTCAATAGAGACAACTCTCCACTCTCCACTCCAGGACAACTCTCCACTCAACCGAGTCTCTTTACTATCCACGACAACATCACCGCCGCCTTTCACGACGACGACGACGACTAGCCTACGAATCTAATCGATACCCATTAACGACTTTACTCCGACGTCGACGACTACCATATCCACGACGCCTACAAATCTCCACTCTGCCACCCTCCTCTGTCACCATCGTCCGCTTGACCGGATGCTTCTATGATTGTCAAAAGTCAACACGCGCATTCTCCCGTTAGGTTCACCATTCCGGACTCTCGGACACTACATCCACCAGCACCCTAGTACCACCTTCATTGGATTACTTGACGTCGCATTCCAGGACCCTTTGATAACCAAGCCGCTCCAGGCGATCTGCACCACTTTTAACCATCGGAAGGACTCTGTAAACCCGGCCGGGGACACTCACGATACCCAATTACCATTTAACCCAAAGAACGTCAATTTTCGCGACCATGGCGGCTGAAGCATCAGAAGGATCCGCCGCCCCACCGTCGCCGGCATCCACATCGGCCAAGACCATCACGGATAGGAACCTCAAGAAGCGAGCCTCGCCCGATGATGATTCCGAGGCACCCCAAAAAGTGACGAAGCGACGGGCTGCTCGCGCTTGTGTGTCTTGCCGAGCACGCAAAGTCCGCTGCGACGTTGTTGAGGGCGCACCTTGTGGAAACTGTCGCTGGGACAATGTCGAGGTAGGCACCGGGTCTTCCGGGTCTTGTTGGCCCGCTTTCAATTTCGTAACCGTCACTGACCTGAACAGTGCGTTGTTCAAGAAAGCCGCAGACGAAAGTGAGTGGATTAAATCCCTTCCGGCCTTCATATGCCGATTTTCAACGGAGCCCCTTGCAGCTCCTTTCCGGCTCGCCGCGGCTCCCGAGGAGATCGCGTCATACAATGCCGCTGCAGCGCTTAACCAGAATTCCAACTAACACAAACCGCAGAAAGAATCATCTCACGGCCAGCACAGTGGGCCAGGCCGCCCCCACCGAGGCACAGCTGCGATGCAAGACGGCGTCCAACAACCCCTTGGCGATAAGCACCGCGGACCTCCGACGCCCTAGCAGCGGCTCTGCCATTTCCACGAGCAGCATTGACGGCCCGAGCAGCTTTCTGAACAATTCCGGCCTCGATAACCATGTGCCACACATGATCTGTGAGTTTTGCTGACGCCGGAACTTGCTTTTTGTGCGCGCTCTTGATCCGCCCTCTGATTGGCTAGTGCCATTTTTGGAGAACGCCTCCGTTCTCCGCACTTTCAGCCGCTCTGTCCCACTTCCCCCCCTGTACCCCGCCTCTCGCAACCCCGACGCTCGATCACATGAAGATGGAAGATGACAGTGAGACGCTATTGCTGACCACGAGACCCCTTAGACCAACGCTCTGGCTACCGTCATGACCCCGTACTACTCAATAAGCTGCATTCCACTGAGGGTAGCTCACAGCGCGTGGGGTGGTCAAACCTCATGACCACAGCCTCGGTGTTTGACAACCTGCGCACGTCCCAATTCATCAACTCCGTCGAGGAGGCAGACAATACCAGTATCAGCAGCAGCAGCAACAACAACAACAACAGCTCCAAGCTCCCCGCCTTTCTACGCCCCCTACCGACTAAGATTGCTGCCGAGGATGTCAAGTACCTCCACATCAAGGGTGCCCTGTCACTCCCCACCCTGCCGCTCCAGAACGCTCTGTTGCAAGCTTACGTCGAATTTGTCCACCCTTACATGCCACTCATGGACCTCAACCACTTCCTCGGCACCATCAACACCCGTGACGGACGCAATGGCCAGACTAGTCTGTTCTTGTATCAGGCCGTGATGTTTGCGGCATCTGCTTTCGTGGATATGAAGTACCTCCGAGAAGGGGGTTACACCACGCGCAAGGCCGCCCGCAAATCTTTTTTCCAGAAGACAAGGGTAAGTTTATCGCACCCCTGGCTAAGCGATGACGTTAGATCGATATTCACATGTCAATAGTTGCTCTACGACTTCGACTACGAGTCAGACCGCCTTATTCTCGTTCAGGCACTGCTTCTGATGACGTACTGGTATGAGACACCAGATGACCAGAAGGACACTTGGCACTGGATGGGAGTGGCAATCTCACTTGCACACACCATCGGACTTCACCGCAATCCCGGATCTACGAGCATGACTCCCGCTAAGCAGAAGCTCTGGAAGCGGATATGGTGGTCTTGCTTCATGCGAGACCGGCTTATCGCTCTGGGCATGAGGCGGCCGACCCGCATCAAGGATGAGGACTTTGATGTCCCCATGCTGGAGGAGAGTGATTTTGAAATTGAGGTTCTTCCGGAGGACAACACAGTCATCCCGGCCTCATGCACCCTCGTTCGGGATGTTGATATGCAGCGAGAGCTGGCCATCATGTGTATTGCCAAGGCCCAGCTCTGCGTATGCATCAGCCACATGCTTAAGGCTCAGTACTCTGTTTTGATCCGGGATAAGATGAAGCCCGAGAACACCACAAACAGCACCATGATGCTGTTCCCTAACAAGCAGCTCGACAATGTTGAGAGCGTTACCGAGGTGGACCACGAACTTATGGCATGGGCCGAGTCCCTGCCGACCTGCTGCCAGTTCCGTACCCTTACTCCGTTGGACGTCAAGGATGGCCGATCTACCATTGCGGTGCAGCGAACTCTCCTGCACATGGTTTATTACACGACCATCTCTGCCCTGCATCGACCCCAATTCCTGCCTTCATCGCCCCTCCAGGCCCCCACGACATCTCGTCAGGTCCAGGACATGTCTCGTCTGAGAGTGCGTGATGCTGCCATGCACATCACCCGCATGGCGACGGAGCTGCACCAGTGCCGCCTGGAGCGCTTCCTCCCTACTACCGGTGTAACTGTCATTCTGCCGGCCATGATCATCCACCTCTTAGAGATGAAGAACCCGGCGCCACAGTCCCGTGAACGTGCGACTAGGGGATTCCGACAGTGCATGCGAGTGATGGAGAAGCTGCGCGAAGTATATGCAGCTGCCGACTATGCGACAGGATTCCTTGACGCAGCCTTGAGGAAGGCGGCGATCGATATCAACGCGAATATTGCCCCGTCGACTATTGCGATGATGAAGCGGGTGCCGGTCGAGTTTAGCGCTCAAACGCCGCCTCCCGAGAACGCACCGTATATGACGGCATCTGAGTCCCTCTTCAACGAGCGACCTAAGAAGGAGCCCCAGCCTACACCAACACCGACACCGACGAGAATGATGCCGCCCAACACGGTCAACGCGGCGGCCCTGGAGTTGTCAACCAACTCACCGCCACAGACGGAGCTGGAGTCACCGGGAGCCGGGATTACACCGAGCGCAAGCGGTGCTTCAGAGGAGATCCAGCTGGATGTGGAGCAGATGGACCTGGATTTCATGCAAGGCCACGACGAATTCGACTGGAACGCCGTAGCTGGAACCGACTTTGACGTTGACCAATGGCTGCAGTTTCCCCCAGAGGGAGTTGCGAACCAAGACGAGAACTTGATTGCCGGTGTATTGGGACGGGGTGTCGATGAGCCTCCGACCATGTCAGCCGAGCAAGCGTTGAATTGGGCCATGAGCGCCGAGGTAGACCCTAATGCCATGACGGAGATTCTCACACGGGGCTAGAGCCTCACCGGAGAGCTTTGAGCCTTTTGTTTATGATTTTTGGTGGAGAAACCGGGTAGGAGTCTAGGATTTTGTTGCTTTGCCTGGAGTACCGCATTAGATTCTGGCGTCATTTTTTCTTCTGGACTTTGGGGCGTTGAGCGCGGGCTCAGTCCCCAAGGTGGCGCAAATGTATTGGACGGGTCGGTGGATTATTTATTTGGGTTTGGGATTTCATTTGGGCACTAAAAAGGGACGCTGAGCATGACAGTTACGAAACTAATTCAACGGGGGAGTTGAAGGTTCCCAAGGAGGATGAGGGTGTGCATGGTCATGGCAACTTGACACGGGCATCTATCCAATGACGCTCTTTCCTACCTTGTTACAGTACATACTAGCTATTGAAGAGAGACGATGACGAGTGCATATTTGACGGATACGATTTATGTTTGTCTGTGACTGTGTGACTGATTATGCGTGACTGGCCGTGTGACGCGATGCGGGCTACATGAAAGACGGGATGAAAACGACAGACGGGATAAGATGGGATGGATGAGCTGAGGCACAATGAGGCGATGTGATCTGGGCTGAGGAAAGATGAGCTGATGATTGGAGGTAGCTGAATTATATCTGTCTGTGCTGTCGCAACCAATCTCAGGTGAGGGTAGCCAAGTTGGGAGAAACTGGAGGGACGGGTGATGAAGAGAATGTGATGAAGAGAATGTGATGAAGAGAATGTGATGAAGAGAATGTGATGAAGAGAATGTGATGAAGCGAACGGGCTGAACCAGATGAGATGGGAATGAGGGTGGCAAGGAGGGAGGAACGAGAAACGAGGAGCGAGAAACACGACTTGTGACTACATTTTCGAACCACGGATGGCATTGGACGATCTTAGTCAAACCCCCTGTCCCATGGCGAACTGCATATCCCCTGGCCAGCTGTCTTACACCATAGACCGTAGGCATGTGGCCTCCGCGACTGCGACCTGTCTTGCCCGTGTCTCTGTTTTGTTTCCCACTTGGGACCCTGCGTACAGGGGATAGGGGTTCACAACAGCGGGAAGACGGGATGGGATGGTTCCTGGCCGTGTGGTTGGCGGATGTCGAAATGTGCCGGGGCCAGGCGAGATGCAGCCGTGGCGTGTGGGTGTGGATAGTGGCAGGATAAAGCAATGACGACAGCGCCCAGAAATAGGAATAATAAGAAGAAAACAAACGAAGGACACGTCCCCGTACACAGGACATGGGGACTGTTGACAGACAGGGGAATGCTGCAAGCACGGAGATGGAGAGTGACGGGGGTGTGATGCTTGTCCATGGTGGTATTGTGGCAATGTGGCTTGTGATGTTTGGATGGATGACAGATGACCCCATCTAAGCGGACTTGTGAATTGGGTTTTGTGGGTGTCAGTTCTGAGAATATAGATGGATCTCTTTGAGGGATGGCTTTCTGTCGTCCGCTGTAACATCCGTCGACGTGTTACTCATGCTACCTTGCACCTGCGTCTGCATCGGGATACAACCTGAAGAGTCGTACTCTCCCGCCTCCATCCACAGCCGTAATCAAAATGATATCCCACGGTACCAGTCCAGACCCCGGCCGCGTCGTACATGGAATGGAAATATTTGTGTAGTGCCCGTCCAGGGGGCCTGGGAGCCTTGGCTCGGTCGTCTATCGGTTGATGGGCCAGCAGCCATGTAGCGGTTTAGCGTTGGGCGATTCGGTGAGGCGTTCCAGGGGGGGCTTGCCGCAGTGCGTGTGTTGCAGTGCTTGTTATTGTTTCCAGGTTGCTACAGCGCTTGCTACAGTGCTTGCGTAGCGGTTTCTCGGGCTGCGGGTGCTATTTCAGGCGTCGCCCAGAGGGCCGGGGCTGTCAGAGGCTGTCAGAATTGGTGCGCCATCTCAGTACCCCGGCGGTGTTTGGCCAGATTCGGAAAAGGGCCAGGCCATTCTCATCCACCTCATTTCATCATCTTTCTCCCAGCCGACCTGCCTACTCATCTCCTGTCCTCCTTTAAACCCTTCATCCTCGTCTTCGTCTGTGTGTGTGTTCTTTATCCAGCCAGCAAGCCAGTCATTCTCTTATTCATTTTGTTGTTGCCCGTTTGTTTCCTGTTTGTTTCATATCTACCTGCATACCATTCCCTTTCTCCTTTTTCCGCATCAACGCCAAAGCAGCCCAACGCAAAGCCCCCTCAGTGACCACAGCTTCCCCAGCTCCGAGCTGCTCAGAAACCTTCTCGGCCCCAAGGTCCAAGACACGCAACGCACGCACTCACCCCCTCCCCACGAGACATCTCGCGATTCGCCGCTCGCCCGCGCAACAGACATTCCCGTTCTGTCCTCTCTCTCCTCTCACAACGACCGCCGTCAGCCACCGATCGAATGCGTACGGACTAGAGGCATAAGGAAGCCCGCTTTGCCTTAATATCCACTTTCCTGCTCGCCAACGGAGCCCGCCGCAGCAAATCCACGTCACCTTCGCTTCCGATTTCTCATCCACCTCCGCACCAGCTCTCCGGCTGTATCCCGATCCATTGTTGGCTGGCGAGAAGCCCAACCAAGGCAGGGCACGGGTCACATGGGTCGACGGATCTAAGTGTAACTCTAGCTTCCTTCTGCTGCATAAACCAACGTTGCCAACGCTGCGACCCACGAACCACGGCCTGTGTCCGTTCCGCTCCTGGCATTTCTCTTCATCAAGACCGCGTCCGCGACGTGGCCCCTGCCACATTTTCAATCCCGCGACAGCGACTGCGCCCGCGCCGCCGCCACCCGCTTCTGCTTGCTCTTGCTTGCTCTTGCTTGTAGCCCTCAAAAAGCGCCATCAACCCTCTCACGCATTCTTTATCCCTTCCAACAACCCCCTCCGTCGGCTAACTGACCGCTTTTGCTTTTGTGGGCAAGGGCGGCCTTGCGAGACTAGACCCGGCGTCATCCCTTCCTATTCGCTCTTCCCCATATCACTCTCTGCCTGACCGCAGCTGCCTCTTTCTTCCCTTTTGTTCCCCGTTTCCTTTGCAATCAACTCCCACGCCCGACCCTCAAAGAATCACAGCCTAGATCCTTCTCGAGAGTACCAACTACCAATTACTTCCCGCGCGTCCTTTCTTCGACATGGGCATCAAAACCGTCCTTCGCGCCCGCCCTGTCGATTTGTATCCAGGCTCATAGACAGACGATGCCTCCGCGATCCATCACGCTCTCCCGCATCACCGTCACAGCACCAACGCAACCATGAGCGATTCAGCCGCACACATGATGAAGCCCGCGCGGCATGCCGCCCTGTCACCGCCTCCTAAAAACCGCCTTACCGAAGATATCCTCGCACACTTGGGCCCGCGCACAGCTGTGGATGCGTTGTCCACCGCCACCGGCGCGCTCCGGACATGTCTGAGCGGGGCTTCCATGACCGATCGCGACTTCACCATGCGCACCGCCGTCACCTCTAAAACAATCTGGGAATGGGTGGATGAGCTGCAGAACTGGCCTTGGCCGTCTGAGGGCGGCCCTGCTGGGTTTGAGATGCCTAGTGGGAAGCGTAAAAGGCTCTCCATTCAGATCCCGACCCCCGGCGAAAACGACAATGACTACATGGGTAGTCTGCTTGCCAAAGACGTGGCCAAGTACGAACAGAGGCTGGCTAAAATCCAAAACGATCTCAACAACCTGGACATCGAGGAGATCAAATCCCATGTTCTCAACAACCACATCCTGCCCTTGTCAAGGCCAGGCACCCCTCTTTCTGAGTTTACCCGATCCGGGTCGCTGTCGAGCTCCAGCTACAACCGAATGGAGGACCTGACTGCTGTCATCACTGCAATTGTGGTCAAGGCTCTGCCGAATTTGGCAAAATTGTCTCGGCTGTTGCAAACATGGACCTTGCGACTTAGCGTCCTACGTCGCGTCCCTCCTTTGCTCCTCGCCATTGAGGACGCGGAGGTCGCTGTAGGCTCCGGCTGGAATGCAATCTCGCTGCCCGTTACTAAGACGCCGCAGCAGCAGGACGAGCAATCACCACGTGGGCCAACACTGATGAAGAGAGACTTTGACGTGATGAAGCTCATTCTTGAGAAGAAGGTCGCTCAGCCTGGCCGCAGTCTCGATTACATGCTGGATTCCCTCGAAGGCTTGGCCGACACCCTGCCCGACGAATGGCTAGATCGGATGGAGGCTATTGAGACAAGCTACGCCGAATGGGTTGCTGCCTGCGAGAGAAAGATGAGAGAGACCGAGTGGGCCAAGTCGATTCAATCACGGCCTGTACTTCGATCTCCTTCTCCAATCAAGAAATCGGTGGACGCTGAGGATGCCTCGAAGTCTTTTACACAAAACGAAAGCTTCCTTGTCGACGAGTCGTTCAATGATTCCGACAGCTCTTTCGGTAGCGATGTTGAGATCGGCCCCATCCCATTGAGGCTGCCTCGTCCACAAGCGCCAACCATCAGAACTGGCGACCCTAGAAAGGTTTCTGGGGTTTCAGAGGCAGGGACTGTGGTTCAGGACCAACCAAAGGAAGATAGTTTTCTGGAAATTGAGCCAGAAAACTCCTCTTTTGTCATCGCCGAGGATGTTGAAGAGCCGAAGCAACACCGATCCGATACATTTAATGGCACCGGAGATGTTGCATCTCCCTCTACCGGAGAACAACCGCCCACTCCTAGAACTCAACGGCTCCCCGATCCCATGGGCCAGCCACCCCAAACCCCAAACCACGGCTCCAAAATGGACCCCGAGATGTTTGGAGACTCACCAAGTCTCATAATAGGAAACGAATCACCAGACCTACCGCCACTTCGCCCGGCGGCCAGGCGGCACAGCGATGTGTCACGAAACTCCACCCTCACATATCGAGCTTCAAGCCGTTTTGATGGCCTGTCCAGCGACCTACCCGAGGTGTCTGCTTCCCCAGACCTCCCTCGCACTCGGATTCGCGAAGCAGAATACCTTCAAGCCAGCCCTCCCAGCTCGCCGCCTCTGCCTCGTGCTGACTCGCGGGAATCGTCCATGCCACTGTTTGGCAGCCCTCTCATTGCACCTCGGGCAAACGACGACGACTTCCTCATTGACAACACCACGATCGATGATTCGTTCACGGACGATTTCGACGACTCGATTTCGCTATCGGAATTTACAAGCTCCTTTATTGACCGGCGAGGGAGCGCAGGTGACCAGCAACTTCAACAGCAAATTAGCCAAATCATCTCAACCATCCCTGCGAAGATCAAGCTCTCAAATGAAATGCCGGCTATTAACCTGAACCCGCCGGACCTCCAACTACCACGGATTCGTAAGAGGCCCTCAATTGAGCCCTTTCGACGAAGCGCCTCGAGCCTTTCCTCCCGAGCAGGCACTCCATCCTTCACCCTTTCCCCCGCCAAAAATACGAAACCGCGAAGTCGAGGCAAACAAGAGATCAAAGTCTACCATCTCTCTCGGTCGACTGGGGAGGCCCCAATCAAGCTCTTCATCCGATGCGTTGGCGAGCAAGGCGAGCGTGTCATGGTTCGTGTCGGTGGAGGCTGGGCAGATCTTGGAGAGTACCTTAAGGAATACGCCAGTCATCACAAACGACGATCTGCCGCCGGTAAGAACACGAAGGTTGAAGTCCAAGAACAACCCCATGTGCAACCTAGCGGTCGCAGATCAAACATGGGATCGAGCCCGGCCGGACGACCCGCATCAGCCCTCGAACTTTCGCCAATGAGTCCTCTCGCCGTTCGTAAGACCAGGCGGAGCGTGGGAGCTTTGAGTAGCGAGTCGCCAAGACTGTTCCCCAAAACCCCCGTGGTGACTGCTCCTGCGGCTGAGGAAGGTCCATCATCCGAAGAGTCAAACAGATCGAGATCGAGTTCGCGTCTCAGTTGGGGTGAGGATGACAGCTCCTTCCTGGGATTAGCCGGTCCCACGGGGAAGAAGGTCGAGATGAGCGAGGAGAACAAGCAATGGGTTCAGAGTGTGAAAGAGAAGGTCAGACTTGCTAGTGGGGAGCATAGGATCTCGTCTTCGGGCGAGAACAGGTTTGGGGAGTTGGGCAAGGTTGGTGGCACAAAACGGTTATTTCGAAAGAACGAAGAACGCCGAGAGTCGAGAGGGAACCGATGAGCTCAACATAACAAGCCATACATTCTTATGAACGGCACATGCGGAAGGATACCTTGCATTATGGAGTTTGGGGCGGCATGGTACTAGCATACACGGCATGGCATTTGCGTTGGTTTAACACGGAACAGTTTTTTTTGCCGGCGAACTGCAGGCAATGTTTACAGTCAATACCCACAATAAATTTCCTTCTGTTATCAATATTTTCGTCGTTGCGGTGACTCAAATGTCTTCGGAGACGCTTATGAGGTGACCGTGATGTAAGTTCCCATGGAACTATGCAGGATTTCTGTTGAACCAAGCGGAATTTTCCAATTAAGTCTGAATTGTGCACCACATCATTCACTATGATTGAAAGTCTAATTGAACAAAGAAAATGTCATTGTCATACTTGCCCTCAGGGCGAGAATGTGGCTTCATAACATAGTCAGGAAGGCAATCAACTAACATCCTATGGCCCAATCCTAACCAGCCTAACCAATGTTCCCGTGTCATAACGTGTCTCTCATATCCGTTTTACCATGTTCCCTTTCCGGCATTGCGCCACCACCACCCATCCATTCATTTAGTCGTCATCGCCGCCCAGTCTCCCCGCCCGACGCTTGTTCTTGGCGTCCTTGTCCTTCATCTTGAAGTGTTTCTTGCTGGACGCTAGCCGAACGTCCTTGGGGTCGACGCCGGCCTCCATGGCGACCACGGTGCGGGCCTTGCGGCCGGTGAGCCCCTTGGTGGCGATACGACCCTGCTCAGTGTACTTGTAGCTGAAGGGCATGGTTTTGGCGTCCTGCCTGCCCTTGGTGGCGAAGAAGCCCTTGTCGAGCTTCTGGGTCTTCGGGCCTGCGGGGAGGGAGATCATGTCCGCGCTGGAGCCGATGGTGGAGACTATGTCATCGTCGAAGGCAGCCTCACCTGAGGTGGCGTCAGTAGCAGTGATGGACAGGTTGTCGAGAGCCGCGTTGAAGGCAGCGCGTTGCTTCTCGGGGAGGTGAAGCTCGTCGTAGAGTTCGTCGTTGAAACTGTCGGCTTCCTCGAATCCTGGCGGCGGCGAAACCCAGAGAAGCTTGCCAGCGACGTAGTCCTTGAGAATATAACGAGCGGCACGAGACTCGTCGGGCTGGCCGAGACCCTGGGTTTGGAAGCCTCGGGCACGAGCATAGGCGCGGAGGAGCTCCGAGCCGGTCGGGACACCGGTGCCGCCCTCCTCGATAGCGCGAAGGCGGATATGAATACCATAAATGGCCTCGAGGAAGGGTTGGGGGATTCGCTGCGCGACGAGACCAGCCGGGCCGGTGAACTCACGGAGCTGATCGATGGGGAGGATGCCGTTGCAGACGAGGTCGCCCTTGGTGGTGGCGAAGTTGGGGAAGACGAGACCGGGGCAATCACAGAGAATAACGTTTTCACTCAAGTGGATAGTCTGGAAGTGCTTGGTCTTTCCGGGCGTCGAGGAGACGGAGACCTTCTTGGCGCCGATGAGGGCGTTGATGGTGGATGATTTACCGACGTTGGGGTATCCAACCAAGCCCACCTGGAGCTTGTGATCGGCATCTAACGGGAGGGATTAGCGATGTTCTGGAGTTTCCTGGGATTTGGAGCCTTACCTGCGTCTTTTGGCGCGTATTTGAGGAAGATGGCTTCTAGCTCCTCGACTGTCAAGATCTGTGTGTCCTCGTCATCCTCCACCTCTTGCGTTAAAGGTGCGCCTTCTTGTGCGACCTCAGTCTCCTCCTTCGCCTCCTCTGTCTCGGCCTGCTCCTTGGATGGCCCCGCAGCTGATGAAGGGCCAGCTTCGGGCTCCTCATGCGACTCATTCTCCAGCTCCTGCGCCTCGATCAACTCCTTAGCCAGTTGGGCTGAGAAGAACTTGTAGGAGATGCCCGCTTTGCGCAGGTGCTTGGCCCATGCCTTTCGTTGCATGGACGTCATCATGTCCGCCTTGTTGATGAGAAGCAAGTTCTCCTTCTTTGGGTTGACCTCTTTGACATAGTCCTCGAGATCCTCTGATCGGAATAGGAGGGGGTTTCTGGCATCGACAATCTGCACAATGAGGTCTGATCGCTCGATGACTCGCCACATCTGGCGCCAGACTTCCAGGTTTCGCTCGAAAGGAGTCATCAACAGATCGTTGTTTTCTTGGAGCTCAGCGAGTCCTCGCCTCCAGTTTAGGAACGACTCTCGCTCTCTCACGTCCAGCTCCCTGGGGGTCGTGGTGGCATCCCACTTGGGCCTTCGGGGGACGGTCAGGCGGTCTTTGTGCATCTTGTGTTTGCCGAGAACGGCCTGCTCCTCGTTGAACGAGAGGAGGTATTGATTTTTCTGGTCGGTGTGGATGATCTTAACGTTGTTCATCTTCTCGGCAGTAAAGTCGGTGCCGGCGAGCTCGGCCGTGGCGAGGAACTCGTCGAGGGCGCCCTGCTCGGTGACGGAGCGCATCTTGACCCAAGCCGCATCCTCTTTATCGTTGACGAGGTACTCTTCGCCGGTGGCGTGATTAACTCTGCTGACGGCTCCGACTCGTTTCCGCTCGTTGCTTTTGTTCTTTCCGAACCGGTCGTTCATGAGGGTATTCCCCAACCCCACGGACTTCTTGGACTTTGCCAGAACCATCTTGGCGGCGTAGTCGCTCTATGGCGCTCTTACTTCGGAAACAGGTAATGTACGGGAATCTATGTCCAAGTCGCAATATGGAATGATGATGGAATAGACAAAGAAATGTGTATGTTACGGCGATGAGAGGGCATGGAGAAGCGACTGTGCCCCGCTGAATAATGGACGTAATGGAGGGGCAAATTTTCGGGGTTGACAGTGACCTCAAGTATTAGCACTGTATTTCTGTGTGTATGGCCTTGTGGCCCTACAGTGTCCGTGGTGGGATAACTGTATGACAGACGATAAGGATTTTTTCACCCCGCTAGAATTTCTGCGCTTGGAAGTGGAATTCGCAGCCCAACCGCGAGTCCTCTCCTGATACTGTTGACTCACCAGCAATATTCCATCTTACATTCGCCAAGATGGCTCGAGGAAAGTGGATGTAAGTATTTGGAATGGATGCGCCTGCGTAAATCCATCAACTGATTCCGTGTATCTAGCGACAAGAAGACGGCGCAGCACTTCACGCTCGTCCACCGGCCGCAAAATGACCCCCTCATCCACGACGAAAATGCGCCGTCCATGGTGCTCAACCCTACACAGCCCGCAGACGGTCCCGCCAAGGGAAAGCACCTAGATGATTTGGCTTCAGAGCTGGGCTACGATGCCGATAACATCCGCGCGAACGAAGGCGAGGCTGCCGGCCACGGCGTTTACTTTGACGACTCCGAATATGATTACATGCAACATTTGCGAGACCTCAACGCTGGAGGCGGCGAGGTTGTATTCATCGAATCTACCGATGCGGCGAACCAGGGCAAGGGGAAGCAGAAGGAATCGCTGTCTGACGCCTTGAAGAAGATGAACCTGGAGCAGAAATCTGGCGACATTCTTGACGAAGAAATTCTGCCCTCCAAGAACCTCACTCGGGTCACCTATGAGGCGCAGCAAAATATCCCAGACGCCATCAAGGGCTTCCAACCGGACATGGACCCGCGATTGCGAGAGGTTCTGGAAGCCTTGGAGGATGACGCGTATGTTGAAGACGACGATGATGTTTTTAATGAGCTTGCCAAGGACGGACGAGAACTTGACGAGTACGAGTTTGACGAACAACAATACTTTGAGGAAGATGACGGTTGGGAGTCAGACGACACCGCAAAGCCGACCAAGGAATACAAGGAGGATGCCGTCCCTGATCTCGTCAAAGCCCCCGGGGAACAGCCCGACGAGGGACCCTCTCAGGACTGGATGGATGATTTCAAGCAGTTTAAGAAGGAGCAAAAGGGTGGCCGCCCACAGGTTGGGGCCTCGCCGTCCGAGTTGCAATCAAACTGGACGACAACCACCAACGGCGGAAGGCGGAAGAAGAGAAAGGGAGCGCTCACCAACCCATCGAGCTACTCCATGACGTCTTCGTCACTTGTACGAACAGAGCAGATGACACTGCTTGATGCGAGGTTTGACAAGATTGAGGAGGCATACAACGAGGATTTCGCAGACGATATGCAATCCGTGTCTGCCATCTCAACGGCGTCTAGCGTCCAAGGGCCGGTGCGCAGCGATTTCGATGGCATCATGGATGAGTTCCTTGGAGGATTTACCAAGCCTGGAAAGAGAACGTCCAAGAAGATGAGGCCCCAAACCGGGCTCGAGCAGCTGGATGAGATTAGGCAAGGCCTTGGACCGGCTCGAATTCGTGGTCGGATAAGGTGAGCGAGTGCTGGTCCGGGATATATTTATCGGGATACCTATCGGGATATTGTCATAAAAGTTGAGTCTATGGTCGTAATGAATATAAATGAAGTCCTTTTGCCACATAAATCAAAATTGCTGGACATGAAGTCTTGTCTGTTCCTGTCTTCGTCGCCCTCCTGTTCTATATAAAATGTGAGAGCCTCATGGACAAATCCGGCCTAGTGCGGATGCGCTGGCGGGGTGGCTGGAGAGATGAGTCACGTGGTGGTGTGTATCCGGCAACAGGAGCAAAAGCTTCCCCAGGATGGTAGAAGCTCCATGTGCTCACCTTCAACATCAGCCTCCGACGACACGCCTTTGTTCACCCGCCACGCATTTTGCGCGTTGCGATCTCTCCCCCATGTGCAAACGATTCCCTAGATGACTGCGACGTCCGTTGCGTCATCAAGCCAGATGTTTTCCACCTTCGGCCAACCGACGCAGAACCCGTCTCCAGCGTTCAACCCCTTCGCCAACAACACCGACGGGGTAGGCAGCTCATTCGGTCTTGATGGTGCCGGCGACGCGTCCCGGGCGAAGCGAAACAAGCAATCTTCACGGCTGGCCGACCAGAGCAACAATGAGGGAAAGCGAAAAGCGAACAAGCCCTTCCAGGACAAGGATGCCAACTTGAGCGATGGAAGCAACAAAAAGGGCAAGAACGGCGACGAGAGGAAAAGGAAAGGCGCGGACCTGAAAAAGAATCGAACCAACGGCGGCGACCCTTCGAAGAAACCATTACCACAAAACGCGCGTGGCAATGGGCTCAACGCATTCGCCGCGACGCGAACCCCAGCATCGCGACCGACATCATCCTCGAGCACCGATTTGGATGACAACCCCGTTCCTGAATCTTACCACTCCAACGACCCTCATGCCCGAAAGGTATACGAACAGCTGAGAAAGGATGGCATTAACCCTCCACAGTGGCCGTCGCAACCTGGGAACCCCAACAACAAGGCCGAGGTGACCAAGTTTCGAGAAAGATATGAAGCGTATCGCGACAGGGTGCGCGCGTCCTTGACGAAGGCTGGCCTAATCGATGATCCGGAAAAGCGAAAAACTTTGCAGGACGCCATCAACTTCAAGGGTATCTGCGAGGACATGTGCCCCGAATACGAGAAGATTATGCGCATCAACGAGAGTGACGTCCACCTGCCCGAGAAGAACCCCAAGACGACCTTCCCCGATACTCGACGGATGGTCAAGAAACTGGCGCGCTCTGCTGCCGGTCAAGAAGCCCCGCTGCCCATGGATGTCCGATCTATACGCGCGCTTCGACGAACACTTGACTACCTAGTCGACGACCTCCTCCAGAACGATGGAAATCTGCCAACTTTGCACAGTTTCCTCTGGGACCGAACTCGAGCAATTCGTCGCGACTTTACATTCTTTTCGTCTCTCGACCCGGAGGAAATGAAGACTCAGGTCTATGTTCTCGAGAACATTGCTAGGTTCCACGTCACGGCGTTGCATCTGCTCTCCCAAGAAGGCAAGGCACCTCAGGATTTCGTGGAACAACAAGAGTTGGAGCAACTCGGCAAAGCCCTCCTTTCTCTGCGCGATCTATACGACGACTGCAATGAACAGGGCGTCGTCTGTGAGAATGAGGCCGAGTTTCGCGCGTTCTATCTCATCTTCCATGCATTCGATCCTAACATTATCGAAACACTCCAACGACAATGGAAGCCCAACCTGTGGAGAGATTCCGATGAGGTCAGGACCGCAGTGTCTCTGGTGGAAGCTCTCCAAAATACTCAACATTTCCATGGACCCCTCAAGGATGCGCCTTCATTGGCTGCATCAGCGGCATACCATACCTATTTCCGGATTGTAGAAGATCCAAAAGTCTCATACACCATGGCCTGCTTTGCAGAGTGTCACTTCCCTCACCTTCGACGTTCTATCTTGACGGCTATCAAGAAGGCACTAGCACGTCCACGAGAGTCATCAAAAGACGTTACAACCACAGTACTCAACAAGTTCCTCCGATTCGACACTATCCAGCAGGCCGTTGATTTTGCGGAGCTACACGATTTCGAGTTTGGCCAATGCGAAGAGGACCCATCAGATCTCAGCCGTCAATACCTGATCTTGGATAACCGGAAATCCCTGCCTCACCACAGACTACAGCACCACTTCTCTCAAAACCTGGTGGAGAAGAAGCGTGGTTCAAGGGCACTTCCAGACTTGATTCACCAGAGCGTCCTCGAAGACCCGAACGCTGCAAAACCCGCGATCAATGGTTCTGTCGAGGGGAGTCTCTTTGTTTCAGACACGGAAAAACCGACGACCCAAGCCTCTATCCCAACCACAGCCAGAACGACAACCTCCAGCCCCTTTGCCCTGTTTAGTCCACCTGCAGGCGGGTCGGGAAGTAACGGCGCCCTTAGTAACAATCTAGGTAAGACTCCCGCGCCCCCCATATTTAAATTGCACCAAAGACTCTGCGCATCAGCCCTCTCATGTACTATTCGCAAGAGCCTGTACTTTTTAGGCGAACAACTCGCATTCAGACGGAGACTTGAGATGCCATAGCCCGCGAGATGATTCTCGGGGCAACAAGATGGCTCGAGATGAACCACTGGAGATCTGGCAAAAATACGCCCAAAGCCACTGGTTCTGACCTTGCTTTCGTTTCTAGGGATCAAATCTAACGGAGTGCTGCCGAACCCTGGCTCACCTTTCCAACAAGCACCTTCTCAACCAAGCCCGTTCTCACAAGCCGCTACTCTCGGGACCAACAAACCGGCCATCAACCCATTTGCCACGGCTCAACCACAAGCCACTCCGTCGGCCCTCAATGGCGCTCCTACCAATGCCGCTTCCAGTGCTCAAGGCCAGTCGGGGGCTTCCAACGGGGCTGCTTTCAACCCCTTTGCGACATCATTTGCCCCGTCCTCAAAACCTGCAGCAAAGAGCCCATTTGCGTTGGCTGGCGCATCTGACACAACGGGAACACAGCCACCAAAGCCAGCAAGCCTCCCCTCCTTCTTTACTCAACCGCAAACGGCGACTCCTCTCGGTCCACAAAGCGATACGAAGAACTCGATGGCACAGGCTCCCCCAAGCACTACAGCAGAACCGGCCAAGACTCCCGGAATCAACCTCGTCCCACCTACTCCCAAATCAACCTCGTCGGCCTTTGCCTTCCCTCCCACGGGCTCTAGTTCACTCACAGCTAGTACCATTGATGTCACCGCTCCACCAGCATCAATTGGGATCCAACACAGTCTTGGAGCTCTCCTAGGCAAACCTTCACCAACCCCTCCTACAGATGGCCAACCCCCAGCAACCAGTAAACCAATTCCTGCCCTAGGGACAACGGCACCAACAAAACCGGCATTTCCGTTCCCAAGTCCCTCTTCTTTACAGCCCTCGTCGACGCCCGGCATTCTTGGGCTTCCCTCGACAACTACACCCACACCCGCCCATGTACAGAAACCAGCGAGTCCTCCACCTCCACCCCCGCCTCCCCCTCGCGACTTGATGGGCGACTTTACGAAATGGTATGTAAAGGGTGACGACGGTCTTATGGAAGACTTCCAGGGATTTATGCTGGACAATATTCTGCAAGGCGTCTTCAGGAAATTCCAGAAAGAAGAGGAAAAGAAAAGGCAGCAAGAGGAGGAAGCACGGGCTATTGCAGAAGCAGACAAGTTCCGCGTCTATAGTCTTTCGGTCAAGTACTTTTACCGATGGCGGGAGATTGCGCGAGAGCTTCGCCTCAGCCAATTACGCCGGAGTGGACGTGATCAAATGAGGTCATACTATGAGGCTCAGCGAGCGGCGCAGCTCAAGGCTCAGAAGGACGCAGCTAGACGAGCAGCCAGAGAACAAGCTGAGCTTGCAGAGCTGAATCGCCCTGACGAATTCATGGACATGCTCAAGCACAAGAAGCCCAGCAAGCGACAGGCAGAACATGCCCTACTGGCTTCGGGAGTATTATCAGGGGTCAGCAACGAGGAAGCCGCCGTTTCAAGGATTGTACAGAAGGCACCTTCAGTCAATGGCTCAGTCACGAGCACCCAGTCAAGGCTATCGCGATCGTCAACCGTCAAGAGCGGTTCCAAAACGCAAGCCTTGCGGGAGCAACTCCTCGGTGATCGGTCAGCCGGCTTCCGTCGCTCGCTACCTCCCATGTCATCAGGGGACGCCAGCAGTCCGGACTCAGGAACGAGGGTCAGCAAGGTGTCGGAGCGTTGGCGATTAAAAGCTATGGGCATCGTCCAAATGCCGGACGGGACGGCGCTTCCCGAATCTCTGGCCAACGAAGTCCGATATGGAAAGAAAGGATACTCGGGTATTGGTTCTATGGGCCCTCCAACCAGCGGGGCTGTTCGTCGAGCATCCATTGCCGACCTGGCCCACCCAGACGGGCCAGGTCTGCTTTCAGGATCCGAGGAATACCTCAGTTCGAGCGGAACGGAGACTGCGGCAATGAAGCACAAGAGAAAGCGGCCAACCGAGGATGACGGGGAAGCGACTGGAAAGGCCATTTCAAAGGTGAACGCGCATAAACGAGTCATGAGCGACGCACAGAACTTGATGAGCGAGCTCCGGGCAATGCGGGAGGAGATGGAGGAAGGGGCATCATGGTTCAGGGACCAGAACGAGCGACTGCAAAGCGAAAATGCGAGCAGAGGGTCGACACCATGGGACCAAAGCATCTAGGTCGGCGTTTAGCGGGAAGCAAGAACTCACGATGGGAAGCAAAGCATTGACGACTCGCATCAATGCGTTCGGAGGCCAGTTTTGTATTCGTTAATTGGTTTGGCGGTAATTCTCAGGACCGGAGATACCCATAGAGTTGGATGGTGGATGTGGGGTGCCTTCTGGTTTTGTTTTGATATTGATTTTGTCCTTGATCAGCGATGGCATGGGGATTATATATGTGTGTACACCATAGTTTTTACAGACGGCGGCGGGAATGAAACAAACAGATCACACGGCTGGCGACGAAGCCAGGAACAAACACACATTGACTCCTGATTGACTCGTGAATTGTATATCCTGGGTATCATCCATTGTATTTGACTATTAGGTGGTTACATGTACTTCATGCTCATATCGTTACAGCTCATCATTGTCTCCTATCCAGCTTCCGATATCCAACTCGCTGCCACCCGCGGTATCATTACAAGAAAAGGGACTAGGATAGAAACCTATCATGTTCCTTTCTTGGGCGGTGGAGCGAAACTGGTCTGGATATTTCGAACCTCGATGGGGGCGACGGAGCCCCAGGAAGCCTTCTTCATCAGGTCTCTCCGAGATCCACCAACGCGCTGCTCCTCCCATTGCGACTCGGTGTCCCGGTTTTCCCGTTGGGTTAGTGGAACAGTATTCCGGGGACTGGCGACGGTGAAGCCTGGGCTGAGAAGGGGAGATCCCATCGGCGAGCGGTGATCGGCCGGGTTGTAGGGTTTGTGGTGGAGGAGCGGAGCGTTGGACCGTGTCGAGGTGGTGGAGGTGGGCGTGGTGTAGTCGTCTGGAGAGGCCAGCTGCCGCGGAGAGGAATGGATTGGCGGCGGACAAGGAAGCGTGGTGGTGATGTTGGAGAGCTTGGGACTCATTCGGCTGATGCCAAGTGCGTTATGAGAGCCCCAGGGGGAGGAAGAAGAGTCGCCGACGACAGGATTGGAGCTGAGGGCCGCAGCAGGATCGACATAGTGACTCTCCCGCATCGACACGGGGCTCTCTTGACCATTCGGACCGTCCCGGAAGCCCGGTTCCATGGGTGTCAGATGGGTCTGGCAGCGGAACGAGAGCGACGAGGCGCGGGCGCGGCGAGTACGGGCAGCGCGGTTCTTGCGCTTGCGATATTGCATGTAGACGCAGCCGCCGATGATGAGGACGACGACGAAGGCGCCGATGGCGATGCCCGCGATGGTCGTGTTGGCGAGCGTGGCGGATGAGGCCTTGTCCGAGCTCGTCGGGTCAACTATCTCGATGGATGTGGCGGCGAAGACGGTGTCGTTAAGGCCGAGGGTTACGCCGGCGGCTGGTTTTTGTTGGCATCCGGCTTCGAGGGCGACCAAGACTATGAGTGTGTGTGTTAGTAGCAGGGTCAAAGTGAGATGAGATGAGATGAGATATTGCGACTAACAGTTGGACAAGTACGTGTGAGTGCGGTCTGCCCTGACGCAGGAATAACAACTCTCGTAGGAAGCGCCGAGCATGGCGCCGCTGTCGGCTGCACAGTAGTCATACTGCGCTCTGTCATCTGGACTCGTGATGCCCGTCTTCAGGGCATCCTCCAGGGGACCGCATGCCTCAGAGGTGACGCAGGGATTGGAGCCGATGCCAGATGCGTTGGGATAGCCAAAGACGCAGTAGTCGAACGAGTAGCGGAGGTTGTCTAGGATACGCGTGTAAGTAGGTTGGTGAGGACATACACACGGGCAATGCGAGGCACTACAAGGCACTGCAATATAAAACCCAGGAATCATGTATTTGAACTTACACAGGAACCAGTTCTGGTCATTCTCGTCCCCCGCGAAAATTCGCTCTCTTGGAGACAGGTCAGACATTGCTGGAACTTCTTGCCCGTGGTCTTGCTGTTGTAGGCGTCGTCATCGCAGACGATGTCGTCGCCGTCGGTGTTGGACGCGCTGGGATCGGAGCGGTCGAGGCCGGACGAGTCGAGGCAGAAGGAGGCGCACGGCGAGTTGGGGGTGACCTGGAGGGCCGTGGCGATGGGCGACAGCAGCAAGAGGATGGACAGGAATAGTGCAAGTGATGACGATGGCGATCGGCAAGCCATGGCTGCGGCTGGCTGGGCGCGAGGCTCAGCGAAGGATTCGTCGGTGGTCTGTCTGATGGGTCGCTCCAAGCGGCCGAGGCCAGACCTGCTGTGAAACGTCGAAGATGGAGCAAAAGAGAACGAGTGAGAGGAACGAGTGAGAGTGTGCCAGCCACTCTCTAAAACATGGGTATCGTAGTCTTTCGTGGGGGCTGGAATTAAGCAGACAGGCAAAACAAGAGAAGCCCGTCGAGAACGAGGCGGGGACGAAGCGAACAAGACTCAAGCGAGAGAGAAAGAGGGAATCTGACGAGAACGAGCAAAAGCTGGAAAAGGGAACGCAAACTCGGTTCTATATCATCCAGCCCCCCTCCCCCTTAGAGTCAGTCTCGTGTGGCGTCGGGATATACAGGCGTTTCCAGCCCATATCACACATTTCACGACGGCGGTGCGTGAGCCCACCTTCTTTCTGCAGGGGAAGCGCTGGACAAAGGCTGAAAAAGGCTGGACAAAGCTGGAAAAGGCCGCTATCGAATCTGGAATCCGGGCCATTTGCCGCCCGGGAGAAGCTGTTCGAGCGGCGCAGACGCAGGGCTTCACGGCAATCACAGCTTAGCAGCTTGAGAAGCCCTGGTGTGGTGGCCGCGGGCCTATCACAGCCGGCGCCGGGGGGTTGTTGCGCGCTGCGGGCCGGCGGACGGCGGCCAATCGGCGGGGCGGGGTTTGCGCGGGCGGAGGTGGGTGGGGCTAGAGACTGTGACGGGCGCTTAACGAGGCGCTGTGATGCGCTGTATTATTCTGCGATGCGCTATAATATTCTGCAATATTCTGTACAGTAATAAGCTGTGGTGCTGTGGTGCTGTGATGCTTCAACTAGTTATCAAAGTCCCCTAATTCTCTCGTCTGGGGAAGTGCGTGCAGCCGGAGCATAGAGGATCCATTGGTAGGCCTTTCATTCCCCGCGATACTCCAAGTGTCCAAGTCCTCCCACATCAAACAACCCATGCGATGCGAGTATGGACCACATGTTCACTGCCGATCCGGCCTTGTCCAACATTTAGCATCCAAGTTACTTTGACATCACACACTCCGTATTCACGAGAAGAAGCATATGCCCAAAATTCCGGATAATATTATCGTCCAAGTAACTTAGCCAGTATCTAAGTCAGTATCCACCCATCCATCCAACGCCCAATTCATGCCGTCCGCTTATCCATCTATTACTCGGGGTATCCTGTCATATACTGTCATACACGATGATGACTTGTCACGTCCATATTTCCAATATCCCTCTCCACTAAGTGGCTATCTCATCATATCCCCTCATATCCCCTCATATCCCATCACAGAATCGTATATCCAAGCACATACATGCACCGCACCTTCGACCTGCACCAGCCGTGAAACACCAAGACGCTGGCATCTTCGGAACTCGTGCCGCCGCCGGGCCCCTTGAGCCCCAGCTCCGGCGTAGACAGAAGCGGCGCCGCGCCTCGGACATATGTGCCGGAGATGGTGTCTGACACGGCGTACTTGACGTCGTAGCCGTCGTCTGTGTACATGTGGCTGCTGAAGAAGAGCAGGTAGCGTCCGTCGGCCAGCTTGACCAGGTTGGGCGCCTCCACCAGCGGGCCGTCCTCAGACTCGATGCGGTTCATGATGTTGACGGGCCCGCCGATGAGAGTCGAGCCGTCATCCGCCGCCACGCGCTGCAGCCGGATCGGCGTGTCGGTGCCGAACCGGTTGCCGTCGACCTTGTACACGATGTAGCGTCGCCCGGTAGCCTCATCGTAGAACCCGGCCGGGTCGATGGCACCGCCTTCGTCCTGAGGACAGATGAGAGGGCCGTCGTCCATCTTATAGGGGCCGACGCTCATCTTGGACCGCGCCGTGCCGATGCAGTGGCCGCTCCCCGATACTTGGCCGGAGAAGTACATGATGTAAGTGCCGTCGCCGAGCATTCTCACGTCGGGAGCCCAGAAGTTAGAGCCGCTCGTCCAGCCGTCCTCGGGGAGAGCATCTTGCTCGAGGACCGTCCATGGGCCCCAGACTTCGTCGGCCGTGGCGACCTGGATGTGGTAGCCGTTGCCGCTGGTCGCAAACGACACCCACTTGCCGGTGCTGTCCTGGAGGAGAGCGGGATCCGGGAAGTTTTGGTCAATGACGGGCGCCAGGTCTGCTCGTCGTCCGAGGCGAGAAGAAGACCTGTCAGTGGGCCAGTTGAGAGTGATCTTGAGGGGGGAGACAGAGGTAGTAGAAGAGGAAGAAGAGGGAGAAGCAGGGGTTCTTCGAGAAGGGATGGTCATGGCGTAGGTAGAGTGAATAAGGAGGAGGAGGGTAGTGAAGAGGGTAGTGAAGAGGAACCTCGTCGAGTCAGTCATCTTCAACATATTGACTTTGGTTGGCTGGTCTCTGACCGTGATGGTAGAGGTCGATGACAGAGAAACGAGGTGCTGTGTATAACAATACAAGCAAACAAGAATGAATCAGCAGTGTCGTCTTTCTTGCCCAGTCCTGGAGTTGCCTGCCAGTCACTGAAAAGCTGCCTTGTCCTGCTTCTCTCCCCCCATGACAACTCGAGCTTCAACGCCATACTTATATACCAGGGGAATCTAGGACTAGCCACGACCCCCCAACCCGCCAAGCCAACACCGACTCGATGCCGTCCTCTCAAAATAAACCCTCAATGCCTCCCTTCCCCCCCCCCCCCTCTTCTTTCTTCAGCCCGACCCCCATTTCCCAAGCCAAAGCCGTGAGCCCCCCCGTTCGGGCCGGGGCCATGACGAAGAGGGTTACTTAGTTCAGGCACAGGCACAGACACATGCGGATGATCAGGGCAGTGGCACAGACGGCAACGAAAGGGGAATTAACGAATGAAATCGCCAGGGGAACCACATGGGAGAGCAATCCGGACGGCATGGGGACGAAAAAATAAAAAAGAACCAAGGGGAAAACACGGGGGAGAGTCGAAACAGCCCATGGGCGGTGGGCCGGAATGGTTACGGCGAGGCTGTGCCATGCAACAGGAACTAAACCAACCGGAGAGGGAAAAAGAGAAGAAAGCGCTCGGGTGGCTCCAGTCAGGCGTGTCCAAGTCAGCGACTCAGCGCGCGCGGGCAAGGATGCGACGTCTTAATTTCATGCGGTGGACGGAGCCGCAGGGAGGGTTGAATGCGGTGAAGTAGGTATGTATCATGGGAGTCGTGGAGTCGTGGAGTCAGGGAACATCCATCCGAGTCATGGAGTCATGGAATCATGGAATCATGGAATTCCAGAGAAGCCAACATCTACCGCACGGCGCAGTCAGCTACTACCACGCTGCATCTTGCATCTACAACCCCATTGCCAACAATTGCCAACATTTTCCAACATTGCCAGCAGACATGTCGGCCGAAACACCACGTACCGGGGTGCGCAAGTGAGCTCGGGATAACGTCCTGCGGCCTGATTCGCGCCTCCGCGTAGCACACTCACTCACTCACTCACTCACTCTCACTCGCTCGCTGTCGTGTCGCGTCACCTCGTTCCGTTTCAGTTCCTGGCGCGTCCTTGGGGGAAAAAAAAACCCTGCACGAAATCCTCAACTTCCAGAGCCCTGGTTGGCGGTCGCGCAAATAGGATCCCGCACAGAGGATCCCGGCAGTGTCAAACTGCACGCACGTATGACCGACAGCAGCCACCGCAAGCCTCTTCCTTTCGGCGCAAGAACAGGCAGACAGACTCTGCCAAGATAAGACATAAGACGACTCTACTAAGCCTCACTGTCGCAGTCACTCTCACCCTCACTCAGCTGCTGTCGTCTCGTCTCGTTCCGATGCCAACGCATGCATTGCCCACATGGCGCCGTGTTTCACCATGATGGGGCGAAAGCTCGACCTCACCGGCATTTGGCCTTGGCCTCATTCAACTTGGCCTCATTCAAACTCATCTCTGGCTGGCATAATTAGGCAATTACACGCATTGATTCGCACCCATGGACCAACCTTAGACGGCTCAGATTGCCGTAGAACCCCCTACGACTCTCCCATGAGAAAAACAAGATACGTCCGTCCACTCACTCACTGTCTTGGTCTTTCTTCCATGGACCGTGAGCCATGACACCATGACACCATGACCATGACATCTCCAATCCCACCCTTGTCCTGTCACTTCCGCCTTCTATTTTTCGCCTCTCGTTGGTTGCACAAGACAAGACAACGACAATGACTACGCACCTTTGCAGAGATCCATCCAAAGTGGACACAAACCCGTACGGCACTTCCGGTCGCAATGCCAACAGACACCCAAGCACGTACCATCGGATTCGGTAAATCCTTTTTTTTTTTTTTGGGTCTCTCTGCCTCCATGTCCATCATTCATTCACTTGGCAGCTCGGGATGAGCTTTGCGCCGTTTGCATGGATTGCCTTGCTTGCTTTTCTTATCGTCCTTTTGCATTGAGAGCCTTCATCTACTCCTACCGGGATTTTCGAACCAAACGCCAAAAATGTTCCCCAAAAACTGACAGTCAAAGCGGAATAAAAACCAGAACAGGAAAAACCAGGGAGAGTATGGTACAGCACGTACACCGCCCCATATCAACAAAGCCGAGAACCATCAAGGGTTGGAATCCCTCAATCGCTCTCATCGCTGTCCTCCCCCTTCTTGCCCTTCTTGGCGGCCTTGGCTGCCTTCTTCTCCGCCTTCCGACGCTTCCGCTCAGCCTTTTCCTCGGCAGTCTCACCCTCATGCTTCTTGCGCTTCTTGTCCTCTGTAGGAGGGGGCGAAGAAGCATCAGCTCCCTCCATCTTGGTGTCCTCGGAAGCCTTCGCGGGGGTGGCGGGAGCAGCAGCAGCGGCCGCAGCAGAGGCGTCGGGCGCGCTGAAGTCCTTGTACTCGGTGCTCCACTTGGCGGGAGTGGCATCGTTGGCGCGGCCGTACTTGTCCAGCTTGCCGTCGGCCTTGAGCTTCTTCTTCTCCTGGGCGACAGGGCCGAGACCCCAGCGGCGAGGGTACAGGTCGCGCTCCATGATGCAGCGCTTGACCTTGGCGACAACGCCGTGGTCGCAGGTCGACATCTCGACGGTGGACATCTGGGCAATACCCAGAGCAATGGCCTCACCCTTGGTGGTCATCAGGACAACCTCCTCGTGGTGCTCAATGGCAGCCTCTGTTGGACGTGAGTTAGCGCTGCTTCCTACAATGGCTAAATAGACTTGAACAATAAAACGTACCGTATCGGAGGAGACCGGGAAGCATGAGCTTGGCACCGTAGCAGACGGCGTTGACGGCGCTGTCTTTCACAACGATTCGCTTGTACGAGGTCAGGAGAGTTTCGAGGGGAGAGATGACACGGCGGAGGTAGGACTCGTCGCGGGTGTTGTCCATCTGCCACTGGGCGTCGAGGACGTCGTGAAGGGTGACGAGGCCCTTGTTCTCGTCCATAGCACCACTGCGCACTCGGCGAAGCTCCTGCATGTGGCCGCCGACACCGAGGAGGAGACCAAGGTGGACGCAGAGGGTTCGGATGTAGGTACCAGCCTCGCAGCTGACCCAGAAGACACCGAGGTGACGGTCATTGTCAAACTCGATGAGCTTGCTCTCGTAGATGGATCGGATACGGAGCTGGCGCTTGACGGCCGAGATCAACGGGGGACGCTGGAAGAGCGCACCGGTGAGGGTCTCGAGGGCACGGGCAAACTGGGCCTGGCCGCCGGGCAGCTTGTCGTGCAGGCGGATGACGGCGACGTACTCCTTTCCGGCACCTTGTTGAGACTTGACCAGACGAGTGGCGCGGTCAACGCAGACAATCAGACATCCTGTAACCTTGGGGTCGAGGGTTCCGCTGTGGCCGGTCTTCTCGCATCTGGAGGGAGGGGAAAAAAGTTAGCAAAAAGCGGACACGGACAGAGGCAGCGGCTGAAGCAGACGCGGACGCGATTGCGGCGGGACAAGGCCACAAGAGAGAATTGACGTACCGAAGAATGCGCTTGACCCAGGCGACGACCTCGTGGGAGGACGGGTTGGAGGGCTTGTCGAGGTTGATGACGCCGGAGCTGATGTACGACTTGAGGTCGCGCTTCAGAGGCGAGCATCCGTTGGGGATGGGAGTAAAGTGTCCGGTTCGAACCAGGACTGCGGCCGCCAAGTCAGTCTCTCAGTCTCCAAGTCTTTGCTTCAGTAACAATTGCCACTCACGCTTTTCGTAGTTCTTGAGGAGCAGCGGCCACGCGCTCGTGTCAATGGCAGGTGTCACGGCCTGGGGCTTGATGGTGTACTCGTCCTCCGACCCCTTCTTCACAAGTTCCTTGGACATCTTGGGCAGGTGCGGCTGGGCGTCTTCACGCTGTCGTCTGATTAGTCCTTTGCGGGTGTCTGATAATGTACCGGGCCAAAACAGTAGGTGCTTCTGACGAGGGAAGGAACGGAGGCGGTTCGTGATTTCCTCGGTGTCTGCCCGGTTTGGTGGTTGGCAGCTTCCAAATTTTTTTCTTGCCATGTGTGGGGGCAATTGTAGAAGGCGGAAAGCTGCGAGCCTCTGTGGCGCCAATTGAGCGCTAAACCTAGTTTGGGAAGGAGCCCACGTGTGCCACACTTACCAGCCACAGCTAGATCCGATCCAGCCTCGCTTTGACAAAAGGGCTCCACCGCTAGTCCGGAATCCACTTGACGAGATTTCTCGCCAGCGACCGAAGTAACCCAGTCATGCAGCCTACCCTAGAGGTGTCTAAAACCACAGTTATTCGAACACAATATCAATCAGCAACACTAGTACTGATATACCGGTATTGAATAAAGGACTTGGTTTTAAGGGGAACTTTGGTATATTTTCTACAGGCCGAATGGTGACGGATCTCTGAGTATTCCACACAGGCGACTTTATAGACGTGGGGTGGACTTCATAACAAGGAACTACTAACTCGCCTCCGCGGCCCTAAAACCTTGGGCAACCTTGATGCAAATCCCATCCCGAAACTGTTAGACTATATCTAGACGGAGCATATTTGTCGCTAGAATAAACCACCTCTTTCCATACCTCATATTACTGGGAGAATAAGCCGAACAATTAAATGAACCACATGCAGATGCTACCCTCGGGCTAGATATCGGTCTGTGAATGAAAACTGTAGTTGTATCCGATCTCCCCCCCCCAATAATGAAATGTGGCAGCCAGGCCCGTTCCGAATTGGCATCCATGATATCCTTTACATTTGAACGTCTCGAGCGCTGATTTGAAAGACACTTGAAGCGTTCAAAGCTACTTGAAGGATTAAAAATACCAGAACATCCATGACATGCAAACTGAGCTATAGTGCAGTGTTGGAGCCATTTCAAGATGGCTTCCTTGCTGGGTTGCTTTAGGTATTGAACTGAGTGGGGTTGTTGAATTATGTCGCAAATTGTTTTAGCCTCTAACAATGTCAAACCCAGAGGACCGAAGGAAGCTGAATCCGGAGGAGGTGACAATTGTGAAAACATTGGATCCAACTTACGAGGACAAAGTGTACAACAGGAACTTCACTCTGTAATAGTTGATCAATACCTTTTACCGAGATCTGAATGATAGCAGGGCCTCAAAGATCTCACGCGGGCTAGTGAAACCCGAGGAATCGTACACTGTGGATGACCGCCTATTGCTAAGAAATTCAGGCCGTGGGTTATGTTCCCAGTCGTCGTGATACATGCTACAGCTTTCAGTGGCTCCTTGGGATCGACTAGGTTCTTGTTCTTGCTAGCCTACTGTGGTGCATCGTCACCAAGACACATATTTCGTAGCCGCAGTATTTACTGGCTACTGACTACTGACCAAAGTAACCTCTCGAACTCCGTCTATCGCCAATTCCTGCACAATCTCTTCATACTCCTGGGATAAAAGATAAAGCCAAGTTCCTTGTACATTGAGTCGCGAGTTATATGTCGCAGTACGTTGAGCTTTATCGAGCGACGAACTCCATCCACATCGAAGGATTTGGCTGCAGCTTCGAGTACCTTTGACTGGCATGAGAGTCCTCCGGTCTGCGAGCGCGAAGCAGATCCAAAGCCATATTGCCATTCCAGACATTTCCTGCCGCAGGTGCAATGACCTTCTCAATCTTGATCTCGTCCCCTCAGCTATCTAGAAGAACTCAGTATGCCAGTCCTTCACCTCAAATCTAGCTTCTGTCATGCGGGCATGATGAGCCCAGTAATGGATCGATATCGGAGAAAACCCCACCTCATACAAGGTAATTTTGGATGTGACCTCGTTGGCAGTGGACCATTCGCAAGCAATCAAATTCGGATCCCACGTACGCATTCTTTTACGACATTGGCCAGCCATATCGCGAGTGGATTGCAGCAACCCCAATGAATCCTACAATCATTTTCAACAGTTACGCACGTCCAGAGTGAGGGGTAGAGAGAGAGCGCCCAAACACAGATTCCCACCTCAGCCCCAAGCCTCATTGAGGACACACCCATTATCCGCGCACCGGGTTGGCTTGACACAGCCCGCCCTTTTAGCTATATTCTAGCTACTTTTCAACTACTTTCAGCCGACTTGCAGCCAACAGCCAATAGAACCTGCAGTGTACTGAGACAGACATGCGCCTAATGGCACGAGGCAGTAAGGCAAATGAAACATCAGCGCCACGGATGAACTAGACCGGACTCTTGGTCCCCTAGAAAAGCAGGGTCTTTCCGCTCGCGAACCGTCTTTCCACGCAATTCACCTTCTACTACTTCAATCATTCTCTGCTAGTATCTTAGGTTCTACCACTTCTATCAACATGGATCCCCTCAGTATCGTTGCATCCGTCATCGCCGTCATTGGAGTCCTCAAGGGCACCTACAAGACCCTGGACAACATCAAAGACCTCCCAAAGGCCTTTAGCGAAGTCAAAAAGAACCTGCCTCTGGTCCGAAAAATCCTCCAGGACGTTCGCGATAAGCTCGAGGATTCTGAAGTCTTGATCCCGGAGGACGAACGCGAGTCCGTCCTTGCCATACTTCAACCGTGCGACAAGTCTGCCACTACACTCAAACGAATCTTCGGAGAGCTTGAAGAGAGGTGCAGGAAGGATCAGGCCGAAAAAAACTGGACGAAAATGCGTACTTGGTACTGCACTGCTCTACGACGTACCAAGGCAAATCGGGTCGAAAGTCTGATGAATGAGATTATGAGCGGCGTGCAAAAGTTGGGCTGGAACGAGATATTTAATCTTTCGAAATCACAAGACATGGAGGATTTGAAAAGGGCCATCAAGGATCTCTCGGAGGTGGAACCATCTTTAGAAGACTCTGAATTCGACAACATGGGCGTCATCAATGCCGAACAGCACGTCGCCTCGAATGCCAGCGCCCAGCAGTACTTTGCGCAAGGTGGCACCAATTCTTACTACTCGGGGACATATAACATCACTGGTACTAGTGCCACTGTCAACATTGGTAAGGAGTCTTGAAGCTGTTGGTGGGAGGCGGGTGGTGGACCGTTGCTCAATAGCGCCTTAGGGTTGTTGTGTAACGTACGTTAACCATAGTTCAATGACTAGACAATAGAATCATCATGCAATGCCGAGAACATAGTACGGACTCTCTTGAAGATAATAAGAAGAGGGATATGCTGGTCCTCGACAGTCTCTACAAATGTACATATGTAGAGGCCAAAAAGAGGAGCCGGCGACACGTGAAAGGCAACTGTGAATGGTTCACCAATTACTGTCCCTTCCGGGCTTGGCTGGAGAGAAAAGACTCTAGTCTACTCTTAGTAACTGCTCCTGGGTGTGGAAAACAATCACATTCAACAACTAGTTGCTTCTTCAAAGACGGGTTCAAGAGCCAGAGGAGCGCGAAAATCACTGTGTGCTGCCTGTTACGACAAGTTTTCGACGAGGACCGGACTCTTCTATCAGAAGGTATCCTTGAAAGGTTCAAGAAAGATGGAGAGAGGCTTCTTGAATCTTCTCACGGTCTGTGGGATATCGTCGTCGAAGTTGGGAGCCTTGCCAATAAGGAAATCATCTGTATTTTGGACGCTTTGAGCGAGTGCGAGGAAATTGAACGAGGGCAACTGATCCAAATCTTGACTGACTACTGCAGAAGCGACCATACAGGACGGAGCTTGAAGTTTCTGGTGACGAGTCCACCACATGAAACCATTGGGCGGCATTTCAAACGCTTCCAAAGAAGAGTAATTATCATTCATTTACACGGAGAGGATGAAGGAAAGGTCAAGGAGGTAGAGAAAGAAATCGACATGGTGATCGATGAGAGAATGTATGACCTTGGAGACGATCTACCCTCTCAAGCCAGAAGCGCAAGAAAAGTTGGGATCTCAGCTGTGACGGAATCCAAACCGCACTTATCTCTGGGTATACCTCATCTTGGATGTCCCCGAAAACTGTGTTAGCACCTCAGAGACCGCCCTACTCTCAGCAGCCACAACCCTTCCCACGACGGTAGATGACACCATCCGAAGCATTTTTGGCACCTTCGTCTCGATTATAGATGGCAAAGTCTACCTTCCTCATCAAACAGTAAGGGAATTCTTGCTCCAAGAGCACCGGGAGCCAGAATCACAGTTCAACGAGGTAAAAATTGCCATGGCCTCTCATAGGGCTTCGTCATTACTTATGCCTAGTTGGTCTTTCTATGGATTGTTAATTCCTGGTCTATGAAGTGATCTATGAGTCTATGCCTTCTGCGATTCACCAATCATGCCAAGGATCTTCTTCGCAGCGACATTCCTACCACCACCCTCCTGCCGACACACCTCTGCCAACACTCGGGATTTGGCCGCAAACTCTGCATTCCGGTCGAAGACGACGTCAATCAAGATTGGGGCAAGTTCGGAGGCACTCCACCGTGGACAGTTGTTCACATTTCCCCAACGACCGATCCCGAGCAACTCGGCTCGGTTTGCGAAGTCGAAGGTATCGGCCCAAACGGGGAGGACAACCTGCGGTACACCAGCCCTGTACGTAATTAGTGCCCGCGATTCTTTTATAACCTTGCCATCACAGGAGTAACTTACGTCAAGCCATCGTAGAACGAGCTAGCGCCACCATGTGTCACTGAGCAGATCGCATCTCCAGTGTTGAGGATGGAATTCGGTTCTGCCACGATCCAATCGACAATGCGGACACGATCAGCCTCGATTTCCTTCCCGAGAATGTCGAATGTAGCTGATCCTGGGCCTGTGTGATACTCGGGACCTCGAGCAGGGTCCTTCTTCAACTTCCACAGGATGCGCATCCCCGTCGAGTTGCCACCTCGCCTCGCGGCCTCGTCCAGCATCATTCTCAATGCCCTCGCCATCTCCACAGCCTCATCCTCGGAGACCTGGCAAACTGTACCCAGATTGATCGTCACCACGGGCCCATCCTTCATCCACTTTGCAAGCAGGGGATCGCTCTCAGTAAGAGGCGGTGCGGCTCGCAGGATTGGCCCGCAGCCGATGAGTTTGTCCATGTACGCCCGCGGCGCATTGGCGAGGTCGAGCGACGGGAAATCCACCTCAAGCCGCGAAGAAAGGAGGACATGATCGATGCCCTTCAGTCCGTCCTGAACAATGCTCGCAAAGGTGGAAACGTCTAGCTCTGGGAGACCCGTAAGAGTACGGATAGCGGCTATCTTGGCGGGCATATGCTTGTCCGTGACGAGGGTGAAGATCAGGCGGAGCAAGAAGTAAAAGTTCAGTGGGATGAGGTACCACGGGATGGGCATGAGCATGGCCGCGCCGGTGATGGGCCACTTGGCGATGAGATTTTGGGGTGGCTCAAGATGGGATGCGAGGTCCTTGATGGAGTTGGGTGAAAGCAGGACCAGTTTAAAGGGTGTAGGGACCTCGCCTTTGGTGTCTATCTGAGTGCGTCGGTGCTTGCCCGCCGTTAAGGCTGGAGAGAGCAAACCGTCAACTATGAAGACGTTTGGCGATAGAGAGTCGAGGAGTGCATTGGTCTCATTGAAGATGGCGACGTACTCCTCGGGAGTCCAGGCCAGAAATAGGCGCGTGAGGAAGAATCGTGACGCGGCGGGAGTGTTCCGGAAACCGGGCTTGAGCAGAGCGGTAGACAACATGCGATTATTTGGGTTGGGATCACGGTTGATACACTCGGTGATGACGGGTCCGGGAAGAGCGTGGAAGGTGACGTTGGCGCCTTTGATGTCGGCGAAGGCTTCATCAATGGCCGGTTTGAGACGAGCGAACGATGCAATGTGCAGTTCGGTATTGGGGGCCTGCTCTAAGAGCGCCTGGGCCGTGGCGATGAATACATTTGCATGGCCCAGTTCGGAGACCATGGCCATAAGGATCTTGGGTGTCGCCATGATGATTTGTTAGAGTAATTGTTGAGAGATTCGCGATGTTGGAGTAGACGGCGCGTCGAACACACCGACTGTTGCCTAGGTGTGTGCGTTGTTACACAAAGTGATGAGGAAACACAAACTAAAACGAGAATCTTTGATAGCGCTTTTAGCTCCTAAGAAAAAGAAGTCATTAAAAGGCGAGGGAATGCAATTCGCTTTTACTCGAACTCAGAAGTAGAATGAAGAGAGAGCCTGCGCTGCGGAATAACCTGGGTCCGCAAGTAAGCACTACTGAGAGATAAGGGCGATGTGATTTCGATAAGCTTGGAGCTGGAATCATTCCTGAAAAGGCTCTTAAGGCCGCGGCTAAAAAAATCACTGAGGGTGAGAAGGTATAAATTTTTTTATAATAAATCCAGGGGTGGAATTTACATTGCTGAACATGTTCTCAAAGCTGCAGTTGGAAACTGATAAAGAGTAAGGAGATAGTTGCACTTATTCTCGATACTGTGGGGCTAGGATCCAGATTAGCTACTGAGTATCTCATAAAGGCTTTAATCGGTACAATCGCCAAATCAATAAAATACTAACGCTTTTTTTTTTAATAAGCGCGGAGCCGGGATTCGGATCTGCGAGGAGGTCACTAAGCCGAGGAGTTGTCTCCAGGGCGAGACAGAAGGAGGGTTTTCCAATGCCCCTCTATCCTATGTCCGATATACAGGATCGAGACACTGAAGACAGGAATGTAGCGTTCTTGAGACGGTACTGCCTAGAAATATAAACTTACGTGGAATCATTTGAGATCTTGTGAAAGTTGGGTAATGTTATCGAATATTCTCTGTCCTTTGTAGTCACGTTTCATCTTCGTAGACACTGGGGTTAGTTGTTGGGTAAGGAAGGAATCGGGGGCCCCATCAAGTCTGGCGGCAGACGCATATAAAGGAACGTACAGGCATACTACTCTAAATACCATGTAAACTAGTATTTCTTTCTTTATATCATTTGCTAAGAAGCTGAGATAGATAGGCTCTGATAACATATTGTGCCGATGTTGTAAACATACGTAATTGACCGTTGCGGACTGTACCTTTCTCCCATCTTATTACGCCAGGTTTGCTGGTTTTATCAAGAGGTACGGTGCCCTAGTACACACATACCCAGAGGGGGGACTAGAAGCTCAACAGTAATAAAAAAAAACACCAACAATCGTATCAACAATATTGCTGGTTTTATTCTTGATATAATACGTGCAATGAAAATTCTTGAATATTAATGGTAAATAGTAGATTGTAAATCGTATTACATTCATCGGACTCCAGACACCACGCTCGACAAAGCCCCAGGATCGCGAGGATTCATCAGGTAGCTCCCACTCCACCAGGCAAAAAAAGCACAAGATCAAAATGACAGCCAAACAAAAAGAGCAATTGCGATATCAAGCCGCAGACCCAACTTTTGGATCATCCTCCGCCACGGGGTACCGCCTCGGCGGGCTGTTCTCGCTCCTCCCATAGCCAGGGTGTGCCAGCACCGGAGGCTCCTGCTGCATCGCGTGCCGGGCTTGCATCCTATCTTTGAAGCTCGCGCCGCCGGAGCCGTCGACATCCTGCATCTCATAAGTTTCGGCGCTTCCCTGCCTTCGATATGCGTCGGCGTGGTTGGGGTCCCATCGGTTGCTAAGCTCGGCGCTGAGCGCAAAGCCGGCCGAGGGCGAGTGGGAAGCGTGCGTGGCGCCTGGCCATTGCATGCTGGGGCCGCCGTCCTGCGCGCTCACGGGGCTGTTGTATTGCGACGAGTAGGGCGAGAAGTATCGCGGGTACGTCTTCTCGGTGGTGGTGGCGCTCATGGGAGAGTCGTCCCAACCGCGAAGAGGTCGCTGGCTGAGGGGTGTCGCGTGCGTCTCGTGCGTCTCGTGCGCCTCGTGCATCTCTCTCTGGTGCGGCGAGGGCCAGCCCTCGTTGCTATGCTTGGTCTCGAGTTGGCGGAGGAATGCTCTTCTGCGCCTCTTGCCGTTCCACACGATGCCGCATCCGAGGACGGTTAGGATGAAGACGAGCCCTCCGATGGCGATGCCAACCTTGGCACCCAAGGAGATCGGACCATCGTCAAACCAAGCGGGGTTGGCAGTGGCCACCGCCGACGGCTCGGTGATGTTGACGGGTACTGTGGAAAATACGGATCCATCGAGTCCGATGGTGACGCCGACAACAGGTTGCTGTTCGCATCCGGCTTGGAGAGCGGTCACGACTAAGAGCAGGTTAGTATGAGGGAAGCAAAACTTGTGAATTATAATGGAGACGAACAGTTCGCCAAGTATTCTTGGCTGCCAGCTTGCAAACACTGAACACAACCATTAAAGTCTGCAGTGTCGGTGACTGGCCACAAAGTGCAGTAGTCGTAACTGTCAACGTTGGATGACAAGTTTTTGAACTCAATGGCGTTCTTGAAGTTGCCACATGCCTTGCTGCGAGGAGTAAGTACAAGTGCATAATGCATAAAGACTCGAGGTTAAAAAAGTTGTGGGACGTACGATGTGATACAAGGCGTGGTAATGACATCAGTATTGTTTGGGTTTCCAAATAGACAGTAGGACGTTGCGTATCTCAAGTTATCTTCAGACACGGCGGTTAGCATCGCAACCCCCGCCAGCAAGACGTGGATGGGCCGGCAAAGGCAGACTTACAGAGCGCCCACTGTTGGTCGGTCTCGCCATTGTTGGAGTAGTCGCTGGCAATCTCGCAGGACACACAGCCGTCAAAGACCTGGCCGGCGCCGCTGCTGTAGCTGTTCTGCGAGCAGACGATGTCGTCGGCGCTCGTCGAGCTGAGCACGTTACCGCAGTTGGTAGAGCACGGCGAGTTGGGGGCGACCAGGATGGCCTCGGCAAGGGGAATGGCCAGGCCGGCGGCAGCGAAGTTTGTTATAATGCGCATTTCCGCGTATCCGGAGGAAGCGGACGAGAGGCAATCAATGCCTCGAGGGCTGGGTCGGCGGGAGAGAGGGCGGGAACTGTCCCTGTGAGCTCTCTGGGTGGGTGCTGGTTTGAACTGGGCGGTTGCAGATCCGACCTGTGAAACCGTGCTACATAACCGCGGGGGCGGGTACTGTAGGCTATTTCGACGTTCTGGCGGCGCAAAAGTGTATGTACGATGTATGGGTCACGGCGGTATCAGATCAAGATGGGGGCCGAGACGGGTGGTGGCGACGATATAAGAGCTCGAGGGCCGGACGGTGTTTGTCGCCGGGCAGCTGGGAACTCGTGTGATGGGTGCAGGTCTAAAATGCAGGTTGGTTGGTGATGTGATGTGATGCAGAGGGAACCAGGTTGGTCTGGGGGACGGAGGTGGTTCATACAGCACGCACACTACTACACGCATACGCACACGCACACTGCAAAAAAACCGCCTAACAACGCCGTCGACGGGCCAAGACGGCGCTACGTCTGGGGTGATTTTGCGTCAAACAACATACCACCAGTGCCGGGTTGCAAAGACGGAAAACAACAGCTTCGAGGCGCAACTGGCGCGAGCCGAAAAGGCCTCGGTCGTTGTCGAGGCCGCCATGGCTCCCGGTCCGTCTGGCCCATCATCACATTATCACGCACGAGTCGGTGTCTGTCGCCGGGTTGGCTGCAGGCCCTGCAACCACTGAAGAGGAGGGGGGTTGGGGGCCCTTAGCGGACGCACAGCGGGGGCGGGCGGGTGACGGCAGGGCGCTGAGGGCCTGGGTTGCAGCCACCGCCTCGCCGGCCGGCCACTCACGGGCGAGAGACGGTCGCCGCAATGCAACCACCCTTGTCAGCTCTTCACATTACGCGGTGAGGCGGCGTGCTGTTGGCCACTGGACGCAGAGGGACTACTGCCGGGAGCACCCTACGGCACTCTTCGGCACCCTCCAGCTCACCCCAAGCTCCCTACAGCTCCCTACAGCTCCCTTCAGCGCTCACCTCTCTCAGCGCCCATCCGCCAATCACAGGCCCTACAGCCCCCTGTCCCGCCGATCTCCAGCCGCTGTGCAAGGGCTCTCGGCCCCGCCATTGGGCCCAGTCTAAGTGTGCCCCGCGGGCGCCAATCTGTTCGTCCGGGCGGGCTTCCAGGGCAGGGTTCATCCTGATCACGCCCGGTCCAGACTCTCACCACCGGCGGTTCGGCCCCCAATCTCGAATTCCTCATTCCCGCCCCCATCCGCATCTGTCATCCTTCCGCGGACCGCATCTGCCCATCTTGCTCTTAATCGTTCTTCTTCGGCATTATCCGGGCGCCAATGCTAAAGTCGATGCTTCTAAGCGGGTGTGTTGGTCAGGGCAGGAAGTCACCAGCAGGAAGTCACCAACAGTCACCACTCATCCATACCTAGGTATCCGAACCAACATGCTCCCATTCAAGGCCCTGGACATACAATTCCTCGTGCCATTCATGTTTTCCAAGCGCCTAACCAGGTCTTCACAGAAACCGTCGGCTAAATCGTCCCATCCCACACCTAGACGCCGATACTCTCGCTCCTGCCTATTACATGTCGTCCCGACTAGGTAGGTAGGGAGCACCACCAGCCTACTCCTCTTCCTGCTTCAATTAGGAGACAACAAAACACTCACGCCGAAAAGCCGTGTGGCGACTGTTGCGTAGTTAGTGTACACAGTGGGTGGTGAGATTTCGCGGAGTTGAATTAAGTCACCGTAAAAAGCACACGGCCCTGCTTCGCGACTACACATAGTGATTTTTGTCGTGGGATTTGCCTCAATATTTCGACAAAAAGTCGAGCAAAAAAAGCGTACGTCCAATTTCATATGGATAGACGCTTTAATCCCCGGCGGGGGTCGAACCCGCAATCTTCGGATGAGACAACGTTTCCATGTCCATGTTCAGGAGTTGGAAAACATAGAAGTCCGACGCCTTAGCCATTAGGCCACGGGGACTTTCTGCAAGCGATAATTTTGTCGTCGAAAATAACCTTTATACGCCTTAGGACGTTGACCGAATCATACTCGACGGTTGAGTGGACCAAGGAAACCAATAAATGAAGGTGTAGCTCGCTGTTTATGATTTGACGATGAAACTCGCCGAGATTGACATGGATATGATGTTTGATAGAACATGATGGTGTCACTTCCTGGTTACTGTTGCCCTAAAATCCCTTGCTGGGCGGCATGCTTGAGACATGGAGTTCTTCAACATTCTCACAGGAGCAACCGCGTATCAGTTACTAGGTAGATAAACCATTGGTATCAAGTCCATTCAGGTCTGTGACTGACAAATGCTGGTGCAGCACCCTGGTCTTAGATGCAATTAACACCCTTCTTCCTTGTTGATTCTCAACTCCACATCCGATGTAAGAAAAGTGCGCCAACGTACTGGCAAAAAATGTGGCCAAACTCCTCGCTGAGTTGGACAAACCCGAAAGAAACGGTGGGAAATATAAGGGAAAGATCGTGCAACCATCATAAAGTAAATATCCAAAATTCTCTACCAAACGGCACTCCTAGGTCTTTCAATAGCAGAGTGCGAATTCCGCTCAACACACTTGAGGGGAGGTAGAAGCGCATGGTTAGCCATCCGACGAGCATCCGCCACCTCAGACATGAGAACCATCGCGACAGGGGTCTTGGGCTCTTGCCCTATGCGCGGGCTAGATGATGTCGTGACCACCCTCTCGTTGCCTCCATGTTGGACGCGCGGGGCCGCCGCCCCAGTAGATCTGCCCTGTCTCGACAGGTCCGACGTCGACCTTGTCGCAGCTTGTTCTCCGTAAAGTGCTAGAGGAACTGCGGATGCCGGGGTGTTCTGCGCGGCCGAGCGGCTCCCTGTTCTTTGCCGCGAGGGCGCCTGCGTCTGGCCGGTTACCGGGGTCCTGTGGCGAGAGGACGAGTGCCCGTGCCTGGCCCTTGAACGAGATCGCGTTCCATGCACGGGGCAGTTCGGAGACGGGTACTCCTCAATCAGCGTAAACTGTGAGAGATCAATGTCTGCCTGGGATGGCTGACGGCTCCTACGAGAGTTGGTCCGAGGCTCGCGGGTTGGGGAGGACTGGGCTTGATTGTCCTCACTCGGCTTCGACGATCTTGTCCTTCCTCGGCTGGTTGTTTGACTGTCGTGATTTGACCGTCTGCCGGATTCGAAGCGTTCACCGTGGGCATTTGGGTTTGACGATAGACCTTGATCCGGATTTCGGCGTTGGTTTGGGGTATCTCTCTCTCCAAGCTGACTACGCGATGCAGGCCTCAAAATAGGCGGATCGCTTTGCACCTGTTTTGAAGGCTGTCGTGCTGGGTTAAAGCTAGAGGGGGGTTGAACCATATCGTTCCAAACACTAGGGTCCATGGCAATTGTAATAGAGCCCCCCGATGATGCTCGCTCGTGGCTGTGGTGAACTGATCCCGTGCCGATTTGTGGTTGACTAAGGTTGGCAGCCCTGCGATCCCGAGAAGCAACTCTTCCAACAGTGGTATCTTTCCTGGTCTTGGACTGAGGTCGAGTCCTGGATTGAGGTCGAGTCTTGGACGGAGGTCGAGGCTCACGAGCAGACTCAACTCGATGTGCCAGGTCGTCAAACGGGTTGAATAATTTTGTCTCTGGTGGAGTGGGCTTTGCGGAGCTGGCTCGAGCCGGCCCACGGGATCTGCTACCATGGCGCGGCTTTGTAGTATCTGGCTGACGACTTCGAGACCGTCTAGAAGACCTAGAATGGGGGGCTCTTTCTCGGGTCTGAACAGAGCTTTGTACGACCGGCTCCTGTGGCGGGGTGGGAAGCGCTGCCATGATGCGTGGTCTCCCAGCTTGGTTGTTCCAAACGGAGACATCAGAACGCAAGCTGTGACGATGGTCATATCCATGTTCATGAGACAAGGAGCCGAAGCCGGAGATGATCTCATTGACATCGTCTCTGTCCATCATCCACGGGCCTTCCGGGTCTTGGGGCACGTGTCGGCCATGATCATCGCCCGTCCCATAATGCTTGTAGGTTAGCCCTGACAACTCAGACAAGTACGACTCGGAGCCATTCGAAGGGGAACGACGATCCAACCCCAACTGGCGTGCAGTCAAGCCCAGATCTAATTCCGGGTATTTGTGGTCCTCGTTGTAAGAATTCGCACCATAGGGAGAGGCAAAAGATTGTGACTCGAGGTATTGATGCGTCGTCGATTCGACAGACTCCGTCGGGATCCATGGGCGGATTTCATGAGGAGTTGGGCTCGGTGCCGATGGAGTCTGGACAGACTGAGCCTCTTGTAAATTGTCTGTTCGGCGCTTCTGGGATACACGGACAGAAAGGTCATCTCGGTGGTACGATTGCACCTTTCTCGTCTGCTCCTGAGGCGGCGCAGAGCCAACATCTCTCGGCTTAAGTCCATCACCTCGTGGTGGGTTTGATGTCCTGATGTCCTTATCTGGGCTGTTGGTCCCCCTTGGTAAGGACATGCGGCGGTTGACCGTGTCTAAAGGGCCATCGTCGTCAACCTGAAGGGTTTCCCCGTCAGGTCGATATACCAGTTTCGCAAAAGGAGGAGCTTCCGTGTCGACAACGAGCAAGTCTTTTTCTCCGCGCCCCAGAATGCCGTAGACCCGTACTTCGCCATCCTTAATGCCAACCACAGCGCTTGTGCCGGCGTATGTGGCGTCATTTTCTGACCCTGTGCGATTTGCGAAAACGACAATGACTTCCTCGTCCCATTCCGCTCGGATGATAGGTTCCAATCGTGAAATCCAGTATGTGAGGGTATTCATGTCGGCTTCTTCCGGTTCTTGGCAAAACACACGGGGGTCCTCTTGGGTTATCCAGGCCATAGACACGACAACAAGACGAGTTCTCGAATCCAAAACATGATGCGCAAACTCAAAGGTGTTCCAGGAAGTCTGGAACTTGTACGGGCTATTCAACACAGGTTAGCGAATGTCAAGACGGCTCCAGATCGCATTTCATACTTCAGATCCATGCAGATGCCAATTGACACCCGTCCTAGGCCCGGCAGTGGCTTGCCGAAGAAGCCCTTGGGGTTCTCGAGAGCCCATGTCTCATCGGTGTAGTAGAGATGCGTCTTGCGATAGTTGGCAACAGTATCGCCCTCGTAGCTGACAACGATGGCGGAATTGTAGTACTCCGGGTTCGCGGGCCATCGGTCGGACAGATCTACCTTTTCGGGGTAGCCAACAATTACGGTGCAGTCGTGTTTGAGGGCTTGCGTACGCGCCCAGAGCGAGCTGATACCGGATCCCGAAGGCTCGAGGTACGGAGAGATTTCTTGGAGGGACTTGAAGTTGTATCCTATCGTCGTGTGAGCAAAGAAAAAGCGTCGCCAAACCGACGGCGAAGCGCAAATGGTTGCAACGTACCCGTGAAGGCCAGCTCTGGCAATACAAGAAGATCCAGCCCCTCGGGATCAGCGCGATTCAAAATGGCATCGGCCCGGTTGAGGTTGTTGTCGACATCCCCCACGGCCGGAGCGAACTGAAGACAGCCTATCCTCATAGTGATCCCTCAGCAGATGCGCTGCTGTTCACAGTCGCTACCGCGATGCGACAATGCCGCTCTCCAACTCCTCTCGCGGGTGCAGCTCGCGTGGCCGAAGGGTCGCGGGGGCGCTACAGAGAGGCACAGCAAACATCAAGGAGAAACCGAACTGGAGGCGGTGGTTCGGAGACCAGAACCTACAGACGGCAAAGGAGGCCCGAGTGAAGGGATCGGAAGCCGTTTATGGGGTAGAGCCAAACAGGAGGAATCGAGGATTGGGCGACGACGGCCCAGAAGCAAGCCCGAGTGCGGTAGCCCCTTGCGGCCACGAGCGAGCGCTTGACCGTCAGTCAGGGGTGAGTCGAGTCCAGCGAGCGCAGGAGTGCGTTCACAAAATGATGTGCGTGTGGACTGTGACAGAGGGATCGTTTCAACGTCTACGCCATTCCCGTCCAAGGATGAAGAGTTGAGGCTGGCCCAGTCAAGTTGCGAGCTGCTGTGATGTGACGTCCAGGGCACCGCTGCGTGGGCGGGGGAGGGGTTGATAGCGGGGCACTGCCGTAGCTTGGGCGCTCCAGCCAACAACAGCGCGCCGTTAGCCGCCGTCAACTCTAGCTAGACCGGGGATCGCAACTCGGCACCAGGCTCACCGTTCAACTGCATGGGCCACGGTATAATCGTCGTCTCATTGTCTCACCGTCGCACACACAAGGCGGAATATGGCATAACCACCACATTTCCGTCCACTTGCCCGTTTTCACAGGGGCGTTTCGCTGGTCCGATCCGTCGTTGGTTGCCGTTGGCTGGATGCTCCGAGCACTCCCTCCCTCCAGTTTGGCTACCCTAGACTCTAACTGTGAAGGACAGGGTCCACTTTGGCCTGTGGCACAGTGCTGTCATCCCACACACTGTGGGATTACACTGTGACCACAAGGGTCCTCGAAGGCAGCCTTTAGGGCTTTCCTTCCTAACCTCACTTATTTCAGTCAATTCAACTAAGTCAAGCTATTCCTTTCGTATCCTGACGGTGATGACCTCTTTTAGCCCCTTTAGGTAACCTATTTCTACTGGTTATGAGCCCGGGCCTTACCCCGATGTTTTCTCTATCCACATTCTAGTTGGTATCTCTTCTTTTTGCTACTTTGAAGCGCGATTCTTATAGATTTTACTTTTATAATCCTGACCTTTTGTTATATTGTAAGTTGGTTTTGAAGCCCTTATGTCTTTTTTTTTGTCTTTTTCAGTACTGGTTTTGCTTCTTTAAGCAGCCCTAGCTTTTATAGCTTGATCTTTCCTGTTTCTTTAAATACTATTGACTATGGCTTTGTCCTACAAATAGCCCGGCCTTTTATAGCCTTATTTTCTTTATTTCCTTTAAGTACCTTTAACCTTGGCTTTATCTTATAAGCAGCACTTGGTATTATTACTACTATTTTTCTAGATTCTTTAATTACTCCCTAATGCTATAGCAAGGTAGTTTTCTTCCTCTACAATTCCTATTTCCATTACTAGAACCTTAGGACTGTAATTTTATGTTTAATCCTGCACTAAAAATAGCTTCATTCTTATCTTTGCTTTATCCTGGCGATGACCTTTTAGATGGTGTTCTAGCTAAGTTTAGCTGTATGTATATGCTGGAGATCTATTGCACTATAATATCCTACTACCTAAAGATGGGTATTAATAAGAAGCAATATCGAGATATAATTTATTTGATGAATTTCTTGTCTATTCTTTTTAATTTTAGCTACCTTAAAAATGTAGAAGGTTGGCCTTTATAGAGTTTGTTTATTGTAACTGCCCTTGTTGCTATTAGCTACGATATAATTATTCTATTTTTGACTCTTAGTGAAGGCAAGCTTCTTAACTAGATTCAAGGCTCTGTTAAAGAAGAGGCCAAAATGATTATTAAAGGCTATACCTTTAGATTTAAAGCTTTTCTTGCCCTTCGGGCATAATACTATAACTGCAACTTTCTTTAGAAAGATTGTATTTATTCTTAACTTTAGTTCTTAAAGTATAAGAATATCTATAATAGCTCTTTTTATATTATGAAGTTTATCTAGCTTCTTATGTAGCTAAAGACTGTAGGTAGTAGCCTAGATAATAGCTAAACCTGCTGCCTCTTCTATAATTCTCTCTGCTTTATTTTTTCCAATTGGGTTAATATTTATTAAGAGTTTTAATGCTTTTCTAGTAATATCCCTAATTATTTTGACGTTAAGAATGCCTTTTAAAATTACTATAATAATATAGTCTCTTCGGATCGATATTATAATAATAGATAGCTTGATTCTTGTATAGCCTCTAATAGCAATAGGAATGCTTAGCCTTCTTATTAGCTGCTCAAGCCTTAAGGCAATAATAATATTAAGCCTAACCCTAGTAGACCTTTCTTATCTAAGGATTCTATTAACTCTTATAGCAGCTATCTTATGCCTAACTAGCTTGTTAAAAAGCTAAAGTAGAATTCTAACTTTAATAAGAAGTATTATAACTATAGGAAATGGGGTTATATTCGCTTTAACTGCTATGCTATACATTCTAAGAAGCGCTCTTTATAACTCTAAGGTAATAGCAACCCTCATCTTACTGCTAATTATTAGATTACCAACCCTGTTGCCGAGGCCCCCTCTAGAGCTTAAGGTATTGCTCCTTACTATACTACTTTCCTGCCTAATTAGTTCTTGATGACTGCTTCTAGCAAGGCTTCTTATGCCTCTATCTAGGCTGCTGAATATGCTCTTGGTATGGCTGGCCTCTATAAGTCTTAGAAATAGGGGGAGTTATTTTCTATATTTGAGGCTGTTGCTGCTAAAGAAGAATTTTTTGTAGTAATTTCTTTCTTTAAGGCTGTAGCTTTAGGTAAATACTTTGCTGTAGCAATTGATATTATAACCTTAAGTAATACTATCTTGCTCTTACCTGCCTTTATACCCCTTCTATTAGGCCCTTCTTCTAGTTTTGATATCTTAAAGTCTCTAGTAACTTAGAATATTTATTATGCTAATTATAACTGCAGTAAGAACTGCTAGCTTTGGGATTCCAGCTTTAATTGCTATATTGCTAATAACCTTAAATAATTTAAGAAAGATAAAGTATTTTTTCTTATTTAATAGGATATTATTATAACTAGTAGTAGTCCTGTTAAGCCTACTTATATTGGTATAGTTAATTTCTCTTTTGAGCTGCTAGAATGTAAGATCTCTATGGTTCTTATAGAAGTGCTTTTTATAGTAACTTTTCCCCTTAATATCTTCTTAAACTTTAAGACCTATCTTAAGAGTGGCTTCTTCTTTAAGAATTATATTTTTAATTCTTATAGTAACTTTATGGCTATTATCTTGCCTTATAGTACTGGTTTTTATCTTCCTGTTAAAGGATTATTTACTCTAGCAGCTATAACTGCTATTATGGCTATTAAAGCTTAGATTTCTAATGGTAAGCTGTAGCATTGCCGCCTAGCCTATACAAATTACAATAATATTGTTTGAATAGTTAGAGAGACTATAGGCAGCCCTAAGAATCTTTGCCCGCCTAAGAAAAAGGTATGCTGCTACTGTAACTATGCTAATGTGATGTATTGAACTCTAAAGATCTATTATAAATGCATATCTTTTCCCTTTTAGAGAGTTTATATTAATTTTTACTTTATTTCTTATACTGCTAAGTTCAGGGCTACCTGCTTTGCTCTTGTAATTGACAATAAATCCTACTACTATTGGATTGAGATTCTCTACGGTAAGGCTGGCGCTAATACTACTCTTTGCTGCCTTTTTAAATATCTTTACTATATAATAAGCATTTATTCCACTAAGATTTACTTTAATAATAGCTGGGAATTTAATAGTTTTAAACTTCTTACTCTACTTAATATAGGTTATATTTATATATCTTATACACCTAGTTATTATTATGAATAAATAGGCTTCTATAAGCACTCTAACTATATAATTCTAAACTATATAAAAGCTATTTTTATTAACTCTATCTCTCTTTCCCTTAAGTACTGGGATTATATAGCTAAGGCTATTATAATAATCACTAACTATATTATTATTAAATTCTAAAAAGACGACGCCTCTATTTAGAAGTCCCCTTACCAAGCCTTTTAGGACTACTTTAAGCCTGATAATAATAATAAGCTTAATATCTCTTATCTTTATATACTCAGCTTGCATACTATAATTACTATTAAAGCCAAATCCACTAATAAAAATAATAAAAAGGGACTTAAGCTCAACCCTTATAATTGGGAAGGCATTTTAGTTGGCTTCTAAGGCTGTTATCTCTATAAGATCTAGAACCCAGTTAATAAGTATATTATTACTACCTCTTATCTTATTATCTATAAGAAATACTCGCCCTACAATAAGATAGTTTATATAAGATCTTAGAGAGCTTTTTAGTGTGATTAATAGGTTAAGATTATCAATAAGTTTATTAATAAGATTATGACTATGTCTTTCCGACTTCTATTTGCGCCTTCCCGCTCTATTAATAAGGCTATAACCTTTAGTAATATTAAGAAATAGTATAAGGCTATCTATAAGGAGATTAGTTAGCTTATTGAGCTTAGTATCTTTATTTTTATTGACCCCTGTAATATTATTCTAGGTATTACTTTACTTACTGCTACCTGGGCTTTTAAATATAAATATAATGAATATAGCGATATAAAGTGTTATAAAGTCTATATCTGCACATAAGGCTTCTAGTAGGTTAAAGGTATTAACTTCTTCGAGACTAGCGCCTTAATTATGATTTCTATTACTTGGTATATTCTTATTACTTTGGCCGTACAACTGGGCTATACAGCCTGCCAAGTTGATATTGTTACTGCCTTCCTTTATAGTATACTTAAGGAAACCCTTTACATAAAGCAATTTCCTATACTTTGTGACTTTATGAGAGACCCCCGCTTCTAATAGCTTGCTGCTAAGCTAGGCTGGACTACTGATAAGATTATCTAGCTGAATTAACCTCTCTACGGCCTTAAGTAGTCTGCTAATATTTGG